AAGTCTCATGCAACTTCTTAAAGAATTCCGCCTTCCCATCATTTGGTGCATAGATTCCAACTATCAAAATTTTTCTCCTTGAACTTGTATTTCAATTGCCAGGTATCTTCCTTGTTCATCTTTAAATATCATCTTTGGAGCCAATTTTTCTTTTGCATAGATCACCACGCCTCTTTTCTTAACTTTATCTGATGAAATAAATTCTTGTCCAAGTCTCTTATTTACCAATAATTTCCGATGTGTCCTGGTCACATGAGTCTCTTGTAGGCATATTAGATCTAATTGTTCTCTTTTCAAAATATGAAAAACTTGGCGTCTTTTTCGGGAAGGTTCAAACCATTACAGTTCCAGCTAAGAAGTTGCAGAGACATTTTGTTATTAAGTACCTGTTCCTCCGACTGCTCCTAGCTTTTGTTCCTCTTCAGGTGATGGTATGAGTCCAAATGACAAGTTTGCAATGTCTGTCACTCCTTTTTCTTGTATTGTTGTTTCTACTGTTCCTTTCTGCAAGTCCTCCTGATATCTCTCCAGAAACTGTTCTTTATCTTGAACTGTTCTTATTTTAACCTTCCTTCCTTTGAAAGTAAAAGACAATCCTTGTGGAAACTCCCACCTGAAGGGTATGATGTTTTTCTTCAGCAGGTAGACCAAATCTTTATAGAAGGCTCTCACCTCCAAAATATATTTAGGGATATCTTTAAAAATTTGTACTTGACTATTTTCAATCTCCAATGCCTTTTGATAATGCAAATTCAATATCTTATCTCTTTCTCCTTTGGATCTCAATGTGATCAAACAATCCCTTGGCTTCTTCCCCTGCCTCCTGCCGAGCCGGAAAGCTGTTGTTATTTCAAGTTCTTCTTCCTGCAGCTCCTCTTGCCAGAATTCCATAAAGTTCTGTGTAAGAAAATCCACAAGGTTGTCTCCCTCACTCTCGGGAACCAATCTCAATTTCAAATTTCTCTCTTTTCTCTGTAGTTCCAACAAAGATAGAGCTGCATCATGTTCATTCACTTTTTTGTAATCGGCACAAGCTCCTGCCTTGTCTCCTCCGCAGTATTTTTGCACTTTCAGCAATCTTTCGTGTTTCAGAACTTTCTTGAATTAGTTTATTAATAGATTCTGTATTAGATGTTACACTTGCAGTATTCAAGTCCAATCTTGCTGTCAGTTCTGTCAATTTTTTGAATTTTCCGTAGATAGCTTTGTCAGTGCTTCTAAAGATTGGTTTATTTTGAGCAGTGCCTGTGTCATTGAATCCATAGATGCTGTTGCCACTTTTTCCTGTGCAGCTGGTGGTATGCCGGGTATTGAGCCCCTTTTCTTTTGTGTCTGTTTTGCTTTGGATCTAGTTGTTATCTCTTCTGCTGGGCCACTCATATCCTCAAGGTCGTTCTCACAGGAAAAACTTGCAAGTGGAAAATCCCACTGTTTCTTTTTCACTGTAACAGTTTCTCTTTATACCCTCTAGAGGGAGCATTTAATTGTATCCAAGTGAAAAGAGAAAAAACAAGGAAGCACAGAGCAATCAACAAAAAAAAAAAAGTCCAAGAGTCCACAGTGAAAGTTTCTGTCGCACTTTTTTCAGTAAATCACAAGTTCAACAAAGTAATTCCATTAAAGTCCCGTAACTTTGTCTCAGACAAGACCCCAACTTTGTATCCAGTCTAAACTGACAGTTCACTTTGCCGGTGCCTTACTCAGGCAGTCCGTCCTGGGGGTTTGGCAATGGAAGATGTTTTTTTCCCTCATTTAATTTCAAGCAGGTTAACAGTGTCCAATTTTCTTCCCCCTCTCCTGCTTACTGGGGGAGGTTTAAGTCAAATGTCAGGTTTGACAGCTTAAAGGTAATTTTCTTTCAAATGCAGCTTTACTCTTTCGTTGCTTTACTTGCCATGCAGATCGGGAGGCAGACTTCCTTAATTTATGCCTTTCCCGTTTTCAGCCAAATTTCAAGATTTAAATTTAAATGTCCCTTTCAGTCCCTCCGTCTTACTCACGGGCTTTAGAGTCGAATTTCTGGTTCAGGAAGGAATCGGCGCTCTCCGCTCATGGCGACGCGGCTTCACTCCACGGGCTGGGTTGCGACTCTCAGCACCGCGCTCACCACCGATGCCGCTCCGTAGCCTTTAAAAGGCTCTTTCACAGTACCGGGGCGCAAAGGTGCCCACCGAGTCTCCTTGTTCACAGGCTTCCGCGCCTGTGATTTTAGGGGTCCCCCGCTCGCCGTAGCAGGTCAGACCCGAACTCGCGGAGCAGTCCTCCTCCGGAGCTCGAAGGGAGGACCGCCATTAAGCGCTGGCGCCGACCGGAAGTCCCGGAATATGAATTTTCTCACACAAGCAGTTTTGCTGCATATTTCTGATTGTTTGCAAGACGTGGAGCCAAACCGCACCGGATTTATTAGGCTCTTTGGTTCCATCTTAGAAAAAAGAAGCCATACAAGGATTGCTCTCTGCTCACCTCCAGATACCGCCATCCTTTTGTCCCATAGGTTCCTTAGGAATTTATTGCACAAATGCATGTACATGCTGTCATTTGAAGAGTGAGGCTTTTCTTTCCGGGGTCATTAAAAGTTCAGTAATAATTCATACCTATTAGGGGTGAAACGGGCTTCTCTCAGACCTTTTCCAGCATGGCAATAGACTGGCCAATAACTGACCCTCCAAGAGTCCCTATTTTCTGGGGACACTCCCATATTTACAGAAGCTGCCCCAGTTTCTGATTTGATCCCAGAATGTCCTGCTTTTCATCAGGACGTCCGTATTTTCATCTGAGAAATGTTGGAAGGTATGGAGTTATCCAACCTCCGAGCCAAGGATATAAGTAACTATACAACCTTTAGAAGACATCTGAAGGCAGCTCTGTATAGAGTTTTTTTAATGTTTAATGCTTTATTATGTTGGAAGCCTCCCAGAGTGGCTGGGGCAATCCAGTCATCATCATCATCATCATCATCATCATCATTGAATAGCGCATCCCTATTTTCATCAGTGAACTGTTAAAAGGGTATGAAATTATAGCTTGCTGTAGGCCACCCAACAGAATTCTTCCAAATGCCTGGCATTTGGGGAATCTGGCAGGAAATGCTGCCAAACCCAAGATAATTAATCTTGTTGGACTGTACAAAGGAGGCAGCCCAGATTAGATGGCTGCTGTGTTGAAATACAGGGTCAGGGAAGCTTTTTCAGCCAAATGGCACATGCCATTCATGGACAGAACCAATAGAACCAATGGTGGGCAAAAAACAGAGCAGAGGAATGAATACCCGTTTTTGCCTTTGTACTGCAGGCTAGTTCCTTCACACATTCACACCCCTCTCTGGACAAGCAAGAGCCTTTATCAGAGTTCAGGGATATAGTCCAAACAGGAAGAAACACTTAAGGTGTGAAGCAGGGACAGTGAAGAGTGTGGGCTGACATTGTGTTGCTGGCAGTTTTAATTTTGATCTCTTTCTTTCTTTCTTTCTTTCTTTCTTTCTTTCTTAAAATGTTCATTACAATAAATCCCAGATCAGGGAACAACATCCAAGTATACAGTACATCACCAGCACTGTACAATATTGTAAAACATTGTCAGCCTGGATAGCTCAATTGGTTAGAGTGTGGTTCTGATAACACCAAGGTTGCAGGTTCGATCCCTGTATGGGACAGCTGCATATATTCCTGTATTGCAGGGGGTTGGACTAGATGATAAGGGCAGTAGTTCAAATCACGAAGCAACCCAGCAAGAGTGAAAAACACATCACTTGCCCATGAATCAACAAAATGCCTGGGTAAAGATGTCAAAAAAGATTCCTAAAAGCCACCAGCCAGGATCAGTGCCAAGTGGATTCCATAATCAGGGTACTGCTCTTGAGAATATCATCTCACACATTAACGGTCCCTGGAGTAGAATTCATCTTTTTCACAGCCACCGCATACTGGGTCAATGGGCTGAGCTATGCGCCATGACCCCAAATCTCTTTCCTGGTTAGTCACCAACCAATCAGACCCAACAATCTATGGATGTCTATAGAAGAGCATTGGATGGTTTCACAGAAGATAAGGCTACCAATGGCTGCTAATCACAACAGCCATGTTCTGCCTCCGCTGTCAGAGGCATTTTGCCTCTGGATTCCACTTGCTGAGAATCACACGTCCTGTTGCACTTTTGGGCTCCCCAGAGGCATCTAGCTGGCCACTGTGAGAACAGGATGCTGGACTTGATGCGCCTTTCTTATGTCATTTTACGTTCATCAGCATATATTTGAAGTCACGCTTTTCTGGCCCCAAGGCGCCTCACTTTCCTCTTACTTATATCGAACCGGCTTTTGCCATTTTGTTGCCCATTCACCCAGTTTGGAGACGTCCTTTTGGAGCTCTTTGCAATCTGCTTTTGTTTCTTCCAGGGCTCATCTGCATGTCTGTCAGTCCCCGAGTTTTCTAGTCAAAGGTATGAGAGGTTCTTTTTTCATCCCTAGGAAAACCCGCTGTTTACTGCTGAATCGGAAGAAACACCAATATGCAGAAAATCCGACTGATGTTTGTTCCAACTCAGCAGTAAACAGTGGGTTTTCCCAGAAGAAGCGGATGGACATCTCAGACCCATGACTCAAAATCTTAGGACAAACGGGAGTGTGGATGAGCCCTCACATCAAATAATTTTGTGTCACCCATGAAGTTGGCCGCCTCACACTGCTCATGCAGGAGGTGGAAAAACATTTTTTTTTTTTCCCCCAATAATATTTATTAAGTTTCATACAAATACAACATATACTATAAAATCAATAAAAGAAGAAGAAAAAAGAAATAGAACACATATAACAAATGATAACCAAAAATACAACCACAAACACTTAAACAATAAAAGTTAATTAATTAATTAAATTTCCAACTTCTTAAACATATTACTTGACTTCCTCTAATCTCTTCCATCTGAATTTCCTTGTAACTGAATGTAGCAGTTTTCCAACATCATTATTCAAAAACTTCTTTTTAGAAAAAGAGAACAGCAGACAATTTACTTGAAGCTTTTTTATTGTACAAACCTTACCTCCATTTACATAAAAGACATTTTTAATACAAATATATTTAAGAGATATTCCCAGTTTCTTCAGTTCCTCAAGCTATCTGACCAAGACTCGGGGAGGGAGTGGGGTGGGAGTTAAGCTAAAAAGAGATGAACAAGGATTTGTTTATTTTTTCGTCGGCATACAATAAAAGTACACTGTTGTGTATACAAATTTTCCAAAGAAAGACAATCCTTTAGATACACTTAGAGAGTAACTGACCAAATACACCTGCAAAAATCAAATTTAAAAAGACATTCAGAGATTTATTTATTTTTTTAAGAGGACTTCCATCTCAGCAGCGAGAACACCATGTGGATCACATATGTCAATGTGACTGCATAGGCAAAAACCTAGAAGAGAAACAAAGAGGGTTCAGTGTGTTGATTTGCTAAAACTAGTTCATGAGCAATTCTGAGCATCTCTCCGTAATATCTTTTCCCACATTACTGTGTGTATTGCTGTGCTTGCTCTTGTCTCTCGCCCGGCCTACCTCAGGTATGCAGCCTGTGTTCACCTGGGCCCTGCCAGGCCCTGCGTATGCATCACACCCGGCACTTATGGTACCCTATATAGGCACAATAGGGCAGCCATGATGGATCGAAATGGATGACATTGTGCCAGGACTGTGTCTCTCCTTTACAAGCGGCTTGGACCCTTCATGCCACTTATGATAAGGCTCCTGGGGACTGTGGTGTTATGATTAGAATGGCAGAAAAGCAGCCATGCTGCCTAAACTAGAGCGAGGCAATAAATTGTCTTGGCAAATCAAGGCTGGAAGTGTGTCAAGGATCCCACTAAAACAGCTGGGGTCCCAGTCGCTCCTATTTTCTCCTCCCAGGTGGATTATGGCGATTCATAGCCCCATGTTTTAGGTGGGTCTCCGAATAACAACTGTAAAATTGACCGGGGGGGGTTAGAATTGGAAATGTCCAACCCCTTGGATTGATATCAAAGGCGTGTTGTTTTTTAAAGGTGTTTTAAAGGTATTTCTTCCTTTTTGGTTGCTATCTGCCTCGCTTTGTGAGCTTTGCTAAAGGACTAAGTGAGGATCCTGTCAACTGCCTTAAGATTGGCAACTATGAATTTTATTGTTCTATGATGCTGGGGACTTAGATTTGTACAGGCATGCCAACTCTAGGGGGCAGAGGTTTTTGTCAGCCCTCTCAATATTCTTTCTCAGGGGGCTCAGCCCCCAAATATTGAGGGGGCAGAGGAGACCGAACCGACGAACAAGGTTTAACCAGCCTGCACAGCATCTCCCAACACCATGCAGGCTGGTGCAGACTTACACTAGGCCGGGCCGGTCTGGCTTGCATGGCATTGGAAGACGTGTGTGATGTCACACGACCCATGGCGTGTGTGATGTCACACACACGCCGGCCCCCCCCCCCAATCTTGGGGGGCAACCCGGCTCCTGTAGATTTGTAACACAACTAGATGGGCTGAGGGAGACTGGAGTTATATCATTTACTTTGATTGGTCGCTTTGTCAATGCTGCTCTTTAATTCAATGTCACTTGTGAATCTATATGGTCCAAGCCCACCCAGTGGGCTTCATGGCTCAGTGGGGATTTGAACCCTGTTCTCTCAGGTCCTAGTCCACTACACCACACACTTGCATGCAAATGGAAACAAACATATAGGCAGCATATATTGTTTTCAGGTGATTTCACGCATGTGTCACGGCAGAGGCAATTCATCCTTTGCCCCAGGGAAGGCAGTGATGCTTCTTTAAAAAGGCACTTGTCCTCTGCAATTTTCACAAGTCATTTGGGCAAATCCACACCGTGATCAACTCCCACCCAGAAACCAATGTCCCCACTGTGGAAGGACGTGTGGATCCAGAATTGGCCTCCACAGTCATTTACGGACTCATTGTTAAAACCATGTTTATGGAAGACAATCTTACTTGGCTACGAGTGATCGCCAAAGAAGAAGAAGAAGAAGATTAGATAGATAGATAGATAGATAGATAGATATACTGTGTGTGTGTGTGTGTGTGTGTGTGTGTGTGTGTGTATTGTAAGCGAGGACATATACTCACCACTGCTGCAATATCTATTTGGTAGTATTTAAAAGGTTCCATAAATTTCATTTGATAGGTAGTATAGGCTTGCACAACTGACGCACTCAGGTAGAAGAGAGAAGCAATTACCTGGTAGAAAGCATCCTGGAAAAGAAAACAACACAAAGACCCTAAGACCACTGCAAGAGAAGGTGTCCCCACCGTATCCCTGTGCCAGAGAACACCTGACACTGGTGAGAAGTTTGTTTTGCTTAGTGGCAGTTTTATAGGATACGCTGCCATGACTAACAGCTTTAGAGGGAGAGTTTGTATCCAGGAGGAGATGACTGCTGTATTCTGAGCAGAGTCGGTGCCATGCTTTTCAAAAGCACACAAAGATCATGCACTTCTGGACAAGAATCTGCCAGGGCCTCTGAAATGGGCATGCGTCAGAACTAAATGGAGCCAAATCCAGAGCAGCGACTCATACTAAGATTTGGCAGCATAGCTGTCAACTTACAGATTTGAAAATAAGGGACCAGCAGCCTTGAAAATAAGGGATCAGCAGCCAAAATAAGGGATTTTCCAAGGAGCACAGGCATGTTCAACTTCTGAGCTCCTCCGAGCCAAAGGCAGAAAGCCCAGCCAGCAGCCAAACAAAGCCTCAAGAGGTGGTTCCCACAGCGCAGCAACCCGGCAAAGGGATACAGCAGCAAGGAAAACCACACCGTCACCTCTCCGCTGGGAAGCGCTGAGCAAAGGCGAGTCCCCAGGCAATGTGGCCAATTTGATTGGCACAAGGCATGCAAGCTCCACCCCCCAGTCGTTCTTAGACTCCTTACTGGGTGAGCAACGCAGCCAAGCAACACAGTTGGAGCCTCCCTCCTCCCTGGTCGGCAGGGAGGGAGGGAGAGGAGCTGCTTCCTTTGAAACCCGGGAAATTTAAGGGACATCATCAATAAGGGACAGCAGCGGGACACGGCGCTGGGATAAGGGACTTTCCCGCCAAATAAGGGACAGTTGACAGCTATGTTTGGCAGGTAGCCTCCTCTGTGAGTGGGTACTTTGGGCTCTGTTTAAATGTATTTCTCATGGCATACTAAGGCTGGTTCTGATATAATGAGAAGCACCCCACAGTGCTCACACTCAGGCCCACACACTGCACTTCACAGCTGCAGGGAGGAGTTTAGAAGCACTGGCTTCCATTTTTACACAAAGCACAGTTTCCTGCTTTGTGTTTGAACACTGGAAACTGTAATTTGTTTAAACTCCAGTTTTATGGCACCCTTTTCCTCTGCTTATCCCACCAAAATTTAGATGATGTGACACCTGATGCATGGATAAATAGCACTGTATTTGGGGCTGAGGGGGGGGAGTATACTGGTATTTTAATCTCTCCAAAGAGACTTACCACAGCAACCCAAGCTGACTTCCCTCCATGAGCGCCACACATATATAGGAACAAAAGCAATGTTGAAATTACAAAGCAAAACACTGAGACGAACATCACCCAGCCTTGACTCATCAGCACAGAAACTTTAGTGGAAGCCACCAGGATCCAGACTAGGCCGCCAAAAACCTACAATAAAGTATAAGAAAAGTAGTTCAGTCACCAGCCCTTACAATGATTAATCAGATCTGTTCTGGAAGACCTGTTTTCGTACAAATTACTTGACCGGACAACTCCATCGCAAAATGCAGAGAAGTGCACATTTTGAAGGATGGCTGTGATTCAATTCACATATTGTTTTGGAAAGTGTGCTTTTCCTGGTTCTGGGAGACCAGGGGGCAGGAGAACACGTTGCAGCAGAAGAGGGAGATGTCTGTGCCTCTTCTCCAGCCGGACTCACCTCTGCCTCCCTCATCCTACCCTTCTGATTCAGCTTCTGCCCTTGATTCTGAACTGCTCTCTGCCACAGACTCTCCCAGCTCACTAAACCCTGTTACCTCTTCAGCTTCTGACACCTCCTCCTCCCAGTCTTCTCCCTCTTTTCCGTCTGTCCACACTGTTGTCCCACCACCAATCCCCTGGCTCTGAGCCTTCTTCCCCTGGGGCTTCCCTTGGGGGTTCCCCAGCTTGTGCCTCCCACAATTCCTCTGCATCCAACCAGTTTTGCAACAGCAATTTTGCTTCCCAGCTTGGACAATATAAGTACTGCTGGGCCCCTATCAACAATTGGCTTACTACTATTAGAAATCGAGGTTTGCTTGCCACCAATAAATCCACGCTTCCCAGGAGCACTCAATACAACCCTAAAGTCCCCCTCCAACATGTTCACAGAGGAAATAGATATATTTCTTGTTAACGCCCCTCCTTTTAAAGCCATAGATCACTGTCCAAAGACTCAGGTTTGCAGAATGCTGAAGATTCATTCACTTCTTCTGCATTGGCTGACGTAGTGAATTGCTTGTTTTTTATCCAGGCCTTTGAGAGGCAATGGTAGTCTGGTAAAGTTTTAGGTTATTGGTGGAATCTGCTGCTGTATCTATACATTGATATCATAGAATTTCAGAGTTGGAAGGTGGCCTAAGGGTCATCTAGTCCAAACATATATATAATAAAAGAGTTTTTAACATTTGTTTTAGTTATTGTTATTATATGGATATTGTAATTTTATAGTGGTGTGTTTTTTTTTAATGTTGTCAACCATCCTGGTATCTAAACGGATGGTTTTAAAACGGAATAAATAAATTGTAAACATTTAAAATAAAATAAAACTTAAGTGTTGTTAGGAAGATCTTATATCCAATCTGGAATAAATGCAACTCAAAACATATTCAGCAATATAGGCAGAAATGGAATTAGATTAGTACACTAGTATTTGGTGTCCATTTGCATGTATACAGACTCTCACTAAGATGCATATGCAGAGCGGGAGAGAGAATTTTAACTTCTAGATTAAAATATGTTCTCAGTGCTTACAAAATGCCATATGCTTTTAGGTGCATAGATGTTCAAAGCCAAGACTGGCTGTTCCTCCCTCTCTTTCCCTCCCTCTCCATATGTGTGTGTGTCAAGCAGTTACTGTGCATAGCAACCAGCCATTGTGCACTTTCACCAAGTCTCGTGGTGAATGTGCACTTAATCCTTCCATTAAGACGGAACTGTGCACATTTCCTGGTAAATATACATCTTCTCCTACAGACCTTGGGAAATAGGCATGTATCAAATGAATTTTGTATATTCTCCAGTCATTCTGCATAATCCTCAATAGGCTGGTAAATGTGCACAACAGTCAATTGTTATGCACATTAACCACTCAGTGGGTTGGTGCTGTTTTGGCTTCTGAAGGAACAGCACTCAGAGAACTGAGATTGCCATTAGCATTGACAGTGGTGCTGGTGATAAGCAAGAGGTACCAAGAGGGAAGTCTGAGAGCAGCGCCAGTAAGGCAAAAGGCAGCGCTCTGCTCCTGGCATCCCTCCAGCTGCTGGAGATTGCCACGCCTCTCCGTACAAATGTAACTATTCTTAGAACTAAAGGCGCAATGCTGGGGTGGGGTGCCAAACATCCCCAGCCAGTGTGCATTGGAGGAGAGGACCAATAATATCATAGCCAGGAGCTGCCCCTCCTTCCACAAACATATTGGCATGAAAGGACCTGGAACAGCTGCCCAGCCCAGCTTTCAAATGCTGCTCACCTTGCCATGCTCAGCTGGCAAACATACAGAAGCCCTGAACGAACATTGCCGGCCAGCAATGCAAAACGTTACGGCAAATCGGGTTGCCAAGCGACCAGAAGCCCTCCTTTTCCTCTAACAATTTAATGCTACTTCACAAAATTTATGCACATCTTGATTGTTTACAAAAGAAATGCAACCAAAAAATGCAGAATATGTGAGGAGGGGGAGATGAAACTTAGAGATCTACACTAGCATCTGCTAATATTATATCTTGTTACTGTTAAAGTTACAGGAGCCAGTAATAAGGTGACTGTCCTGCCTGGTCCCAGTTTTGCCCATATTGCACAATAATATAGATGAAAGGAAATAAGATTCATTTTAGCCGCCAAAACCTTTGCTCCCTTGTTTCAGCATCACCTGACTCCTGATGTCTATATATATCGCTGCCAATCTCTCGTAACAGCACATGTTAAAAAGGTGTGGTAGATTTATTTTCCTCTCAAGCTTGATTCGCTGTCATGATTTTTTACCTCTGCCCTTTTCACTTTGTTTTCAAACTAAGCCATCTTTCTGTCAGTTGCAGAACTTTCGCTCATATAAATTAGTCTTCTACCACATTTGTATAAGCAGGAAAAAAGATAATAGAAGATAAAGGATTCATTCTAGCAGATTCTCTAGTAATAATAGTTCTGTTAATATTTTCAGTTTGAGATATAAATGAATGAAGATGAGATGGAACGTTCTTGGGAGTGAGGAAAATTTAAAGCAGTTCATGATCAGGCAATTCCAAAGACAATGGGGAGGGGGGTGTCAACCCCAAGACCTAAGAGTTAAGGATTTTGTTTTGGAAATTAAAGGAAATCTATTGTTTGGAACACGCTGGGGAAGCTAATATTCCCAGATCAGGCTTTTGATGACATTAATAGTTCCTTGTTAAAGAATGTGGAACTTAGTTCCTTTCTTTGTTATCTGTGACACATAAGCCCATCGGAAATCTCTAGAAGTCTAGAGAAAATAATATACTGACTTAGCTTCCTCCGCCAGAACTTCTTTGGCTTTGGGGGCAGGAAAACTCTTTCTTCTCTTTCTCATCGGGACAACTCAGAAATAATCTATTGGGTAAGACTCTTTAGGGAACAGCAAAATGCATCAAACAGCCTTAAAGTAAGACTTTTGAAATTTGCTTTTTTGCAGTCCCTGTGTTGACTATGTTCCCTCCTTTCACACCGTGTCTTGTAATTATGTAAATATTGCTTGATTTTTCTGAAATAAACTAGCTACTTCTACGATCTTCTCTCAGATCTGTTTGATTTGAGAGTATATGCTGTCAGAGTGCACAATGAGGCTCAGGCAGGTGTTTCATGGGAGTTTTTACTTTTCCTAGTTAGCTGATAAAAACATAAGAAGAAATAGTGGAAGGGGGTCCATTAGGGGAAATGGGGTACTGCCTCACCAAACTCTGCCCTTAACCAGCCTCTGCCTGCCTGCCTTCTTACATACACCCAGTATATTCCTCTGTATCAGTTTCCTTCTCCTTACTCTCAGTGTTACCATGATATAACTCAATAGGGTCAAAACTAGAATCAGCCAGCTCTGACTGTCATTGACTCCAACTACAATTGAGTTCTAAGTCTTCTGCTCTATCAGTCTCTATGGGCACCAGCAACTACTGAAACGAATCGACCATCTAGCCAGGCATCCTGTTCTCATGGTGGCCAACTAAATGGCTGTGGGAAGCCCAGAAGCCCAACCTGAGCACAACAGTACTCTCCCCAGTTATGATCCCCAGCAGTTGGTATTCAGAGGCATAATGCCTCTGACAATATATGTAGAGCATTGCCTTTGATGGCTTTATTCTCCGTGAATCTGCCCACTCTACATTACGGTGATCACCATCACTACTTCTTTGGGCACCGAATTCCAAAACTGAACTATGTGCTGTGTGAAGAAGTACTTTCTACTGTGGTACCTCAGGTTACATACGCTTCGGGTTACATATGCTTCAGGTTACAGACGCCACTAACCCAGAAATAGTGCTTCAGGTTAAGAACTTTGCTTCAAAATGAGAACAGAAATTGTGCTCCGGCGGCACGGCAGCAGCAGGAGGCCCCATTAGCTAAAGTGGTGCTTCAGGTTAAGAATATTTTCAGGCTAAGAACGGACCTCCGGAACGAATTACCGTATTTTTTGCACCATAACACTCACTTTTTTCCTCCGAGAAAGTAAGGGGAAATGTCTGTGCGTGTTATGGAGCGAATGCCTGCGGGTGGCGGGGGGGATCTGCTGCAGTCGTGAGCAGAGGATCTATGGTTCCCCTTCCTTCCCTCCTCCGTGGTTACAAAGCATGGATCCACATGGATCCTCAGGATTTTTGCATTGGGGTACTCCAAACTCACTGTCAGATCACATGTCTGTGGCCACAGCATGAACCACAAAAATCATATATCCACTATTTCGTTTAGAAATTTTTTTTCCTGTTTTCCTCCTCTAAAAACTACGTGCGTGTTATGGTCTGGTGCGTGTTATAGAGCGAAAAATACGGTAAGTACTTAACCCGAGGTACCACTGTATTGTCCGTCCTGAATCTTTCAACATTCAACTTTGTCGGATGCCCATGAGAGAGGGAGAAAAATACATCTTTACCAACTTTCTCTACACCATGCGTAATAACTTGGTGTTACCTAAATACTGGGGGCGGGGGATGATGCTCTCCTAAGCAGGGCAGAAACTATAAAAAGCAGGGCTTTAATTGACCATTCAAGCAGGTAGAGCTTTAAAGCACAATGTCTGCTGAGAAGTAAGCTCCACTGAATTAAAGTGTACTTACTCCCGGATAGGTGTGTATAGGACTGCAGCATCAGTTGATTTAAAAGTGCTGCATATTAAGAGCACTGGATAGAAATGTACTGATAGTGACAAGTCCCTTTTTGCATACTCACATTCCAGAATTACTGCTAGGAGCAGATATCCTGTGATTGTCTAGATAATCTTGAATTCCCTCAGTCCCTAACCCCTACCTCCAAGTGAAACAAAGCCTGTGTATTTCTTCATGCACACATGCACACAAAATTACTGTCAGCTCACCACTTTCACATCTCTGCCACTGTCTGCTTTTAGGCTGTAATACTTTTTCAGGAGCCATCAGGTCCATCTTGGTAATGTCATTCTAGCGCTGCCATACGTCTGGAATATCCCGGACATAGCTGGGATTCAGCTGTCATTTGCTGGTTAAAATGTCTGGGGAAACCCGGACGTATGGCAACCCATGACAAAGTATCATTTTTTGGCTTTTTTTTTTTTTAAGAACATCTCAAAAATGTCATTTTCTTTTTTTAGTGTTTGCAAAAAAGATCACCAGCTGTGGCCCAAAGAAGAAAAAGCACTACCCCTTTCCCCTCCCCAAACAAACAAACAAATAGCTCATCAACTTTGGCAAAAGGGGAGGGGAAAGCTGGACAACTTATGTGCCTGGATTTTCACCTTTTTAAAAAAAATATATATGGCAACCCTATTTGTGCCATGTCAACAAGTGCCATGTCAACAACTCATCATTGAGTTGGCCTAGTTTCATTTTTGTTTTGCTTACTGTTTCATTGTCAGTAAAATGAAATACGTATTTTAAAAGCGAGTGAGCATGGACTGCAAATTTGTTTTCGTTTTTGCACCTCTCTTTATGCAGATGTGTGCACTGGAGAGAAGAGAAATGTTTTGGCTGTAAAGGCAAACCGGGAGCGCAGGAAGGTGCCTGTTGGTTAATCTAACTCATGGGTGTCTGAGTGGACGACAGCAGCTCTTCAGAGTTCCAGACACGGATCTCTCCCAGCCGCACCTGGAGATGCCAAGGATTTAACCTGAGACCTTCTGCATACACAGCAGTTGTTGTATCAGGGAGCTAAAGCCTTGCCCATTCATTCATTTAATGGTGTCACAGGCAAAGCAGCCTCACAGCATTGGTCTGAAGGTGGCACCAGTTTCTTCTTTTTCCTAACTTCAGATCTCAACATTTCCGCATCAGTCTATCATTAAAAAACATACCTATTCCTGTAAGCACTTTCCCCTGATATGCTACGTGTTGTACAATAGTCTCACCAGATATGCATCTTCATGTACATCTCATGGTTGGCAAACTGCATTGCAAAACCCAGAGGGGGACATATTCCAAAGGGAAGTTGGAACTTAGCTCACATGTTGTTTCAGGAAGTGCCAGTTAAATAGGCTCATATTAAAATAAAAATCACTCTGAATTTTTCCATGCAATAGGTGGGGTTGGGGGAGAGAGAAATTCAATAGGCAAACCTATTTAATTCACATTTTCTGAGACAATACACAAATGGAAATGCAGCCTTCCTTCAAAATTCACACTTCACAATTTTGCAATGCAGTTCTTCAACCATGTAATGTGTACAAAAATGTATATTGGGAGGGTAAAGTGTCTATTAAAAATGCATATATTAGTGAAATATAATGCAAACAAATGCATTATATTTAACAGAAATTGCATACAAAATGGCACACAAAAATGTGTATATTAGGAGAAAATTGCACTAAAATTCAGATGGATTTTCGCGATGCCTTGTTTATTTTTTAAAAAACCAAACTCACATGGAAATGTGGAGAACTGAATTTATTTAACTGGAAAAATGGAAAACAGAGAGAAACCAAAACTGATAAAGACTTGCCCATCCCTCACAATCTGCCAACAGCACCAGGCCCCCTCCCAAACCCCACTCCACAGATCCAACCCAGGTACCGTTTTCAAGAGCTGACAAACTAACTAAATAGGAAAAGTGCTTTCTTGTTTGTATGGAAACAGAAGCTGGCTCACCATTTCTCAGGTGAGGCTCAGCGCAGCAGCCCCAGGCAATGCAGGTTTTAAGTTTCTTTCCTGGTGAAGAGGGTTGGGGTTTTTTTAAAGCAACACAGTAGAATATTTCATCAACGCTACTAAAATGTACCTCGATGGCTATTGCACTGTCTGCTCCCAAGTGGTCCTGAGTTTCTTGACCTGGGAGCACATGGCTTAATAGTTGCACAGTTGTGGGTACATTAGCTGGAAGAGGAAGGGCAGGCCCTACAGAGGCCAGACTTGTTGCCTCACCCAGCTGCCCGCAGCCTGCTGCCCTGAGGCAACTGCCTCATCTCACCTTATTAGGGGGTCAGCATTCTGTGGCCACTGTGAATGCTCAGTCTTCAGTAGACTGTCTGGAACGTTCTCTCTCTACTTTAGAAGTACAAAAAAAAAACAACATTTATAGAGGGAGCCCTCTACAATGTATGGGGCTACTCCAAGCCTACTGCTGCCTCTCAGGGGCAGATGGGGCTCGTAAAACTGGGAAGGTAGTCCGTCTAGGAGAAGGAATACTCTGGACCTAAAATTCTGCTGCCTTGCAATTATACTCATTGATGAGAAAGAAGAAGAAGAAGAGTTTGGATTTGATATCCCACTTTATCACTACCCGAAGGAGTCTCAAAGCGGCTAACCTTCTCCTTTCCCTTCCTCCCCCACAACAAACACTCTGTGAGGTGAGTGAGGCTGAGAGACTTCAGAGAAGTGTGACTAGCCCAAGGTCACCCAGCAGCTGCATGTGGAGGAGCGGAGACGCGAACCCGGTTCCCCAGATTACGAGACTACCGCTCTTAACCACTACACCACACTGGCTCTTGGAAAGGCTTTGGGAGTAAACCCCAAGGAAAAATCTGAACATGGAGAAGAAAAGACTAAGGAGTAAACCCTACACGAATCCAAAGTGGTTGGATGGCGCCTTGTACGCCTCCTTCCAACAACTCCTGCAGCCAAGCTGGTGCCGAATGTGTTGCTCTGCTTTCCTTTAGACCCCATCAGCGAGTCTTGTCATCTGGGCAGCCTAAGACCTCCATGCACACTGCCAGGCTTGCACCCCAATGCGGTCACTTGAGTGCTGCTAACGCAGCAAAAACAACAAAGGAGGCAGTAGTTACTAATCACTGGACTCTGCAGCCACAGCAGGCGCTGTGATTCTCCAGCAGTTTGACTTTACCCCTGGAGGCGCACTCCATTGTCTTTCCAGACAGACGGGTGCCGACGACTGCTACCTCCCTCTCATGTGTGAATCATCAGCAATGGGAGCAACTACTGAACATCTGAAACATGCGTGTAGAAGGGGAGTGGCATCAAGACGGGAGCTCCTCCTCTTCACATTACACGTGTTCCTTATAATAGCATAGAAGCTGCCTTTTGCTGAATTAGACCACTGATCTAGTTCAGTATTGTCTACATACCAGTGTTTCCCAAACTTGGGTCTCCAGCTGCTTTTGGACTAGAACTCCCATCATCCCTGGCCACTGGTCCTGCTAGCTAGGGATGATGGGAGTTGTAGTCCGAAAACAGCTGGAGATCCAAATTTGGGAAGCACTTGCCTATAATGACTGAGTGGAAGCAACTATTCAGTGTTTCAGGCAGGGGACTTTGCAGACCTAGGTGGAGATACTGGGGGTTGAACCAAGCACCTTCTGCATGCAAAACAGATGCTCTGCCACTGAACTATGGCCCTTACCCCTCGGGGTAGCCAACATGAACCCATCCCTCTATAGTAAAGGGACCCCTGACCATTAGGTCCAGTCGTGACCGACTCTGGGGTTGCAGCACTCATCTCGCTTTATTGGCCGAGGGAGCTGGCGTACAGCTTCCAGGTCATGTGGCCAGCATGACTAAGCCGCTTCTGGCGAACCAGAACAGCGCAAGGAAACGCCGTTTACCTTCCCGCCGGAGCGGTACCTATTTATCTACTTGCACTTTGACGTGCTTTCAAACTGCTAGGTTGGCAGGAGCAGGGACCGAGCAACAGGAGCTCACCCCGTCGCGGGAATTCGAACCACCCACCTTCTGATCGGCAAGTCCTAGGCTCTATGGTTTAACCCACAGCGCCACCCGTGTCCCATCATGGGAGTTGAGCCCACCACCAATAAACAGAAGCCACCGTGTTGTCTACCTCTTGCATCCTAACATTTGTAGAGATGCCCTTGGAACACGTACAATTGCGCACACAGAGCAGATGTGATTTAGAGGCATGTTAAGGATGCAGTTCATAATTAACTGAGGGTTCGATCCTTTTTAGAAGTTAAATCTGGGCAGCAGGGATGGGGAGAGAAGCTGATTCCCTTCCCACCCCCCAGAGAGGAAACGTTGCTGAATACATTCAAGCAGCAGCTATTTTTAAACCACATGCAAATCCATTGCGGAGGAATCTGCAATGGTCAATTTATCAACACATTACCCGAGAAGCCAGCGCAAGGCAGAGCAAATGCGGAGTTAATGAATACTGCAGGCAGAAAGGCACCCCCAGCCGTGCGCAGCAGCTGGGAGAGAAGGGGGCAACTCAGGGAAATCCTTGGTGTGGAAATAGGGAAATAACAAAGAACGTTCCTTTTCCTTTCTTTCTTTTGTGAGGTGCTGAAGGGTAAGGCAATGTCAATGGTTCCAAGACAATGTTGCTTTTGTTGTTGGAGTTAGTCTGACGGTCTCAAGAGACAATGGAGTATACCTCCAGGGGTGAAGTCAAACCACAAAGGTGCCCTTCCCAGGACGGAAGCCTGGGCAGTGTGTGTGGAGCTCCTGGGCTGCCCAGATGACAAGACTCGCTGATGGGGTCTAAAGGAAAGCAGAGCAATACATTTGGCACCAGCTTGGCTGCAGGAGTTGCCGGAAGGAGGCATATAAGGCGCCATCCAACTGCCTTAGGGACTTCACTCAGGATTTGTGATGGGATTACTCCTTAAAGCCTTTTCTTGTCTCAAAGATGTTCTGCAAGGCAGGTTTAGGATCATAGTTTTCCTTCTCCTAGATAGACTACCTTCCCAGGCTCACAAGCCCCATCGGCCCCTTCCAAGACAGTACATAATTAAGATCAGCCTTTGCCAACCAGGTGCCCTCCAGATGTTTTGGACCACAACTCCCATCAGCCCCAGTATGAAACATCTGGAGGGCACCAGGTTGGTGGAAGCTAGGTAAGAGCATCCAGATCCCCCTGCCCTGATTCACTGGGCTTCTGTGTGCAGGAAAAGAGTCTTCAGAAGAACATCCAGTGTGGTGTAGTGGTTAAGAGTGGTAGTCTCATAATCTGGGGAACCGGGTTCGCGTCTCCGCTCCTCCACATGCAGCTGCTGGGTGACCTTGGGCTAGTCACACTTCTTTGAAGTCTCAACCCCACTCACCTCACAGAGTGCTTGTTGTGGGGGAGGAAGGGAAAGGAGAATGTTAGCCACTTTGAGACTCCTTCGGGTAGTGATAAAGCAGGATATCAAATCCAAACTCCTCTTCTTCATCATCCTGATCACACCATACATCTTGTTTTAGAAGATGATAGAAGAGGAGAACCCAGGGCTGCTGTTCTTCTAGATCAGGGTTTCCCAAACTTAGATCTCCAGCTTTTTTTGGACTACAACTCCCATCAACCCTGGCTAGCAGGACCAGTGGTCAGGGATCATGAATTATGAGCACCATGTCCTTTTGCACCTTTAAGAGTGACAGTCTTATTACAACAGAAGCCTTCATGGTTGCAGATGCTCTACCTGAAGGTTGCCTGTAGTGCCTTTCCCAACCTGGTGCTCTCCAGAAGTTGCTAGACTACAGCTCCCATCATCCGTTACCACTGGCCATGCTCCTTGGGGCTGATGGGTTCTGCAGGCCAACCTATCTGGAGGGGAGCAGGCTGGCGAAGCCTGGCCTAGGGAACAATAACTTCTTTTTAGCATTTTATGGTTCCGAGGCCTCTTTCATGTTACGGACGCTCCATGTTATGGTATGAATTTGTATCCAGTTCTAGAGCTTTCCTGTGACCGTAGCACCTCTTCTTGTGCAACACTGTGCTTTGACTCAACACACAAACTGGACTGGGCTGCTTTCCCCCAGCTACGTGCTACATTTGGAAACTTCTGAGTGACGTGGTATGACAAGAATGACTGGTGTCAAATGCAGGGACAACTCTCTGGGTTAAAGGGAAACAAGCATAATATCTGCTGCAGGGCATGTTGCCAGATCATGGGCAGGTTGTTTCATTTGCTAGCAATGAATACGTTAGACCAGTGGCGTAGGAAGGGGGGGTGCAGGGGTACAGGCTGCCCTGGGTGTCATCACTGAGGGGGGTGACAACATGGCAAAAATATCTGTGTGGTGTTTTTTTTAAAAAAAGGGCTCACAACACTTTTGTGGGGGGGAAATAACTCCCACACCCACTGCACCCCCCCTTCCTACGCCACTGGTAGCTAGGTGAGGCGGGGGGCACTGTGTGTCACACTGTGTGACCTGCAGCGTGCCTGAGTCATGCGTCTCTCCTGAGGGGGAGGCTGTCTGCAAGCTCCACGCTGCTTTTTCTTTTCTTTTTTTCTTTCTTTTTGGAATATTTATTGAATTTTAGAACAATTAATGATACAAATCTCATTCATCGTTTTATTTACAATTATTCTACCTCCCCTCCTCTGGACTTCCCTCAACTCCCCCTCTGCTGAGTTATTTAGTTTTATTTATCGTATCCTACTTTTCCTACACAAAAATAAAACCCCTTATCATTTCTGTAAATATCTGTTACTCAAATGAAGGTGTGATAGCTTATTCAAATCCCGCCAGTGAATCCAGTCCATTCTGTTGTTTCTGCAAATAAACTGTAAATGGTTCCCAGACTCTTTTGAAGTCCTTTTTGTCCTCTCGTGGTTTGTCTGTTAACTTAGCCAATTCTGCATAGTTCATCAGCTTTTCTTGCCATTGTTCCTTTGATGGAATTTCTTCCATCTTCCAATATTGTGCAATCAAGATTCTTGTCGTTGTTGTAGCATACATAAATAATGTCCATTTTTCTTTTGGTAGCTCTTGATTTGAGATTCCTAACAAAAAGGCTTCAGGGTGTTTGACAAAATTCATTTAAAACATTTTTTTTTCAATTCATTGTATATCATTTCCCATTTTTTTTAATGCATTTGCATTCCCACCACATATGACAAAATGTTCTTTCCTTTTCCTTACATCTCCACCGCGCTGCTTTTTCAAGCAGTGTGGGGCTTGCGTCTGCTCACCACCTCAGCCGCCCTACAGCTGAGGGGGAGGAGGCGGAGAGGCTCCATGTAGCGTGCCCTGCCTTGGCTCGCCCCACCCCCATGGGCAGCTTGCCCCACCCCCAGCTGCAGGACGCGCACGCAGCACCAGGCACCCAAGCGGCTAGCTACGTCACTGCTTCAGACAGGCATACAAAGTCCTCTTAGAAATGGGCATAGGTTGCTTGACACTGACACATTCTTCCCCGGCATGCAGCCAAATCTCCTGATTCAATGGGTGTCTGGGATGTCACAAAGTATGACTGTTCAACAGTGGAATGGACTTCCTTGGAAGGTGGTGGACTCCACTGGAGGTTTTTAAGCAGAGTTTGATGGCCATCTCACATGGATGCTTTCGTTGAGATTCCTGCATTACAGTGGACTAGAATTTTACGATTCTATGGCAAGTGCAGTGAGGAGGGTAGAATCGGGACAGAATGACATATGGCAAGGTGAATAGGGGCTTCCCAAGACATTTCTGGGCAATGCTAAATAAGTTTGGGGGATTTGCGAGAGAAAATTCAGTGAGTGGAAGGTTCTTCTTAAACAAGGGTCGCCTTCATTGATGGAGGTCTCTGGAACAGGAGGAGTAGGGAACCTTTGGTCCTCCAGATGTTTATCAAATCATAGAACTGTACAGTTGGAAGGGATCCCAAGGGTCATTCCTGACAGATGGCCATTCAACCTCTGCATAAAAACATCCAATGGTGGAGAGTTCACACCCTCTGAAGGGAGAATTTTCCACTGTCAAACAGCTGTTACTGTCAAAAAGTTCTTCCTGATGTTTAGTCTGAATCTCCTTTCTTGTAATTTGAAGCCATGGGTTTGAGTCCTGCCCTCAACAGCAGGAGAGAGAGAAAAGCTTGCTGCATCGTCCATGTGACAGTCCTTGAGATATTTGAAGATGGCTGTCATATCTCTTCTCAGTCTCCTCTTTTGGATTCCAACTTGATCAAGCATGGACAATAGCCAGGGATTATAAGAATTGAATTCCATCAAAATCTGGAGGGCCACCAGTAGCTACTGCAGGCTTAAACTTTTTGTTTTACTCTGCGTCAATTCTCTGGTGCAACTACTCTGTCCCGGAGGCCATTTTGTCCCCTGTTTTTATGCCAAGTAAGCTATGAGGCCAGAAAAAGGTGCTTCCTCACTAGGCTTGAACATCTCCCCTCTCCTATAACTTCACACGTGGCCGCATTAAGATGTTCAACCAGAGCCTCATTTAGAGATTTAAGAATTTAAGAAGAGCTGTGCTGGATCAGACCAAAAGCCTATATAAATGAGCATCCTGATTCCTACTGTTTCCAGTCAGATGATCATGGAAGCCCACAACAGCCCTCTTCTATATGGGTTTCCCAGCAACCTGTATTCAGAGCCATGCTGTCTCTGCCAGTGAAGTAAACAAAGCTTCCTCACGACTAGTAGCCACAGATAGTCTTATCCTCCACGAATTTGTCTAGTCCCATTTTAAAACCTTCCCAGCTGGTAGCCACCACCACACCTTGTGGTGGCAAATCACATTATATGCTTTTCTGCTGTGTGAAGAGCGACTTCCTTTTCTCTGTCATGAATTTCCCACCATTCGGCTTTATTTAATGGCCCCAGGTTCTAACAATATGGAAAAGGGAGAAAAAATTTCCTCCACCTGCTTTTCCACAGACTCAGCTACATTGGCAAAGAAAAAGCACTTTATATGTGTTGTTTATGCATAGTAACACTGTGCCAACAGATGGCGCTGTGGAGTTCCGTTTTTGCTAACCTGATTTCTCATACAAAGTTTACAAGGCATTTAACTGAAACGCTTCTTTGATGTGTCCAGATTCAGCCCGTGTATAATCGCACACACCTCTTATCACATTCTGTCTCAGTCTCCTTTTCCCTAAACTTAAAGGTAAAGGGACCCCTGACCATTAGATCCAGTCGTGGCCGACTCTGGGGTTGCGGCGCTCACCTCACTTTATTGGCCGAGGGAGCCAGCGTACAGCTTCCGGGTCATGTGGCCAGCATGACTAAGCCGCTTCTGGCGAACCAGAGCAGCGCACGGAAACGCCGTTTACCTTCCCGCCGGAGTGGTACCTATTTATCTACTTACACTTTGACATGCTTTCGAATTGCTAGGTTGGCAGGAGCAGGGACCGAGCAGCGGGAGCTCACCCCGTCGCGGGGATTCGAACCGCCGACCTTCTGATCGGCAAGTCCTAGGCTCTGTGGTTTAACCCACAGCGCCACCTCCATCCCTTCCCTAAACTTAAAAATTCCAAATGCAGTAGCTTTCCCTCATAAGGGAGTTGCTCCAACCCAACCCACCCCTGATCATTTTTGGTTGCCATTTCCCAGCTCTGCAATATCCTTTCTGAGGTGAGGAGACCACAACTGTACAACATACCGTTCCAAGTGTGGTCACACGCCATAGATTTGTATAAAGGCTTTGAAATATTGGGAGTTAGATTTTTGCCACCTTTCCTTCATGGACCCTCCCGTGGAATTTGCCTTCTTCGCAGCTGCTTCACACTGGGCACTGACCTTTTCATTCAGCTGCACACCACAACCCCAATATCCCCTCCTGGGTTAGCTGGCAGGGGACAGAGACAGAGGTCCCTGAGGGACGGAGGGAGGGAGGGCTTCGCAGTTACGCAAACCCCCCAACCCTTTCAACTGCTTTCTAATATTTTTCTTCTTCTTTTTACATGCTGCAGGCAGGCGGCTGGAGTCTCTGTTCCCTGGCAGGCAGCCTGGTTTAACAGGTTTCTCGCAACCACTGCACAACGCAGAGCAACCGGGCCATTAATCCTCCTTTCCCCTCCCCTCCAGCTCTGGAGCCACTGGGCTCTCCTCTCTCCCTCGCCACCACCCTCTGCTTAATCTCCCCTCCCTATCAGATTCTCTGCTATTGTGTCAACTGGGTGGGAAGTTGATTTTAAGCTGCAAAATTTCTGCACCCATTCCCTAATCTTTCCTTGGGTGGGCAACACCTGCGCCAGCTTTAGTTCTTGCTATCTCCACAATAGGGCTCCGCTGTATTTTATCAGTTTGCTTAACAGAGAGAAACAGAACTGGGTGTGCTGGGACCTTTGGGCTGTTGCAACAGGTACACAGATTGGTCATCTTTTTGCTCTTACCCTCCAGAAAGTCCCTCTCTCTCTCTCTCTCTCTTTCTCTGGGATGGGTGTTGCTATGCATTTCGTACATTCCAGAGACAGCTTTGTTCTCATAACCTTTCCAGGTTCATTAGCTAGTGTCCTATAGATGATGTTGGACTACAACTCCCATCATCCCTGGACATATAGGCCATGCTGGCTAGGACTGATGGGAGTTGTAGTCCAGCAACACCTGGAAGGTCCCAGGTTATAGGAAGATGTAATAGAGACATGGGGGGACACCCCCATGATCTAAGGCAGACATAAAACTCTTCACCCGTTTGGCACAGATCTTTCCTCCCTCCAGCCAATCTCCCTTTCTCAGAAAAGGCAGACCCGTTTTGAGTTTGTTTTTAGCTCTACATTCCTTTCTCTGTGTATTGTGTGGGGCTCTCAAGCCATAAAAACCATTTAAGAGGCCATTAAAACAGATTTACAGGATTGCCAGGATGATAACTCGATTTGTTTTGCCCTCCAGAAATGCATCGTAACCTCTTGGTCCCTTTCCCATCTTCCTACATGTAACAACAGTAAAGTGGAGCAGTCAAATGCACAGTCCTCAGAGGGTGAAATCCTGGTCCTTCTAAGTAAAAGACAGTGGAGCTACATCAAATGCTGGTTTGGCCTTACCCACTCGGCTGGTTGCTGGCAATGTGCATTAGGCTTTCCACATACCTCCACAAATCACCTATCAGTCTAGTCTTCACCTGCCCCACACCTCCAGACCCTCTAAGTGTCCCTATTTTCCAGGGACAATCCTGGATTTACAGAAGCCATCCTGGTTTCTGATTTGATATCAGAATGTCCCGCTTTTCCTTAATGTCTCTATTTTCAATGGAGAAATGTTGGAAGGTATGGAGTTATCCGACCCCCGAACCAAGGAGATAAGTACGGTAACTATACAACCTTTAGAAGACATCTGAAGGAAGCCCTGTAGAGGGAAGGTTTTATAAAATGTTAAATGTTTTATTATGTTTTCATATATGTTGGAAGCTGCCCAGAGTGGCTGGGGCATTCCAGTCAGATGGGCAGGGTATAAATAGAATTGTTGTTGTTGAAACCGTACTAATTGGATCTATTCCAGGATCAAATCAGAAACCAGGATGCCTTCTGTAAATCCGGGACTGTCCCTGGAAAATAGGGACAGTTGGAGGCATGGGCGTAGATGGGGGGGCAGGGAGGGACAGCTGCCCCCCATAATCAATAGAAATCAATAAAAATACATAGCTAACTGAGGTTCTGCCCCCTCTCCCTATAAAAGGCCTGGCTACACCCATGCTTGGAGGGTCTGTATGCATAGATGCAAACTTCAAAATAATTGCTGTCATTTAAATAGAAACACAATACATTGTACCACAGTGGGGAAAACTGTGACCAGATAATGTGTTTGCTATCTAGGTGGCCTTCCTTCCTTAGGTGTTTCTGTTGTTAAACCAGATTAGGGCTGGGTAATCCTTCAAAATAGAGGACTGCCCTCCAGTCGCCCTACAAATGGAGGACTCTGCAAAGGAGTGCACACGTCCATTTGACAGCAAGATCACACCCCAAAGTAGCGTAGAAATGCCCTACTTTACTCTTACAGTGCAAAGCTAGGGTTAGGGTTGCTGTATTTTAAAAAAAGAAAAAACAAACACAGAAGTCACTTAGACAATTGTGCAAAAACAGAGAGAGGTGCTCACCCAAGATGGCAGCTTCCAATCAGAAAACACACAAAAACCCAATTTCTGCATGCTGTCCAGATGTTAAAGGTCCAGGTGCTGTCCGCAGAGGTGACAACATTAAGGAGATATTCCACTAGCCCATCCCAACCCCTAGCAACCCAAGAGAAAAGCACTGGCAAAGGTGCTGGAATTTCCCCAAAGTTTAACCTGTTGTAGCAGTAGCCAAGTGGACCCGGATCTGCTGGTGGGGGACTCCTCCAATGAAAGGAATGGCTAAACACTGTGCTGACTTGGTGGTTAGAGCCAAACTAGATGTGACATAGGACTTCTGCAGAGAGAGCTCCCAAAGTCTGATCTTCCAGCCCCTTGATGTCTTAGTCCAAAGATATCCATCTATTCAACTCACTCTCACCAGCTGTTGACAGCAGGTTCAATGGAGGAATCCCTTTCCTTTCTTTTCATTTCACTTTTTATGGCCATACAAACTTTAAATAATAATAGAAATATCAAGGATAGCAAATAATACCACACATCCTGCTATATAAGCCATTCAATATTCCTAAGATATATTAATGCAAAACCTTTGACGTCGTAGTTCACCTTCTCTCTAAAAAAATGTGTATGTTTAACTAGGGTCGGCCACCCTTGCTCCCTCTGCTCACCAACCCCACATACCCATTTGGCAATCGCCCCTTCCCCCAAACTCCCCCCCCCCAACTATTACACCCTTCACCCACCCCTTAACAGGTTGCCCCAAGCATTTCTGCCTCCCCTCCTGCAACAAGCCAAGCCTGTGTCAAGGTTTAACAGAGCTTGCTAAACTGCTGGGTGAAGCACCTACCCTCCTCCATTAAACCTCTCTGTGGTCACATTTAACAGAGCCCTCCGACAGGGGTAGCAACTTGAATAAAATATTTGTGGGGGGGGCAGGTAAGGCTCACCACCATAATCGATCACAAGACATGGTGCACACACACTATTTGAAAGGCAATGCCTATCCACTATGGGGTGTGTGGTCCCCTCAAATATTTTATTGGCGAGGAGGACAGAAAGGACCTAGGCCCCTAGGAGTTGGCTCTTACACCCTACGTTTCTCAAAGAAATACAAATCTAGTTCCTTAAACCAATATACAAATTACTGGTACCTCTGAAATCGTAGCATAAACAATATCAAACAATATACAGTATTGCTTGTAAAAGAAAACGTAGATACATATGCAAATCCATTTCCTTTTAGTAGCAAGCAATCTGTTATGCCTAGTTTCTTTATATACATATGTAAGATGGTTGGATTCCATTCATTCATTTCCTCTCTTATCATTTTACATGGGGGAGGGGGGTTGTTTTAAGGGCCAAAGCAGACGTGACAATAATCACACAACTAGCATTCCTGTGTGGTTATTTGTCATATCTAAAATGGCCTTAAATTGGGCAGCGGTGGGGGATCAGAATGAGGGCAAATTGTTAGACCTCCACACATATACCTTGGCCCAACCCCAAACCGTACATGGACCTTTTATAGCTGAAAAGGTGCTAAATAATGAATAAACAATCATGTATTGTTTAAACCACATCCGGTGGCTGCAACAGAGGTAGGCACATAGAACTGTGTACAGACTTTACCTTTAAAGCACATTTCCCTGCTCAAAGAATTCTGGACGCTGTAGTGTGTTAAGGGTCACTAGGAATTGCAGCTCAGAGTGTGTGTGTGGTCAACCACAGTACCCTGAATGCTTGAAGGGAAAGAAAGTGCTTTGAATGTGTTTTAAAGGTATAGAGTATTAGCAGCCTTGATAAGAGGCACAAATGTTTAGGCAAAATAACAGGCAGATGTAATGAGCTCTTCAAGCAGTCCTGGGGCTCCCATTCAGCTGAGCTCCTGGACCTCAGACATGTAACACAACAGATCAAAAATCAATAGCTGCGACCTTTCCACTTTGGTGCCAAAATTTCCGCCTGTTTCACACTGCTCAAGGCCCAAGTAGAACCCAACTGTTCAGCTGTAATAGGTAATGTGTTGGAATCTCAGGTTTAAAGTCTCCCTCAGCCAGGAAGCTCACTGGCTGACCAATCACACACGCTCCTCCTAACCTACCTCACAGGGTTGTTGTGATGATGAATGAAAGAGAGAACATCTTGAAAGGAGGGCTAGATAGTAAAGGAGGGCAATAAACACTTTCCTGGCATGGAAAGTTATGGAAGGGAGCATTGTTCCCTAAGGCTGCAATAGCCATGTTCTTCATTGAACTCAATGAGGCCAATATTAGAGGATTTAACTGTAAATTAAGCCAGTTACTGTAAGAGCTGAATGAGTTGCCATTCCTGCTTAACCCCTCACCATCACTTAAGTCTCTTCCAGACTTGAGCATTCATTAATTCTCGTTTGCTTGCACAAAATTTGCAGGTAGGCGATAAAACATCCATTGTTATTGAGCGTTTGTTCCAATTAGTTTGTGGGGAGGTTATATGACATCACCTCAGCAATCCCCACTTTCCGATGCATTTTCATACCCTCCAACATTTCTCCGATGAAGATAGGGACGTCCCATTCCATAATGATAATTTTACTATTTATACCCCACACATCTTATTGGGTTGCCCCAGCACTCTGGGAAGCTTCCAACATATATAAAAACATACTAAAATGTTAAACATTTAAAAAAACTTCCCTATACAGGATTGCCTTCAGACGGCTGGAGGGTTGGATAACTCCATAGCCTCCAACACTTCTCTAATGAAAATAGAGACATCCTAAGGAAAAGTGGGAGATTCAGGGATCAAATCTGAAACCAGGACACTGGAATGTCTGCATTTACTATCACTTTCCTAACCACAAAACATGGCTGTTATTGTTGTGCCACAAATCTGTGGTTTTTTTTAACAACAGCACAAATCCCCTTTTATTGTGCATGCTGAATTTGCCAGCGATTAACTGGATCCCACCTGCAAAATAGCGATGGACAGAAGCAGTCTTAATTCTCCGCCATTTTTCCAACTCTACACTGCCCAAACCTTTGCATTTGCACAATGGATTTTTATCAACATGAAAAGTAGAGTAACAGTAACCTGCCAGTTCTCTTCATACCAGAGAGTAACAAACCATGCCTTCCCAGTAAGCTGCATGCTCAGCAGACCTTGAAGATTTGCTCTACTGCATAGGCCACCAGTTCACCTGACTAATTAGCTGCTTGAATGCTACACACACCTGCACGAGGTACACCTGTTTCCACGCATGGATTTGTGCGGCAGAGTATAACCTTGAAGGTCAAATAACTTAGCATGCTCTCAGAATTAAAATATATATGTGCACAGAAACAAGGCAAAACATTTAGAAGCAGAATTTAAACACCTCAAATCCCATCAACATCTGGTTTGGAGGGTAATTTCTTTCCCAGTTCTCCTTTTAAAATATTTGATAACCAGTCTAATTTGCTGTTTCTAAAAAGGGGATCATAGTGAAAAGTAAATGTTCCAGTAAATGAGAGAACAAGGGGGAGAGCTAACCAAACTTGGGGAAAAAATCTAGAAACTTTGCTCAGAAAGTCACTAAGAAGCAGAAGCCACAATCCCAAGACACACAAGGGTGAAATGCCTTGTTTGATACAGCCGGACTTTCCTCCAAGTAAACGTTCCTAGGTTTGCACTGGAATGTCCTAGCTACCAGGTTCCGTTTTTAACAGTGGAAAATTATACTTACAAATTCAGGAATGGCCAGAATATCAGGGAAAGTAGCCAGGACCTTCATGCCGCTGGGTAAACTGGAGCCGGTGGTTGTTGAAGACATATTTCTGGTTCGCTTCCCTTCCAAAACTCACCACGCACACGTCCTCACCCTTCCAAGCCAAATGCTCTTTCCCTGTGCTCTTCTTGAGTAACTGAGTTCTTAACCTTTTCCCTATGTTAATGCTGCCCGCCCTCCAGGTATGGAGCTCAACATAGGTGTGGCCAGCTTAGCAGAAGGACCTGCCTCTTCTTCTGTTTTTGTGCCTGGGGAGGAGTGAAAGGCTGCTCCAAAGGGTGTCATCTTTTGTCACACACTGTTGCAAGCACCTTACGATCATATCCGAAGGGCAGGTGCAGCAAGCGTAATTCAAAACCCACAGTGCTTTCCACTTGGGTTGAACTCTTCTGAGACTACTTTCACACCATATTGCTATTAGTTCATGGGGACACACCCACCCGCCAAACCCAATAAATTAATGAATGGCAGAATCTAGCTAACATTTGGGTATAAGAAGGGGAAATTATGCAAGCTGTCCAACTGTGCTGGACAAGGAATCCCTGAAGTGGCTTATGCATGTTACTGGGGAAAGTGTTGTTTTACAGGAAGCTTGGGTTTGAGGGGAAGAGGTGTGCTGGGGAGAAGAGCAAAGGTCAGTCTTCTAAGAGCTGCTGGGCAGGCCAGAAGTCCATGCGGGGCCTGGAGGTCATCTTGGCTGTGGCTGGAGGAGGCTGCACTACGAGACCGGGAACCATTACTGACCGCTGCTTTGGATGCAAGCTTGCTGAAGCTATGAGCCAGTGTGGTGTAGTGGTTAAGAGTAATAAGACTTGTAATCTGGGGAACTGGGTTCTCATCTCCGCTCCTCCACAGGCAGCTGCTAGGTGACCTTGGGCTAGTCAATGGCGTAGCGTGGGGGGTGCAGGGGGGGCCGGCCACACCGGGCGCAACATCTGGGGGTTAGGGTTAGGGGGCGCAAATCTACGGGTTAGGGGGCGCAAATCCACGGGTTAGGGGGCGCAAATTACTTGCCTTGCCCCGGGTGCTGACAACCCACGCTACGCCACTGGGGCTAGTCACACTTCTTTGAAGTCTCTCAGCCCCACTCACCTCACAGAGTGTTTGTTGTGCAGGAGGAAGGGAAAGGAGAATGTTAGCCGCTTTGAGACACCTTTGGGTAGTGATAAAGCGGGATATCAAATCCAAACTCTCTTCTTCTTCTTCGGGTATAATGTTCAGCACCCTGTCCACTGCAGATTTCCAGGTGTAAATATGTGTTAATAAACCATCTTTCTTAAAGGCACTAGCTTCCTCTGTGGCTCAATCTTCCCAGTGGAAACACAACCCCTGGGTAAGGGCTGCAGCCCCTGGGATCTTGTGCAATCACTCAGTGGAGATTGGGGTGGCGTGTAACACTAGTGTCAACAGTGAGGTTTGTGTTTTCTAGTGCGTAAGTTTGGAGTTTCCTCATGTGCAGAGAAGTCTTTAGCATATGCGCCGCCAGGGTGCAAAGATCTACCCAACGCCCCCAAATCTGACAAGCGCCACCGTTGTGAATGACAAGTGACGCCGCTGGTGTGGTGCGTCTTTGGTAAATGAGCGCACAAAGTCGAAAGTCGTTTAGTGAAACAGTAGGTGTACATTTCGGTAATACCTATATGTATTTTGTTTTTCTAGCTTGATCAAAATTATTTATTATTTCATAACAGGTAGATAGTTAACACTACCATGAGTAGGCAAACTAAGGCCCAGGGGCCGGATCCGGCCCAATCCCCTTCTAAATCTGGGATTCAGTGTGTTTTTACATGAGTATAATTTTTACATGCGTATAATGTGTCCTTTTATTTAAAATGCATCTCTGGGTTATTTGTGGGGCATAGGAATTCATTCATTTTTTCCCTTCAAAATATAGCCCGGCCCCCCCAGAAGGTCTGAGGGACAGTGGACCGGCCCCCTGCAGAAAAAGTTTGCTGACCCCTGGCTTAGGCGGCTTCGGTGCCGGGCACCCCTTAGAATTTGGCGCCTGGGTGTCTTGCATCCCCAGGTAAAGACTCATGGCTCATGTGCCAGAGAGGAAGCAGCTGGAATCCTTCCTGAAATTGTGTTTTGAAGCAGCTGCAGAAGAGGCTGTTTTGGGACTAGGGTTCCTGACCCACAACTAAGGTGGAATAGAGAAGTTCCAGAGAGACTGGATGTGGATTGAGAACCATGTTTTATTTACTCAAGTGGAAGAATTCTGTGGCAACCCCAAGCAGGCTACTACAGCAGAGGAGTGGGTTTCTGCTCTTGGGACTGTAAACTGATTTACAAAGGGACTCTGCTTGCAAGTTCAACAATGATTTTGAAATGCTGGAATGTTTCCTTGCATCCCATTGGTGACTGTTAGAAATTACACTGTTTAAGGGCGTTCTTTTTGAAAAATTATTTTCAATTGTCCACGCTTTCATTTAAAGTCGGCTACATTATTCTTGTTTCCTTCCCATAGTTTTGAACTATTTGAACTCAAATAGAGCTGAGCCATTGCCATAGCTGCACTGCCAATATGCTTGTTCAGCTCAGCATCAATGGAGAGGTTGTTGGCTATGGTGGAACCCGGGTAGAAAAATACCATATTTTTTGCTCTATAAGACTCACTTTTTCCCTCCTAAAAAGTAAGGGGGAAATGTGTGTGCGTCTTATGGAGTGAATGCAGGCTGCGCAGCTATCCCAGAAGCCAGAACAGCAAGAGGGACTGCTGCTTTCACTGCGCAGCGATCCCTCTTGCTGTTCTGGCTTCTGAGATTCAGAATATTTTTTTTCGTTTTCCTCCTCCAAAAACTAGGTGCGTCTTGTGGTCTGGTGTGTCTTATAGAGCGAAAAATACGGTATATATCGGCACAATCCAGTCAAACCCATAGAAATTCCATTGATTGCTATGGAAAATATTAATTCTCCTATTTAAATAAATGAATTTTTTATTTCAATCGATTTTATTAAAGTTTGAAAGTAAATATATTAATATTAAATTTCTGGTATATTTTTTATCAAATATAAAAGAAACTAATCTAAATAAAACCAGTTTGGATCACAATGGGCCTTGCAGTTCAGGTCTCGTGTACTCGGCTACCCATGACTCAGTGCTGCCACAGATTTGCCATTCATTCCAGTTGGTTGACCAATAATCCACCTCTTCCAGCATCTTTTTCATGTATTTCATGAATGTTCTTCAAACAACGAAAAGGTGAAGCGGTTGCTTGAGCAACCACCCCTCCATACCAAATAAAATCATTTGGGGGCCCACTTATTCCTGCATAATAAAGGGAAGGGTCAAGGAAGCATAAGCAATAAACCTCAGATACTGGCGAGTAAGACTGATGGTTATCTGCTTGCAAAGGTTTACTGGCCTCCCTTGTTGGCATGGCAACAGCCTGGGCAAAATGCAAACATGGGCATTCTGATGTCACGCATGATGTCACAAACAGGTTATGCTCAAAAGTCTCAGCAGAGTTAGAAGCAGTTAACAGTCAGTCCATGTCTGAACTCTGGCAAGATGGATCATCAAGTCAGGTGATGACTTTATATTGGGGCTCTATTGAGGGGAAGATTTTCAATATTTAAAGTTTTCTTAAGCCCAGTACTGAATAGAATTATTTGGACCTCCAACAACCTCATCATAGGGTTTGAGAAAGAAACCTTAATAACAATTCGGAGATACTGAACATTTCAAAATGGGGCTTGTATTCTAAAATCGAACACCTGGAAGAGGGAGATGAATTTACTCACAGTAAAAGTTGTGGAGTAACACTGGATCAGAATTTGTTTATAAAGATTCACTGGATCAACTAGTCTATAAACTTCTAGAAGCAGGCTTTCAGGTTACACGCAACTCAAAATCAAGCTTAGGTCATGAGAGCAAAAATCTAAATTAATTTGCTGAATAGCGAGGCATCAGTGATTCTCTAGCCACAACAGGGATTTATAACTGTCCAACTGCTGTTGGCATGGAGATAGCATGGCAGAATAGAAACATGGACGTTCTGTGTGATGTCACAAAAAGAATAAGCTCAGAGGTCTTGACAGAGAGACAGTTAATGGTCAAACCATGTCTGAACTCTCAGGTGATGAATTTATTTGGGGGATATATTGACTTTTACCACAGGGGAACAAGAGCTTGGGAATTAAGACATTTATTAAGCTTCCCAACCCCAGTACTAAATCTTTGCGGAAGTATTCACCTCTGCATAGCAAGGGGCAAAAAAACTTGAAGAACAATTCTGAAGAATGATCTGGAGATATTGAACAGTTCAAAATGATTTCTAAATATTTAAAATGCTGTAAACAGGTGGAAGGAAGTGGGTGCAATTTGGAGCAGAAATTATCAAATAGAATTGGATCAGAATTCATCCATAAAGGATTCATTGGATCGACTAGTTTATAAGCTTTGGGAATCAGGCTTGCAGGGTTACGCGAAAGTCTGATTTAGACTTAGGTTATGGGAGCAAATATAAAATCAAATGTGTTGGGTCGTCAGGCATTGATGGCTCTCTAGCTGCAAGGAATTCCTACTGCCCACTTGCTGTTGGCATGGAGATAGCTGGAACCGAATGCAAACATGACATTCTTCTGTCATGAATGATGTCACAAATAGGATAAGCTTTGGCAGGTGGGAGTGAGTTAACAGACAGACCAAATCTGAACTTTGGCAAGATGGATCTTTATAATAGGTGATGGGTTTATTGGGGGGGAGGGTAGGCAATACTAACTTTTACTGGAGTAGGGAAATTGGAACATTTTGAAGACTGAACCCAGTCAACTCTTAATTCAGCCGCGATTCACGTTATAAACAATTCGCCCAACAGACAGGCAACCTTAGGACACATGACCCTTTAAGCCAATTCTCCACCTTCCTACAATATTTCTGATGTACATTCTAGAATTCAGCCAAAATGTCTTTCTGATAAAAATTTCTAAGATTTTAATTTTTCTCACCCTACCCAGATCAAGAACGAAAAGGCTACTTTGCAGAATATTCTACCATTCCCCTCTCCCCACACAATGCACCAGATAATCAGGACATTGTATGGGATGCAAAATGGGGGCCACTGCTTCTGCTGTTGCTATTTGAGAGGTGGCAGTTACAAATAACAACAACTTAGGGGGGAAGGAAGAAGCTGCCTCACTGCTTTTGGTGAATCCTGTCTGAGGGTTAGAGGGGTAGGGGTAGGGGTAGTGTTGGGGTTGGAGTTGGAGTTAGGGTCAGGGGTAGGGTCAGGGTTTGAGGTAGAGTTAAAGTCGAGTAGGGGTAGGATTTGGGTTGGGGTTAGGGTCAGGGTCAGTATTAGGGTTGGAGGTAGGGTTAGGGTTAGTTATTTTTTATTATTTTATTTTTATTCTAAATTTTATTCTAGGTCACCCTTTAACTTTGTAGATTCCAGGGCAGCACATTACCTTGATATTTTATGAGAAAGCAGTGTGTGCTTGCTTAAATAAATAAACAAATGAATAAATAAATGTCAGGGGTACCACCCCATAAAGGCCCTCTCACTTCACCAACTGTTGGTTACTTAGAGGAAAGCCCCATTAGATCATGCATCTGTCAGGTGCTGACGGATTCATTCCCAAGTGCAAGGAAACAACACCTCTCTTGCAACAGCTTCTAAAATACAGCCGAACCTTGGTTGTCGAATGTAATCCGTTATGGAAGCCCATTCAGCTTCCAAAATGTTCAACAACCAAGGCGCGGCTTCCAATTGGCTGCAAGAGCTTCCTGCACTCAAGCGGAAGCCACGTCGGATGTTCAGCTTCTGAAAAATGTTCGAAAACTGGAACACGTACTTTCAGGTTTTCGGTGTTCGTGAGCTGAAACGTACGATAACGGAGGCATTTGGGAACTGAGGTTTGACTGTACATCATCAGGCACCAATTCATTTTTTCTCAGAGAGTAAGGATCTAATGCTGTTGCCAAGATTACAGCACAGCAGCAAAGCCGACCTCATTGGCCGTTTCTCTTGGGATGTCGTTTAATATAGGGTCATTTTCCTTTAATTTGCAGAGGTTGCCTTGGATGCTTGAGTTGAGATTCCTGAGTTACAGTGGGTTGGGCTAGATGACCCTCAGGGTATAGAGCCCTGCCTGAGACTCTAGGGATGCTGTTGAGTTACCATCAACCCAACTGCTAAGATGCTGGCCAGTGGGCAGCCAACAGGGAATGGTGTTTCTGCCACTGCAGCAGCAGCAGCAGCAAAGGGAGAGGGGAAGCAAGACTGTGTGTTTGTGGCCATGGGGCAGGAGGTATTGCCAGCAATGTACCCAGGGCCCCTGAATAAATCTGACACTTGTTTGTCCAACACTCCACTCCCTGGACTGCAACTGCCACCCAGTTCCCTCTTGGCCCCTTTACGTTTAGTGCCATGGTCTGATTCGACACAGCTGACTCCTGGTGTGGTCAGAAAGCTCAACCCACTTGTATTTGGCTAATGCAACTCTTTGAGATAAGCATGTAGTACTAGGGTGGCTTCCCTCCTGGACTTTTGATCCCTTTCTCTTTGCACAGTGCTCCATGCTCTGCTTCGCTAGGAGGAAACTGACTTACCGTATATACTTGGTCAGTCCGTTGGTTCATCTAGGTCACCATTGTCTCCAGTATGGAGAAGCCAAGGAAAGACTTCCAGATGACCTTGGACCACAACTTCTACCCTTCCTGACTTTGGGCCATGCAGCTGTGTTTAGACTTTCACTGTTGTTTCATATTTTCTTACGTTTCCTTCTTATAGGTTTGTCATGGCTACAAGAGGTATTCTGCAAGGGCTCTTTTCAAAATCAGCATGCAGCCGGTCCCCTTTCCTTCCACACACTCTTTCTCGCACACAAATTTGCCAGTTTTCTTTCGTTAGGCCTTTTGGCTGTCCTTTTAGTCACTATTTGCTCTGCAACAATTAGCAGCTGATCACTCTCTTTTTTTCCCTGGCCGATAATCCTACCTACACACAGACACACACACTTGCATTTCCTCACTCAGATTGAGAAATACTTCTACTACGAGGGTAAACAGGTGCTGTTATAGCCAAAATGAAATTGGTGGCTATAACCTAGCACCTAGGTTATAGGTTAAAAACCTAGTCTTGGTTTTTTTGTTTTGTTTTTAATTTGTTTAACCATTTTTTCGATACAAACATCAACCGCAAAAGACACATACAACAAAAACCATAATAACAATAATAACACAATTTGATGATTTAGATTTGAATACACCTATGACTACACCTTTTTAAACAATATTTTCCCACCTCTCTCTCCTCCCCCTACTTCCCACCACTATCCGCCTTATCGCCTAAATATTCGCTCCGAATTTCTTGGATTCAGTCTTGGTTTTTAATCATCCAACAGATGTTTTCTATTTTAAAAAATCAAGAGTTGGGAGATCAGATCACAGGTCCGAAAGGCCTTTCCTTGCTGACCTCTGCCAAGGGTTTGCGCTGGTAATTTCTGTGTGTCGGACTATTTTACATTTTTAGTACACAAAACCTGTTCTGTCTGATAACTAGTTCCTGATAGAAAACGCGGTCGAGAGGGAATGGAGCATGAAGGGAAATTTGACGGAAAATAACTACAAGCACTGCTGGGAACCTAAGAAGAGCCTACTGGATCAGACCAATGCCCCATATAGTCCAGCATCCTGTTTTTGCCAACCAAATGTCTATGGGAAGCCACCCCAAGCCCAAGCAGGACCTTTGTGTGACAGCCACTCCACCCACGTGTGATTCCCAGCCACTGGTACACCAGAGACTCACAGCCTCAAGGAGGTAGAACATGTGCATCATGGCTCCTAGCCACAGATAGCCTTATCCCTTCCATGAATTTGTCTAATCCCCATCCAAGTTGATGTCCAATCACTGCTTCTTGTGTGAGAGAATTCCATAGCTTAACTAGTTATGTGCAGAGTGAAGACGGGCTTTGTTTTTCCAATCCTGAACCTTCCAACAATCAGCATCACTGGACGCCTATAAATTCTAGCTTCATGAGAGAGGGAGAAAACCGTCTCTATCCAACTTTCTCCAAGCGACCCATAATTCTACACATTTCTACCCTGTCTCCTCTCACTCACCTTTTCTCTACACTAAAAAGCCCCAAATGAAACAACTTTTCCTCGCAGGAAAAGAGTTGCTGCATCTCTGGTAACCGGAACCAGGTATGAAATCTTAAATAACGTAAGTATATTCTCTCCTCTCTCTTCAAATGGAAAAATCTGTTGTTCACACCATGCTTTTCTTTCACCTGAAACCGGTTTTCTTCCTCCAAGCTGATTAATCTTTCTTTTTAAATTGTTTTTATTAAAGATTTTTCAGTTACAAAAGTACATGCATCACCTCTGTTTTCAGATCATAAAGTCCTTTCTACAGATCACTAATATTTGATGTGATACAATAATGTTGTAATCAGGTTGGGAGAGAATAGGGTTGCCATATTTCAAAAAGTGAAAATCCGGACACAAAAGTTTTTTGTCAGAGTTGTTGAGCTGGTGCTGCTGCTGCTTTTGCAAAATATATAACAACAACAACAACAACAACAACAACAACAACAACAACAAAGTTTTAAAGCTATTTTAAAGGAAAATTTCCAAAATCGACACTTCCGACATGGGTTGCCATATGTCCAGATTTTCCTGGACATTTCGGCGATTTCTGCCCCGCCCAGACTCTGTTTCCAACTGCTGAATCCCACCTATGTCTGGGAAATTCCAGATGTATGGCAACCTTAGGAGAGAAGAGAGGTGGGCAGGGAGAGTGTGAAATAGAAAGAGAACCTACCCACGTGACGTTGACACAAAAACCTTGCACATACACTATGTAAGAAACTGAAAAAGATCTTTAATCTTTATTGAGACTCGGGTCCCGCCTTCCTCCGCTAAACTGCCCTTCCAGTAAATAGGTTCTTTGGTCTCTATCGCTGCCATCTGCATAGTTTTAAGTCCTAGACTGGACCAACCACATTCCCCAGGGCAGAAGGGGAGAGGCTCAGTCTCTGGCTGCATCAAGTGACAGAGTTCCCAAATGCCTGGAAAAGAAAATTCCAGCCTAGCCTGCTCCTGGCGTGGATCACCTGCTATTAAAGGTAAAGGGACCCCTGACCATTAGGTCCAGTCGTGACCGACTCTGGGGTTGCGGCGCTCATCTCGCTTTATTGGCCGAGGGAGCCGGCATACAGCTTCTGGGTCATGTGGCCAGCATGACTAAGCCACTTCTGGCGAACCAGAGCAGCGCACGGAAACACCGTTTACCTTCCCACCGGAGCGGTACCTATTTATCTACTTGCAGTTTGACGTGCTTTCGAACTGCTAGGTTGGCAGGAGCAGGGACTGAGCAACGGGAGCTCACCCCATCGCGGGGATTCAAACTGCCGACCTTCTGATCGGCAAGCCCTAGGCTCTGTGGTTTAACCCACAGCGCCACCCGCATCAAAATCCTGAAAGTTCAGGGAATGATTCAAAGGTGGTCAGCCTAATTCCCAAGCAGATGGCACTCTGTCATTGTCCCTTTCCTTGATGCCTGTCTCTTGGCCAGCCTGTTAGCTAAGCACCAGTATTGCAAATATTAGTGAATTATGTAAATCTTTTGATATTTTGAGATATCTTGAGCATGGCTTGTTATGGAAAGGTGGCATGCAAATGATGACGGTGGTGATGGTGAAAGCAGTTCAAGAGTGGGGGAGCCTTTGGCCCTTCAAGATGCTGCTGAACTACAACTCCCATCAGTTGCAGCAAGCATGGCCAATGGCCAGGGAAGATGGGAGTTGTAGTTCAACAGCACCTGGAGGGCCAAAGGTTCCCCACCCCTGAACTAGATGAAGAAAGCAGTCATGCGAAAGCATATTGGATCAGGTGTGCAGTTGATCAAAGACAGACATATTCATCTTACATTTAGATAAACTTCCAAATATTCACATAGACCACCAAGAAAATGCACATCATCTTTAGACATCACAACTCTGTGTGCTTTCTAGTTCCCAAATAGCTTCGCTTTCGGAATTCCAAAACTCTTAGGGACATCATCGCCCAAAATGCCGCCTAAAATTGGATAAGCCAATGTAACTAAGCTAATGGAGCGCTGCAGATTGATTGGAGAACCCTGGGTTCAAATCCCTATCCAGCCACGAAAGTCAGCATCTCTCTCACGAGGGGTTGATATGTTGGTAACACTGGCAAATACTGTGCAAAACAACTCCAGGGTTGCTGATTTTTTTGGGTATCTTGGCTGTAAGTCCTGGAAGACCACCTGGAAGACGCCTGCCCTGAAATACTCCATGTCATTCCTTATGTTGCAGGAATTTATGTATAGGTTGGGGGGGTTGCCCCTCCAGCAGATATCATGCACATGCAGCCCACTACCAAAATCAGCACAATCGCTTTTGAGACTTTTGTGATTTTTGTGATTTGTCCCCACAAAACACTTCATCACAGTTTCTTCCTATCTATTCAAAGGGCCTTTGCTGCACGATATCAAATGTAACAATTCACTGATAAATGTATCTATGTACTGGCTCACTGGGAAAACTTCAGAAATTCATATAGACCTGTGAGCTCAGCTACTCAGCAGCCCCTCTGCCTGAGTGATAATCCCTGGCATCCTGATACCTGAGTGCCAGACAGGTAGCCATTCCAGAAATAACAAACCCAGATGAAGACAAAAGGGTGTGATTAACTTGGCTGGGAAACAGGTAAATGTAAATAGCTCTTTTGTTACACTTGATGGGTGTTTGTTTGGTGGAGGGCAAGGAGAACCAGGGGGCAGGGTCCAGGATGCTCAGATTACTGCCACCAGACCTCCCCTTTCATGATGCAACCATGATGTATTAGTGATGTAGTTGGGGGGGATGTAACATGGAGATTAGCAGCTAATAAAAGTTTGGGTGCTCTTTTGTTTGGGGCTTCCATCTTGTTCCACCTTGTGGCAGGTGGGAGTCCTGTCACGACAGTCTTCAATAAACACCAAGCCTACTGTTTTGCTCTGGTATTCCTGACTGGTGTCCTTGTTTTTTGTCCAAGGGAGCCTTCAGATTTCTCCGTTAACAAAAGGAAAGCAGCATCCAGACAGTTTTCCATCCATTAAATAACCAGGTTCTCTCTCTCTCTCTCTCTCTCTCTCTCTCTCTGTGTGTGTGTGTGTGTATACACACTTGGCTGTTCAGCAAAGATTCCCTGCCCACTTAGGCCCCCTCAGTGCAGCATTTCTGGCTAAGGGCCTGCTAGGTATCTATGCTCTGCTTATCCTGCAAAGTGAGAACTGGCCCTAAAGGCAGAATTAAAGGAGCCCGCTTCCAGTTGGTTAGAGAGAACGGCTCATATTTCTCACAGGAACTGCATCAAAGCGGAGTCCAGCCAGGGGGAAAAACATTGTCTTTCAATGTCTGAACAGAGCACTACAGACACCCAGTGGCCAGCTCAGTTAATTGCATGGTGGTAGATTGGTGCTTGTAGAAGAGACATCACAAGTTTGCTGGACACCGAAGAACAGCAATAGTCAGTGTGGTACCCACCAGCTTCCTAGTGTTAGTAGTATCTTCCCATTTATATCTTCCCTTTCCTTTAAAGAGCTCAAGGTGGCGCACAGTGTTTCTGCCCTCTCACTGCTATCCTCACAACCACCTTGTGAGGTTGTCTGGACTGAGAGACAGTGACTGGCCCAAGGTCACCTAAGGCAGCGTCACCCACGTGCCAGTCCTACAATCATCAACAACTACATCACACTGGCATCTCTGACTATTGACTATGCTGTCTGGGGCATTGGAGTCCAACAACCTATGAAGGGCACGGCTCTAGCTATCCTGTTTAGGAGATGCTGGTAATGTTCTTTCCAGCACAGTGCAATAGCTTCTTTGACTTTGAGAAATGTGGTACCAGTGATTCTTCAACATCAACTTCGTTGGGCTGGTTGTGTTGTGCAGATGCCTGATTATTGTCTTCCAAAGCAACTACTCTATTCCGAACTTAAAAATGGAAAGCGTAATACTGGCAGTCAACAAAAGAGGTTTAAAGACTCTCTCAAGGCAAATCTTTAAAAATGTAGTATAAACATTGACAACTGGGAAACACTGGCCTGTGAGCACTCCAGTTGGAGAACAGCCTTTACCAAAGGTGTCATGGGCTTTGAAGAAGCATGAACTCAGGACGCAAGGGAGAAACGTGCTAAGAGGAAGGCACGCTTGGCAAATCCACAATATGATCAACTCCCACCTGGAAACCTATGTCCCCACTGTGGAAGGACATGTGGATCCAGAATTGGCCTCCACAGTCACTTACAGACTCACTGTTAAAACCGTGTTCATGGAAGACAATCTTACTCAGCTACACCAAAGAAAGAAAGATTACCGTATTTTTTGCTCTATAAGACTCACTTTTTCCCTCCTAAAAAGTAAGGGGAAATGTGTGTGCGTCTTATGGAGCGAATGCAGGCTGCGCGGCTATCCCAGAAGCCAGAACAGCAAGAGGGATTGCTGCTTTCACTGCGCAGCGATCCCTCTTGCTGTTCTGGCTTCTGAGATTCAGAATATTTTTTTTCTTGTTTTCCTCCTCCAAAAACTAGGTGCGTCTTGTGGTCTGGTGCGTTTTACAGAGCGAAAAATACGGTAGCTATCCTAGTAGAAGAAATGAGTTAGGCAGGCAGGCAGGCTGCAGCAGCAGCAGCTGGGTCCCTTCTGAGACAGGCTTGCGCCAATTAGCCAGAAAAAGGAAAAAAATGCTTGCCTCTCAGGGCTCATCAACACTTCCATTTGCCCTGCCACTTTCCCCCAGGGAAACCCATAGTTCAGCTCTGAATTGGAACAAACAGCGATTGGGATTTCCACAGACTGCTGTATATTCCAATTTACCACTAAGGCAGTGCCATAGCTGGGGGGGGGGGGGCTAGTTGGTTTTTTTGCCCCAGGTGAAGCCTCTGGAGGGCACCCTTGAGGCTCCCAGCCTGTGTGCAAATACGTGAGGGGGTGCCAAACTGGGTCTTTGGCACGGGTGATACAGGGCGAATCCTTTAGAAGAGGCCCCGTGGATACAGAGCACACATGTTCCATGGGGCCTCTTTTAAAAGACTCACCCTCTGTAAAGCCTAGCTTCACCACTGCACTCAAGGAGTAGGTTTTCCTGGGGAAAGAGGCAGGACAAAGGCACTCCGACCCATGCCTAGAAAGCACAGGACAAGCAGAAACCCACTCAGATCTGTGCTTTCTAGGAAGTGTGGACGAGGCCCAAGCACAGCAAATCAACAGGCAGCTCTCTTCATTGGCATGCAGCTGCCTCATGGGCTGTGGTGCAATTGGGCCCTGAAGGAAAGGGCAATAGAAGAGTCTGTGGTTCAGCTGCTAAGGGGCAGGGATTATTTTTGAGGGGAGAACTTATCCGAGTGTGGACCCCTTCCGCACTATGGTCCAATGGTGTGTCTGAGATAATAGTGAGGATAATCTATTAGAACAAAGGCAGGGGCACCAAATTTTGGCCTCGCACAGCGTCCTGCAGGAGGCCAAAATTCGGTGCCCCCCTACCTCTTGTCTTCCATTCTGCGCATGCACTACATCATAGTTGTGATGCCCTGTAGCCGCAGCCACCACTGCCACACACACCCCTCAGCTTGGTGCCCTTTACAGGGGAACCAGTTGCACTGCCCTAAATCTGCCTCTGGCAAATGGGTCAGCCCTCAGCTCGCCCTTCCTCTGCCTGCCTTCTTAAATAAAGTCAGTCTAGTGGGTGGTTCTGCATATCTGCATCTCAGAGACTTCCTTTGTAGTCTCTGGGTTCATCCACACTTCCCTTTGGTCTAAGGTTTCCTCCATTTGTCCCGTGACTACTGTGCATGGATCCGGGTGATGTGGGTTCTTTGTTTTTTGCCATGTTGCTTTCCTCAAGGAAAACTGCTGTTTAGCGCTGAATCAGAAAAAATGTCAATCCACAGAAAACCTGATTGACGTTAATTCCGATTCAGCACTAAACCACGGTTTTTCCTGGGGGAAGCAGAAAAACAACAGCATGCCACTTAGACCCATGCCTAGACATCATGGCAGAAATGGAGGAAATCTCAGCCCCAAAAGAGTCCTCAGTGTGGCCCTTGCAGAATGCAGCAGGGAGGTATATGGGGATAAAACTAGTTGTTTTGCTTGTTATCTGAGTGGAGTTCTGAGCACTGCCCATTTTTCTTCTTTGAAATGGATACTGATCTATTTTCTGATGCTCACAACAGTGGTTTGGATCTCCAGAGGTGGCCCCAGGCCCAAAAAAGCTTGAGCGCCCCTGCATGGATTGGAAGCACAGCTTAACCTCAGAGTTGGGTTGCTACAAAAAAGTTCCCTCGGCTCGATTTGAAGCCCTCCTAGATCTCAGAGGCAGACGCGTAGAATTAACTCCCAAACTTCTGTGTGTTTTCATTGTTCTCCTTTATCGAGAAGCAGGCTGATACCACCAGCAGAGATGGGGAACGGACAAATATGTCAATTAGGTTTCTGTCAGTTTTTCATTTTTCCAAATCTTGAATTCAGTTCTTCACATTTAAGCAGAAATTCACAAGTGTTGGTTTAAAAAAAAAAAAAATCCTCATAAATCCACCAGCATTTTAGCGTGACTTTCTCCTTAAAAAACAAACAAACCGTTTTTGTATGCAGTTTTGACTAATATACACATTTTTGCAAGTGGGTTTCCCTAACATAATGTATTTGTGTGTGTTACTTTCACTAATTTATGAAGTTTTATGCACACTTTCCCCTAATACATGGATTTCTGTACACATCTTCTGGTTGTGCGGCTGTATCGCAAAATTCAGAGAGGTGCCAATTCAGATGGATAGCTGTGTTTTGGTTCTTGTATTTACTGAAGAGCTTGCAAATCAGGTAGTTTCTCATTAAAATGCAAACAAAACTGAATTTCTTCCCCTTTTCTGGGAGTGACCCATGGCTTACAGTACGGTAGTTATGTTTGGAAATATGTAATGGTCTAGATGGATCCTTAGAAAGCTCTGGCCCCCTAATGGTCCCCACAAGCCTACAACCTGTTCTTCTGTGGCAGTTTAGACTTCATGGCAAAAACATGTCCTCAATTACATCTTCTGCATCTACATCTACATACACAGGAACGCAGATATAGTGGGAGGCAGATCTCCAGTGAGATTTATTTTACAGCACAGCAAAAGAGACATACGTGAGCCAATCAGAGAGAACAGTCAGCCATATTATCCTAGCAAAAGATAGTTCACTAAAATAGCAATATAAAATGGAGAACAAAACTATTTTTAAAAAAAACCCACACAGATTTACCAATAAGTTACTTCATGTTTCCCCATAAAAACAAACATTCTCTGTAATAACAAAGGACAGAAAAACCTTTAGCATATATCAGTAGTACTGAAAGGGCAATTCACACGTTGCTCTTTGACCCAGTAATATCATTGTGACAGGATGACAAGCCAGAATTTATATTTATTCATCCCCTGGAGTAAATACAATCTTTTACCACTTGCAGGAACATTTTCAAAATATACGTCCCACACGCATTTGATGAGGTAAAAATACCATGTGACAATACTACAGCATCAGAAAGTAACACATGAATCTTTCTTAATGGTCATCTGGACAACGGTATTCATTTGTTTGTGACGGTCACTGTCAGGCCAAACATGGTTTTATCCAAATGGCCTGAGGGAATAGTTTTCAAACTGTTCTTCGGGGAAGCTCTGGAATTGTCTGGAAGTTTCTCAAAGGAACGTAGTCAGAAAAATATAGTCATAGACAAGCTTCCCTGAAAGACAGTTTGCCCGCTGCCGCCCATGTTTCCTGTGACACGCAGAGGCGGGAGATTGTGAGACACATTTGAGAGCACATTTCTGAGTTTAAGCTGAGCAATGGTGGGGCTCCACAGACTTGGCCAGTGCCTCTTATTATCTGTGCTCACCTAGAAAATATCCCAGAATCCTCTGCAACGTGCTAGAGTTCCAGAGCAGATATACCCGGCTTCATCAGCAGAGGAGTTGGTTTGGAAATGGTACAAGTACTTTGAAGAAGAACCCCCCACAAACACACACTGATTTAGAAAAATGGGTGTATTATTTACACAGGTCTTCCAAGGCACAACTCTAGGGGAACAGACCATGACTCTGGATAACTGTGATTATCAAGGATTGGGTGGTAATATTTCTACTGCAGTTTCTTACACAACACAGCTTGAGTGAAATGGCAGGTTGAAATAAAACCCAATATCTCTTTCACCTAAAATGAGAAGGTGCCGCTAGGTGATGAATGGCCACAATTTCAACTGGGCTCTGTCCTTACGCAAATGTGAATTTGTTTTGGGACACGGATTCCATGGAGGGAAAATTAGGCCTTATGTTATATACGTCCCCGGCAGTTTTCACTGGTAGTAGTTGCTGAAGGCATGAAGAATATACAGCAGCGTGGTGATGAATGCAAAGAACTGAAAAAGAGAAAAAGGGAGGGAGAAGAGAGGTGATTAGAGTAATAGGAACATGTTTTTGCTCTCCCAGCTTCCCTGGGTCATTTTCTTCTGAGGAGAGGATATTGGAAGCTTTTGTTGCTTTTCTAATAGTTTATCTCTCTTATATAAAGTAGATGGAAAGGGAGTAGTCAGACAGGCAGTGCTAATCCAAAAGCATCACCTTTGACTCCCTGCGCTGGGAGAGGCTGGTGCAGCCTGACATGTGGGCTAGATTCACCTTATCTATTTAATTAATGAAATTTGGAGCACACCACTTGATTGCCAAAACCTCTAACCGGTTTACATAAAGCATAAGATACACACTAAGATTATCTGTGAAAGACAGGAGCCAAGGGCAAGGTGACCTAAAAACGATTCAAAATATGAATAAAATCAGTAGTTTAAAAATGCACATTATGAAAAAGAAAGAAAATTACCTATTAAAAGGCACATCAGTTTTACATATACAGGTCAGCTTACTTAAACAAAATGGATTTTAGCAAGTGCCTGAAATAATACAGCGCCTGACTCATATCAGTGAGCAAGGAGTCCTAGAGTGTAGGTGAAACCACAATGAAAGATCAGTTCTTCACTGGGGAAGAACAGACATTTTGTGGCACTTGTAAAAGTGCCACATCTGCAGATCGAAATGATTAAGGTCTCAAGTCAAGGACTGAAGAGTGCCCTGGTGAGGCATCATGTCTTCGCCATGATCAAACACACAAGTCCCCCAGCTCTAACTGGTCCTCCAAAAAACCCCACAGGGCATCTTGGACTCAGAAGGCATGTCCTCATTGGCATGGCAACCAGGCCAGGTGAAATATACTCGGAGTCGAGTGTGGATTTCATGCTCTTTATTCAGCTCATAGTGGTGAGGAGGAATGGAAGTTCCCCCAGAATGTCTGCTTTATATACATTATTTACACAATGGGCCCCACGTGATAGGCTAATTCCGGGATTCTCCTGTAGACCAATCAGGTTGCGGATTCACTTCCACCTGGAGCTGGATTGGGTGGCTCCTGTGGACCAATCAGACTGCTGCATTCTGGAGCCTATTGTTCTAGGACCAATCAGGCTGCTGCATTCTGAATCCTATTGTTCTAAGACCAATCAGGCTGCTGCATTTTGGATCCTATTCAACTCAGTACATAACACCAGGAATCCCTTCCCTTCTTATTTACAAACTGCATGCTCCCTGTTATGTACTGAAGTTCTCACCCTGAGCCAGCAGGGGGATACTGTAGATAGTTTTTACTCAGGTCCACATATGCAAATAAGGAATTGAAAGTGACGTTCAGTGATTGGATAGTTACAGAAAGTTGTTACAGTTACGTTGTACTGGAGCTCTATATAAGCAGGTTGGCTGAACCCTTCAGCTCAATTTCTGTCCTGGCCTGTGAATAAACAAGAGCTGTTTGAAGAATCGCTGTGTCGTCTGATATGTTCACCCACAACTTAACACTCCCCAAATTGCCTGCAGTTCTCCAGCCCTTGTCTCATCGGTAGCAAATCGGACTCTGCTGCCACATAGTTTGGGTAAGAACGTACACTCTGAAGGGCAAAGCAACTTGCAGCACTTCACCAAATCAAAACTTCAAGTTGTTTCTCTTTCTCTCACCACATTCCAATCTGCCTTCACCTCACCGCATAAGAACTTCGCTGCCTTATATTGAGTTAGACCATTGGTCCATTTAGGTTAGTATTGCCTCCACTGACTGGCAGCAGCTCCCTAGGGTTTCAAAATACCTGGAGTCTTTCCCAGCTTTCTCCGGAGACGCTGAGGATTGAGCCCAGGAGCTTTTGCATGCAAAACACACACTCATATATTGGAGCTATGGCCCTTTCCTACCTCAAATCCAAACGGTTACGGATGTCACATCCCAGGAAAATGAAAGAGACACTGACAGTCAGCCCTGATTGCTCCAAGGCAAATGCTTAGATGCCAGTGGCAATGAAGGGCTGTGACTCTGGAGCCCCTTGTCATCATAATTTCATGGGAACAACTAAGTAGGTGCAGCTAACAAATGTTTACCCACCAAAGTGTGTCATGCGCTACCTGATTAGAATTAGATTAGCAAATTATGACAATGAACAAAAACAACCTATCAGATGAACACTGCATTTTATTAATTGAGCTAATCAGTGGGAAATGGATGTAATCTATTCTAATGTGATGAGGCATAAACAGCAAGGCACCAACAATTTGCCCTTTAAATCTTGAGTGGTATAAACTTCCCCCTGAATTCCTGTGTGTATCATCAAGACTCACTGAGATTTATTGTACTAAGTTTTTCATACAAAGAAAATCAAAGAGTCTTTGGAGTATACAAATAGGCTACATTTCCTCAATTTGCTAAACCACTGTTTAACATTACAGATGAGCCTGTGAGAGGCTTGGGCTAGCACATTTCTCCCTTCCCTCTTCTAGTGCAAAAAACCAGGAGCTCCCGCCTCCATTTGTGACTAACAACAGTATAAACTGCGTTTAATCACAACTGTGGTTTAGTAAAACTACCGCTTCATAAACCATGGTTTGAATATGCCTTGCTTTAGCCAATCATAGTTAAGACTAACCATAGTTTTACTGGCTTTGGATGTCATGATAACCTGGGGTTAGTCGACAATGGAAGCGGGAGCTTCTGAACCCTTCCTCATGGGTGTGCAAGAGGGAGGAGTGCACAAGTTCAAGACTTGCATGGGCTCATTCTCCTAGCACTAAATCGTGGTTTAGCATTACATACGAATGTCATCACATTCTTCTGCCAGGTTTCAACTTAAAATTTACAGTTCTCCCCCACAAAACGTGAATGAGGTCCTGCCCTACCAAACTCAGTTCTGTTCCCAGCCAGCCCTGACCTTCTTACAGCCAGTCCAAGAGTGGCAGTTTCTGTCAGCTTCCTGCTCCTTAGACTCAATGTTGCCCCTGGCAGAACTCAGCAGGGAGGAGGATGGAGACAAAACCAGAATTAGTTGGCTCTGCTTGTCTTTGACTGGTTCCATCTATTGTCTGGGCTCCCTACATTCTGCCCTACCAGCTCCAATGGACATCAGCCACTGCTGGTTGGAAGAACTTGCAGGACAGGATGAGGGGTGACCTGGGAGGTTGTAGAGGACATACAGCAAAAATTGCACACACTGCTTCACTGAATCAGAAGTCCTTACACACATGGAAGCAGTCCTTTCCTTCATGGAAAGGACACTTAGGACACTTAGGTTCCAAGTTACTGCTAATAAAAGGCATGGATAAAGTCCACCTGCCACCTGCCATATTCTTTATGTCGTGATTCAGGATTATCCTGGCAGATAAATTGACTTCGTTCAGTGCAAAAGATCACAGGTTGCACATCAAAGCATATTTGGACAAAGAAGCAATCAGTGACATCTCTGCCTTTGAAAGTGCCGAAATAAGGTAAAATATGGTGGTCATTATATTAACAAAATAGGAGATCAAAATCAAATGATTCACTGGGTATATAATCAACAGAAGCCCAATTGGATGGGGTTTATTGCTGGTTGAAAGATACGCCCTTTTAGTTGGCAAAATATTTTTCAGCCTGTCAATAAGCGTCATGGTGATCCCATGAACTATTGCACCCATTTTACAGATGGGTTTCACCAAGGCTAAGACAGGTGTGGGGAACCTTTGGCCCTCTGGGTGTTACTGAGTTACAGGTTGCATCAGCCCCAACAATGCATGGCCACTGGCCAGGGATGGTGGGAGTTGTCGTTCAGCAACATCTGAAGGTTCCCCACACCTGGGCTAAGAGATATTAACGCGCAGCAAGAAGGCTGATCGCCGAAGAATTTATGCTTTTGAATTATGGTGCTGGAGGACACTCTTGAGAGTCCCATGGACTGCAAGAAGATCAAACCTATCCTGAGGGCTCACTGGAAGGACAGATCGTGAAGCTGAGGCTCCAATACTTTGGCCACCTCATGCGAAGAGAAGACTCCCTGGAAAAGACCCTGATGCTGGGAAAGATTGAGGGCACAAGGATAAGGGGACAACAGAGGACGAGATGGTTGGACAGTGTTCTCGAAGCTACCAGCGTGAGTTTGACCAAACTGCAGGAGGCAGTGGAAGACAGGAATGCCTGGCGTGCTCTGGTCCATGGGGTCACGAAGAGTCGGACACGACTAAACAACAACAACATGGTGAGTCCGTAGCAGAAGCAGGGTGACTTGAACTTGGCCTCCCCTTGACCCCACATTCACAAACATACCAAACCAAATTCAGCTGGTGGAGCACATAAGAGTTATCTCACCGTAGCAGCAGCATTGAGCTGATAGTAGAGGGGCGAAGACTCTGGGGGCACTTCTGTCTCCGAGCGGATGGTTGCATTGGCCTGCAGGACCGCAGCACTCATGTAGAGGATGCCAGTAGCTCCATGATAAAGGCTATCCTAAAAAGCAGAAGAAGAGCAACAGGTTCATGTCCAGATCAGGGCCTTTTAAAAAGTGAAAAGTTCAGTTCTGCAGTCTATGTTATGTACATTGTGCAGGTTTAGAAGATATGTTATTTGTCATGAGGAGAGGGTGAAGGAACCATCAGGGCCAGGCAGGGCTTTTTTTTTTCCATCCGGAACTCTCTGGAACTCAGTTCCAGCACTTCTCAGGTGGGTGCCATTGCCATTCTAAGAGAATGAGGGAGGTGTTCATGGTGAGTTCCAGCACCTCTTTTTCTAGAAAAATACCATGAGGCAAGGTGAGGTGACTGCCTCAGATCAAAGGATCCAAAGGGGCAGCAGATCCCGGTTGTAGATCTTTATTCTGGCCTTGTTCTTGCTGTAGATCTTCACCCACCCCCCTTCTTCCCTGTCAAGGAGGGGGCACTATTTTGTGGTTTGCCTCAGCTGCCAAATTGACTTGGGTCAGCCCTGAGAGCTATGCTGGATGCTGATGGTTTGCCTAGGTCAGGGGTTCCAAACTCTGGTCCTTGGACCACCAGTGGCCCATGAGTTTCCTTCTGGTGGATTAGGGCAGAGGTCGGCAACCTAAGACCCATGGGCTGGAAGCGGCTCCAGAAATCACTTCTGCGCATGCCCAGACGCCAAAAATCACTTCTGCACAGGTGCGATTTCCGGCGTCTGGGCAGGCACAGAAGCGATTTCCAAAGCGGTGGATATTCGCAGACGCGATTTCCGGCTTCGCGTTGCGCCAGTCCGACCCACGGAGGATCTCTGCGGGAGTGATCTGGCCCATGCCCAGTAAGCCTTGCCGACCCCTGGTTTAGGGCATGCCTGTGGGTTTGTGGTTGGAGATGGGAGACAGCACACCCGTCTCATTAAGGCATTCATATTGATTTCTAATTGTAGTTTTACTGTTGCTCTCATTTCTTTACATTGTATTTCACTGCATTACTTATTTGCTAAATTGCAATGCCGTGAAATACTATCTGTAAGAAATCAAATAATAAATTTTTAAAAATGCAATTAAAAATCACATAGTGCATTACAACAGCTAAAACAAGCTGCAAAATAATAACAGTGGCACCTCGGGTTAAGAACTTAATTTGTTCCAGAGGTCCATTCTTAACCTGAAACTGTTCTTAACCTGGGGTACCACTTTAGCTAATGGGGCCTCCCGCTGCCACCGCACCGCCATCGTGCGATTTCTGTTCTCATCATGAAGCGAAGTTCTTAACCCGAGGTACTATTTCTGGGTTATTGGAGTCTGTAACCTGAAGCGTCTGTAACCTGAAGCATCTGTAACCCGAGGTACCACTGTAGCAAGTTCCAGAGGGTGGCAACACGAGAATAGGCTTCTCTGCAGTGGCTCCCCATCTGTGGAATACTCTCCCCAGGGAAGTTCGCCTTCATTATACACCTTTAGGCACCAGGCAAAAACATTCCTTTTTAACCAGGCCTTTGGTTGATCTGATTTACATCCTTTGCCCTTTTAAAATGTGGGGTTTGGGGGAGGGCTATTGGGTTGTTGTTTTTATTTTTATTATGTATTTTGTGGTTTTATATCTTGATTTTATTCTGTGAACCGCCCTGAGACCCCCAGGTATAGGGCGGTGTATAAATTCAATTAATAAATAGCAATGTGTTTTCTAAATTTGCATCCTGTACATGGCATAAACTCTGTGTGTGTCCCACCTCTTACCAGGATTCTCCAGGAGGCGAAGTTTTTGTGGAAGCCAAACAGGTAGGACATTAGAAGCATCAGCGAGATGAGAAAGGAAGTGAGAGAGACATACATGACCCATCCCTGCAGCAAAGGGAAGTACACATTGGTAGCTGCTACGAGGATCCAGACCCAGCAGCCAAAGATCTGCAAAGAAGGGGAAAGGAAGGCACAATTATAAGCTTTGCTGTACCCATTTAATGCCGCATCAGTCTGCTTCGGTTCTGTCTGTGTAGATTTGTTGGACTCCAACCCCCATCAGCCCAAGTGAACATGGCCCATCATTGGGGATTATGGGAGTTGTAGTTTAAAACTACAGTAAGTAATAAAGGTAAAGGGATCCCTGACCGTTAGGTCCAGTCGTGGCCGACTCTGGGGTTGCGGCGCTCATCTCGTTTTATTGGCCAAGGGAGCCAGCGTACAGCTTCCGGGTCATGTGGCCAGCATGACTGAGCCACTTCTGGCAAACCAGAGCAGCGCACGGAAACGCCGTTTACCTTCCCGCCAGAGCGGTACCTATTTATCTACTTGCAGTTTGACGTGCTTTCGAACTGCTAGGTTGGCAGGAGCAGGGACCGAGCAACGGGAGCTCACCCCATTGCGGGGATTCGAACTGCCGACCTTCTGATCGGCAAGTCCTAGGCTCTGTGATTTAACCCACAGCGCCACCCGCATCCCTTCACAGTAAGTAATACTGGTGCATAAAATTATGCATAGTGCAGGAAAAGTGGACATAGAGACATTTTCCTCATTCTCTCATAGGATTAGGACCCAGAGCTGTCCAAGGAACTTGAATGTTGAAAGATTCAGGGCAGACAAAAGTCAGTGCTTCTTCATACAGCCCTTAGTTAAATGGTGGAATTGGTTCCTACAACATGAAGTGGTGGCCACCAACTTGGATGGCTTTGAAGGAGAATTAGACAAATCTGTGGTTGATAAAGCTATCAATGGCTTCTAGCCACAGTGAGTATTGTTACAAAAGTTGGGTTGCCTTCCCTCTCTCTCTGCCAAGCAATGGGTTTCCAGGCACTCACTCAGGGTCTGTGTTCCTTTGGAGAATTGAGACCTGGCAAAGACTGTTGTAGCTTTAAGAAATATGGCTTATTCACCTATGTACACCATCAGTCTGCATGAGGGGAGTCCAGATCTTACAGCATGGTCCTCTGTGGCTTGTCCCCCACAGCAGCGCAGCCCTGGAATCTAAGGCATTTCTCCCAGCCAGCCTTCAGCCAGCCTGTCCAAGATGGATCCCATTCTTTCTTCCTCCCTTCATTCTCCCCAGCAACCCTTGCTCAGGACTCTCTTTCTATCCCCTCACACCCAATTACCCAGGCAACCTTCCAACCCCCCAATCTTTGTTCACGCCTCAGGGCAAGGGGAGAGCATTTCTCTCACATTGCCAATAGCCCTCAATGGCCCTGTATTGCTTCTTAATGGCCCAGGCTTGGCCAGGTCATTTTTGCACAGGCTAGCCCAGGAATTCCTCTGCAGCTTGTATTTCTCTCTTCAAATGCCAAATCAACACAATCCTACCATTTATTAATTTCTAGGGTTTAGGGGGTCCCCCCCTCCAAATCTATAAGAGTATGTTTTTCTAGCTCTGGTGTTTTGTGCCTCTGGTGCCTCTGAAAACCAGTTGCTAGAAATGGCAAGCACAGCTCACTCTTCTGGGCTTTTCATGAGCATCTGCTTGGTCACTGTGAGACTAGGATACAGATGGTATTTAACACCCACCAGACTGACGAAAATGTCTAAATAAGAAAAAGGTTTATGTTGGAAGTATAAGGAAAATGAGGGATCATTTTTCCACATGTGGTGGTCCTATAAAGTAATTAAGGAATATTGGAAACTAAATATATATTTGGGAAAAATATAATTTGGGAAACTAAATATAATTTGGCCACCTCATGAGAAGAGAAGACTCCCTGGAAAAGACCATGATGTTGGGAAAGATGGAGGGCACAAGGAGAAGGGGACGACAGAGGATGAGATGGTTGGACAGTGTTCTCGAAGCTACCAGCATGAGTTTGACCAAACTGCGGGAGGCAGTGGAAGACAGAAGTGCCTGGCGTGCTCTGGTCCATGGGGTCACGAAGAGTCGGACACGACTAAATGACTAAACAACAAATATAATGATTTTAAAATAATAATAATAATTTCCCCCAAAACACCTGAGATTTTCCTTTTGGCGATGGTCATAACAGAGGTCCCCAAAAAACAAAAGAGTTTATTACTATATGCCATGGCTGCAGCTAGAACCCAATATTGGCACAAAGGTGGATAAGAAGTATGGTAAAATGTAAAATGTTCAAATATGCTGAACTGGCTGGTCTGACGAACAGGATAAGAGAAAACGAAGATAAGGAATTCAAGGAGGAATGGGTAATGTTTATTGAATATTTTAAGAACCAGTATAAACAAATACGTAGCTTAGCAGGTCTGGAGTAAATCCAGCAGAGCTGAAATAGATAAGAGTTTTTAATAGATAACAAATTGGATGATTAAAAAGATGTGGATTACGCAGAGTAGTAGAAAAGCAAAGGAACCAGGAAAAGGGTGGAAGGGAAGTCATATGGTATATGTATACATGCTGTATTTGGTATGAAGTTGTAAGTGGGACGAGCAGGAGGGGAGAGGGATTAAGCAAGCTCTCTGTTCCTGCTTTTGAAAATGAAAATGGAAAAAATAAATGGAAAAAAAGATACTGAACCAAGTAGACTTTTGCTCTGATCCAGCCAGGTTCTTCTAATTTCGTCCAGCAACATCTGTCAGACAGTGGGCTGGCCACCCATATTCTAAAGCATTTTGACATCCAAATCTAGATTGAACAGAGTGCAGGAAGTGAGACTGGAGTGCACACCTAGCAGTTGCGAAACCCTCTCTCATTCTTCATAAGGTCAACGGCAGGTTAGTTTCTGCTTGATCACTTTATAAGCAACCTTGAAATATTAGATTTTACCCATCTGTCAAACAGTAGCAAACAGGGGGAATGATTAAAAAATGAAATAAAGAGCAGCTTTGTGAGAAAAATTCCTCAACATCGCTGTATGCTTTGATTCAAAAGCTCGTTACATATGCTTTACACCAGGGATAGGCAACCTAAGGCCCCTGGGCCACAAGTGGCCCATGGGGGTCCTTTAACCGGCCCCCGAGCTGCCCCCGAACTGAGCCGCCCGCTTGGCGAGTTCCTGTGCGCTACGCTAAACTGGCGCAGCGTGGTGCAGGGACTTGCTTCTGCAGTGCCGGAAATTGCGTCGGCACAGACGCCGGAAATCGCAGGCACAAGAGCAATCAAGCCCACAGAGGGATCTCTGCTGGAGTGAACCGGCCCAGGCGAGGTAAACCTTGCCATCCCCTGCTTTACACATTACCTCTACAGTTATAAAGTAAAAAATCCATTTCACAGTGTACAGGACAGAGCTGCCCACTCTGAATTAGCATTTTGAATTTAGCAGGGCAGCCCACCAGCCGAGTATTGTGTGCAAAAATGCACGTACTAGGGTCATGAAATGCACACATCCGTGAAAAGGCATTATACTAGGGATATATTGCTTTGCAAAAATGTGTTTTGGGCAAAACTGCATGCAAAAATGTGCAGATTGGGAGAATTTTTGCACCAAAATGCCGATGAATCTTCACAAGGACTTTTTAAAAAAATCACAAGCTGATATGGACAACCGAGGACTGAGAAGAAGAAGAAAGAAACTGAGAGGAAGCAAAATGGACTGATTTGCCCAGTTTCGGTTGGAAGGGAAGAGAAAGATCTTCCAGTGGTTAAAAGTGTTGTGCAAGCTCTCTGGGTTGCAACTGGGCTGAAGAGTCCTTCACGTTTGAGACAAGGAGTGGTGCACCCACCCAACTATTCAGATCAGAGCTGGCTGGATATATCCTTAGCTTTTCGGGCAATTGCCTGGCAATTTTGCCAAGAGCAGAGCCTTGCACTGTTAAGCACTGCCAGGAGCGAGCCAGCAGTAAATCACAATGTGCAGGTTGGAGTTAACTCTTGATTAGCAAAAATATGATCTGTACAGACCTAATGAGCACGGCAACTTATCTCTGGCAAGTCTTGCCTCCATGAAGCAGTTGCTGAGACTGAAAGTCCCCGCCTCCCCAGAGCTGCCTAAGTGCCTTCCTCTTCAGGATTTCCCCCCAAGCATTTGGAGACTGCGCCTGCATGAATCTAACCTCCCCTCTGTCCTTTTCATGCCTCCACTGGTTCTGGGAGACCAAGGGGGACAAGAGCCTGTCACAGCAGGAGTGGGACACCCATACCATCCAGACTCATCTACGCCTTTTGGCCTCCCTCCTCTTCTGCTTCAGTTTCTGCCTCCGATTCTGGACTTCAATCTGCCACAGCCTCTTCCTGCTCACTAAACCATGTTACCTCCTCAGCTTCTGACACCACCTCCTCCCAGTTTTTCCCCTCTGCCCACTCATCATTGTCCCACCACCACTCCCCGGATTTGAGCCTTCTTCCCTTGGGGGTTCCTAAACTGGTTCCTCCCACCATTCCTCTGCATCCTGCCAGTCCATGAAATTTTCTTAGCAGATCTCATTAATCTGAACCTACTGTCAACTCACAAAGGACAAGTGTGCCTTCCCCACAAAACTGCCTTGGACTGACCGGTCGTCCATCTCTGTGCTGTGTGACTGCCTCATAACTACAAACTCCCAGCAGTGGTGTTCTCTTCTCTCAGGCCTTGTTACTAAGGCAACACATGCCCTCAAACTCTGTGAACCTGATTCTTTTCACCATGTCTTCACCCTGGGCTCCACACCCAGCCTCCCTTTCTGCCTCTCTCAGCTCTTTTCAAGGTCTCCACCCAGGAGTCATTGAACCTGATTCTTGGGAGTACATTGCAGCTATTTCTGCTGATGAACAAACAGAGGCTTGCAAACAAGTCATCGCGAAAACAACAACCACACATCTTTATTCTAAAGCAACATAGGGTCCTGCAGCACCTTAAAGACTAGCCAATGTGTTTGTTTGCAGTTTGTTAACTGGGAACTGTAGCTCTGTGAAGGGTAAACTACAGTTCTCGAGATTCTTTGGGGGAGGGGTGTGTTTTAAATGTATGGGGACCCACTGAAAATAATGTACATAGGTAACATGGGTCTATTAATTTCTTAGCAAAAAAATAATTGACTACAACCCATGTTGTACATGTGACATTGGTCGTTTCTGCCACACACAAAAAGAGCATGGCTTTCCCCCTGAAAATTTCGTTCTTGGCTCTCTTAGCAACTTAATAAACACCCAGAAGTAATTGAAAGAAGTATTAATACATTAGGGCAGTCATAAGCAAAGTCGGCCCTCCAGATGTTTTGGGACTACAACTCCCATCATCCCTGACTACTGGTCCTGTTAGCTAGGGATGGTGCGAGTTGTAGTCCCAAAACATCTGGAGGGCCGAATTTGGGGATGCCTGCATTAGGGGAATTCTCCGTGCAAATTGGCACAAACATGGCTTTGAGTTAAGACGTTTTATTTATTTTGCTTTGTGAATAAAGCTACTGTTTACTTCTCTGTAGGTGAAGAAACATATAACATTTATAGAGCATTGGAGCTGCTCTGGAATGGGGCCTCCCTCTGGCAAGTTTAAAGCTGCAGTCCTAGGCACCTTTGCTTGGGCGTTAAGTCCCACTGAACACAACGCAACCAACTTCTGAGTGGACATGCATAGGGTTGCACTGTTGTACCTATTCCTCTCCAGAATTGACTTTGCGAGGGTGTTCTGTGTGATCTGTAGATCTGCAACAGAAGACCTGTACAGGACTGATGAACGATGTCCCTATAATGTCACCAACAAACCATTCCACTTTCCACTAAGGCTTTGCACTTCAAAAAGTTTCATTAGACAAATAAAGAAATAATGCAATGGACAGATGGATAAATTCTTTAACATTCAGCCTTCTTTTACAGTGGTACCTTGGGTTAAGAACTTAATTCGTTCTGGAGGTCCGTTCTTAACCTGAAACTGTTCTTAACCTGAGGTACCACTTTAGCTAATGGGGCCTCCTGCTGCTGCCACGCCACAGGCGCGCAATTTCTGTTCTCATCCTGAAGCAAAGTTCTTAACCTGAGGTACTATTTCTAGGTTAGCGGAGTCTGTAACCTGAAGCGTCTGTAACCTGAAGCGTCTGTAACCCGAGATACAACTGTATTAAAAAATCATTTAAAAAAAAATAATAATGGTGGGCAGCCTTCCTGAAGCATGTGGAAGGGGCAAGACTGACCACCAAGCCAGGACCAAGATCTGTCTCATCTCTGTTTGAAAGCCAGGAGGAAGGTGGCTTCACCTCATGGCTGAAGGATGTGCTGTAAGATCTCTCTCTCTCGCTCTCTCTCTCTCTCGCTCTCCCCTCTCTCTCTCGTCACATCTTTCTGCACCCATCCTAGATTCTCTTCAGAAGATTGATTACTTTTCTCCTTTCCCACATTCCTTACATTGGCAGGAAGCTACCTGCAGCCAGCCAGCCGCTCTGCTATATCAGAGAATGGCTGATAAAAGGAGTAGGATGCAAACCCGGTATTCTAATCATCCGTTCGAATAGCTTAACGGCATAGACCATGACTGTGTTGCACCATGCTTAATGCCGAATAGCAAAGATTCCATGAACTATTTGGGTATGGACATCTTACACTGTAAATGAAGTGAGTGGGAACATCTGCAAGCATAGGAGCTAAGTGTGAACTTCACAGCACGCACAGAAACTCTGGACTGGAGTAGGGTGTTTATACACAGGATAGATCAGGCATCTTATACCCTCAGTTCCATAGGGAATGGGCTATGATTCTGTGAGTTTAATCTCTGACATTTCTAGAATGGGACGAAAAAGATCCCTGTCCAAAACTTTGGAGAGCTACTATAAATCAACATAGACAATTTACTGAGCAAAATGGACCAATGACCTGTCTTAGTAGATTCCAGTGTTCTGATTGGGTTGGCAACAACCACCCAAATAGATCATGGTGCTGCAAATCCAGAGATACAACCCCCGCAGTTTTTAAAAACTAATAGCAGCCATGTGGTGGTGTTGTGGTGTTGGATTGGGACCACGGCAATGGAGAAGGACAATTTAATCCCCCATAAAAAAGAAAGAAAAAGATGCTATTTACTGTGTGGGGCAAAATGTACAGGTAAAATATGTACACCTGTGAAGCCTAATTCAGGAGACAGATATTGGCACAGAGAGAAAATTAAAACAAAAACAAAAAGAACCTGTGTTTATCTATAGGACATACTTCATATGATTTGTGCAAACATTTCATTATGAACAGGCAATGAGTTTTCTGGATCATTAATTCTTCAAGAAGAACCTAGCCTCACAATTCTCTTAGGATGTCAGTTCCTGCATACCTACTTGAGCAGCCGCTATAAATATGCACATATTTCACAAAGGTGTTCCCAGAGACCTACCCTGAGCCAGAGCTACCATTTCAGTGACAACAAGGGGTGGGGTTGGGGGGAATCTGGCATTGAGCTTTTCATATCCACTAACAGGTATCTCTTAGCTTCTGCTTACTCAGACCTACACTCCCCACTGAGGGCTGATGAGGAAGGATCGCTTTCAAGAGAGGCACAGACCCACCCTTGTTGAGAAGCAACCAGACAGGTTCTCAAGGGTGGGTCACGCAGAAGTGAAATCAGGCCTTCCGTTTCAAAATACTGCTCAGGACGGTCCCCAAAACCTCCCAAACACATTTTAGTCGGGGAGGATCAATAGGCTACAGAGGAAAGGGGGAATTGGTGGACTTTGCCTCTACTGGTGTGAGCATCCAGCAGGTAACATTCCGCTCAGAGGATGTTTCCACTGGCAGAATCCTAATTATTATCTAAGCCCATGAGATTAAAGTCAGAAGCTCTCTGCTTCGATCCTGTAGCAGGGTTGTATACAATTTTTTTAAGCATCTTTACCTAGAACGTTATTTTGTTTGCAAAATTTAGGATCTTTCTTTGAGAAAAGTCCTGTAAGCCCACTGTGGTCTGCATGAAATGAAAAATATACAGAGAGATACACTTTTGTAAGTAAAGGCATAAGCTATTGCAGATCCTCCTTGCACAAGCTCCACTTATGTTTACAAGAAACTGCACAAGAGGAATGCTTTTCAGTGGGACTCGGTTGGATTTAACTTCCTCAGTTGCACCCACCACATTCTATTACTGTTCATAAGAACATAACAGAGAGGCCAAAGGCCCGTCTAATCCAACCTATTTCCTTAAAAAGGCAAAGAGATGCCTCTGAGAAGCTCTCAAGCAAGGCATGAAAGCCCCCAAAGGCTGCGGGACACACTCCCTGCACCTCTGAACTCTCTCCCCAGGTGAGTGCAATAGTGGGTGGCATTGCTAACATTTGTTTCCCTGGACACTTGTTCCCTCTTTATTATTTTAGGCCAAACACGTAAGGCTGAATTTGTGCAAGTTAGATATGTGTGCATTGCAAGTCAACTGCACCACAGATGTTCTGGAGGTGGTTATTGTTTGTTTGTTTTGTCCTGCTTTTATTGCACTATATTGCAAGAGAGCCCCGCCAGATGCACTAGCACTGGGGAAGCACCGCAGAACATCTAATAAAGCAAAATGATGTGTGGACAAGTCCCATATAAATCCATATAAATGAAATGCATGACCATTTCATTACCAGTTGCACTGGCTCCCAATGGAGTATCGGGTCAGGTTTAAGGTGCTGGTTTTGACCTTTAAAGCCCTTTGTGGCTTAGGGCCCTCGTATTTACGGGACTGCCTCTCCTGGTATGCACCGCAGGGGACCTTAAGGTGCATGAATAATCATAGTTTAGAGGTCCCAGGCCCTAAGGAAGTCAGATTATCCTCCACCAGGGCCAGGGCCTTCTCAGTGATGGCTCCAACCTGGTGGAATGTTCTGTCCCATGAGACCAGGGCCCTGCAGGATTTAACTTCCTTCCTCAGTGCCTGTAAGACAGAGCTATTCTGCCTGGCTTTCAATTTGAACTTAGCCTGATCTTTTATTCCCCTTCCTTCCTTCCCTTCCCCTCCTCTTTTTATGAAGATTACCCACTCTGGGATCCCACAGCTAATTCTCCCCCGGTCTCCTCACTGGCCCGGATAGGACTAATTTAGCCAGCTAGCCCTGGTTATCATCTAATGGATTTCCCCCCAAATTGATTTTTGAATGCTGAATTTATTGTTATTCACATTTTATACTGTATTTTATGCTGTTTTTTGTTTCATCAATTAAGTGTTTTAAATTTGTTGTTAGCCGCTCTGAGCCCGGTTTTCTGAACCAGGAAGGGTGGGGTATAAATAAAAAAATATATATATATTTATTATATCAATAGCATGTTGCAGTAGGTAGACACCTGCAACAAAACCGCTGTCTGAAGGGCCCCACAGTAGGTCAGCTTTCTGTGTTCCTCATCTGATAGACCTTTGCCATTTGGATCCATTAATCTGCCCAATCTTCCAAACAAAGAAGCCAAAACTTTTTGTGGTGCACACAAACAGTTCTGATATGAACACTGCCCATTTCGCAGAGTATAAAAAGGTTTGTGGAAGAAAAGAAAGCTCCAAGGCTTTGCCACTTTCCCCCATGCCTGTTAGCATATGGTTACCAGATTTTTTTCAATGAATCCGGGGACACTTTTTTCCTTTTTCTTTTTTTGAAGCTGAGTAGCAACAGGGAGTCAGTAGTGGGGATGGTGAGGCAAAAGACCCTGGGCCCAAGTATACATGCATACTGCATAAAGGTGCAAAGCCCTTCTTTCACACCCTGTGAAACACAAATGCACAGAGTTTTTAAAAAACTGGGCAACGGCAGCCCGCCCACAACTCCCAAGCCTCCCTGATCAGTCAAAACAAAGGGGGAAGGGGGCAGGAGATTGCACAAGACACATCCTATGCGCACAAGACACATCATATGGGGACTTCCGGCGAGGAAAAATGGCAGGTGCCATGGCAGCGAGCAGCTCCTGAAGCCAGCCAGAGCCAACTGCACTACCAGGCTGGCTCCGGGCTGCTGAGGTTGCCGCTGCCACATTTCCCGGGGACAGATTTGCAAATTTGGGGACATTCCAGGGATGGAATTTGTCCGGGGACAGATTTGCAAATCCAGGGACGTCTGGTAACCCTATGTTAGCAGCCGCTGTTCCTCTGATCTGCCCCCACCTCAATGTCATCCTTTTAACTGAAAATGCATTGCTTGGCACACTCCTTAATGGGCATTCCATAACCATTAGGTAAGTAAGGTGTGTCAGTCATATCACAGGAGCGCTGGCTTTCCATTTCAGAGCGCAGAGATTTCTTCTTGCGAAGTCTTTGTCATCAGCGCCATTGGGGCATTTATTGTAATTTGCTGGATTTGTGACGAAGGCAACCTTCGCTCAAGAGGTCCTTCACTTATCAGAGGCAAAGTCCGACAGCATTAAAGTCCACACGTCATAAAGCTCACGGGGAACGCAAATGGGCTGAAGCTCTTGAGTTTCTCTGCCACGTTTTCCGTATCATGGGCTCATACCCAAAGTATGCGGACTTGAAAGGAAACTCTTGGAATCAATAGATGAACCTCCAGATAAATGTGTGTAAGAATATGTTTGGGGATGGTTAGTGCAGCTGATTTTGGACCTCTCTGCTTTGCATGTCAGCTAGCAGAACTCTGTCCCCAAAGTTCCAGTTACTTAAATCTGCCTGCTCCTCTCACCTGTATAAATCAACAGCTTCATTACCGTGTGACCCCAAAATTCTGGATTCCCCTGCAGCCTGATGCCAAAGTTTAGCACTAGTTTTGTGCCATTTTGTGCCACGAATCCCCACATTTCGTGCCAGACCTCAAACCGAGTAATTGACACAGGGTCACAATTTTAATGCCAAAAAAACCAACCTTTTCCAATGGACTCCAGACAGGTGCCAAAGTTTTGTGCTAGTTTTGTGCTACAAACTCCATGTTTTCTGCCACCCCCCTCCCAAACTGAGTAATTGACACTCAAACCAAGGTCCCAGGTAAATGGCCAAAACCCCAACCTTGTCCGATTAACTGCAAACCACATTAGTTAAGCTTAAAAAAACGCTGGTGTCTAACTTGTGAATACTCCTGGTTCAACCCCTTGGTACCATATGCAGCTCAGCCAAGCCTAAAATGTATCTAATCATTATGCTATTCACTCCAAGTTTATTTGTAAGATAACTGGTCAGACAGAACCTTTCAGGAGCAGAACATGTCCTCACAGCAATCAGCCTCAAGGAGATGAATAGGGACTAGAGAGGACTGGTTTGCTCCCGAGTCCCTGAGAGTCAAACTGAGCATCAAACAGCATTGTGGATGGCTGCTCAATTAGCTTTGCTTTCTGAGGTTGATTGCTTCTTTTAAGAGTCTAGCATGGTCAGTTGGTGTTTCATCAACATGGTCAATCAACTGGGAATCTCTTTGCATTTTTGGAACAAGATAACTATGGAGAGTCAAAAGCGATGCCCTCCAAACCCTGGCTTTGCCACGTAAAGGGGCCATGTTGTAGGGGATAACAAATGCCTCTTCCCAGGGCCCACAAGAGCTGCTGCCAGGCAGAGAATGCAGTACTGAGTTCGAAGGACTGATGGTCTGAGTTAAAGCTGCCTCACACTTTCAAAACACCATTGTTCTCTTCTCTTGCTCAAAATGACTCCGTTCTGTTGCTCTCTGTCTCACATAGGGCAAGTGAGCAATACTACTAAACTAATCCTGGTTTCATTTTCTGTACTGCTGTACCTCTTGAGCTCCTTTCTGACAAATAGGACAAGAGACATACAGGCAAGGTGCTACGTTCACAGTTGGTGGGAGATCACTGATCTAAACTGGCTCTCTCCAGCCTGACTTCTTCCACTGCACCTGACCTGCATACTTTCCAGGGAGTTGTGAGTTTCCTGCATCCTCCCTTAGGGATCCCATCTTTTGAGTGCCTGTCCTTTTCAAAAGCCCCAATTCTTGGGATCTTTGCCATCCAGGTTTTATCCCAACAGATTGCAACATCAATATCCTTGGAATAATCGGAATAGGTGCTCCAAAAATATTTTAAAATAATTTCAGGGCCCATTGAAAGCAACAGTGATGCAGATGGATAGCAATCAGATTGGCACGCTGGTGCAAATTCAGATGCACAGCAGCTTTAAGCTTGCATTCTCTGATCCAGTAAGTGAGATGTGTGGAGACCTTTTGATGTGCAATGGATTTCCTTTTGTGGATTATCTATGTACACGTGTGTGTGTGTGTGTGTGTGTGTATCAATCTGCATATTTCATGCCCATGCCAGAAGCCAAAACTCCCGGCCATGCATAAATGCTACAAGGAGCATACATGAACTGCATTATACTATATGGAATCAAATAACTATAATTAAAGGAAGTCGTTTGACTTACCAGCTCTGGCAGAATCAAGGCATACGGTATGGTTCTGAAAACATCCACTCCTGAAGGAATATTTTCAGGCGCTGTGCCGACGGGAGCTGGTCCTGAAGATTTGGTATCCATTTCTGTACAGTCTGAATAGCTGTAGTTAGTACAGCTCCGCTACTCTCAGTTATCTCTGAGACGCTGTTTGCAAGCAAAGCTTAAAATAGTATCCACAGACACACCCAACTGGACGTCAAAGGTGAAGCCGGTTCCAGCTTGGCAGGTAGCGCCACTCATCACGGCAGAAGAATCATCAACTATTCTAAAGTTAATAAAGCCGATCAGGAAGGGCTTGGCAATCATATGCCCTGCTGGAAAAGAGAGAGAGGAAGCGGCAACACATAAACACACCTGTTTCTGTTGCAAGGCTCAATGGCTTTTGTATTCCAGGGCTTCCCAATAAGGCCATCATACCTGGGCTAGGGCTCCCTTGCAAGCTCACTCAGCTTCTAGGCATTGCGATAGGGAAGAGAAATCTTTTTTGCTGTTTATTCCGAAAGACTGCAAACTTTAGAAAACTCTTTTTTTTTAAAAAAAGTGAAACAATAAAACAAACTCATTAACAGTATTTTAAAGTTAAGAGTGCTGGAATCTGAATTTTGCACCATTGGAGGCTGATTTAAAGAAAGAAAAACTTGGCCAACAGAAAGGATCAGCTGGAAAGTGAGGAAGGCAGATTCCTTTGGCCTGCAAAGGTGCTAAACAAGAACTTATCTGGAGATCAGCACTCATGTAGCAGCCCCTCAAAGGCATAAACATCTGAATCAGTGCCCCCTAGGGGGTGTGGGAGGGAGGAAGACAGCAAAAGAAGACAGAAAGAGCTGTTTCCACATGAAGTTCAGTGTTGCTGTTCTGAGATTCTTTCAAGGGCATTCGGGCTGATATGACTGCTACGGCAACTGAGTTTGGCTTGCCTCTGGATCCGTTCATCCACTGCGTAAGGAAAGCACTCAGCCTGCCTACATAGCCCTTCCCTACACTTTGGAGCAAAAGTTAACAGGGGAAGTGATTTGTACTGCATTTGAGCACAGCATTTCCGACTGTTGCCAGAAAGAATGGGAAGGGGGTGGGGACTGCATCATATATAGATGGGGAAGCGTTCTGTCCAATAAGCATGGTACACACAAGTGTGCTTCTTCCATCCTTCCTGGAGGGTGGGGCACACCAGCCCAATGGAGGGTTTCCTGAAGAATGGAATAACTGATCTGGCCCTCTGTCTCCTTGCCTCTGTTCCTAGAGCAAACCAACACCAGCAAATGAACAAACACCAGCAAAACGTCCAACTACTGCAGAAGGCATCAGAATACGAGGAGCCCTGCTGGAGTACCCCCTGAATCTATCCAGCTGGGTATTCTGCCCCCAACGCTGGCCACCCAAATGCCACAAATCAGACAGAAAGGCACCAGCCACCCTCCCAGCTAGACTGGTGACTGGGAGCAGCCGCCGAGACCACATAACACCAGTCTTGAAAGACCTACATTGGCTCCCAGTACGTTTCCAAGCACAATTCAAAGTGTTGGTGCTGACCTTTAAAGCCCTAAACGGCCTCGGTCCAGTATACCTGAAGGAGCGTCTCCACCCCCATCATTCAACCCAGACACTGAGGTCCAGCGCTGAGGGCCTTCTGGCGGTTCCCTCGCTGCGAGAAGCCAAGTTACAGGGAACCAGTCAGAGGGCCTTCTTGGTGGTGGCACCTGCCCTGTGGAATGCCCTCCCATCAGATGTCAAAGAAATAAACAACCATCTGCTGTTTAGAAGACATGTGAAGGCAGCCCTGTTTAGGGAAGTTTTTAATGACTGATGTTTTAATGTATTTTTAATCTTTTGTTGGAGGCCACCCAGAGTGGCTGAGGAAACCCAGCCAGATGGGTGGGGTATAAATAATAAATTACTACTACTACCCATGGCAATTACCACTCAGCAAGCATTATTCCAAGCAGTGACAAAAACAGCAAAGACTACAGTGAAGGGGTTTATAGTCCTTGAGAGTTGTATCCAACTATGCTATATTCAGAGGAGACCCACTGAAATTAATGAACCAAAGTTACTTGTGTGCAGTAGGTCTACTCTGAGTAGGACTGACATTGGCTACAGTCCTTAATAACAATAAAAATCAAATGTGTGGTTTATTTATTTCCTGGTCACTGCCTCCACTGTTTTAACGGAAGCGAAGTCTAGGCCAAAAAGTCAAAGCATGCAGGTTTATACAACCTGTGGTATATGAGGAGGAGGCAGTTAGGAAGGCATCTCTCCACAATGGTTAATTGATGTCTGTTTTTAACTTTTTTGTATGGTCAAAGAATCATGGAATTGCGAAGCTGCCCTGCAATACAGGAATCTTTTGCCCAAGGTAGTTTTACATGGGGACAGGCAGGGTAGGGAGTGGGGTTGGCTGCAAATCACACAAACAAACACACACACACACACACACACACACACACACACACACACACACACACGGGGTATATATATGGTATATAAAGGTAAAGGGTAAAGGGACCCCTGACCGTCAGTTCCAGTCACAGACAAATCTGGGGTTGCAGCGCTCATCTCGTTTTATTGGTCAAGGGAACTGGCGTACAGCTTCCTGGTCATGTGGCCAGCCACTTCTGGTGAACCAGAGCAGCGCACAGAAACGCCCTTTACCTTCCCACTGGAGCGGTACCTATTTATCTACTTGCATTTTGACGTGCTTTTGAACTGCTAGGTTGGCAGGAGAAGGACCAAGCAACGAGAGCTCACCCCATCGTGGGGATTTGAACCGCTGACCTTCCGATCGGCAAGCCCTAGGCTCAGTGGTTTAGACCACAGCGCCACCCGCGTCCCTTAGGATATATGGTATATATTTTTTATTTAAAAAAATAAGGAGATGGAGTGTCAGCACCTCCTCTGATTGTCTCCTTTCCAAGCCAACAGGTTCAGCTCCTTATTTACTACTGCAATGAGTGGTGACAGCCCATGGCCAGACAGCAATAACAACACAGGTATTTAAAATTTGGCTGCACCTGTCCTTTAAACAATTATATTTTTCTCATTAAGTTTTGTTGTTTTAAACATGCTGTGGCCCATCACTTTGGGTATCCTTTTTCTAAGGAAGAGAACACATGTTTTTCTTTTATTACACGCATCAGGCATGAGCACTGAACGAGTATCCATTTTGCTTTGTGTACCAGAAACTAAAAGCTCTTGTTGTAGATCAGGCATAGGCAAACTCCGGCCTTCCAGATGTTTGAGACTACAATTCCCATCATCCCTAGCTAACAGGGCCAGTGGTCAGGGATGATGGGAATTGTAGTCCCAAACATTTGGAAGGCCGGAGTTTGCCTATGCCTGTTGTAGATCCAAATGCACACCCAGAATATTCAGTGAGCGCATGTGCTCCCCCCACTCTCCACCCCCCACAGCACCCTGTGGGGAAAGTATGTGTGAAGCACCCCCAAACTAATAGGGAAATTTATAGCCTTGAGGACTGCAATCCTATCCGCGCAAGCTCTACACACCCTGGTGTGGAAAGAGGAAGACATATATTTAACGTTTGGGGTTGAGTCAAGCCTTTCATTAACATAACAGCAGCGCATTTTCTAAACAATTTAAGGGCAACACTGACGTGCCTTTCTGAAGAACTCCATTGTCTTGTTGTTAATTGACTGGGAACACATCCAACAAAAAGACTTATTGCTGGTTGGCCTTGCTGAACTAGTTTCGTCTCCGCTTAGGTGCCATGGTCAGATTCCTGTCTTGGGCTCATTAAGGAAGCATCTAAAAATAATTGCATTGTGAATTATCAGCCCAATCTCCATGCCCCTTGGAAGGTTCAAGCCTCACTCATTTCAATGAGGTCAGTGCCAAGACAATATCCGGGGAGCTCTTTCTAAGGCAGCTCACATTGTAAGGTACAGGCACACACACCCCACTTTTGTGGGGGTTACCTTCTGGACCCGTGTGCGCATAAATCTTGTAAAGTGGGGAGCACTCTCTAAGCGCCCTTTAAACACCTTCTCTGCCACACTCTCTTCAACCCACACCAAAAATTGTTGTCGTTTAGTCGTGTCCGACTCTTCATGACCCCATGGACCAGAGCACGCCAGGCACTCCTGTCTTCCACTGCCTCCCGCAGTTTGGTCAAACTCATGCTGGTAGCTTCGAGAACACTGTCCAACCATCTCGTCCTCTGTTGCCCCCTTCTCCTTGTGCCCTCCATCTTTCCCAACATCAGGGTCTTTTCCAAGGAGTCTTCTCTTCTCATGAGGTGGCCAAAGTATTGGAGCCTCAGCTTCAGGATCTGTCCTTCCAGTGAGCACTCAGGGCTGATCCAAAAATATCCACAACTAGAACTGAAGCTCTGTGGTTGGCAGGAGGCTGGAGGACGCAGGCGAAAGCAGCTGCTGAATTTTCCCCGCACATCAGTTGTTGGGGAGAGGCTGAGCAGTGTAAACCAGGGGTCGGCAACCTAAGGCCCATGGGCCACAAGCGGCCCATAGGGGTCGTTTAACCGGCCCATGGACCCCCACAGCCCATTCAGGGACCCCTGCCGCCCGATCAGTCAGCTCCCACGCGCTGCAGTAAACCGGCGTGGAGCAGACAGGGGACCGCCTTCCGCTATGCTGGCCGGCTTCCCATTGGCTGCACGAAGGTCCTGCAGCCAACGGGAAGCTATGCACGCCTCCGTGCCGGAAATAGCGTTTGCACATGCGTGCGTGCACAATCCAGCCCACTGTGGCATCTGCAGGACCATGAACCGGCCCAAGCCACAATTATTATTATTATTATTATTATTATTATTATTATTTATACCCCGCCCATCTGGCTGAGTTTCCCCAGCCACTCTGGGCGGCTCCCAATCGAGAGTTAAAAACAATACAGCATTAAATATTAAAAACTTCCCTAAACAGGGCTGCCTTCAGATGTCTTTTAAAGATAATATAGCTGCTTATTTCCTTCACATCTGAAGGGAGGGCGTTCCACAGGGCGGGCGCCACTACCAAGAAGGCCCTCTGTCTGGTTCCCTGTAACCTCACTTCTCACAGTGAGGGAACCGCCAGAAGGCCCTCGGCGCTGGACCTCAGTGTCTGGGCTGAACGATGGGGGTGGAGGCGCTCCTTCAGGTATAGAGGACCGAGGCCGTTTAGGGCTTTAAAGGTCAGCACCAACACTTTGAATTGTGCTCAGAAACTTTGCCAACCCCTGGTGTAAACAAAGCCCTGCTGCGCCTCCTCTTTCGGGGCTCCCTCCGCCTTGACATCCTCTTCAAGCTCTGGGGAGGGTCTCCTCGTCAGCCACAAGGACTCTCCAGCTCTCTCCCACCATTTCTGGGTTTGAAATGAATTATTTCCTGGTGCCACGCGTAAATGCAAGTCAATCGCACATAAATAAGGGGGGGGGGGGGAGTCACACACCTGTATAAATCTCTTACCCCAGTCTGAAAAGCTGCCCCGGCATTTCTATTCACATTGGTGAAGTTGTATGTTTGACGACACCAAAAAAGGGATCACAGGATCGTAGAGTTGGAAGGGATCCCAAGGGTCATCTCGTCCAACCCCCTGCAAGGCAGGAATCTTTTGCCCAACACGGGGCTCAAGCCCACAACCCTGAGATTAAGAGTCTCGTGCTCTTACCGATGGATCTATCCCAGAATTGATCAAGTTAGTACACCCCAGATAGAGAACTCATGTGCAGCAACTATATTTCTTAGCCATGTTTGTTCCTAGCAGGATAAACCAACAATAGCAGGAATATCAATTGTGGGATACTGGAGCATGACAGGATTCCACACACTGCTTCCATTCACATACATTCCCTGGTAGCATCACAGTGTTAGAAATCAACTGGTCCAAGATTCCATAAGGTGACTGCATATTGAAAACTTGGTAAATGCTGACATTTGCCAGTAACTCTTACGCAATTTTGAAGGGCAGTGGGAAATTTCAGTACATTTCAAGAATAACCATGAGGCCTTGGCAGGTGGCCAAATATCATATTCAGTTCCACCAGTTACTAGTTAATGCTGGCATGACGTTCACCCAGCTGTGTTGGTATATGTTCAAAGCAAAACTCATGATAGAATCGATGCTTACATTTACATCAAGATGAAATGGGACCGGGTTTTTTAGATTTACAAGTTAGAATTTTATAACATTTTCTGCTTTTCTTGTAAAATATCAAAGATTAGTGGTAACATTCCGCAAGCAAGTACAATACAGCAACATTTGCTGTTACACAAGCTCCAGAATGAACAGTAAGTTTCATTGTCCTGAGGAAACCCAGTAAAAAACGATACAGAAAAGTTTTATCAAAGTTAAAAAATATATGTTTACATACTTTATTTTTTCTTTAAAAAAACACAAAAGTAGCCAAAGCCAACATATCTGAATACAAAAAGATAGAATACTAATACAATGTATTTATAAAAATGACATACAAATATAAAAATATGTCTTTTTTGGCCAGAACATCAATTATGTTTAATTGATTTGCGTTGGCATGGCGATTGGAAGAGGTCCATTCATACTAAAGTCCATTCATACTAAAGGATTATTCTTCCTAGCCTCTCCAAGAAAATCATATGCTATTTCTGCGACATCAAAGGCTTTGTGAAGGCCTTCTGACGACAGCAGAGAGGACAAAGCACCATCCCTTTCTCGGTTTTTCTTCAAGAAGTCGGCAATCATCCGCCAGCGAGTGCCTTCAGATTCTTCTTCTGCCCACTTGTACTCTGGGAGGAACACAGACTGAAGAAGGGGGAAGACAGAATCGTGGTACACCAGGACGAATACAGACTTCAAAAATTCCCGATCTCTCTAAAGAGGAGGAGGAAATAAATGAAACGTGTTACTATTTGACGGCTTCCTAAAATTAGATTCATTTTCTTGCGCTGGAATTGCCACGAGTCACCTCATGTTGACGCAGCCTTGTCTGTTCCCCTCCCCCACCAATCACGTTATAACTGCTGCAAGTAAGACAGATAGATTTATAAAAGCCATCAGTAAAATGGAAAACCAATTCTTTAAAGCACCAGCAAAGCCAACTATAAGCAGCTAAACAGAGGAGAAAGATAAATGAGTGCTCCTTCAATCCAGCCTTCAGATAAGCTGTTGTGATGTCAAAATGGTTCACCTTGAACCCTCACTGCGCCGCAACAGTTGACAGCTGCTGCATGCAAATTTGCTCCTTCAATTTTAAACTGAGGCTCTAGGGTTGATAGATGCATCAGATTTGGACGGCCAGCTTGATCTCACCTTGTGCCCTAGCCACTAAGAAACAAATTCAGGCTTGGGCCACAGCTACTGCCCTATCCTGTGCACAGCAGACAGAGTGGGGCAGCAACACTTTGCTTGGCACAAAATCCAATGAGAAAGATCCTTTGTTGTTGTTGTTGTTTAGTTGTTCAGTCATGTCCGACTCTTCGGTGACCCCCTGGACCAGAGCACGCCAGGCACTCCTGTCTTCCACTGCCTCCCACAGTTTGGTCAAACTCATGCTGGTAGCTTTGAGAACACTATCCAACCATCTCGTCCTCGGTCGTCCCCTTCTCCTTGTGCCCTCCATCTTTCCCAACATCAGGGTCTTTTCCAGAGAGTCTTCTCTTCTCATGAGGTGGCCAAAGTATTGGAGCCTCAGCTTCAGGATCTGTCCTTCCAGTGAGCACTCAGGGCTGATTTCCCTCAGAATAGATAGGTTTGATCTTCTTGCACTCCATGGGACTCTGAAGAGTCTCCTCCAACACCATAATACAAAAGCATCAATTCTTCAGCCTTCTGCTCTTAGCAGCACAAGCCCATGGCAACATGACAACCTATTGGGCTTGCACAAGAATCTTACGGCAGTATGCCCCCCCATCCCACCCCAAAACTGAAATACACCATTGCGCAGAATTGGTGAAGAACTTTCCCAATGGATTTGGGGCAAGGCTGGCCCTCCCCAGGTCTAGAGCAAAGTACAAGCGGGAGCTGCAGTCCTCTTGAGCCAAAGCTGGGAGCCCCCTGCTCACGCCTGTGCTTGAATGAAGCTTCAATATATAATTATGCTTAAAACATATTTTGTGTGCAGAAGAAAGTGATTTTATTTCCTTACCTTCTCAGATCTCTTCAGCGTGCTTTCCTTCTCTGCCCAAGCACTCTAAAGGAATGAATGAATGAATGACTAACTCTGAGGCTCTGCACAAAGTTTTGAGACACTTCATATGCAAGCAAAGAGTGGCGGAATAAAAGGATTGTGGAGAGAGATGCAGATGAGAAAATCATTATGAATCGCAACCACTCAGAGATGGAAGAAGAAGAAGAAGAAGAGGAGTTTGGATTTGATATCCCGCTTTATCACTCCCCTTCAGGAGTCTCAAAGCGGCTAACATTCTCCTTTCCCTTCCTCCCCCACAACAAACACTCTGTGAGGTGAGTGGGGCTGAGAGACTTCAGAGAAGTGTGACTAGCCCAAGTTCACCCAGCAGCTGCATGTGGAGTGGAGATGTGAACCCGGTTCCCCAGATTACGAGACTACCTCTCTTAACCACTACACCACACTGCCTTGGAGCTGCCTTTGCGACTTTCCCTTGAAAATCTCCAAGGAAGGAGGAGAATGGGTGGTTTCTGCCCAACTGAACGGTTCTTAAAGTTTGGGGGGGGGGTTTGAGGGTGATTTTCAATGTATAAGCCAAATCAAAGTTGGGGATAACTTAAACCCAATTGGTTGGATTCAGACTCAATTATCCTTCACGCAAACCCAGTGAAATACATGGGATTTGCATTAGAAAGACAAAGTTATCTCCCACTGATTCCAGTGGTTCTTCTGCTCTAAGGATAATAGAGTCTGAATCAAACCTTTGGCATCATATAGAAAGCCTCCTTCTATCAACAGTAGAGGGCTGATCCAGTAGAGGCTTCCCAGTAGCAGAAGAAGCCATTTTTGTTGACTTCCCCCTCCCTCTGTAGCCCCACCATCTTTCTAGAGGATTTTCCAGCCCTCTAAAGCAGATTTTGGGGGAGTGCTGGAAGCTGTAGGGGGAAGAAGGAAATCAGCAGAAGTCACCTCCCTTTCATCCAGCAGCAGCAAAGTCTGGATCCAAACCATTTATCTTTTTCTTTTCAGTTATTCTAATGCAGGGACCAGGCTGGAGACCCCTTTTCTAACACATCTTAAAAAAAAATATCTGAATACCACTAAATCTGTTCCCTTAATCTGTTTCCCGCCCCCACGGAGCTAAACAGGATCTGGCCTTCTAGCTTTTCCCCAGAGGATTCGTAATCATGTTAGATGACCAGAGATGTTGGCAGAAATCACTCCTTCCATTATGACTGTAGGAAAGTCAAACTTCTCTGAATTTTTCTTTCAACACACCACCACACCCTTTTGCTGCATTCCAGCCCTTCCTAAGCCACCTCTTTCCAAAGACTTTGGGCATTTCACTTCTATTTCTGTTTGCTTTGCTTTCAGCACATTATTGACCTAAGCTTAGCATCGTCAGAGCAGCTGTTTAAAACAACAGTGGGATGGAGGTGTGCAAAAGCGTTCAATCCTCCCATGCCGGAAAGAAAGAGGCTTTCAAAGCTGTCCTTTTGGATTAGTGATGCAATACGTTTCACGCACCCTGAGCGCATCCATGAGATCAGGCTGCTCCATGAGTTTGGGGAAGGTTGCCAAAACTGGATTGCCAATCAAATCTGCAAGGGAGATTGAAAAGGTGTCTGTTATTTGGGAAAGCTTTAGCAGCATTTTATGCGAGGCAGAAACAATTCACAGGAGAATGTGAACAGCAGTTTTGGCCTTTCACGATTCTGAACATCCACTGAAGACAGTTTTTAGCACAAATGCTGGCTAGAATGTGGAGAAAGAGGGAGAACGTGGTTGAACTGCCCACAAAAATAATATCCGGGGGGGGGGGGAATAGCCAAAGCAGTATTTTATATCACAAAGACTGGATTATCTGTAACAGCAGAACACACTTCTACAATATTTAATTTAAGACTATAAGCTTCTGTAAAGAGCCATGTTTTATTTATGGCAGCCTGTAAGTTCTATGGTCATGAGTAGAGCTCATTGTACGTATGTATGAAAATTTATTTAGGTTGCTTGCTTCTAAAAATCCCATAAGTATGATATGAGGACAATAGCCATGCGCTCTTCAGGCCCAACAGGAACATGAGCTTTTGGATTTGACAAATGAACTTGGAAAAAGCCAGATTTGGAAAGAAAAAGTTTGGTTTGGTTTGGAAATGGGGGGCTGGATAGACCCCCCTATGCAGGGATGCTTGGGGGTTCCTAATTTTGGAGGGGTTTTGAAACATGTTCTTAAATACCACATGGAATTTAGTGTGGATTATGGAAAAGGGGCTGATCCGTCAAGAAGGGTCAAAAATATTGTTAAGCTGGAGTTCCCATGAGTGAAACGAGCAGGAGACAAGGGAAAATACAGTTACAAATATGAAGAAGAGCTGCGGAAGGGACAAGGAAGAGACTTAAGGGCCTCGGATATAAGGTTACCAGGTTAATGCGCTAGATCGATGGGATAATAAGGACTGACAAAACCCGGGACCAGGAGGAAGGGACGCTGGATGAAGATTGGATTGTTTTTATTTCTTTTATAAAATTGATGAATGTTAGAAAAATGTTGGAATGAAATTACTTGGCTTTAGTAAAAATGTTTAAAGAATTATGTAAGAATATTATGGTTATGAGAAGTTGGTAAAAATAAGATTTAAGTTTTAAGTTTCAAGGTTTTTTATAGTAAGATAAGATTAAAATAGTTTAAGGTAATGTAATGACAGAATTTTATGAAATATGGAAAGGATTTGCTGCAACAATTAACAACTAGGATACAAGAAAAGGGAGGAGGAGGAGGTCAAGAAAGAAGGTAATGACAGTTGAGGATTTGAGAATAATGGATTTGTTTTTAAATGTTTGTGGTGTATTTTTGTTTTGTTTTTTTGAATTTGTATTGTTGGATGTGGTTTGTGTTTTTCTTTGTTCTTTCTTTGTTCTTTTTCTACTTTGTTTTCTTTTGTAACTCTAAATTTTTTTTTTCCAATAAATATCATTTAAAAAAAACAAAACAATAGCCATGGGCTCTTGTATCACTCCTGCGTCTGGTAGAAACAATTGGGACGGGTTACCATTTCTGAAGGTTTGAGGGTAGGTTAAGAGTGTCATGTATCAATTCTATGTGCATGTCCCCTTCCTGAGATACAAAAGAGTTTTTTATTCACAATCTTATACCCCTGTACAAAATGTAAAGCTGTGAACTGGCTGGCCCCCATATTGTGAACTGGCCCTCCAACACGTGCAGTTGAAAGGTTAAAGTGGGTCAGAATCACTGCAAATAACAGCCATGTAAAAGCATTCAGTTCATTTTGAAATGCTGGTTTCCACTTATATGTGCGTCATAAAAAAATTTAAGTTGAAGTAGCTTTAATCTGTTTTAGTATTTTAACTTTTGTGTGTTTTAAAGCATGCTTGAGATTTTTTCTAGCTTTTATTGTTTTATTACTTTGTAAACCACTTGGAGGATTGTTGTTGTTGTTTACAATCAATCAGTATATAAATTATATGAAATAAATAAATACACTTCCAAGTTCGGCGTGATGTGTGTGTGCATGGTCACGCAAATATCAGATGCTCCTAAAACGGTTGTTGCCTATACCAGATGCTGTGAGCAACACAATATGTGCTATAAACTGGGAAAGAGTGCAAATATTGTCAAGAGCTTTTAAGCAGGCATTTTAAGTTGCTGGTTTTCTACATAAAGGTTCCAACCACAGGAAATTTACACTTAGGAACTGCAACCAATTAGGTATTTTACACTTCCAAGCATTGACAAAGAACCAGATGGCATGGGACCAATCTCTGCTCATCCATGAATTCAGTGGATTTTCTAAAACCAGTTTTCAGAAAGCATTTTCTCAGAGCCTTGTTTCCCCACCAGACACTGATGCATCACTTCCTTTCGTTCAGGCAAAACACCCTCTCCACCAAAACCTGGCTGTCACTGTGTCAATGCACATTCCAGAAGCCACCAAACCCTGTCATAAACTCAGACTGATTTCCACCCTGACACCTAGCACTCCTTTGCCATAACAGAGGTGACAGTGGCACACCAAGTAGTATGCATGTTACAATAGGAGGAATGCAAAAGTACAAAAAACAACTCTGGAGGAAGCCTGCTCTCCCTGAGCAGAAGCGAACATGTTTCTTTGCTGAACAGGAGGTAGGTTAAGGAGGGGAAATAAATGTTTTTGAGGTAGGCCATGCATTCCCTTGTCTCAGGACTTTTAACTACACCTTTCTTAACGGGTTGAATTATAAAAAGCAAAAAATATAAGTTCCACATTATTGTTTAAATGAGGACTCCTGTTAAGATTTAAAACATGAAGTTTACACAATACCTTTTAAAAAAAAACAGGGAAAGATCAAGGCACAATCAGAAATCCATACCATGGTCACATGATTCCATGGAAAATGCACTGCTAATTTCCAGTGGAAACACTTGTTATAGCTGCATCCTTAATTCACTTCACTAGAAATGTATTTGTAAGACATAAGGATAGGAAAATGTCTGGGGATTGTCAGGGACATGTTGACTTATTGTGCAGGGATGTGCTTTAACTGCTGCTGACAGAACAATGTCATTCCCATGCTGTTTAAATATACCCAGACTGGCTGAGAAACACTTGCCTGGTTCATGCATGATACTAAGCGAAACCATGGCCAAGCATGAACACATGAGGATACAGGTATTCACACTAAGAATTATGGCTCTTTGTTCTGTGTCTGAACCTAGGCTTGTGGTTTGTCACACACCAGAAAACCACAGGATTTAGGCAAGGTTTGTTCTTGGTTTACCGCTCACAGATTGCCTGGATTGTGACAAACCACGAGCCAAACCATGTGTGACATAACACTAAGCCAAACCATGGCCCAGCCCAGAGTAGCGTGTTAACCAGAAGAGCAAAGGGACTGCAATTTTTATGACAAGTACCTGCACACTTAGCCACAGTTTGGCTTAGCATCACATCCATAACTGAGCCACTGTTGTGCCCTTGTACCTGAAGCATTTTTAGGAGAGTGACAGAGAGAACACAGATTCTAGCTGAACACGTAACCCCTGCTAATTTTTGGATTTCTTGCAAACGAACTGCAGTGCCAGGTAGGGCATTTTTGCAATGACCACCTCTGCTCTTGTGACGCGGGTGGCACTGTGGGTTAAACCACAGAGCAAGGACTTGCCGATCAGAAGGTCGGCGGTTCGAATCCCCACAACGGGGTGAGCTCCCGTTCCTCGGTCCCTGCTCCTGCCAACCTAGCAGTTCGAAAGCATGCCAAAGTGCAAGTAGATAAACAGGTACCGCTCCTGCAGGAAGGTAAACGGCGTTTCCGTGCTCTGCTCTGGTTCGCCAGAAGCGGCTTAGTCATGCTGGCCACATGACCCAGAAGCTGTACGCCGGCTTCCTCGGCCAATAAAGTGAGATGAGCACCACAAGCCTAGAGTCGGTCACGACTGGACCTAATGGTCAGGGGTCCCTTTACCTTTACCTTTTACCTCTGCTCTTAATGAAGAGAGCGGGTTGAGGGCCACTTCTTTAACTGTTTCAGAGTTCCTGAGAATGCATTCATTTACATGAACTGCTGAACCATGGGGTTTGGGGGGGGGGTGCCACTGGTGGAGCAGACTATGCCAAACTGAAGTTGGCCCTCTCCTGCTTTATGAAAGAAGAAATTACTTGACACCTCTCTCACACACATGGCAAGCACAGAAAGCAGCTTCTGCTTTTTCGACCCAAACATTACCAGACTTCCTTACCTGCATTTTGCATGTTTGGTCTGTCCCGGAGGAGCACATCACCAAGAATCTGACGATAAAATAATAAAAGGTGTATATAGCTCATGCTGCCAATTAATACTTCTGGTAGCAGACTGTTGTTGTTTTTTAAAAAAGCAAATAAAAACAAGGTTGTCAGTAAAAATTACTCCTGAAATATTTTAGCACATCTTAACATGCAAGATTTCTGAATGCAGTAGTATTAAGATGGACTTTATTCTGACCAGCTGTGAACTACTGCTTTAATCTTCTTGGCTATTAAGCAATTCACACATTAAATTGCAGTTTTGTGACTCAAGCCCTAACCACGGGAAAGGAACATATTCTCTGTTTCTAGGGTATACTGCACAATATACTAAAAGGTCCAACACTGTAAGGTGCATGAATTTTACCTTCTATACTTTTTTCGTTTGTCTAAAGTTAATTTGGGTCAACTTCTATGTTCCTAGGCAGGCACCATTAAGTAAAAAATATCAGATTTCTATTTTCAAATTTTCTTTGAAGAGGCATGTCCTATTCTCTCCCATCGGAACAGGGTGGAGGGAAGAAATCCTTGCATTTTCTAAAAAAACATTAAAATCTGCAAACTGGGAACACTTTTCAATTGATTGAAATGTTTCTATATTGCACTATGTTACTTCAAACTACAATTTACTATCTCCTCTTTTATTTCACCATTTGGGATACACTGTTCTTTCTCCTCCGGTACTTTGCATTAGATAGTTGACATGCAATAGTATTTAGAAAGGCTGGCAGCTGACATGCAATAGTATTTAATATTTGATAGTTGATAGTTGATAGAAGCCTGTCACATTCATAACAGAGCTTTACTGCAAGTTTGGACCTAATTTTTTAAAATTATACAGCCAAAATCTTTTACACTTGTTTCGTGTATGAGAGAAAGCTACACCTCAACGAAAGCTACACAACAATGTAAGCATCATAAGAAAACTGCAAACTTTGCTCACTTACTTCAATATTGCTCTGGAGTTGGTGCTTAATGACCTCAGTTTCACTAGAAGTTGAGGCTGCTTCCTCAGTGTTATCATGTTATGGAAAACACTGCCACTGGCTTTAGCAAAAAGAAATAAAGCAGAGAATCAAACATTATCAGTACTTGGGTTACTTTTAAGTGTTCTCAAATACGTAATTCATTTATTTCTGCATCCAGCACTTTTTCCATCTGTTTATCTCTACCTGTTCTCATTCTGATCTCTGTGGCTCACTTTAATGAGTAGGACCAAATCAGAAACATTAAGTCATACTTTTCACCCTCCCCTTTGCAGTTAAAATTCTAATTATTCCAACACCTATCACACTTCTTCTTTAAACAAAATGTCTTAAAACCCTTCTTTTCCTCTTTGGCGTTGACAGCCATGTTTCCATCTGGCAATCAGAGTTTCCACAGGCACACAATGGCACTTTTAACACTGCTTATTTAGAATTCCTTTCCTTAGATTGGCATGGACGTGCCTGTTTCCTTTGTGTTTCAAACTTGTGAAGTGCTTATGCAACATCATGCGTTTCATAAATAAATAATAAAATAACGGAGGATTTCTGGCAACAGGGCATACAAAATAGTTTTCAGTTTCAGATAAGGGACAAGATAAGCTCTACCTCTTCTCAAAATCGACGGGTCTACTTCAACGCCCTTTTCGTAGGGAGTCCCACCATTCAAAAGCAGCTCATACGTTCTGAAAAATATACAAAACACAAGACACCTGGGTTCTTTTCTGACATGGATGAAAAATGAAAGAAATATGTGCCTTTTCCTGAAGCTGCAAAAGGTATTTTGTGCAAATCACATGTTTTCGTATTTTGCATTTTCTGAACGAAGGCAACAACAACAAAATACCTAGTCAAAAAAAAATTCTTAATAGCTCGATTTGATAAGCATCCATGGAAGGTTCCATAAAAATGTCTTCCCTAAATAGCACAGAGTTCTCTTTTTATAAGCCTTTAGAAATTCTACACTTTATGAATCTGTACTTTGTAAAGCAGTATGGCCATCAGTGGCATGACCCTCCTGTCAGTTGTAGAAGTGGGTCAGATAGAGAGACAGATAAGAGATATATGGTGTCACTTTTTGTACCAAACAACTATGGTGTGCACAAACCCACTCAGAACAAGCATTGAGAACTTCCTGATAATATATGGAAACTAATTACTGGATGCTGTCCTATGAAAGATGACCCAATAAAAGACCATCAAACCAGGCAATCCCAGAGGTTGATAGGTATATTAACCAATAAAAACAGCATCCAATAAATCATTTTCATGTGTTATTTGGCGGTTTATGAATCTCACCTGGATAAGTGGATTAGTACAAATCCCAATAATTTGGGGTGAATTCCTTCCCCTTTTAAAACAAAGTATTTCTACTATCCATACCACTGCAAGGTTGCAATGATTGAGAATGCTGCTTAAGACCCACTCACCACAACTTGCTTTTGCTCAACAGAATGCTTTGCTTTTATACATTACAATTGCTCGCTCCAGGTGTATCACAAGCCACTCTGGAAATATTCATATATTTCAAAAGTAGTTCATGAAGGGTTATTATTTGGGAAACCAGAGTGAATAAAAATCAATGGTTTTAAAAAAATAATTAAAAAAATGGATTTTTAAAATTTTAAATTGATTTTTTTTTTAATTTAAATTGGATTTTTAAAATAAAATGCTTTTGGAGGAAAAATCTTTCTAAAGATAGTTTTCTATTTAAGTTACATTATAGTCTAAAGGCTATTCATCAGGAAATAAGGATTTGTTTTAAGTTTTTCATGTGTAATAAAACTCAGTCTAAGTTTTTGATTTTTTAAAAACTGTTTAACCACATCAGTTAACAAACATGGATACATATGTTACAATGTTATTTAGTTAAATAAATAAATTGTTTAAATTATTATTAAGGAAAGGATTATTTTTCTCCTTCCATTAAAGTACAGCAGAAAAGTTGACCAAATATAAACAGTTAACATATTAAACCTCACAATAATGTCATAATTATCTGTCCATGTATTTCTAATAGTATAACCAAATCAGTAATTTTTGATATAACTGTAAAAACTACTCTAAAAAATTATTATTCCAAAAATGAAACCTTCATCTGGTTGTCAATATTAAGATTATAGTAGCAAGAACGAGTGTTTCTGTTAAAAAAAAAAAGATTTAAATCAAGTCTTACTGACTAGTGATTAAAATCGTGATTTAAATTGATTTGATTTAAATCAAATCCACCCTGTGGGAAACTAAAAGTTTTGGGCATGCAGACACTTGTACAATTCTCTGGGTTGTGGCTCTCAAGTTATCATCAGGTAAATTACCTGAAAAGCTTCTCCGGGGTCAAAGATACATCCTGGGCGCATTCACAAATGTCATTTAAGGCAGGAACCACTGGCGCTAAATTTACTGTTTCGAATTCCATCCTGACCTGTTCACCTCTAGTGCTGTTGTGCAATTCACTTCTCCACGCGGAAGTGACTCATCTGCTCCCTCCTCTTGGTTTTTCATCTAAACTGCACAGAATGCCCAGAAACAACCCTGTGCCGATTTTGTATCTTTCTAGTGATCACATAATTACAGATAGGTAAAGATACAGGCAAAGGGACCCATGACCATTTGTTCCAGTCGTGGCCGACTCTGGGGTTGCGGCGCTCATCTCGCTTTACTGGCCGAGGGAGCCGGCGTACAGCTTCCGGGTCATGTGGCCAGCATGACTAAGCCGCTTCTGGCGAACCAGAGCAGCACACGGAAATGCCGTTTACCTTCCCGCCGGAGAGGTACCTATTTATCTACTTGCACTTTGACGTGCTTTCGAACTGCTAGGTTGGCAGGAGCTGGGACTGAGCAACGGGAGCTCACCCCGTCGTGGGTATTCAAACCGCTGACCTTCTGATCGGCAAGTCCTAGTTTAACCCACAGCGCCACCCGCGTCCCAATTACAGATAAAAGGCAGCCAAATTATGACAAAGGAATCCTTCAGCTTTGAGTTTCTAGATATGGATGAACAGAACATCCTAAAGATACACTGAACTGGCTTCCAAGTTCAGAAGCATCATATGGACACTCAGCCAGGGACCCTCCAATTTAGAATAGTTTGAGATGTTGCTCTTTTGCAGCCAAAATTATCTGAAAGACAGATAACCCACATTTATTCCCAGCATTGCTGGATCCTTTTCATGCACACATATATACATCCCTTTATTTCTCATCACTCAATGACTTGCAGTTGAATGTGTGAAAAGACTGAACTGAAGAGTGTCGGGTTTGAGGCAACAGGAAAGTTCTGAATGTGACATTAGATCTGTGATGGCTCATGCACACATGCAAATCATTACTTGTCTCTGTATAAATCAGATGATGAACGTGCATGCTTGAATTGGCAAATCAGAGATATTTCACCCGTTTGCACCACTTATTTGCCTGTATTTACAAATGCAATAGTGATGTATGGAAGTGAGAGCTGGACCATAAAGAAGGCTGATCACTGAAGAATTGATGCTTTTGAATTATGGTGTTGGAGGAGACTCTTGAGAGTCCCATCGAATGCAAGAAGATCAAACCTATCCATTCTGAAGGAAATCAGCCCTGAGTGCTCACTGGAAGGACAGATCCTGAAGCTGAGGCTCCAATACTTTGGCCACCTCACGAGAAGAGAAGACTCCCTGGAAAAGACCCTGATGTTGGGAAAGATGGAGGGCACAAGGAGCACAGGATGACAGAGGACAAGATGGTTGGATAGTGTTCTCGAAGCTACCAGCATGAGTTTGACCAAACTGCGGGAGGCAGTGGAAGACAGGAGTGCCTGGCGTGCTCTGGTCCATGGGGTCACGAAGAGTCGGACATGACTAAATGACTAAACAATAACAACAACAAATGCAAAAATGAGCCCGATGTCTGCCAAAACATTATTTAAGTTGGTCCTTAAAACAGAGTATGTACCACTTTTCTGGGCTTTGTCGTGTATCCTACAGTAGATACTGGGCTATAAAGTGGAGGTCTCCTTCAAATTAAGCTGCCAGCACAAAATGGTCCTTGCTTAACTTTTGGCCTTTGCCCCTACAAGATTGTTGATTTGGGCTTGTTTTTCTCCCTGACTTCCTGATGTTTTTGCATTATCTGCTGCTTCCTGTTTCTATTTTAATATTTTACTTGCTGCTTTTATTAAATTGTTGACATAAGCTGCCTTGGATGCTTCTATGACTCTTAGAAGACATCTGAAGGCAGCCCTGTATATGGAAGCTTTTAATGTTTGATGTTTTACTGTGTTTTTATATTTTGATGGAAGCCTCCCAGAGTGGCTGGGGCAACCCAGTCAGATGGGCTGCATATGATTAATACAAGGGGAAAGGGACAGGGAGGGAAGAAGAAATAAAAATCAAAGCTCAGGCACAAGTTTCTAAAAAGTTGTTCTATAATGACCAGATGGTGCACAGTTCAAGGGCAGGAGGAATAGGCTGGTATAGTAGCTATAGAACTGAACTTTTGTTTGTTGTTTAGTCGTTTAGTCGTGTCCAACTCTTCGTGACCCCATGGACCAGAGCACGCCAGGCCCTCCTGTCTTCCACTGCCTCCTGCAGTTTGGTCAAACTCATGCTGGTAGCTTCGACAACACTGTCCAACCATCTCGTCCTCTGTCATCCCCTTCTCCTTGTGCCCTCCATCTTTCCCAACATCAGGGTCTTTTCCAGGGAGTCTTCTCTTCTCGTGAGGTGGCCAAAGTATTGGAGTCTCAGCTTCAGGATCTGTCCTTCCAGTGAGCACTCAGGGCTGATGTCCTTAAGAATGGAGAGGTTTGATCTTCTTGCAGTCCATGGGACTCTCAAGAGTCTCCTCCAACACCATAATTCAAAAGCATCAATTCTTCGGCAATCAGCCTTCTTTATGGTCCAGCTCTCACTTCCAACCATCACTACTGGGAAAACCACAGCTTTAACTATATGGACCTTTGTTGGCAAGGTGATGTCTCTGCTCTGTAAGATGCTGTCTAGGTTTGTCATTGCTTTTCTCCCAAGAAGCAGGCTTCTTTTAATTTCGCAGCTGCTGTCACCATCTGCAGTGATCATGGAGCCCAAGAAAGTAAAATATCTCACTGCCTCCATTTCTTCCCCTTCTGTTTGCCAGGAGGTGATGGGACCAGTGGCCATGATCTTCGTTTTTTTGATGTTGAGCTTCAAACCATATTTTGTGCTCTCCTCTTTCACCCTCATTAAAAGGTTCTTTAATTCCTCCTCACTTTCTGCCATCAATGTTGTGTCATCTGTGTATCTGAGGTTGTTGATATTTCTTCCCGTAATCTTAATTCCGGCTAGGGATTCATCCAACTTAGGACAATAATATAAGTGCTCAAATCTCTGTTCAGTCGCAAAGCATGGTGAGTGAACTTGAACCACTCACTATTTATCAGGCTGACCTACTTCACGGGGTTGTTGTGAGGACATTGCCCTCATGTCCTTGGAGGAAGGGTGGAAATAAAAATATAAACGACAACAGCTCAATATTAATTAACCTCCCTCTGGATAGAGTGAGATATTTTTAAAACTTTTCATCATTTGGCCAGGCAGCACCTTATAATTTGCGTTGTTTCAATTTGGCTACTGTTCTCGTCAAGTAAAATACTGAAGAATTGATTGATTCAACATGATTTCCTGTCTGTAAGTGACGGACATGAATTACATGCTTTGTGGAAATTCCTGTACTGGTATACTGGTTCCCTAAGCCTTAGTGATGAATGCAAATGAAACATCTTGCCCATCCTCTCTGTTCCTGCCAACTTTCAACAGGGGATTTGAGACAAGCCACAATGTGAAAATGGGTGTTCACCTCACTGTGTGCCAGTCATCACACACAGTAGCTGCAACTTGGTAATCTGGCCGCAAGTGTAGCTTCATAAGCACATCATATCATTTCAGCGGAAACAATACAAACTTGGAATTCAGAGAAAGAGGAGTTCAGCAATGCAAAAATGTTTTATATTCCAGTTCTGCCCTCTCCTCTAAAGGGCTAATGATTCTGGCTGCAGGTTTCTTATTGTTGTAGCAGAAATTACCCAAGATACACAAAGAGCAATAATACGACTAACACATTTGCAAAGCTAAGCTGGGTCCGGTAGGGTTTCAAACTGGATGAGGGACTGTATGTTGAGATTCCTGAATTGCCAGGGGTTGGACCAGATTCTATAAGTAACGATGATGCCACTGGTGAATTATAAGAAGAGATATGTATCTAATATTCTAAAAACAAGACTTTTTTCCTACCATATTTTGGGTTCTTTCCCCATTATTGTGCAGCCCTACATTTCATTTTGTAGGTAACAATGCTGCCTACTGAAGACTGAGATTGTGGGTTTTTTGATACAATACATATTGTTTTGCAGGTGACTCAAAAAGTGGGATTTCATTGGAGCACAGAGCTGGGACTTCAGTTGCAAGCCCCATTTGTCATGGGTCCAATGTGGGCAAGGCCTAACCTCAGCTCCCCACCTGTGGTAAAGGTCTCCACACACCATGAAAAATAGACACACACCCATTTATATTACATAGATTATTGCTTATTAAGTGCCATTAGGTAAGGTAAAGGTAAAAGGACCCCTGACCAGTCGTCCAGTCGTAACCAACTCTGGGGTTGCAGTGCTCATCTCGCTTTATTGGCCGAGGGAGCCGGCGTACAGCTTCCGGGTCATGTGGCCAGCATGACTAAGCCGCTTCTGGCGAACGAGAGCAGCGCACGGAAACGCCATTTACCTTCCTGCCAGAGTAGTACCTATTTATCTACTTGCACTTTAACGTGCTTTCGAACTGCTAGGTTGGTAGGAGCTGGGACCAAGCAACGGGAGCTCGCTCCATCGCGGGGATTCAAACCACCGACCTTCTGATCGGCAAGTCCTAGGCTCTGTGGTTTAACCCACAGTGCCACCCGCGTCCCTTGCCTACTAGGTACCAGGTGACTATATGCACTCCCATCCTGTACCACTAGTGGAATTTCCACACAATTGATATGGGTAGTCTTGCTTTGTGGGGCAATCTTGTTTTGGGAGACAAGTACATTGAATTATGATTCTTAAGTGCTGCACAAACACTCCAGCTTTTGGGAGGAAAACCAGAAGAAAATGACGATGCTATGAAGGGGAGGTGTGGGGAGGGATGTGTCGCCCACTCCTCACAATTCAAGGCACAGACAGTGTCCAGTTATATGAGCCCAAGACAGCTGCAGAGCACAACGCCATCACCACAGCCTTCTACTGTTGTGCTTGCTAGGATAAGAATCACATTCTGCCCCCCTCCCCCTCATTACACAACACAGTGCAACCAGCTTGGGGGAAAGGCAATCTCTGCCATAGGATTATGATCCTCAGGGAAAATGTCCAAACTGTAAAATGCGTAAAGCTGCACATAAAAAACCGTGTAGAAAGGACTCTCAGGAACAACCTTCCTTGCAGGGAAGGGGTGTTCTTCCAGGGCAAGGGGCTGGGGGAAGAATGGGAAACTCCCAGGTGAGAGCTGGGAGGGCTAACCTTTTTCTGTTGGGAACAAAAGTTAAGATATACCTGCGAGGAAGGACTTTGAAGTCTTAATAAAATTTCATAGATGGCTCAATGGCTTGGTATAAGGCAGCTTCCAAAAAAAAAAAAAAAAAAGGAGCAGCCTTCCTTGTGAAGCTGGCAAACGGTAAATATTTTAAAGCAATTAAATAATTATAATAACTGTATTAAGCATAAAATACAGGGGGGGGGGCACGCCATCAGATTATTTTAGTGCCTTTGCCAAAGCTAAAGAAAGCTTTATTCAGGACTGTGGAAATGATACTAGAAAGGATGGCTAAAACAGTCATAAAGGAAGTCCACAGGCAAGTTGTTGTTGTTTTAAGAAAAGAAAATATGGGCCCACTTCAAGTTTTGAAAATAAACCAAACACATTTTAAAATCATTTAGGGGGTGAGACTTGTTTAACAAGCTTAGCAGTCTCAGGGCAAGTTAACAGGCTGCATACACATCACATGACATCGAGTTTCAGTATTCACCCAGGCTATGAGACACATGTAGTACAAGCCTAGCAATGAGTCAGTCTTGGGGCAGTATCCAAGCCCAGCTCAAGGATCTGTGGTATGATCAGAAATGTTCCTCTCAAGGACAGCCTCTGTGAGCCGAGCCCCTGGAATGCAGAAATGGCAAGAATGCTTGGGTGGCAAAAGACGTTAATTAGCATTAGTCAGTTTTGGTCCTGCCTTGCCTTGCATAGAAAAGGGTTTTCTTTATAAAAAAAAATATGTGGCGTACGTAATGCTATATTAAGTAAACATCACTAAAGCTGGCCTTGATGAACTTTGGAGGAAGAAAGAGATGAATGTGTGTTAATTTGTAACTTTCAAGGCTGCGCTTCTATCACGCTTACTTAGGAGTCCCATTGAACCCAGTGGGAGATTTGAGTGCAGGTTTCAGCAAGGGATGGGGAATCTGCAGCCAGTGTTCGAAACTCCCATTGTTCTAGGTGCATTTTGCAAACAGGGAATTTCATTAGCATGAGCAGTTTCTGAACTCTGGGCACAGAACTGCACCTAAGATTTCAGATTAAAACTGCAGAGTGGAAGGAAAGGAGAACCTTTTTCTGCCTCCCCACTTCCAGCTACTCTCTGAAGACTGGAGAAGAGACTCTCTTAAGAATATTAGAGAGGTGGGCAGGGGAAGGACTGGACTCTGTCAAAAATGAACATAATATTTTAGCTGCAGTTCACTCATTTTCAGCTTTGTATTCTTGTTATAAAAAGCATACCGAGACATTCCGTTGTTGCGCCCATAACCTAGGTTTAAGGGGCTATTTAACGCCTAGCTTTCTTATCTCAGTTTCTAACACTGTCTTGTAGTCTTCTAATTGTGAAGACTACAATTCCCATCATCTCCAACCATTGGCCACGCTGTCTTGGACTGATGGGCGCTGAATGACATCTGGAGGGCCACAGGTTCCCCCTCCTTAGTTGAAGATGCAACAGATAGTCAGTTGAGAGCATTAGCCAAGGCGCTGAGTAAATCTCACTGATATTGTGATCCTGGTGTACAGCCAAGTTGCCTGTTGCAATTCAGATTTCCTCTTGCTAGAATTCCCCCCCCCCCCACCATGGCAAAAAAAATTGTTTCTGTTGGCAAAGAATGTGAAATCTGGAAAATGTTGCAGATGCATTTGCAATTATGTGCTTCTGATAAGTAATGTAGTATTATTGTGAAATGAATACTGTTAAACTGAATCTTTATCTGCTATGCTTATTTCTTTTAAGCTTTAGCTTTATGGGGAAGTATTGGCAGGCACTAGGGAAATAGCAGCAGGATACGAGTGAGAGCCAGGAGATACGTCACCATGGCCAGCATCCAGAGAGCTCCAATGTGGGAGCAGAAAACACTTCCAATTTTGTGTTTGGGAAGAGGGGCTGTTGATCCTCCTCCAGTTTCATCTGTTCCACCAATACATCATTTACAGCCCTCCCTGGAGTGGCTCAGGACGGGGGGAGGGGGGAGAGAAAGGGGAATGGTGGCCTGCGGTGGGAAAGGGGGGTCTCTCTCATCCTCAGTTCCCTGTATGTTAAACAGGAGCAACTGCAAACTAGCATTCAGGATTGGTGTGTGGACCACCATAATAAAGAATATGAATTCGAAATGCTTAGGAGGTGAAGCAGCTGCCATACAACTTTGAGGGGGGAAACCTGGCAATGCAACTTAATATTTTAAATGCTCCCCCAAAAGTCAAGGTAAGTAGCAAAGTTCTAAATGCCAACACAGGAAGCAAATGCATCCTCAGGCAGAACTGGATATGTCTCTTGTCTGAAACCCTGGAAAGCTGCTTCCAATCTGTATAGGCAACACTGGTCTAGATAGAAAAATTGCCTAACTTGCTACAGGACAGCTTCCTAAACTGAAAAAGGCTGCCATATTTTAACAGCAATCGTTTGGTGGCACAGCCATCTTCAGTATTTGGGGGCCCTTGAGTAACAGACAAGCAGCGACCCACCAAGGCATGCAAACTAAGAGCACACTCAAAAAGTCTTCTCCGCCAGGTGACCTATATGAAGCAAGGCACATGCCAATCTCTGTTTTAAAAAACCTCCCCTACCAACTCTCAGCAGTTTAACTAATGGGCAGCTTCATTATTCCCCTACTCCATCTTAGTTACACAGGGCTAGTTAAGATGCAACAACTACAAGCCTTTGTCTGACGGTTACAGCCATCTTCCAAATACCTCCTCACTCTACCTTGTGGCAGCATCAAGACCCTGGCATCTGCACTGGCACCTTGCTGCCTTCTGGAACTGCCAGGATTCTGGGGAACGTGTGTGGTTATTGGTCCAAACATGAGATTCCTACAATGTGATGGCCGCAATCAAACACCCATCAGGTCTACACACACTTTGCATTGCAAACTGGTGTCTGTCACAATGCCAGCCGTACAGAGGAGACACATGGCAAGTGCCAGGAAGCTGCATCTGAACTTTCACACCTATTTCTGAATAATATTCATCAGGAGATTTGTATTGTAGGTGAAGCATGAAATGGCTCATGAATGCTATTGAGTAGTACCATATGAGGGACACTCAAAACCAAGTATCCCTGTGATGTTACATCATCAGCTTTGACTGCTGAAATTTCTGGAGTTAACCGATGCAACACATTTTTTCACCTCTGGCAGATAACTTGCGGAAGGCAAAACCAAGCAGGCAGAGCCATTGTGGTGTAATGGTTAGAGTGTCAGGCGAGGGCTGGGTTCAAATCCCAACTCAGCCATGAAGCTCACTGAGCCAGTCATTCTCTCTCAGCATAACTCAACTGGCAGGGCTGTTGTGAGGATCAAATATGTGAGAAGGGGGAAGACCTATGTATGCCACATTGAGCTCTTTGGAGGAAGGTGGGATATAAATGCAATAAACACATAATAAACCAACCCTGTGGATTTGATGTATCTTTATAAATTTTAACCTCCCCAAATCACAAACAAAACTTACTTGGAGGAAACTGGAAGTCCGCTTGAGTCAAAAAGTTTTAGAAATGCCCAGCCACAGCTTAATTCTCCTCTCTCACCTGTTGACTAGAAAATAAGGTGGATGAAACTAATTATCCAGGTTGCTAAAATGTAGAACGGTTGGACATAATCAGCCCTTGGGTCCATCTGCTCCACTCTTCCCGCATTATCTGTGTTATGTGTGCAGCTGAAGCAGCAATGGCAGGCTCTCCTTCCTTCCCCCCTGCCATCACCCTAGGAATAATCAATGCCTGCCACTCAAAGCTAGGTGGGTTTGATTGTACCAATAAATGCAGCTAAAGGAATGGAATTGGTTTAATGGTTGCAGCTATCAGCAAGGCAATCAAGCTTGCATACACAGATAGCCCTGTTTTGTATTTTCTTCATGCAATCTTCAGGGACTGGTCATCTCTACAATAACAGAGCACTGGGTTCAGTGGCTAACCAGAGGGAAACAAGGCCATCCAATAAAACCAAATGTTGGGAAAATTCAGGGCAGACAAAACAAAGTACTACTTCACACAGCGCAGAGTTAAAATATATTGCAATGGCCATCAATGTGGATGGTTTTTAAAGAGGACTAGACAAATTCATGGAGGATGAGGCTATCAATGGCTACCAGTTATGATTACAATAGGACAGTTGGAGGCAGCACGCCTCAGGATACCAGTTTGTGGGAACAGCAAATGCAGAGAGCACTACTGCACTCCAGTCCTGCTTGTGGGCAGGGGCAAAGGAAGGGGGTGCGGTGGGGGTGGTCCGCCCCGGGTGTCACCCCTGAAGGGTGTGACAAAATGCCAGGCGGTACTCACCGCAGAGCCTGCAGCATGCCTAAGTCACACATCTCTCCTGGGAGATACAGGGTGGCTTGGGCTCATGCAGGCTCCGCGCTGCCCAAACGATCCACATGCTGCCTCCCCCCCCCCCCCGATGTAGGGCAGCTGAGTGGGAGAAGTCAGGGAGACTCCGGAGGCCCTGCGGTGTGCCCCGCCCCTATGGGTGGCTTGCCCCACCCCCGGGCGCGCCGCCCCAGGCGCCCGAGCAGCTTCCTCCGCCACTGCTTGTGGGCTTCCCACAGGTACCTAGTGAGCTACTTTAAGAACAAGATGCTGGACTCAATGTGCATTTGGCCCGGTGCAGCAGGGCTGCTCTTATGTTCGTAATGTGCGTGCCCTTCAATATTTCATGAGCTACCCCAAAAAGGAAGGTAAAAAAATATAGGCTGGTAGTCTTCGCCATCACTTTCACTTTTGTCTTATCAAATAAATTTGATTTATTAACCTTAACCTCAAGTATACACAGCTTAACGATCGGCCAGCCAAATCACCAAGCAGGAGAATGGCAATTCATACTAATAAATTATGTGCCAGTCCTAATGGGAGGTTGGCATTCTTATGATACTGAAACCAACTTCTACTTCATTCCTGTGGTTTATGATGCCAAGCTCTTTGTATATAAAAGAAATACCAACAGACAGCCTGTCTTCTAATAGTTTCATGCACTGAATCACCTGTGAGAACTTACATTCCGAATGTAAGTGATCCCAAGTTCAAATAATATGCCTATGTCCGGAGATGGGGAATTGGATCTAATAAAACAGTCACCGTCAAGCAGGCACGGTAAGATGCCAGTCACCTAAAAATGTAAAAAAAGAAGCAGCAGCAAATATATCTAAGCATTTTATTTCAAGATTCTCTTGAAACACCAATAGAATTCCTCCATTTCCTTTCAGAAATAAACTATTAAATTAAATCACAAGCATCACCAACAATCACTATATTTACATGCCACCTAGTTTTGTATGAAATTGTTGCACACAACTAAGTGATACAACCAGGGAATACACACTAAATCCTATAGTGCCACCTAGTTTTGTGTGAAATTGTTGCACACAACTAAGTGATACAACCAGGGAATACACACAAAATCCTATAGTGGTCGGCAAGCTACACAACCAGGAGGGCATTGTGTTTTATTTTCCACAAAGATATAGGCACCAGCTTCCAAAGAAGATCCATTTTGCAGTGTCCTTCTTATCTGAAGGCAGCTCCTCTTGAAGCCTTCTTCCCTTCTTCAAACTCTAAACTGGTGCTCCAAGCAAGCAAAGCTCAGCTTAATGACAGAGGTTTCAGCACCTCTTCAATGCCTTCCTTTCACTCAACAAATTCCCCCTATACATGAACTGTGACAAGCTAAGGACAAAATTAGATATGATGAAGAATGGATTGGTGCTGTCAAAAATGGCAACCCTGTGAATTTTCTTCACCACTAATGCGTGGCAATGGAAATGCACCATGCACTTTTCCTCGCTGGCTGCTGTTGGGGCAGGGAGAGGACTCACAAAGTCATAACATCATGGCTTTCCACTGCTATATGTGGATCAAAAAGAAACAAGCAAATATACCCAGAGATAAACAATTTAACCATGCCTCAGGGGTATCCAGTAGACTTGTTAATACCGAGATGCAATATAATTTCAAAACAGGGGCAAATTCATATTTGAAGCTCCCACTTGCTGTGTGATTTCAACACTGATTCAGAAGAAACACTGCCACCTGCTGAACAATCCATGGCACTTCCTTCAGCACATACAAGTAACCTGTGATTATTTAGTGCCAAATGCAAAGCAAGTGAGTGGAATTCAATTTGAACAACAGTGATGAGCATGGGTAGGCAAACTAAGACCCGGGCGCCGGGGCCGGCCCAATTACCTTCTCAATCCAGCCTGCGGACGGTCCGGGAATCAGCGTGTTTTTACATGAGTAGAATGTGTCCTTTTATTTAAAACGCATCTCTGAGTTATTTGTGGGGCCTGCCTGGTGTTTTTACATGAGTAGAATGTGTGCTTTTATTTAAAATGCATCTCTGGGTTATTTGTGGGGCATAGGAATTCGTTCAATATATTTTTTTCAAAATATAGTCCGGCCCCCCACAAGGTCTGAGGGACAGTGGACCGGCCCCCTGCTGAAAAAGTTTGCTGACCCCTAGTGATGGACAATGTTCTCGAAGCTACCAGCAAGTGTTTGACCAAACTGCGGGAGGCAGTGGAAGACAGGAGTGCCTGGCGTGCTCTGGTCCATGGGGTCACGAAGAGACGGACACGACTAAATGACTAAACAACAACAAGAAGTGATGAGGGTGGGGGATTAATGCCCTGAACAGCTTTCCTGTTCCAGATTATTCCCAGGTGCTATTTGCTCATCTTATTCTTAGCACAGCAAATAGGGGTGGAAGGATTTAGATGAGTAAACCTTTTGCCCTTCCTTCTCCAACGCTCTGACCCTCTACCCAAGCTTTTTTATTTTTGTAAAAAAAAAGAAAGAAACAGCAAATGAATTTCCCGTGTCTTATCTAGTTTGATCCTCAAGTCAGCAGGATTTTATCAATACAGTTCCAAGAGGTGGTTTCCAGAGGTCAAACCTCATAGCACTTAAATTCATTCTGCTTGGCAACTGAGAACTTGGCGTGTGTTTCTATGGCTCAGTTCCCCCTCCTCTAAATCACAAGTAATGCTTAACTAGCATTTTGGTTAATTATTATTATTAATTTTTTTTGGCAGGGAGGAAGATTATTATCAGATTGCGCTAGAATTAATTGTACATACTACAGATCACAATCCTACAAAGTTATGCAAAATTTACCAGGTCAAATCTATCAATAATCTCCTCAGTATTCTTACCCGTGGAGAAAAAGTCCATGTTTTGGGATTTTTAGGTTGCCACGTAGCTCTAACTGTATGAATATTACTCAGTATCTAAAATGAGAAAGTAACATTTGAATACAGCAGTGTAGATTAACGCAATGAAGAAAGGGAAACTATTTCATTACAAGATCAGCTTATGTTCGAATCACCAACCTTCACCTTCTTTAGCTCATGAAATTTAGAAATATGATCACTGAATCCAGCCTATCACAAACTGATGCTTTCACTCTGCAATGGAGAACAATGCAAATCCTGCTTTTGAGAATTACTAGGTACTGTATTTTTCACTCTATAAGACGCACCAGACCATAAGATGCACCTAGTTTTTGGAGGAGGAAAACAAGAAAAAAAATATTCTGAATCTCAGAAGCCAGAACAGCAAGAGGGATCGCTGTGCAGCGAAAGCAGCAACCCCTCTTGCTGTTCTGGCTTCTGGGATAGCTGCGCAGCCTGCATTCGCTCCATAAGATGCACACACATTTCCCCTTACTTTTTAGGAGTCTTATAGAGCAAAAAATACAGTACATGTTCAAGGGTGTTGTAACAATCAGGTCTATTATCCATCAGCTCTCTGATAAGGAGGGGTGACAGACTAATCAACTTATGTGGCATTGAGGGTAGTGTGCAACTCAGAACAGATCTATTGAAATTAATAAACCTAACTTAGCCGTGTTCATTAATTTCAGTGAGTCAATTCTGAGTTAAATTTCATGGACTACTACCCTAAATATGTCAATGCTGCACATGGGTCATGTACAGATAAATATCATGCAATGCTGCAGATATAAGATAGGATAGCCAGAAAGGAGAAGTCTGGAATACTGTCTCAGGTACAAATTAACTGTAGCCTGATAAGCTTTTAAAATGCAGAACAAAGAACTGTATGCAAATAAATTACAGGCAGCAACTGTTTAAATCCACCACAAAATAGCAGTTGACAACTGAGTAGACACATGCTTCCCGTTTCATAAATGTGATCAAGATATTGGAAGAAGTTCAAATTTTAACTGCTCAGGTTAAGTGATTTGTAGAACTCACTCTGTTACCGTCAAAAAGGCAGAGTCGGATATGTCTACTCAGGACTTGTATGCTCATTCCAGGAAAAGGAATCCCTTTACAGTTCCATAGGGTCACAATCAGTGATAGCCGAGTTGGCCTTGACTGAATCTGAAAGAAAGGGGGCGGGCACCAGAGTTTTACATTTTACAGCTACATTTACTTCATAATATGTTATTGCATAATCCATTTTCTCCTATTTCCCCATTTTCTGCTACCCTAAAGAGAGTTTATCTGGCTTTTATTGAGAGCAAATACTTACAGTGCCTTTTTCCGGGTTCCACACTAGATCTCGGAAAGAAAGATTGGAAGGTGTGAGCTCAGGTTGTAAGAAGTAAGAAGCCCGAAACTGAACTCCTGGAAGAACAATGCTTATTTTTAGTGTGTTTATTTTCCCATCTCCCTTTATCTTGGTTATCTTCAATAGAATTTGCAAGTAAGTAACTTTATGACTTCAGCAGTAGCACAATTACAGACTGACATCCTAATCTTAAACGTATTGACTTGGTGATAAATCTTATCTTGCTCTTCTTGCTCTGTCTTGCTCTTCTTGCCAAAAGATTAGTGTTTTGCCAGAAGATTAGTGTGCATATATCATTCTGATATATGTTGCTGAGCACACTGGAGAAGAGGGGAAATGCCTTTTCCAGGGCTGCGAATACTGGAGGACGCTTGGAGTTTCAGGGGCGTTTTTCCAAATAGAAAAGAGGCATTTTTAAACTCTGTTAAAAGATTTCTGTCACCACCATATCATGGACTGACTGGATGCAGAGGAGTGGTGGGAGATACCAGCTGGGGAACCCCCAAGGGAAGAAGGCTCAGAGACAGGGGATTGGTGGTGGGACAACAATGAGTGGACAGAGGGAAGGGAGGAAGCAGAAACTGAAGCAGTAACAGGGTTTAGTGAGCAGGAAGAGGCTGTGGCAGAGAGCAGTCCAGGCTGGGGGGGGGGCAAGAAACAGAGATGAGTCAGGCCGCTGAAGACGCCGGGGGTCTCCCCCTCCTGCTCTAACCAGCTCCCTCCCCTCTGGTTTCCCAGAATCTGAAGTGGTATAGAAAAGGCGGAGAAAAGACAGGCAAGATGAAGGAACCTCAGACTGCATGGGAAGGAATTGGGGGAGTAGGAGACTTACAGACCTTCAGTCCTGGCAAATGCTCCATTGGGGCAAGATCTAGTTGCTGTGCTCACTAGGCCTGAGCTATTTGTTTCTTTGACTAAATAGTTAATTTCACTGACACCTTGTGAGTTATTGCTGACCTGCTCCAATACACAAACTGACACACTGCTATCCAGAACTTAACGAAATGAAAAATGCAATAAAAATATTTATTTCATAAAAATGCCCCACTTGACTGTAAAAAAAACCCCTCACAAATACAATTACAACATTCTTCCATCAGAACTTTGGTCACCTCCCAATAAATGTTCACACTTCCTAAAATAAACTTCCTTCATACCTTGGGAGCTCTGGGTTTAATAGAGTAGTTTTACAAAACTCCTACCTTCTTCCAAGAGCTGTGCAAGTGTTGAAGGTCGGAATCCTGCAGGAACTGCTCCCATAGTTGTCAGTGCATCTAAGGTATTATTCTATTAAGAATAGTGATAATTCAACCTTGATATTGCTTCCATTTATCAGTTTGCTTCTGGCTCCATATTAGCCTTTAAGTAGCAAGTCACTGAACATCAAGTATTTTGAAGAGCCACTGGATGAACAAGCAGAAACACTCTGCACCTGCAATTCTTTACATTATAGTACCTAGAAGTAAGCCCCACTAAACATAGTGGAACTTCCTTGTGTGTAAACATGAATAGGACTGCACTGTTCCTGCCCTTTTCAAGCAAACTGATACTCAGTTTGCCAACTTTGCTGTCCATAGTTGGACTGTTTGAAAGAGGGAGTACCATATGAAATAAGAGTACCAGTTTGGCTGTCTGGTTTTGTAAGAAAAACCAAGCAAAATATCAATAATCATGAATGGTATGCAAATGATAAAACACAGGCTTACCTCTGTGATGGCCTTTTTAACAGCACTCCAATGCGAATCTGTTCTGTAGGTAGCATAAAAATAAGAACATAACACAAAGCTGAACCACAAATCAATTAACTGCAAATATATAGATGGGCAAATTGACACTCAATATGTGATTATGGTGATGGGTTGTAAAATGGCACACTGAGTGACGATCCCACTGGGAAAAACCATTTAATCTATATTCTGACTATGTGGTAACTGAGACTGGAATCTTTATTCAATTCAGTTTTGTGGCTAAGGCAGCCTTAGTTTTCGCACTATTCGCCTGCCTTTCACTACCACGTGAAAGTGGTCTGATCACTGTTGTACCTATTTTGTCAGTTTGTTTGTTTGATTTCTACACTGCCCTTCCACTCAAACAGGAACCATGGGTAGTGTACAGCACAATTAGAAATGGTGTGGTGTATGCCATTACAAAATGTTCCACAAGAGCAGTAACAAATTGAAGGCACAAGTGTTCATAAAAGAAACAGTACCAGATTTACAGCCGCTCTACTGTAATAATGTTCTGAAGTCCAGTAGAAATGAAGTTCTACTGTGAGGCATTTGCGAGCTTTTTTGCGGAGAAGGTCTTGTTGCTCCGCCATGACCTCCCTGCCAATTTGGATACAATAAAGGAACTGGAGGCCCCTCGACTGTCCTCGGGTCCAGTATTGGACCACTTCGACCGGATATCCCCAGCCGATGTGGACAGACTCCTCCGAGCTGGAAAGCCCACCACCTGTCCTCTCGACCCGTGCCCGCCTTGGCTGATTAGAGCGTGTCCAGACGAGGTGCGGGCCCTCCTGGGGAATATCATCAATTTGTCCCTTGGCACGGGGACATTCCCAGGGGAACTGAAGGAGGCAGTGGTGCGCCCGCTCTTAAAGAAAACATCATTAGATCCTTTAGATCTATCCAACTACCCCCCGGTTTCGAATCCTCCGTTCCTGGGTAAGGTGATTGAGAGAGCGGTTGCTGAACAGCTTGGTGGGTTTCTGGATGAAACATCGGCTCTGGATCCATTCCAGTCCGGCTTCCGCGCTGGTCATGGGACCGAGACGGCTCTGGTCGCCCTAACAGATGATCTTCGTAGACAGCTGGATCGAGGCGGGTCGGGGCTGCTGATTCTTCTAGATCTGTCAGCAGCTTTCGACATGGTCGATCACGAACTTCTGGACCACCGCCTTGCCGACGTGGGGATCCAGGGCACAGCCCTTCAATGGCTGCGCTCGGTTCTCTCCGGTCGGGGCCCGAGGGTGGCGCTTGGGGGAATTGTCATCGCGCCACTCCTTGGTGTGTGGAGTACCTCAGGGTGCGATACTCTCCCGATGCTTTTCAACATCTTTATGCGCCCCCTCGCCCAGCTTGTTCGGAGTTTTGGGCTGGGCTGCCATCAGTATGCCGATGACACCCAACTCTATCTGTTGATGGATGGCCATCCTGACTCGGCCCCAGACACACTGACCAGATGTTTGGAAGCTGTGGCTGGATGGTTACGTGGGAGCCGGTTGAAGCTAAATCCTTCGAAGACAGAGGTCCTGTGGCTGGGACGGGGCGATATGGGATTGGGTGGCTACTCCCATCTCTTGCGGGGCGCAATTAGTGCCAGCACCATCCGTTAAGAGTTTGGGTGTAATCTTCGACACCTCCCTTCCATGGAGGCGCAGATTGCAGCTATAACAAAGGCGGCATTTTTCCATCTCCGCCAAGCTAAGCAGTTGGCTCCTTACCTCTCTCGCCCTGACCTAGCCACTGTGATCCACGCGACGGTCACCTCCAGACTGGATTATTGTAACTCGCTCTACGTGGGGCTGCCCTTGAGACTGACCCAGAAACTCCAGCGGGTGCAGAATGCTGCAGCGAGACTCCTTACGGGGTCTTCGCTGCGAGATCACATTCACCCGGTGCTACACCAGCTGCACTGGCTCCCGGTGGAGTACAGGATCAGGTTTAAGGTGCTGGTTTTAACCTTTAAAGCCCTATACGGCCTAGGACCCTCGTACCTACGGGACCGCCTCTCCTGGTATGCCCCACAGAGAAACTTACGGTCTTCAAATAAAAACATCTTGAAGGTCCCAGGCCACAGAGAAGTTAGGCTGGCCTCAACTAGTGCCTGGGCTTTCGGCTGTGGCTCCGATCTGGTGGAACGCTCTGTCACAAGAGACCAGGGCCCTGCGGGACTTGACATCTTTCCGCAGGGCCTGCAAGACAGAGCTCTTCCACCAGGCCTTTGGCCAGGGCACAGCCTGACTCCCTCCCTCGGCAATCTTCGCGGAGCTCTGGCCCAATAGTTGCCAGTGGCCTGAATTAATTAATTTTATAATGAATGATTTTAGAGTGTTGTTTATGCTATACTTTTATACTGTTTTATTGTTGTTAGCCGCCCTGAGCCCGGCTTTGGCTGGGGAGGGCGGGATATAAATAAAATTTATTATTATTATTATTATTATTCCTTAAATGACATTAAATAAATTATTCACTTTTCTCAGGATTCTTCCGGATTCTTATAAATTCCTGTTCAGAGATGCCTTCCCAAACTATCACTACTGCAAACCTTGGCCCAGTATACCTAAAGGAACATCTCCACCCCCATCGTCCAGCCCGGACACTGAGGTCCAGCTCCAAGGGCCTTCTGGTGGTTCCCTCACTGTGAGAAGTGAGGTTAGAGGGAACCAGGCAGAGGGCCTTCTCGCCAATAGCGCCTGCCCTGTGGAACACCCGTCAGATGTCAAGGAAATAAACAACTATCTGACTTTCAGAAGACGTCTGAAAGCAGCCCTGTTTAGGAAGTTTTTAATGTTTGATCTTTTATCGTGTTTTTAATATTCTGTTGGGAGCTGCCCAGAGTGGCTGGGGAAACCCAGCCAGATGGGAGGAGTATTATTTATTTATTTTATTATTAATTATTATTATTATTATTATTATTATTATTATTATTATATTTTCCCATTATGCAGAGCCCTGGTTTAAATGGCTTTACCATCTCCCACTGTGTTTGCTCTTGTAGTAGATACAAATCAGGACTGAAATCAGTCAAGTTCAAATTGGGGATACACAAACGACGCAAGGAAGCTTCTGCAATGAAGAAGCCCCCATCACAAACAGCAGCATGATGATGCATTTCCACTCACAGCTCTGGTCCCTTTACCTTTTCAGAATGTTGGCCCCTCCTTCCGTTTCATCTGCCACCTCTATATCTTCCTCGGTTTCTTCTTCACTTGGTTCTTGGCCCTCTTCCTCATCTTTCACCTACAAAGTTGATCCATTGCAACAGTCAATAACATTCTATATCTATTTTATTTTAAAAAGGAAGTTGGGTGATCTTATGTTGCAGTAGAAGTGGAAATTCTTGCTTCAAATTATTGCTCCTTTGTGAATACGCCCTGGGTTGGATCCTGGGTCGCTACTGAGTATTTATTCAGATTTGTTTGGAGGGAAGTTAGCTGACATTGTGTCAAAGCGTTGTTTCCAGTGCATTTTCCTGTCACTTTCTTTTATCCCAAAAAGTCTGTTTGATTTTTTTTTTAAGGGTGTGTTGCACAAGACCTCCCTATCATCTATAATTGCACAATCTGAATTTGCCAAGATGCGATTGAATCTTACCTGAAAATAGCAACAGTCTGGAACCGCCCTAAGATGTTATGTTTGGCTGGGCGTCTCAAGAAAGCAGTCTGAAATATTTGAGGAATGACAGAAAATATCTACCAGTTGGCATGCTACTGGGTTTTATTTCTATAGCACTAAAAAATGCCATCCCCACATTCCACCACACCACAATCTTGGGAAAGATGAAAGCTTGGTAGTTATTTTCCATATCGCTGTCCAGACGGCTGCAGCAGTCCATGAAAAGATTATTTCACCCCTGCTTTCACCTAGGGGAACACTGCAAGCCCACTAAGGTGGAAAGATGCCAACAATAACATTAAACATGGAACTGAATAGAAAGAGAAAAGTAGAAGCATACCAACCATAAGGTAGGTTTTAGGCACAAGGCCCCTCTCCCCTTTGGAGTTTTTAGCTAGCCACCAACCGTCAGGCTTTTTCTCAAGGATAAGCAGAACTTCGCCTTTCTTCAGTATTGAAAACAAAGAGAGGGAAGAAACTACATTAATACACAAGGGTTTAAAGATATTCTGTGCTGAATAGATAATGAAAGCAGAGGCCTAGTGGTCTAGTTTGTTGCTTCTACCCAAAGTGACTGCTATTCTTATACTGTGGTACCTCAGGTTACATACGCTTCAGGTTACATACACTTCAGGTTACAGACTCCGCTAACCCAGAAATATTACCTCGGATTAAGAACTTTGCTTCAAGACGAGAACAGAAATCGTGCAGCGGCGGCGCAGCAGTAGCAGGAGGCCCCATTAGCTAAAGTGGTGCTTCAGGTTAAGAATAGTTTCAGGTTAAGAACAGACCTCCAGAACGAATTAAGTTCTTAACCCGAGGTACCACTGTATTTCTACCAATTGATGCAAAATATTACTGTGGAAGATCCTAGAGTTGGGCATGTAAATATTGAATGGTTTACAGATGCTCTTAAGACTGAGCTAGCTGTTATATTGGGCTTCCAACATCACACATATAAAAGCTTGATCCTGAATCCTACCTCGTTGCTACAGTCTAGAGAGACACTCTGGGAAGACCAAGAAACTGAACCCAGGCTAGGCCTATGCAGGTGGTGGGCTAACCTTGATTCTCAATGTTCACATTAAATGGTAGGGGACAAAAGAAAAAAGCTACAACTAGGAAGGGAGAGGTGAGAGATGGAAAGCAGGAAAAAGCCTCCCCACCACCACCCTAGAATATGGACTCACCCAGTATATATTTAGTACCTATAGCAATCGAGATATTTACCTTTTCATGTGAGAGTAGTACACTTGGAGAAACACGGTAACAGGGATAAAGCCTTATCCTCATGTATAAGGAGGCTCCAGGGATGGAGGTGCACTGCTGCTCCCCTCTCCTATACAGTGCACACCTCTCTCCAGCTATAACAATGATAATGGCCACCTGTTCCTATTAGGCTACCTGGCATCACGAGCCAACTTGGTGCCTATCACATGCATAGCAGCATTGATTGACTTTGTTACCCTAGGGAAAAACCATCACTGCTAGACTTGTGTAGCATAATCAAATAGAGTTTTTGGACACTGCAAGAAGGCATCCGAGTGGGATTGGTGAGGACTGACTTATGCTATGTCTACACCAAATGAACAAACAAATCCTACACAGCTATAGTGCTTAGTGAGATATGCCCACATAAACTAATAATATTACATTTTACTTACTTTAAAGGTCAGGTCGCCTTCTTGCTGTGCAGAAAAATCACCAAGAGTGATAAAATTTTTAATAGCTGAATCATCTCCGAGTTTGTCTTCATCTTCGCCATCCTCTTCATCATCACCATCATCCTGTGTACTTTCTTCTTCTTCTTCTTCTTCCTCCTCCTCCTCATCTTCCTCTTCACTTTCTTCGTTTTCTTGTAGTGTTTTTGGGCTGTCCTTCCTTTTTGTATTGCTAACCCAAAAAGAAACAGAGTCCATCACAGTCTTTTGACAACTGCTTATTCTAATCAACCACTGACACAGACAATATTGTAAAGAACTTCTCCTTTCTTGTTCTGGGGTATAAGAAGGACCAGGTGTCTCAATAATTCCTCAATTTCATATTTTGAATACATTAATATTTCTAAGCATTCTCATCCCTTAACTTTGGGGTAGGTAGCAATTAACAATTATACAATTATGTCAGATAAAGCTAAAATTATGTAGCAGACAAAGCATCAATGACTATGCACCTGTAACTATAAGGGACGAGGGTGGTGCTGTGATCTAAACCACTGAGCCGCTTGGGCTTGCCGATCAGAAGGTCGGTGGTTCGAATCCCACGATGGGGTGAGCTCCTGTTACTCTGTCCCAGCTCCTGCCAAACTAGCAGTTTGAAAGCATGCCAGTGCAAGTAGATAAATAGGTAGCGCTGCAGCGGGAAGGTAAACGGCATTTTTGTGCACTCTGGCTTCCATCATGGTGTTCCGTTGCACCAGAAGCAGTTTAGTCATGCTGGCCACATAACCCAGAAAGCTGTCTGTGGACAAACGCCGGCTCCCTCGGCCTGAAAGCAAGATGAGTGCCACAACCCCATAGTCGCCTTTGACTGGACTTAACCATTCAGGGGTCCTTTACCTTTACCTTATAACAAAGTTTTATGTTGATAAAGATGCCCATGCTCAGACTTGAGCAAGCATGGGATAATCCAGCTTGATTAATAAAAAATCGATTTTAGAGTGCAATCCTGTACACACTTATCTGGGAGTAAATCCCACTGAACTCAATGGGACTGAAGCTGCAGACCTAACCATAAATACACAGAAGTAAGTCTCCTGAATTCAGTGGGGCTTACTGGCAGATAAGTAGGGTTAGGATTGCAGCCTTACCTCTGAGCAGACTCCCACAGGTTTATACTGTTAATCTACTTACATGCTGGAGTCCTTGGTCACATCTTCCCGGCTAAATATTGCTATAAGTTTATCCAGCTGCTCAGAAAGCATTAACAATTTTTCTCCTTCTTCTTCTTTTCTCTGATTATAATTTCCCACAGGGGCAGGCTCATCTGACTGCAAGATAACAATACACCAGATTTTTCGTAACATTCTTGTGTACATTAGGATTTGAACTAAAATGTCAATCTAGCATAGCCTGGCATTAATCACATTTATGGAAAATATGCTAATTACAGGTAAACAATCACATCGTGCGTTATACTTAAAAAAAATAGTGCCTCCTTTGACTTTGGGATACGTTTACCAATAGCATTATATATACAGATGTCTAAGGAAGTTGTATACATTACAACAAATTTAGGTTGACCATTGAAGGATGGACAGGGTAAGTGCAGTAATCTCAGGTCCTACCCTGACAGAGTATTTTTCTGAACCTCCTCTCCGATTTATTATTGTGGAAACAAGAAGTGCTGTACCTTAAACACTTACTTTCTTCAAGTTCTGTAGAGCAGAGATATTTTCATCAACAGACTTCTTCAGCTCCAAACATCTACAACAAAAACAGTACTTGCATTGTATATACTGCTTACACGGCCACAAATAATAATAATAATAATAATAATAATAATAATAATAATAATTTATTATTTATACCCCGCCCATCTGGCTGGGCTTCCCCGGCCACTCTGGGCGGCTTCCAAAAGAATATTAAAATACTATAATACATCAAACATTAAAAGCTTCCCAAAACAGGGCTGCCTTCAGATGTCTTCTAAAAGCCTGGTAGTTGTTGTTCTCTTTGACATCTGGTGGGAGGGTGTTCCACAGGGAAGGCGCCACTACCGAGAAGGCCCTCTGCCTGGTTCCCTGTAACTTGGCTTCTCGCAGTGAGGGAACCGCCAGAAGGCCCTCAGTGCTGGACCTCAGTGTCCGGGTAGAACGATGGGGGTGGAGACGCTCCTTCAGATATACTGGACCAAGGCCGTTTAGGGCTTTAAAGGTCAGCACCAACACTTTGAATTGTGCTCGGAAACGTACTGGGAGCCAATGTAGGTCTTTCAAGACCGGTGTTATGTGGTCTCTGCGGCCGCTCCCAGTCACCAGTCTAGCTGCCGCGTTCTGGATTAGTTGTAGTTTCCGGGTCACCTTCAAAGGTAGCCCCACGTAGAGCGCATTGCAGTAATCCAAGCGGGAGATAACCAGAGCATGCACCACTCTGGCGAGGCAGTCCGCAGGCAGATAGGGTCTCAGCCTGCGTACCAGATGGAGCTGGTAAACAGCTGCCCTGGACACAGATTTGACCTGTGCCTCCATGGACAGCTGTGAGTCCAAAATGACTCCCAGGCTGCGCACCTGGTCCTTCAGGGGCACAGTTACCCCATTCAGGACCAGGGAATCCTCCACACCTGCCCGCCTCCTGTCCCCAAAAACAGTACTTCTGTCTTGTCAGGATTCAACCTCAATCTGTTAGCCGCCATCCAACCTCCAACCGCCTCCAGGCACTCACACAGGACCTTCACTGCCTTCACTGGTTCTGATTTGAAAGAGAGGTAGAGCTGGGTATCATCCGCATACTGATGAACACCCAGCCCAAATCCCCTGATGATCTCTCCCAGCGGCTTCATGTAGATGTTGAAAAGCATGGGAGAGGACAGAACCCTGAGGCACCCCACAAGTGAGGGCCCAGGGGTCTGAACACTCATCCCCACCACCACTTTCTGAACACGGCCCAGGAGGAAGGAGCGGAACCACTGTATAACAGTGCCCCCAGCTCCCAGCCCTCAAGACGGTCCAGAAGGATGTTATGGTCGATGGTATCAAACGCCGCTGAGAGATCCAGCAGAACTAGGAAACAGCTCTCACCTTTGTCCCTAGCCCGCCGGAGATCATCAACCAGTGCGACCAAGGCAGTTTCAGTCCCATGATGAGGCCTGAATCCCGACTGGAAGGGATCCAAATGGTCCGCTTCTTCCAGGCGTGCCTGGAGTTGTTCAGCAACCACTCGCTCAATCACCTTGCCCAAGAATGGAAGATTTGAGACTGGGCGATAGTTGGCTATCGTGGCCGCATCTTAAGATGGTTTTTTAAGAAGCGGTTTAATAACCGCCTCTTTCAGCAGGTCTGGGAAGGCTCCCTCATGGAGGGAAGCATTCACCACCCCACGAAGCCCATCGCCCAGTCCTTCCCGGCTAGCTTTTATAAGCCAGGATGGGCAAGGATCAAGGAGGCAAGTGGTTGGTTTCACTCGTCCAAGCAGCCTGTCCACATCCTCGGGGGTAACAGATTGGAAATGATCCCACACAACTTGACTAGACAGGACTCTAGCACTCTCCCGCCCCGGCCCTGCTCCCACGGTGGAGTCTACCTCTTCTCGAATCTGAGCGACTTTATCTGCAAAAAAAACTTTGCAAAGTCATTGCAGGAGATCATGTGGCCCCTACTGGGCCCTGATGGAGCAGGTGGTTCCGCTAAATTGTGAACCACCTGAAAGAGTCTCCTGCTGCTGTTTTCCGCAGATGCAATAGAGGTGGTGAAGAAAGTCTTCTTCGCCGTCGCTATCGCCACTTGGTAGGCTCGACATTGAGCTCTAACCCGTGTCCGGTCAGATTCAGAATGGGTTATCCGCCACTGGCGCTCTAGCCGTCTCAACGATTGTTTCATTGCCCTCAGATCCGTGGAAAACCACGGGGCTGTCCGGACTCCATGCAATCGGAGAGGGCGCTTTGGAGCCAAACAGTCAATAGCCCTGGTTAACTCCACATTCCAGCGGGCCACCAGGGAATCAGCTGAAAGGCCATCAACATGGGATAAAACATCCCCTACCACTCTCTGGAAACCATTTGGATCCATTAAGTGGCGGGGGCGGACCATCTGAATCGGTCCTGCCTCCCTGCAGAGGGGAAGGGTCACGGAGAAGTCCAGTTGCACCAGGAAGTGATCTGACCATGGCACTTCTATATACAGGTGTTGAGCCCTCAAATCTACAAATGCTCAGTTCTAATAGATCAGTCACATAATTTTCCATTCACCTCAAGGTTAGCATTAATGCCAGCATGGCACTACAAATTACTTCTCTGAATAGGGAAAGACAGTGGACATATTCTCTTCTGGTGCAGAGGGAGAAAGTGTGTGTACACTGAGACTGGACATCATCAAGTTGCTCTATCTCTCTTGCTGAGAAAACACAGCAGACTATCTCAACTGTTCATTCTCCTGGAGGATCTGAACCAAGTGCTTGGCCAGGGATGAGGGAAAGTAGATTGTAGTTCTCTGGTGGGCCACTTAGTACCTCCTGGTACTTAGTATTTCCTGGTACTAAGTCTGCCCAAACAAGACAATTCCATTCCTAGGCAGGAGCATACGCTTAGGGTCACACCTTAAAGGTATGATTCAACCGTCAAGAGATCCTAAGCATCTCTTAACAGCTAAAATAGACAGGAAACCTGTTTGCGAACTGGGCTTGCAGGCCAGCTCTGTAACAGTGGAGAGGAGGGCTAGCTTTACTTCAATGCCACTATTCATCCTCTAGCCCCAGCAGTCCCTGAGGGGACCCATAATTCCAGCCAAGATGCACATGAACGCCTCACAGAATGATTATTATAATGATAATAATAATTTTATTATTTATACCCCACCCATCTGGCTAGGTTTCCCCAGCACCCTGGGTGGCTTACAGCATATATTGAAACATAATAAAACATCAAACATTAAAAACTTCCTGAAACAGGACTGCCTTCAGGTGACTTCTAAAAAATTATGTAGTTCTTTATCTCCTTGACATCTGAAGGGAGGGTGTTCCACAGGGAGGGCACCACTACCGAATGCAACTGGATGGAACAATAATGGAACTGAAATGGCCACAACAGTGTTAGGGGGCTGGCATGTATGAGTGTGAGGGTGGTAAAGAAAGAGGCAGCCAGCTGTCGGAGGCTTTCGGGTAACCCTTCACAAGTACTATATTCACTTTCCCCAGAGTTTTGAAAATAAATCTCAGCACATCAATCGCCACCGTCTACATTCATGAACATCCTTGCATAAATACAAATTTATGACAAACCTCTAATGCAATATAGTTATACATCAGCAAATAAGTCCCACTGATCTTGATTATGGTAATCATTTTAGGATTGGATCTGTAAATATTTTTAGACCTGCAATCAAATTTGTTTACATCCGAGGAACCAACTAACAAGCATCAATAAATGTTGCTGGTTGCACCTCTGACCTCAAATACATTTGCATTATGCTTACCAGAAGGAGTTTAAAATATATATATATAAACACATTACCTCTGACTAAGGCTTTGCTTCTTTCCAGAGTCCAGAGCCCCCGCTTCCTTGCTTTCTTGGAGCAAAGCATTCACCTAAAATATTGAACAACCAAGATTCGCTTTGTCAAACGATAACGAAAGAATTAGCAAACTACTTTTCGGCGTGGGATTTGTGGCTCTCCAGAGACGGCTGGACTCCCAACGCCCGTCAACAGAGCCAATGGTCAGAGCCCAAGACATTTCGGCACCCGAGGCAGACCCCAAAAGGGTGTCGTCCCCCCTCTCTAACAGAGAAGAAGCAGGTGAGGCCATATCTACATCAGGAACAAGGGAGGAGGCAGGGAAGAAAGATCGGCATTGGGAAATGATGTCCCGGGGGATCATGCCACCTGAGGCATCCACCTTCACCTTGCCTCATGGGCCGGCCCTGCCAACGGTCAGGGCGAATGAAATTTCGAGTCTGAGGAGGGCCGCAGGCTCCCCCACCTCTAGCTTACGCCTTTCCCTCCTACTAGCCCCATGCCTCTCGTTCCCTGCAACTAACGGTAGCGCCGGGCAGGATCCGCTTCCCGCCGCGCCCTTCCTCTCCCTGCCTCCCGTTTCCCCAGCTCACCTGCTCCCGCAGCTCTCGGCCCCGGCGCAGCGCGCTCTGCAGCGGTCCCGTCCGGCCCCGGCGCCCGGTCATACCGCCAGCCGGGCGAAAGCTCTACGAGGCGCCTGCCTTGCGCGGAGGAAGAAGGCCGCAGCCGGTCGCCTAGGAGACGGAACGCTGCGGCGCGGGATTTATAGCGTCATCCTTAGGCGCTACGAGGAGACGGACAGCGACGCTTCTCCGGCGTCCAACCGGACTACATGTCCCAGCATGCAACGCAGCCGAGAGATTAAAAAGGGGCGGCACACCCCGAGCTGCCCATGCAAACGGTCCCTTTCGTGATTTTAACGGCATTTTGTCCCCACCTTTTAAAGTGTGCCTTCCTCTCCCAAGGATTTAGAATTCCATGGGTCAGACACTTACCAGGTACTGTGTGTCGCTTGGGTGGAAACCAGAATGCTGAAGTGCTATAAAGCCGATATAATACGTTTGCAATGTCATTCTAGGAGGTAAAGCAGCTGCAGTATTGGGGTAACACGCAACGCATAAACTACTAGGTTTTTGTGTTTTTTTACATGACATCTATATATGACTAACTAAAAGGTGCACAAAGATCTCCAAGTGAAACGCTCACCACATTTCCAATGCAAAGTCTCTCAAGGTTAAGTTATCTTACATAACACTCTTTCACGTAACTTTGGAAACCTTATCTTCTTCACCACAACCATTTTTCTGTAGTGAAAGGAGTTTCCCTCTTCTAAAATGCCATTAGGGGGCTTCTCATCACAGGTTTTTAGCACAATCCAAAGTATCTCTAGTCATAAGTAAGTCCTATTAAGTTCAAGGGGGGTTACACACAGGTGATTGGGTATAGCAGTGGTTTCTAATTGATGGTCCACAGACTCCAGGGGGTCCTCGTAACCCACCCAGGGGGTCTGTGTCACCATCCCCATAACAAAAACTACCATAGAGATATCAAAAATTTCAAAAGTAGAGGGTCCATGGCTTCACTTATGAAAAACAGGTTTTAAAGTACTTAGCTAATTGGGAACCACTGGGGTATAATATTGCAGCACCATTATACTCAGCATCACCAGATGTGTAAATGAAATTATATAGTGTATGTTGGTTGAGATATATATATATATATATATATATATATATATATATATATATATACACACACACACACACACACACCCCCCAAGTGATGTGATTGATATATATATATATATATATATATATATATATATATATATATAATAGCTATTTCACCTAGCTGATCTGCAATCAATTTAGGATTTGCTTTATACCAAGTCAGACCACTGGAACATCTAGCTCAGTACTGTTGACACAGAACAGCAGCAGTACTCCAGTTTCAGACAGGAGTCTTTGCCCAAGCCCTGCCTAGATATGCTGGCAACTGAACTTGGAACCACTGAGCTACAGTCTTTCCTCATTAGCTGCTGCACTTCACACATAGCTCAATTACCTTTTCATGGGCTTTGCTTTAACTTTAGCCAGTTGGCCGTATCTGGCTTGTACTGACTCTGGTACTTTAAAGTGTATGGTTCTGTTTGTTTGTTTGTTTGTTTGTTTGTTTGTTTTAATGCTGTGAAGTACTTCAAGAGCTCGCCTCTGTTTGATAAGTGGTATGTTACCTGTAAGAAATAAATTTATAATTTGGTCTATCACCCAACCCAGTCCTTTTATGTAGTAAATGAGCAAACTATAACCTCCAGGAGATCATGCCACAGTAAAACAGCTCAGCTCTGTGGGTTGGTTAGGGAAATGCGACCCAGCTTTACCACCAAGCAGGAGGGTTAAGTTTTCACAACTAAAGAGCCTTATAAATAAAGCATGCCTTCATTTTCTGAGCCAACACAATTTAACTAGAATAACTTGTTAAAATAAAGTTTATTTAGTCACATGCAGACACTTGTTATCAAGATTCAGTCATCATAGTTCAAGTGTCAGACAATGAAACAAATCTTCCAAACATGGCACAAGAAGTTGACCCCATCAAAGAAGACCACAAAATTTCAGCGTTTATATTGATGATGTTCTTCCATACATGTTGAGCTTCTTCAGGTATCAGTCTTATTGAGTGAAATAACAGAAGCATTATTCTTGTACGTGTGTGTTTTCTCAAAGTCTGTTAAATGTCAGATTTGATCCAAAGGCTTCCTCTTGCTTCCATTTGCTCCAGGCTGTTGATAGGAAGAGAAACAAAATAATAATAAAATAAATGATGCTATCTATTCAGGTTTCTTCAAAATCAAAAGTGGATAGGTAAAGGTAAAGGGACCCCTGACCATTAGGTCCAGTCGTGACCGACTCCGGGGTTGCGGCGCTCATCTCGCTTTATTGGCCGAGGGAGCCTTCTGGCGAACCAGAGAACGCCGTTTACCTTCCCGCCAGAGCGGTACCTATTTATCTACTTGCACTTTGATGTGCTTTCGAACTGCTAGGTTGGCAGGAGCAGGGACCAAGCAACGGGAGCTCACCCCGTTGCGGGGATTCGAACCGCCGACCTTCTGATCGGCAAGTCCTAGGCTCTGTGGTTTAACCCACAGCGCCACCCGCGTCTATCTATTCAGGTTTCTTCAAAATCAAAAGTGGATACATTGAAGCAAATAAAAGTTGGGTAGCCAACTGCTAGTTTGGCGTTCAAAAGCCAGCAGTCCTCTTTTTAGAAAGCCATGGAAGGGGGCATGACCCTTCCCGGCCACCACTCCCCCGAGAAGCCATGCAGAGGGGAATGACCCTTCCCGGCCACCACTCCCTCAAGAAGCCATGCAGAGGGGCATGACCCTTCCCGGCCACCATCCCGCGACGTCCTCACCTGCCTTACGCCAGGTCCAGCTTCTTCTGCGTGGCCGCCAGCTGGTCCTGCAGCCGCTTCTTCCGCCAGTCGAGGTAGCGCCTGCGCGCCCTGTTCGCCTGCCAGCCCACCAGCACCCCCGAAGCGAAGGCCAGCAGCACCGCCAACTTCACGGAGCGCTCCGAGAGCGGCTCCGAGCTCAGCGCCATGTTTCCCACCGTCCGCCTACTACGGTGCCCACGGAGGGCCAAACTGCTTCCCTTTGCGCCCGGCCAAAGGGAAAGGGGGGAAAGGGTTTTTTTTCGGAGCAGCGGCCACTAGCGGTCGAGCGTAGGCAGGCACACTGGGGCTGCGATGCTGTGCGATGAGCGCTTTTCCTCGACAGCGGATCCGGCTGAAATTCAGTAGGCTTCCTTCGGAGTTAAGCCGAGGCTCGCGCCTTCGAAAGAGCTTTTCGATTTTCTGCCCTAAGGTGCCATTACGCTGAAGAGGAAAGTACTAGATAGAAGTGGTCATGATTGTTTGTTTTTGTATATTTTTGTTTGTTTTCAAGAATAATACATAAGTACAGATTAATAAAAATATGTTCAGCAGTAGATATTTGCCGTTTTTCAGTCATTACTTGCTATTGCAAAGGTTGATGAATGCAATACATCATGTAACCATAAAACATAGCTATATACTGCCACAACCCCCCCCCAAAAGTAAAAGACTTAGTAGTAGTAATGTTTTTAATTTTGTATGTATTTGCTTTTTTACTTGCCTTTAACTTTTTATGATTTTATTGCTTAGTTTTATGTTTTTTATATTATAAAGTGCTGTAATATATCTAGTTAAGGCCATGCCAATCTTCCCCTTGAACGCTGTTTTCTCATTCTTTTATAAATACAGTTTTATTGATTTCCAATATATAACAACAATTACAAAAGAAAGGGTGGATGCAAAAGCAAAATCCCAGTTTACACTCCTCCAGGACAGATCAGTCTACTTGAGTTTGCCAAAGTCCGATCTGTGATTTCAGTGGTTGCCGTTCTTCAGGGTTATCAGCAATGTATTTTATAGATGCCATATTTCAACAAATTTGTCTACATAATTTGTATTATTCAATGCATGTAATCTCTTTGTTAATTATTCAGTAATAACATGGCAAAGAAGCAGTTCTCAGGATACACACACACACACACACACACACATACACACACACATTGCACAAACACAGAAATAAGTACCTAACGGACATTCATGCAAGCACATTTTCGCTTCCAAAAGGGCAAATAAGACACTATCTTCTTAAAACAACAGGTGCCTGTTTGTTTTTCCAAATGGTGTTTTCCCTACTCTATGGTATTCACATGGAGACAAGTATTATACAGTTTCTCATTCATTGTCGTCGTCCTCCTCATCTTCCTCATCGTCATCTTCTTCGTCATCCTCCTCCTCTTCTACCTTTTTCCAAGCTGCAACAGCATCTTTAGCTACGGGACTCATTGCACCATCAAACTTGCCTTTAGACTTGTAGTCAGCTACATCCTTCTCATACTTCTCCTTCAGTTTTGCAGCCTTGCTGTTGTAAGGCTGTTTCCCCCCATCACTGAGGTTGTTCCACATTTCACCCAATTTCTTTGCCAAGTCTCCAATGGAGATGCCAGATTAGTGGATTTGATCTTGGGATGGAATTCTGAACAGAACAGGAAGAATCCAGACGGTGGTCATTTGGGGACATTGGGGTGCTCCTTCTCCTTCTTATCCACCCTTTGCTGGTCCGTAATCTTTCATTTCTCTATCATACCGCACTTTAATAGCTTTAGCCATCTCATCAAATTCCCCCTTCTCTTTTCTTGACACCGTCTTCTGCCTCTCTGAGCACTTTTTGGAGAACTCTGCAAAGCTGATGGGAACTTCTGGGTTCCTCTTCTTGTGTTCTTCACGGCAGGTCTGAACAAAGAAGGCATAAGCAGACATCTTCCCCTTCAGCTTTTTTGGGTCACCTTTAGCCATCTTTACTCCCTGTATTGTTCACTTTAACCTAGGCTATAAGCAGGGGAAGAGAGCGAGACACACACATGACACGCCAAGACTCAACGCTAGTAGTTGGGGCTCAGTCTCACTGTTGTCTGGGGCTTTATATGCCAATAGCAATACCTCAAAACCAGCTTGGGGGCTAGTAGGCAACCGGTGTTGATCCCTTAGCACTGGTAAGAGGCACTATTCACTACCTGGGCCACCAGCTCCAGCCTCTGGACCAGCTGTAAGGGAAGCCTCACGGAAAGCACATTACAGTAGTCTAAACATAAGGTTACCATCCCATGAGCCCCAGTGGCCAAGCTGTGCCTGTCCAAGAAAGGGCACAGATGACACACCCATCAAAAGCTGGTGGCAGCTGCTCTTCACAATGGAGAAGACCCTACCTTTGGGCTGATGTCCTCCCTGGATTCCATTGCTGCACTCCTTTTCTTGAGAGAAGTCCTGCTTCCCTAGCCAGGGCAGCCATATCCTGGGACGGGAGACTACCCACCTCCTCCAGCCTCTATTCTCCAGTCTCAGTCCCTGCCTGTCATCCTCCTGTCCCCACCCCCCCAATTATAATCTGTCTCAGCCAATCACTCCACACCTGGGCCAGTCATGCAAATCATGACAACCGAAAGATGCAGCAGATACAACAGGATCCCACTGTCCCCAACAATGTATTCACAAACAGACAAAACTCTGCTCTCCACTGCAGATCCGCAGCCAGCTTACATTCCCACTCCTTGGGTGTTAATGTTCCCCTGGGGTCCTCAACAAGACACTCTCAAACACCACCACTCTGGGTGCCCATAAAGACCGCTTGCCCCTCCAAAAATGTTGAATTGTGGGGTTTTGTAAAGCTCTCCCCCCGCCCACCGTGAGTGGCCCTGGGCAGAATCAAAAGCAAAGTGCAGGCATCCAATCACTTTATACTCTTAACCTTCCTTTCCCAGAATTCCTCTGGGCTCCACATGAGCATACATTCCCTGTGTTTATGTTTGCTAGTGTGTGTTTTGCCTGCTTTTTGTTTTTCTTGGTTTGGGGTGTTTTGCCTGTTTGGGTTGTTTAGTTGACATGAGTCATACCTCATGTTACGTTTGCTTCATGTTACATTTTTTTCAGGTTGTGTCCCGCAGCGACCTGGAAGTACCGGAAAGGGTTACTTCTGGGTTTTGCCGCTCACGCATGCGCAGAAGTGCTAAATCACGCTATGCGCATGCGCACAAAATCACGCCACGCACCTGCGCAGATACGGCGCTTCAGGTTGCAGGCTTTTCATGTTGCAAACGGGCCTCCGGAATGAATCCCATTCACAACCAGAGGTACCACTGTATTTTCCCTTTGGGGAGGAGTGTTCTCTTCCTCCTCTTCATTTGGGGGGGCAGTTTAGCTATTTTGCCTGTAGGTGGGATTCCGGGCATCATTTATTTCTTCCCCTTCTGTGAATTTGCTTCTACAAATGGGATGGATTTCCAAACATTCTTCCCAGGCCCAAAAATGTTGGGGACCACAATGCAAGCTGTTCAGAAACCTGTTTTGCCAGTTCATTACCTCCCACCCTAGCAGACCTTTAACCACTTGCATTGGACTGTATTTTCATTTGACTCTGCATAGTAGCAGGGCTCGTCTAAGCCTGCAATCCTATGTACACTTTCTTCCAAATAGACATGCATAGGATTGCACCTTATGTCTTGTAGTGCCGGCCACCAAGCTCTGCTTTGTTCATTTCCTCTCCTATCCACGTGTGTATTTGTGTGTGTTTGTGTCTGTGTGTAGAAATCTGTCAACTGAGAATAATACCTCATGTATTTGACAGAATGGACTCTAGCCCACCAAAGCCTGGGCTGCAATTAATTTTTAACCTTGAAGGTGCCCCAGAACTCTTTGTTCAGCTGAAAGCTAATAAGAACAGGAGTGTGCCTACAGTAATCTAATAGTTAAATACAGTTGAATGAACTTGATTGTGCTCTTTGTATGCAAACCCCTACTCTGTACATCCCTGGACAGAGGAATGCTTCCTCAGCATTTCTGAGGCACTGCTTAGAGAAACAATATTAAGCTGACTTTAATGCCAAACTTCCTTTTCCTGCATGCCAGATTTCACCGCTGGCAGACGAACAAACCAGCGAGCTGCAGCCACAGCCCATGAAAGCAGCGAACTTTTCAACCCTCCGCTGTAGCCGCTGCTTTGAGAACGGCCAGATGGGCAGCCATTTAGTCAATGAAACCATCCAGGCCACAAGAAAAGAGCATTATGCACATTGCGTATGTAAAGTAGGAATGAAACTCTAAATAAAATACTTCTGGGCAGCCACCTTGGCTGAAAAAATCCCAGTCCTGGCATACAGCCTGCCTCCCGTAATTTTCCAGTCCTTTACCGTAAAGTTAACCAGCCCTCAGAGCACATAGGAGACTGCCTATTCCAGATCGGACCATCTGTGCATCTGGCTCAGAATTGTCTACAACAGGGATGGTGAACCCGCTGGGCGTAGCCAAAGAACATCTGTTTTGCATGCACAAGGTCCCAGATTCAGTCCCTGGCATCTTCTGGCCAAGCTGTGAGAGACTCCTGCCTGAAATTCTGGATAGTCGCTGCGGCATAGTAAACTATAAGTTATAAGTGGAAGGCAGTTTCCTATGTTTCCGGGTGCCAGTGCATTCAGCACACCATCCAAGAAGAGTCACTCACTCTCGCTTGATCAGTGGATCTAGTTTAACTTAGTTGAATCTAGTTTTCGATGAAATCAATGGGCCTTAAGTAAAGGTCTTCTTCCACAGATTCCATTGGCACTTCACTTCAATTGGTTGGTTGGCAGCCGCCTGTCTCAGGAGACAATGGAGGACTGCTCCTTTGGGGGTGAAATCAAACCATTGGAGATTTACAGCACCTGCTGTGGCTGTAGAGACATGTTTTGTTGCAGCTGGGGCAGATGCATCATGGTGTTTCTTCTCTCTATGTTCTTCCCAGAGGTCATTCCTCCTATGATGACTGCTATGGATACATGACTTAACTGTCTCAAGGCACTACGGTCATCTGAAAGGGATTCCCACGTGGCAGGGTTCATGTTACAGTTGCAGACATCTTTGTAACACAGAGTTGCTCTGCCAATGGGCCTGCTGTCTTAATAATTGGCTCTCATGCATTTGAGAACTCAATCAGGGTTCCAGGTAACATGAAACATCTGTAGGCGCACATCTGTGCCTGCATAGGCTCTGTTCCAGGCAAAGGCAAACTCGGCCCTCCAGATGTTTTGGGACTACAATTCCCATCATCCCTGACCACTGGTCCTGCTAGCTAGGGATCATGGGAGCTGTAGTCCTAAAACATCTGGAGGGCCACGTTTGCCTATGCCTGCTCTGTTCTGAAGTCATTTGTACAAACATACATATGAAAGGCAAAAGGGAACACATCTTTTAGGATGGTGATTGTCATCTGCACGTTTTATGAGTATTAAAAGTATTTTTAAAATAAAATAAAAATCTGTCTAATATACTGGAACACCTTATACTTGACCAAAAATGTCTTCGCAGTGTAATCCTAACTGTATCTACCACTTAGTTTAATGTGACTTACTCCCAGGTAAGTGGGGTGAGGATTATGGCCGTAAGCAAATTAACTCAGGGATGGTCCTCCAGATGTTGCTGAAGTACAATTCTGAAATTATTATGGGTTCCTCGGGTCCCATCAATGGGTTAGTTTCACTGCTGTATGACATTTTTGTCAAATGCTACTTTTACTGCAAATCAAAATCATAAGACCTGGTGGGAACACAACTGGGGAGTTCAGACAGAAGATGAAGATTGGGGGGGGGAATCTGGTCCAAGGTCCCATATACATCTGTTTTGGCTCGAAGAGGGAACTCTCCCTGAAAATAGCACATAGTTGGTACTTAACACAATGATTCATTCCTTTTGTACATGGGGGTGCTTCACACTTAGGCTGGAGGGGCTGCCAGGATGCTGGGACCTACCAGCATAAGTGATGGAACTGCCCAAGGTAAACTGATTGAGGACAAAAGTATTTTCTGACATCTCACTGATAACTGGACAAGCAATTCATCCCTTCCCTTGTCTGGATCTTGGATTTGTTTGCAGATTCGAATCAAGACCAGAAAAAAACAAGGAATTGATTTTGCATCTTTTGATAGCAGTCCAAGACACAATTATAGGTTTTGGAAAAGCTTATCTTCTTTTTAAAATAAAAAATTGCAGTGGTTTTGATTTAGATCATGGAACCCTTTGTAATTATAGACCACAGATCCTTTTCCTCCTGGTATGTTTTATTGTTGATTTAGTAAATCACTTAGCTGTATTCTATACCTCTTTATTGGCAATCATGACAATTTACCTTTAAAAAACTATTTTTTCGTTATTTATTTTTTTCTGAAAAAATGGGAGGGGAAACCTTACAACTCCCATCAGTCACAGCCAGCATGACCAATCGCTGGGGATGATGGGAATTGTAGTTCTGCAACATATTAGGGGCCAAAGGTTCTCCACCCCAGGATTAAGCCAACCCCATTAAATGCAGCAACCCTGGTTTTGTCATTTCTGTTTCCAGTTGTTTTGTTGTTTTTAAATCTGTATGTTATTCATAAGTTGCGGTGAGACCCTTTGGGGTTAGTTGGTGGGAAATTCAGTGTTATAAATGAATTGTCCATTCCTTATTTGGATCCTTAACATTTCTTTTAGCTTTGTAGCACTTGTAGCTGTGACGGGGGAGGGAAGGAACAGAGAACTGTGGCTGCAATCAGACACGTCATAAAAATGGAAACATGCATATATTGTGGGATGCCAGAGTCTTGTGGCATCTTGAAAACAAATGGATTTATTGTGGCATTAAACTTCCATGGATTACAGCCCTCTTCATCTAATGCATTTAGTGTTATCCCGATTTGTAGGTCCACATATCTTCTTCTTCTTCTCCTTCTTCGGAGAGGATTGTCAAGTGTTGCCAGAAAGAAATGAAATGCAGAAAAGTGCAGACCTTGATAATTGCATACTTAATATGGTGATTTACAAAAATGCTCTCCGTCTAATCTGCAAACGATAGCATTGAAACTCCTGATGCATTTAAAGCACGTGGCTGCCAATCCGCTACTAAGCTCAGTCCAAGGTACACAAATGGTGGGAGATGGAGTCCAGCAACGCCATACCTCCCTGATAGAGTGTCTGCCCTGCACAGGTGGTCGCCGGTTCAGTCCCCGCTGGCATCTCCAGGTGGGGTTGGGAAAGGCTCCTACCTGAAACCCTGGCGAGCGGCTGCCAGTCAGTGTAGACAACACTCATAGACCAATGGGCTGACTTGAGTACTAAGGCAGCTTCGTATGTGTTCCTTGGAAACAGGGACTTGCTTTCCCACAAGGATGTAGCGAGGTGGCGAGTTAAACGTGCAGAGGATGGGGGCGCTTTTGAAATCCTACGATGCCCCTTTGTTGCTGTTTAGTCGTGTCCGACTCTTCGTAACCCCATGGACCAGAGCACGCCAGGCACTCCTGTCTTCCACTGCCTCCCGCAGTTTGGTCAAACTCATGCTGGTAGCTTCGAGAACACTGTCCAACCATCTCCTCCTCTGCCGTCCCCTTCTCCTTGTGCCCTCAATCTTTCCCAGCACCTGGGTCTTTTCCAGGGAGTCTTCTCATGAGGTGGCCAAAGTACTGGAGCCTCAGCTTCAGGACCTGTCTTTCCAGCGAGCACTCAAGGCTGATTTCCTTCAGAATGGAGAGGTTTGATCTTCTTGCAGTCCATGGGACTCTCAGGAGTCTCCTCCAGCACCATAATTCAAAAGCATCAATTCTTCGGCGATCAGCCTTCTTTATGGGGACGCCCCTTTACAAACCCCAATAAACTCAGCCGGGCTTCCTTTCCGAGGCAACCCACAGGGCGGATCCAGATTCTCGCCGGCCTCCTTTGCAGCGGGGGCGGGGAGGTGGAGGAACCCCAAAGTTTTGCTGCGCCACTGCGAGCGCGGAATCAAGGCGCTTCGCGCAGCGCCTGCTCGCTCATCCATCCTTCTCCGGGGCTGGGAGTCGTTTCCGCTGCCCGGAGTCACGTGCAGCTGGGGATTAAAGCCTCCTCGGCGCCGCTGCAGCTTCGGGGATGGAGTCTGCGGGCCGGAGTCGAGTCGGGATCCCGCAACCGCCCGGAGTGCAGGAGCAACCAGACTCCGCAGCCGCGCAACCGCCGCGCAGCTTAGCCGGAGCCGCGCCCGACGCCGCGATGGGAGACTCGGCGCAGGAGGAGGTGACCCGCCCAAGACTGGTTCTTGCGCGACCGTGGCGAGGGGAGGAGAGGGGAGGTCTCCGCTTGGAGGGGCTACATCTTCCACGTTGCTCTGCTGGTCCCCCTGCAGGCCCAGCCCAAGCCTGCGCAACTCTCTCTCCCCCTTTCCCCCATGGCTGCTTTGCTACTGCAAATGTTTCCACGGGCCCCCACTTTTTGGAAACGAGAGATTCCTTTGCATCGCGCCTGCTTGCACCAAACACCAGCTGCTCTAGCAAGTGGTTATTTTTCTTGGGGTGTCGCGTGAGTTAAGGGGAAGAGTTTGCCCACTTCTGCAGCTGTGCCTCTGGACAGCTAGTTGTGTGGCATCTTCAGCAACTTTCCTTCAGCTCCATGGCGTACAAAAGCTTCTCCTGCGTAAAGGGGCGTTTGGGTGGGCAGGAAGGCACGCGTGCAAACTTAAGAGGTTGGCAGAGACTGTTGCTCTGCTGGCCTGGCTGCTGCTTCTCGGCCAATGTGCCGAGAGCCTTTAAAAAAAAAAAAAGCTGAGCGAGGCGTTTTCGTCGCATTCCTTGGCAAAGGCGAGATCCGTTATACAGGCAGAGACACAGCAGCTGCTGCCTGGGGTGGAGCAATTCAAGGGGTACCTGCGGTATCCTGCAAGCAAAGGTGTGTCTTGCTGGGATGACTGGTGCCTTATCGACACCAATCGAGAGTCAGCCCAGAAGGCAATCTGGCCTCTGATTTTCCCATCACAGTCCAACTTAGGATGGCGGTTCTGTTTCAGAGGCTGTGTACAGTACATATTATGGGCTGGAAATGCAGTTTGTTGTTGTTTGTTGTTTGTTGTTTAGTCGTTTAGTCGGGTCTGACTCTTCGTGACTCCCTGGACCAGAGCACGCCAGGCACTCCTGTCTTCCACTGCCTCCCGCAGTTTGGTCAAACTCATGCTGGTAGCTTCGAGAACACCGTCCAACCATCTCGTCCTCTGTCATCCCCTTCTCCTTGTGCCCTCCATCTTTCCCAACATCAGGGTCTTTTCCAGGGAGCCTTCTCTTCTCCAAAGTATTGGAGCCTCAGCTTCAGGATCTGTCCTTCCAGTGAGCACTCAGGGCTGATTTCCTTCAGAATGGATAGGTTTGATCTTCTTGCAGTCCATGGGACTCTCAAGAGTCTCCTCCAGCACCATAATTCAAAAGCATAAATTCTTCGGCGATCAGCTTTCTTTATGGTCCGGCTCTCACTTCCAAACATCGCTACTGGAAATGCAGTTAGGTTGTTCTTTTTCTCAATTTGGATCAAAACTGGGTCTTTTAAGTGGGGCGAGAATGCAAAAGTTCATAAGAAACAACCGGACGGAATTGGATTGCGGCTAACGTCGTGCATGCACTGCTTCCCAAACCAGAGTATGGCTGCAGAGTAAATGGGCTTGTGCGCACAGCCTTGGTAGCTTCATTATAGAGAGTCAGACCATTGGCCCATCTGTTCATCCAGCTCAATATTGTCTGCACTGGATGGGGGGCTGCTATCTGGGGTTTCATATGGGGGAACATTCTCAGCCCTCGCTGGAGATGTCTGGGGTTGAACATTGGGAACTTCTACCTGCAAAACTGCCACTGAGCCACAGCCATTCCCAACAGCTGATGGAAAGACTTGATTCATAAAGGCAATAGGTGTTCCTCTTCTCACATTATTTAATGGTGATCAATGCATTAGATTTCCAACCCCGTTTTGCTTGACATACAGTGGTACCTCGGGTTACATACGCTTCAGGTTACATACGCTTCAGGTTACATACGCTTCAGGTTACAGACTCCGCTAACCCAGAAATAGTACCTCGGGTTAAGAACCTTGCTTCAGGATGAGAACAGAAATCGCGCGGCGGAGGCGGGAGGCCCCATTAGCTAAAGTGGTACCTCAGGTTAAGAACAGTTTCAGGTTAAGTACGGACCTCCGGAACGAATTAAGTACTTAACCCGAGGTACCACTGTACTTGGGCTGTGCCCAAGTTCTGCTCGAAAGAGGAAACTCTATGAATTTAGATCAACTAGATTGGCTTCTTGGCCATATCCTTACTGTTATCAAAATGAACATAAGAGCATCCCTGCTGGTTCAGGCCAGGATCCTGTCCTCTCTGTAGTCAGCCAGATGCCCATGGGAAACCTGAAAGCAGGAACTGAACACAGGTGCATCTCCCTTCCTGCAGTTTCCAGCAACAGGCATCCGTAGGATGAATACTCTCACACAGAAGAGGACTCTGGCAAAGCAGTTTCTCCTGTGACTTGAGGTGTCCCTCCTGATGGAGAAAGCAAGGTTGTTTTCCACAAACCATTGCAAGGAGAGCCTACTTGGGGCTTCCCTTACCAGGTTTCAGAGGTGCTTGTTAGATGCACCCCATCCTTAATAAAATCTTAGGTGGAAGCTGTAACTTCAGCCCAGGCAGGATCATGCCAGCTGGATCAAGGGGCTGGAGCAGCTCCACTATGGAGAAAGGCTGTAGCCCGTGCAGCTTTTTAGTTTAAATAAATGTCTTTAAAGTCTACCTGCTTTTTAGTTTAGAGCAGATGCACCAGGTTGTGCCCGACGTTGTGGAGCCATCGTGCTTGTGTGACCCAGTATACCTGAAGGAGCGTCTCCACCCCCATCGTTCTGCCCAGACACTGAGGTCCAGCGCCGAGGGCCTTCTGGCGGTTCCCTCACTGCGAGAAGCAAAGCTACAGGGAACCAGGCAGAGGGCCTTCTTGGTAGTGGCGCCCACCCTGTGGAACACCCTACCATCAGATGTCAAAGCGATAAACAACTACCTGACATTCAGAAGACATCTTAAGGCAGCCCTGTTCAGGGAAGTTTTTAATGTGTGACATTTTAGTGTATTTTTGGTCTCTGTGGAAGCCACCCAGAGTGGCTAGGGAAACCCAGCCAGATAGGCGGGGTACAAATAATAAATTATTATTATTATTATTATTATTATTCAAGCACACAATGATGTCCCTGTGTGTTGGGAAGAAGCCGAGAGGATCGCTTTAAAGAAGGATTATACAAATTCATGGAGCAGAAGCCTCTTAGGGGCTACTTCCATGGTATGTGTGTGGAGGGGGGAGATTCCCACAGTGGTGTTGCATGTCTGAGGTGCTTATAGGTGGTGGGTGTGGTCTAAACCACTGAGCCTCTTGGGTTTGCCAATCGGAAGGTCGGCAGTTCGGATTGGTGTGACAGGGTGAGCTTCCGTTTCTGTGTCCCAGCTCCTGCCAACCTAGCAGTTCGAAAGCACGGCAGTGCAAGTAGATAAATAGGTACCGCTGTGGCAGGAAGGTAAAAGGCATTTCTGTGCCCTCTGGTTTCCATCACAGTGTCCCGTTGTGCCAGAAGCGGTTTAGTCCTGCTGGCCACATGACCTGGAAAAGCTGTCTGTGGACAGACGCTGGCTCCCTCAGCCTGAAAGCAAGATGAACTGGACTTTGACTGCACTTTGACTGGACTTAACCGTCCGGGTCCTTTACCTTTACCTTTTACCCTTTTTTAAAGGAAGATAGGGGACTGCCTTATATGGAGTCAGACCATTGGTCCATCTAGCTTAGAACTCTCTACACTGCCTGGCCACAAGTCTCTATGGTTCCTGGCAGTGGTCTCTCACAGACCTTCTTGAAGATGCTGGAGATCAAACTTGGGGCGTTTTGCATGCAAAACAGATGCTCTACTATTCAGCTATGGCTCTACTCCAATAAACTTTACACAAGAGGCCCCAGAAGGGTAGTGCAACTGCTGGGATGGTCCCAGAGTCCTGCCCACTTGTCCTCTGCAAACTTCAGAGGGTGGCTGGGGCATCTGGGTGTTGCATGTTGCGTCAGAGGCATGACACACCTGTAAGGAGGATACCACCAGCTCCAACTTTAGGAGAAAGGATGACATTCATTATTCCTGCCAGAGGGGAGCACTCATTGCAATGACGAATGTTGCAGTGGACCCCTGACTTTGATATTTGCCACACTGGAGATCAAAATGAGGTTTCTTTAAAGGGGGCGGGGCTTCACGGCTTGGCTTTAAAGGAGTGTTTAAAAAAATTATCTGTGCAAGAACGGGCAGCTTTGTAACCTAAGTAGGGACACTGTGGGAGTTGTTTTAGTTCAGCCCGCCAACATTCGGGGTCACATTGGGACATACGAAATGTCACTTTTGTTGCAACAATGCTGAAGTCTCTATCCGACTCGACTGTGGCTTGTCTCAGAGCAAGTATTTTGGAGTGCTTGGCCTTCACAATGTTGCAAGCCCAGAGCAACCTCATTGTCTGGCTTGACATGTAGCCAAAGCTCTTCTCTGTGGAAGTTGTGCTCAAATTATAAGCGTCATTGCCAAAGGATACGGGGAGACCAGTGAGAGGGGTGTGGAGGAAGCAGATTGTTGTATGGTATTATGGAAAGCAAAATTGCCCATCTTCTTTTAAGGTGTACAATGTACTAGATTTCTTTTAAGGTGTACAACATACTGGATTCCCCCTGCCCCCTTTGATCTTAGTCAGAAGAGCCGTAATCAAGTAATCTGTTATGCTTGGAACAAGCTGTTTCTTGTGAGACGACTACTACTTAAAATTTTTAAACAGTTAACCATTGCATTTTAATAGCCAAACAGTCCACTTGAACTAAACCTTTGACAGTGTTCTGAATTGCATAGCTCTTGCTGACAGATGGACGTACATTCTGCCACTCGATGTCTTACTCTGCAGTGGTCTGCAGGCCGTGATCCGAGTGACGTGGCAAACAATGCCAGGCTGTGTGTGCGCACACATTGTGGACTACTAAAAGGCTGGAGATCTTTTCTCTTGTCCTATAGCCCTGCAGCCAGACCCTGTGTATACTGGCTTGCAAATTAGTCTTTAAGCAGTGGGAGTACTGAGCATGTTAGCAAAATCCTTTCTATGCACTGTTGTATAAGGACATACAATTTCTATGCGCTGTTGTATAAGGACTTACAATTGGCTACATTCCAGCCAGGGATGTGGGTGGTGCTGTGGGTTAAACCACAGAGCCTAGGACTTGCCGATCAGAAGGTCGGCGGTTTGAATCCCCGTGACAGGGTGAGTTCCCGTTGTTCGGTCCCAGCTCCTGCCAACATAGCAGTTCGAAAGCACATCCAAGTGCAAGTATATAAATAGGTACCGCTCCAGTGGGAAGGTAAATGGCGTTTCTGTGCGCTGCTCTGGTTCACCAGAAGTGCCTTAGTCATGCTGGCCACATGACCCGGAAGCTGTACGCAGGCTCCCTCGGCCAATAAAGCGAGATGAGCGCTGCAACCCCAGAGTTGTCCACGACTGGACCTAATGGTCAGGGGTCCCTTTACCTTTACCTTACATTCCAGCCACGTGAAAGCTATAGGTTTCTGTTCCACATGGAACATGTGCATGCATCTCTTTGAAAATACTCCATGCAGGCAAGCAGGAGGCATTATTCCAGTTGAAGAAAACAGACAGACATAAGTGGCTGGTCAGAGACGGGCATGCGCAGGTGCCGTGCTAACTTCCCAGAAGGTGGGATGCTGTTGCTTACTAGGGAATGGTGAGTTCAGCACAGCACTAACACCAGATCAGTTCTGCTGGTAAGAACATAAGGAGAGTCTGCAGAATCAGGCCAATGGCTCATCTAGTCACAAGAGAGCTCTCCCTGTTTTTAGCAACTGACATTCAGGACATGGCTGCCCCCGACAGTGGAAGCCAAGCATAGCCACAATGACTAGTAGCCACTTATAACCTTTGGTTATGGGTAGGAGAGAATATATTAATTGCAGTTTATTCCTCCAGATGCTCATGCATGTGGGATAAACAGAGGTTCAAAATCCCATCCTTGGCAGCAAAATTAAAAGCATAGGATTTAGGCTGTCAAACCTTGTTTTGAGCAAGTCCATCTATGAAGTCATCTGGCTTTCCCCTTCTTAACCAGCTCAACAAAGAATTGGGCAGCAGCTTGTGAATTAAGTCTGAGTGTAGAGCCGTCAAAGTGCAGCCGTGTTGAAAATGTATTCCCTCTTTACAGCAGAGTCTTCTCCTGGCAGCAGCGTATGTGTATGATGCCCAGTACAATAGGAACATCCCCTTTGATACCTCTCCACGGGCAGTCAGGTAAGTGCATGGTTTGGGGGCGTCATGCTGAACACTCTGATGCACACTGCAAAAAGTGTGTAAGGTTGCTGAAATGTGAGAGTGCCTTGGCTTCATTAATTTTTCAGGCTGTGTGTGTGTGTGTTGTGTTTGAGATTAAATAATAATAATAATTATTTATTATTTATACCCCACCCATCTGGCTGGGTTTCCCCAGCCACTCTGGGCGGCTTCTAACAAAATATTAAAATACAATAGTCTATTAAACATTAAAAGCTGCCTTCAGATGTCTTCTAAAAGTCTGGTAGTTATTTTTCTCTTTGACATCTGGTGGGAGGGCGTTCCACAGGGCGGGTGCCACTACCAAGAAGGCCCTCTCCCTGGTTCCCTGTAACTTGGCTTCTCGCAGCAAGGGAACCGCCAGAAGGCCCTCGGCACTGGACCTCAGTGTCCGGGCAGAATGATGGGGGTGGAGATGCTCTTTCAGGTATACTGGACCGAGGCCGTTTAGGGCTTTGAAGGTCAGCACCAACACTTTGAATTGTGCTTGGAAACGTAATATTAAACCTTGCGCAGTAGCGTAGGTAGCCAGGGGCGAGGGGTGGTCTGCACCGGATGGGGGGGCAGCATGGGAGTCTTAAGTGTGGCATGGTGGCTGCTATGCGGGGGTTGGGATTCTGGGCGGCAGGTGAGCTTGTGGGCGGCACGTCAGTTCCTTGGCTTTTAGGGTGCTGCAGGAGGATAGAGCCACTTCCTGTCCCAAAATCGGCCGTTGCCCTAAAAAAGCCAGGTCATGGTGGTACAGTGGTACCTCGGGTTACAGACGCTTCAAGTTACAGACGACGCTTCAGGTTACAGATGACGCTTCAGGTTACAGACACTGCTAACCCAGAAATAGTACCTCGGGTTAAGAATTTTACCTCAGGATGAAAACAGAATTCGCACGCCAGCAGTGTGGCAGCAACAGGAGGTCCCATTAGCTAAAGTGGTACCTCAGGTTAAGAACAGTTTCAGGTTAAGAACGGACCTCCAGAATGAATTAAGTTCTTAACCCGAGGTACCACTATACAAGCTACGTGGAATGAAGATGAGGCCTGTGGTGCTGTGGTTGTCTCAAAAAGTGTATTTTTGGGGTTCTGGCACAAATGTGGCTAATATGGCATGATGCTGTTTTTGAGCAAGGTTGATACTGAAGATTCGTCTTGTTGTTGGTTTTCTCCAGAATGAGGCTTTATGATTCCTCTAGCAGCCTTGTTCCCAGCACTGCTCAAGAATTTTCAGAAACAAACAGAAGTGCAGTGTTGACATTGGTTGGATAAAATTCAGTGTACTTTTGAAAGGTTAGGCCCGCCGTCCCGATTCAAAACGGCATTCGATTGTATCCAAGCATAGAAGAAAAGTGGCTCTTTGAGCTCAGAAACCATCATGCAAAATTTGGATATTTTATGTGTATCTTATGTATCTTATGTGGTGTCCAACGGCATAGCAACAGACAGATAACTTCTTTTATTTCTCCAATAGATTTTATTAAAGTTCGAAAAAAGTTATCAAAGGTGGATGTTGGATACCCAAGAAATGAATCTAAATAAAAACACAAACTCAAAAGAGGAAAAGAAAAAAGGGGAAAGAAAGAAAAAGGGGGGGGGGAGAGAAAAGAATATAACTTCTGATTCTTCCTCTGTCAGCTATATATAGAAAATTATTCCCAACATCCACTCCAGGATAATACCCAATAATTCCACTTTCTATAAACCAATATTTTCTTCAATCCTCAAATCCAGATATCACAAGTTCAATGTCTTTTTCACACAAAAATTCTATAAGGAATTTCCAGTCAACAATGATAATTATTTTCCAAAATATAGCAGAAAATACCCAGCATTGCTCAGGAATGCTGAGAAACCAAAAAAAATACTGAGATTTATAAATGGGTAGTATAATGTGTTGGTTTCTAGGGCTGCGCTTTACAGTTCGCCAGCAACTTTTGATCCTTGTATGTTTTAAAGCCCCAGCTTTCAGTGACTGCAAGTTTTATTCAATCATTTCAAATACTGTGTTTTGATGCAGTAACCTGCTCTGGGATCCTCGGGGAGAGGGGCTTAGAAATAAATGAATAATAACATCTTAGAGGGAGGTCCTGGTGGTTTAGAGCAGGCTTTAAATATTCTCCCTGCTGTTGCCGCCACAACAACTGCGCTTGCTGGAGCTAGAGATCATTTTCCTACCAAGGTTCTCAGTTGCTTTTCCGACTTCTCTTCGCAGACTTTACTATCTGTATAACCACTGGACTATGCAAGCAGCTACCTACTTCTTTATATTTGTAGACCTCGCCCTTGCGCTGTTTGAAGAGCCAGCTGTGTACCTGTTGCCTTTCTTGGTAAGCTTTCATCATAATAATAATAATAGAGAGCCAGTGTGGTGTAGTGGTTAAGAGCGGTAGTCTCGTAATCTGGGGAACCGGGTTCGCGTCTCTGCTCCTCCACATGCAGCTGCTGGGTGACCTTGGGCCAGTCACACTTCTCTGAAGTCTCTCAGCCCCACTCACCTCACAGAGTGTTTGTTGTGGGGGAGGAAGGGAAAGGAGAATGTTAGCCGCTTTGAGACTCCTTAAAGGGAGTGAAAGGCAGGATATCAAATCCAAACTCTTCTTCTTCTTCTTCTTCTAATAATAATAATAATAATAATAATAATTTATTATTTATACCCTGCCCATCTGGCTGGGCTTCCCCAGCCACTCTGGGCGGCTTCCAAAAAAATATTAAAATACTATAATACATCAAACATTAAAAGCTTCCCTAAACAGGGCTGCCTTCAGATGTCTTCTAAAAGTCTGGTAGTTGTTGTTCTCTTTGACATCTGGTGGGAGGGCGTTCCACAGGGCGGGTGCCACTACCGAGAAGGCCCTCTGCCTGGTTCCCTGTAACTTGGCTTCTCGCAGTGAGGGAACTGCCAGAAGGCCCTCGGCGCTGGACCTCAGTGTCCAGGTAGAACGATGGGGGTGGAGACGCTCCTTTCAGGCAAATTGGGATGGCTAATAATTCCATCCTGATGTTGGAGGCTCAATAAAGTGTGTGTGTGTGTGTGTGTGTGTAAGTGTGTGTGTGCCTTAATCTAGAATGATTAACTTTGGCACAATTCTGCATATAAGAAACTTTTCTCTCTCTCTCTCTCTCTTTAATAATAATAATAAATTTTATTTATACCCTGACCTCCCCGGCCAGAGCTGGGCTCAGGGCGGCTAACACCAGTATAATTACAGTAAAAACGTAATGGGGGGGGACCAATTTAAAATGCAATTTAAAATGCAGCCTCATTTTAAAAGTAGCCCATAGATCAAAACCATAAGGGGAGGGAAACATAAGGGTCAGACTGAGTCCAAACCAAAGGCCAGGCGGAACAGCTCTGTCTTGCAGGCCCTGTGGAAAGATGTCAAGTCCCGTAGGGCCCTAGTCTCTTGTGACAGAGCGTTCCACCAAGTCGGGGCCAGTACTGAAAAGGCCCTGCATTAAGAAATACTTTTTTATGTGTCCCGAATCTTCTGACATTTCAGCTTTACTGATTGGGCTGGGGAAGCCCAGCCAGTGTTATGAGAGAGGAAGGAGAACTTTCCCCACTTTTTCCATTCCACGCCCAATTTTATAAACGTCTTATCATGTCACCTCTCACTCCCCTTTTCTCCACTAGGGTTTCCCAAACTTGGGTCTCCAGTGGTTTTTTGGACTACAACTCCCATCATCCCTAGCTAGCAAGAGTAGTGGACAGGGATGATGGGAGTCGTAGTCCTAAAACAGCTGGAGACCCAAGTTTGGGAAACCCTGCTCCAAACTAAAAAGTCCCAAAGGCCACCACCTTTCTTCCTAAAGGAGTTGCTCCACCCCCTTGGATCATTTGGGTGGCTCTTTTCAAAACCCTTTCCCCACTGTCCTAGGCAAGCCTTCTACCATTTAATCCCTCCTGTCTGGAAACCGTCTGCAAAATATGCAGGGCAAAATATCCAGACTTCTGCACTGGGTTAATTAATTCTCAAAATACTTCATCATGCTTGTGAACTTTAATAGCTTCCCACCTAATTAAAATGTCCTGCTTTTGCATCGAAGTCTGCATATACAGTGGTACCTCGGGTTACATACGCTTCAGGTTACAGACGCTTCAGGTTACAGACTCCGCTAACCCACAAATATTACCTCAGGTTAAGAACTTTGCTTCAGGATGAGAACAGAAATCGTGCAGCGACGGCGCAGCAGCAGCAGCGGGAGGCCCCATTAGCTAAAGTGGTGCTTCAGGTTAAGAACAGTTTCAGGTTAAGAACAGACCTCCAGAACCAATTAAGTTCTTAACCTGAGGTACCACTGTATTGTGTTACCCACGGAAGCTTATAAAAGGCCAACAGTGTGGAAAAAATGCAGCACTCGATCTGCATAATTCCATATTAGTTTGTATTAACGTGATCTATTTTAGGAAAGTATCTTGCTCAAGTTTTATTTAAGGAACAAGGTGACAAAATCTTGCCAAATGGGAATTGTGTTAATTCTGTCCTCTGACCTGCTTCCATATGTACAGCCTCTGTTCTCCCTGAGAATGGCATGTTGCTATTTTTTCACTCTCTGCCCTAAAAAAATAAATAAATCTCAAAGCAAATTACCAAATTAAAAAACCCCTAAAACACACTATCTATCTATCTATCTATCTATCAATAAACTGCACACACACACGGAAAACAGATCCAGCTCCACCCCACTAAAAGTTAAGCAGATGAATAGGATCCAAAGACCTGGGTGAAAAAAAGAAAAAGAAAATATTATTATGATTATTCCAAACATGCATTCAGTTTATTAGCTGCTGTTTTCCTGCCGCAGCAGGAACCAACATGGTTCATTGATTTGGGTAAAGGGGATATGTGTTGGCATTTACCATCCAAAATGTTGGCTGTAATTCCTTTTTTGCCTGTTGACATATATGGGTTTTTATAAAGAATTACCGTATTTTTTGCCCTATAGGACGCCCTTTTTCCCCTCCTAAAATGAAGGGGAAATGTGTGTGCGTCCTATGGGGCGAATGCAGGCTTTCGCTGAAGCCTGGAGAGCGAGAGGGGTCGGTGCGCACCAACCCCTCTCACTCTCCAGGCTTCAGGAAGCTCTCCGCAAGCCTTGGGAGCCCGCTGGAGTTCCCGTCGGGCTCCCTAGGCTTGCGGATAGCAGCCTGCATCTCGAAGCCTGGGGCGCGCTGCACAGCGCACCCCGGGCTTCGGTTCCCCAAGCTGGTTTGGAGGCTCGCGGTGGGAAGAAGCGTGTTTCTCCCTGCCGCCAGCCCCACAAGCTTGGGGGACAGTGGGGAGGCGGAGCGCCGCCATCCCACTGTTCCCCAACCTGGTTTGGGTTTCAGGCAGATATCCGCAAGCCGTGGGAGCCCGTCTCCCGTCTCCCAAGGCTTGCTGAGAGCTGCCTGTTCTGGAGGCTGGGGTCGGGGGAAGCTCGGGCATCCCTGGCCCCAGCCCCGTGCCTGGGGGAGGGGATTTTTTTTCTTTATTTCCCCCCCCCCCCAACTAGGTGCGTCCTATGGGCCGGTGCGCCCTATGGGGCGAAAAATACGGTAGCTAGACGTGTCCTACTGCAACTGCCAGTGGTTAGCAATAGCAGTAAAAGGAACCTGCATGCTTTTGACAGTGGGCTTGTGGAGACAACCACTGGGCTGATCCCCATCGTTTCCTGTTTGCCACTTTCCCAAGGGGAAACTGTTGAGTCAAACCTCACTCAGACCCAGCATGTCTGTTCCAACCTAGTTGTTTTGTTTGTTAAAAGCCCATCTCCTTTTAAGCTGCTGATTTTTCCATTCCAACAGGTTACCTCGCTGACCGAAGTCTTATGCCTTCTGGTTTTCTTCGGAAGGCTCTTCCATTTTGCGCAAGTCACTCCTCGCGACGTGTTCTGGAAGGATACAAAGAACATCTGCATCATGATAACCATCCTGGTCAGTTGTAGCTCATGGCTCCTTCTGCGAGTCATGGAAGGAGCAGTAGCTTAGCGGACTGTTCTTCTGAATGGCACCGCCTTCCGCTGCTCCTGAGGTAGCAATGCCATGCTCAGTCTAGCCTGCAGTGTCGCTAGATGTTGTTAAACTCACGCTATTCTGCTTGTACAATTTCATACTCCTCCAGAGTATTGCGTAGCCATGATGCCTGCACCAAAACCACATTTCAGTGCAGAAACTTGGGTCCAGGGTACCTTAAGAATCTCCTGGACCTTCATATTCCAGCTGAGAGCATCTGAAGGAGCATCTGTGGTCATTCCCTGAGTTAGTGAGGCTCGTTTGACAACAACGAGAAAGTGAGCTTCTAGTGTCATTGGCCCAGTCCTGTGGAACTCCCTGCCAATAGAGATTCAGCAGGCGCCATCTGTGCCGACTTTTAAATGGCTGCTGAAAACTTTCCTATTCCACCAGGCAATTAAAAATACATCACCCACAATGGTCAAATGATGTTCTGTTTTTAATTTATTTTGCTTTTACCTTTATTTTATTGTCCATCGCTGTAAACATCTGCAATATGTTTTTATGATACAGCGGTGTATGTAAATATTTTTAATAAACACAGTCTGTGGGAATGTTCTGGGGTGCAGGAGAGGATATATTGACTAATTATATCCTTATCCAACTTGTGCTAACAAGTTCCCAAAATATCAGCAGAGTTTATAGACATTCCCCTTTAAGTTCGCAACGGTAACGTGTGCACAGGTTCGCTAGAACCTCTATAATAATTACTCTGGTAATTTCCCTTTGTTCCCTCTTAAAATACAAGACACAACACAGTCTTTATAAAAGTATAAAAGAGTTTACTCACGTTCTGTTCACAATATAATCCCAGAAGGCAGACAGCTTAAAAAGGTTACATACATTCAGAATCTATCTTGTAGCAAGATAGTCCTTATCTCCTCTCTTGGCTGGGAGCCAAGAGGGCATCCTTAGATGTTTCCTCATCGAAGAAAAATGGCAGAGAGAGAGAGAGATGGCTGCCTGCCCTGTGCTTTTGTCATTACCTGCACAGGTGAGGCCACACCCACCTCTGGTCACATGCGGAGGAAGTCCATCCCCAGGAAGTTTACCTGCTTGCTGGACAGACATCGCTCCCCATGTTCTAACATGTACACTCTAGGAATGTTGTCATTGACTGCTCCTGTGTTTACATCCCACACAGTCGTACCTTGGAAGTCAAATGGAATTTGTTCCAGAAGTCTCTTCGACTTCCAAAATGTTGGAAAACCAAAGTGCGGCTTCTGATTGGCTGTAGGAAGCTCCTGCAGCCAATGGGAAGCCGCGGAAGCCCTGTCGGACATTTGGGTTCCAAAAGAACGTTCGAAAACCGGAACAGTCACTTCCAGATTCCGATCATTTGGGAGCCAAAACGTTCAAGAACTAGGCTGTTCGAAAACCAAGGTACAACTGTAAATAAATAAACCTAGCATCTTTTGTTCTGTATAAGTGGAGCCAATCCACATCTCCTCTGGCTGTTCATTTGTAGCAGACAGAAGTAAGAATTGGCTTCTAGAGCCCTTCATTCCTCCCACGGGCTCCTCTAATTACAATCTTGTTTGATTGGATTGGACCACTGCTCCTTGAATTTCAGAGGTTCCTTCTCTCCTCACTTCTCCCCTTACCCAGATGACTTTGGTTGACCTGATTGTCTTCGGAGCTCTTAGAATCTCAAGCATACGTGGCGTCCGGTGGTCAAGGCCCTTGAGACCCATCTTCTTAATAAACTTTGCAGAAAGTCGCCAGGTAAGACTTTGGGGCCAGTGTTTCCATCGCCAGCAGTTCTAACCCAAAGAGATCCCCTAGTTAAATTAGCCAGCAACTCTAAACTGTATGGTGTGCATATATACTGAAGAGAAGGGGCCTTGCTTCAATTTTGTCTCGTCTGCCTGCTCCAGAGATCCAGCTGTAGAGTGCTTTCTGTTCTGAAATCATCTTCTGCTTTTTCTTTTCTCTATGCAAACAGGCAGGCTTAAGCCTGGCCTAGCTTTGGGGAAGCGGAAACACGAGGTAAGGCATGGCTGGGTCCCTGAAAATTGGGGAATGGGGGTGGGGGTCCAATGCCGCTTCAAATTATTGCAATTCCAGGAAGGTGGTGGATTCTGAACCTCATCCTGAGTCGCTTCTGATGGCAGCACCGGGGTGGAAATAACAGTTCTGCTTTAATTACATTTTTTGCATCTCCTTTGCTTAGGATTTGAATCAATAATTTGTAGCTGAGATACCTCAGCTGAGATACCAGGGAACAGGAAGGCACTGTTTGGAAAAGCTCTGCTTTCAGAGCAAATTCCTACTGTTTCAGTTTAATGCAAAAGTGGGAGCTGAAGAAATTGGCAATGCTAATCGTTGGCTGTTATAAGCCAAGTCTAAGGTAAAGGGTCCCCTGACCATTAGGTCTAGTTGTGGCCGACTCTGGGGTTGCGGCGCTCATCTCACTTTATTGGCCGAGGGAGCTGGCGTACAGCTTCCGGGTCATGTGGCCAGCATGGCTAAGCCGCTTCTGGTGAACCAGAGCAGCACACGGAAACACCGTTTACCTTCCCGCTGGAGGGGTACCTATTTATCTACTTGCACTTTGATGTGCTTTTGAACTGCTAGGTTGGCAGGAGCAGGGACCGAGCAACGGGAGCTCACCCCGTCGTGGGGATTCGAACCGCAGACCTTCTGATCGGCAAGTCCTTGACTCTGTGGTTTAACCCACAGCGCCACCCGCATCCCTAAGCCAAGTCTAGTGCACTGAAATTGGTTGAAGCATGTACCGTTGTGGCTTCTTGCAAAAAATGAAATGCAATTCTACTGAGGTTTTCAGCACTCCTGCAGTATGCAGAGCTCCTGGGTGGAAGTGATTGGTTTGAGTTATGTGCCATATATGCACGAAGGGCTCACATGTGTTCTCACTACCAGACTCCAGTTTGGGCCCTCTCTGGTCAGGGATGACAATGTTAACAGAGTCCAGGTACCTCTGGGTCCTTCAGCCTGATTCATACCTGAATCCTGTGATTGATTGGTATGTGATAAACAAGGCAGGTCCATTGCCACATGAAGGCAGCATTGCCTCAACTTTGGGTTTTGTGCTGTTTAGATGGAGAGCTGTTTGGTTTGAAAGCCTGGTTCACGCTCAGCCCAAACCATCACAGAATCACAGCAGAGAACCGGCAACAGGAGTTAGTAATCCAACTGGGTACTTAAAGGATAAGCGGTCTGGGAGTGGCACAAAAACTCTCAGGGGATGCATACAGCCATCTCTGCTTAAGACAATGGGAGCTGGGAGTCCCAGCATCCATAAGCCGTGATGACTTGGGCTAACGAGAGTCAGGAGTCCAACAACTGAGGCAGCCCAGGCTAGAGAAAGAGGATGTGATGTGCTGTTTACATATCACACCTGTTGTGCTATACTTGAAGCAAATGGCAGGTGGCCTCTATGCATCCCACAATGATCCCGGGTCCATGTTTAGGGAAGTTTTTAATGTTTAATAGACCACTGTATTTTAATACTTTGTTGGAAGCTGCCCAGAGTGATTGGGGAGACCCAGCCAGATTGGGGGGGGGGTATAAATAATATATTATTATTATTATTATTATTATTATTATTATTTGGACGAGTTGGGGGGGGCGGGGATATGTCCCTTGTAGCCTGCAGTGCCTTACCTGCATGTACCACAGAGATTCAGTTTGTGCTGGAGGAGGCATATGTTCACGTTGTCTAAACAAGCATGCCTAAAACTGGGTCTTGACCAGCTGTATGGTGCTCTGATGTTTGTTGTCTTTGTGATAAATGGCTCTTTTGAACACCGAGGAGAGCATTCATCTGATAAACTTTGGAGCTTTGGAACCAGGGGAGGGGTGCCTGGCTCTTGCACCCAGACAAATAATAGGGCATTCAGGTCTTCTTACTGGTGGGTCCATCTCTATAGGTGGAAGCTGGGTGAGGAAAGAATATCAACATTGCTGCTTCTCCTCCTAATGAAAGCCTCCTGCTTCTTGACAGATCCGAAGAGCATTCCGTAGCATCCGGAACACTCTCCCGGAGATCACCTACGTCTTCCTGCTGTTTATGTTCAGTGTCCTGATGTTTTCTCTCATGGCTTTGAAGCTGTTTGGGGACAGGTAAGGGGACCGTCCTCCTCCCTCTCTTACTCTGAACCCAGAGGCTGCCTCACCTGCAAGGGAATGTCAGGAAATATCTCCTCCACCACCAAGAATCTCCTCTACCGGCCCTGAGAATATTCAGCAAAATGGTACCCTCAGTTTTGCTGCCTGGAAGTTAAGGTGGTTTGGTGTTTTGTAGGAAGGTGTATTTTGGCTAGCTTCCTTTGCTCCACGGTCAAAGCAACTACTCTATTCCGAACTTAAAAATGGAAAGCGTAATGCTGGTGGTCAACAAAAGAGGTTTTAAGACTGTCTCAAGGCAAATCTAAAAAAATGTAGTATAAACACCGACAACTGGGAAACAGTGGCCTACGAGCGCTCCAGTTGGAGAACAGCCTTTACCAAAGGTGTCATGGGCTTTGAAGACACTCGAACCCAGGATGCAAGGGAGAAACGTGCTAAGAGGAAGGCATGCTTGGCAAATCCACACCGTGATCAACTCCCGGCCAGAAACCTATGTCCCCACTGTGGAAGGACGTGTGGATCCAGAATTGGCCTCCACAGTCACTTATGGACTCACTGTTAAAAGTGTGTTTATGGAAGACAATCTTACTCAGCTACAAGTGATTGCCAAAGAAGAAGAAGATATCTCGTATGGCACACCAGTGGAAAAAGAGCCAAAAATGGATCTGAAAAACCACCCTTGAGCCATGTTATTTAGCTTACAGCCTCTTGAGCACATTGCTTGAAATTCACGTTGGCATCTTCTGTGACTCTGTTTCCCTCTCCTCTTTTCTTCAAGGAATCTGAAGACTGTGGAAGGCTTGCCGTATTTTTCAAATTACCTTGAAATCGTCTTTGACATGTATGTGCTGGTCACCACAGCAAATAGCCCCGATGTCATGTAAGTATCTGCCTTGATCTCCACATGCTTTTAATTTTTCTTGTTGAGCTGTAGTAATGGGATGTTTTCCTAGTGTAAGAGGGACGTCAGCACCACCTTGGTGACGTAACAATCTACCGTACTTTTCTGTCTATAAGATGCCCCCATGCATAAGACGCCCTCTATTTTGGAGGGCTCAAATTTAAGAAAATGGGGGGAGATGGTACAGAGTTGTGGAGTTTTTTTTGTGGAGGATTGCCCAGAGTTGTGGAGCTTGCAGGGCAGGGTATGCTCACGATTGTTGAGCAAAGTTTTTTTGGGGTGGGCGGAGATGCCAAACCGAATATCACTCACCCAACTGGCAAACGCTAACAATCGCAAGCAAGGAAGCCAAATTGCTGAAGCAGCAGCCAATCCAAAGCAGCCCTTTACACATCCACAAATAACTCGCCCACCTGACAAAGCAGCAGCCAATCCAAAGCAGCCCTTGCCGCATCCGCTAATAACCCACCCATTTGACAAAGCAGCAGCCAATCCAAAGCAACCCTTGCAGCAGACACCATTCACCCACTCAATCACTAGATCCTGCTCGCGGATGCAACCAATCGCCCATCCCCCCTTCTGCTCTACCCATGTATAAGACGATCCCCTCCCCCATTTTTACTTTATTTTGGAGTAAAAAACCCTCGTCTAATACACGGAAGAGTACGGTATTTTTCAGAAAGGCACAATCCACTGTTCAATGGCCGATGGGTGAGCCCAGGACAGCTTACAAAGTTTGTTAGTTTATATAAATCCAAATATCGCAAAACTGCTAAATATTATCTACACAGCAGACGAGTATAGAATCGGTTAGTTCCGAGGCTTTTCTTACTTTCTCGGTGGTGATGCTACTCCTATCTTGTAGGATGCCGGCTTATGACTTCAGCTGGTGGTACTGCCTGTTTTTCATAGTCTATGTTATTATCAACACCTACATCTTCATGTCAGTCTTCCTGGCTGTTGTGTACAACAATTACAGAAAACACTTAAAGGTAAGCCCCGCTGAGGAAGGGATAAGAGATAAGTTGCAATTTTAGCTGAATCTGGGGGAAACCGCTTGAAGCATATCTGTTGTGTTGAGCTATTTCAACAGCTTCTCTTCAGTTTTCTCATTGCAAACAGCTGAAAGTCTGTAAATCTTGATAATAAACCCAATTTGCAATGGGGGTTGAGTAGGACTGGGGGAAAGACCCCTATGCCTGACACCCCGGAGAGCTGCTGCCGGTCAGGGCAGACAGTACTAAGCCGGGTGTTCCTCTTAAGTGTGTGTGTGTGTGTATATATATATATATATATATATATATATATTCCCACAGGGACGCGGGTGGCACTGTGGGTTAAACCACAGAGCCTAGGACTTGCCAATCAGAAGGTTGGCGGTTTGAATCCCCGTGACGGGATGAGCTCCCGTTGCTCGGTCCCTGCTCCTTCCCACCTAGCAGTTCGAAAGTACGTCAAAGCGCAAGTAGATAAATAGGTACCGCTCCGGTAGGAAGGTAAACGGCGTTTCTGTGCGCTGCTCTGGTTCGCCAGAAGCAGCTTAGTCATGCTGGCCAAGCTGTACGCCGGCTCCCTCGCCAATAAAGCGAGATGAGTACCGCAACCCCAGAGTCGGCCACGACGGGACCTAATGGTCAGGGGTCCCATTACCCTTTACCTTTATATTTTCCCACAGAATGAGATCCGCAAACTTGCTTACATGAAACGCCGCAAGATGATAGAAGCCTTCAACCTCCTGAAGGTGAAGGAGGAAGCAGAGTTTGTCGTCAAAGAAGACCGCTGGAAGCGGCTTGTGAAACTGGTGGCTCCCGACATCAGCACATCCCACCGAGAGCTCTTGCTGCGAATATGTGACGAAGAGCAGAAGGGCTTTGTGGGTGGGTAACAGCAGACTCAAGCAGTGTGGCTGGGAGATGAGCTTGCCAGGGCAGATGAGAGGGAGGGAAGGACAGGCGAAGGGGGTGGACTTTGGCAATATGGCACCCTGAGCAAGGACAAAATTTGGCGTCTCCTCCAACAGTATTCCTTATTTTCATGCCCTCCTCCCTCTTAACTTCCATTCTGCGCATGCTTTCAAGTGCACTATGCCCTAGTTGCAGCAGCTCAATCGCCCATCTGACCAGGGCCTAACTTTGAGTAGGTGTCAGGAGCTCGGCCTACACTCGAGTTGGACCCTGGCAGAGACACATGCCCGACTGGCATGTTCTCTCCCTCCTGGTCTTTTGTTCGGGAGCTTTTGGAATAATTAATTTTCAGAGTAGTTTTTACAGTTATATCAAAAATTACTGATTTGGTTATACTATTAGAAATACACTGACATATAATTATGAAATTATTGTGAGGTTTAATAAGTTAACAGTTTATATTTGGACAACTTATCTGCTGTACTTTGTTGGAAGGAGAAAAACAATCATTTCCTTAATAACAATTTAAACAATTTATTTAACTAAAACAATAACATTATAGCATATGTATGCATGTTTGTTAACTGATGTGGTTAAACGATTTTTTAAAATTAACAACAACAACCTTAGACTGAGTTTTAGCACACATGAATAACTTAAAACAAATCCTTATTTCCTGATGAATAGCCTTTGGACAATAATGTAACTTAAATAGAAAACTACCTTTAGAAAGATTTTTCCTCCATAAGTGTTTTATTTTAAATTTTAAAAATCCAATTTAATTTTTAAAAAATCAATTTTTTTAAATTTATTTTTTAAATAATTGATTTTTATCCACCCTGATATTCAGTTAATCTTCAGCTGCCTTTACTTTTCTCTTATGCACATCTGGCGAGAAGACCTGGCCAGATCCAGATTGCTGCTCTTCTCCTGTAGGTTTATGTGTGGGGCTTGTCTGAATTGCTGAGTATTAGCCTAAGCAGCTTCTAAATGAGTCCCTCCCAGCCTTACTGGCATTATTTTCTCTTTATGGCAGACAAAAAATCCTTTGTGCGTCTGGCTGATCTTTTGAATATACAAGTGATCACCATGAAGCTCCACAGCCACCCCCTGGAAGTCTGGATTCACCAAGTGTACAACTCTGCTCCTAGCCTCCTCCTACGCAAGATGGTTCAGCACAAGTAAGTCTGAATCGCTTGCCTTTCCAACAAAGGGCTTCAGGTGCTTACAGTATTTTAATATTTTGTTGGAAGCCGCCCGGAGTGGCTGGGGAGGCCCAGCCAGATGGGCGGGGTAGAAATAATAATAATAATAATAATAATAATAATAATAATAATAATTATTATTATTATTATTATTATTCAGGTGACCCTGAGCAAATGCTCTCACCTGCCCACGGGGCCATTTTGGATGGTACATGTGGCTGGACTGTAGTAGTATGGGTTTTGGGGATAAATTTATTCGAAACGAACAAGTTTGGTTGGTAATTAACCCAGCGAACATCTCCCACAGGGTATTTGTTTGGATGTATGATGTCATCATACTCATCAACGCCGTCTTCATTGCATTGGATGAGGAGAACCCCCTCATTTCCTACGCAGAGTGGGTGTTCCTCAGTCTTTATATCGTTGAGATTCTTCTGAAATTGTACACCTATGAACCCAGAACCTTTTTTGCAAGGAACCAGTTCTGGAACTGGTAAGTAAATTCTTTTATTTTTCTCCCTCCGCGTTATGATGAAGGTAGTAGTTTCTCGTTCTCCTATATTGACTGGCTCTCCAAGATTTCCAGACATTTCCAGCATTACTTGGAGAGGCCAGGGATGGAACTTGTGACCTTCTGATTTCCAGCAGCCAAACTACAGTTCACATGATTCTTTGAGGGAAGCCATGACTGGTATCCCACAGTGCACATAGCTGAACTCTGGAATTTGCTCTTACAAGAAGTAGCAATGGCTACTTGGATGACTTATTATTATTATTATCAACAACAACAATAATAAATTTATTATTTATACCCCGCCCATCTGGCTGGGTTTCCCCAGGCACTCTGGGCAGCTCCCAGCAGAATATTATTATTAATAATAATAAAGCGATAAAACATCAAACATTAAAAACTTCCCTTTAGATGTCTTCTAAAAGTCAGATAGTTGTTTATTTCCTTGACATCTGATGGGAGGGTGTTTCACAGGGAGGGTGCCACTACCGAGAAGGCCCTTTGCCTGATTCCCTTTAACCTCACTTCTTGCAGTGAGGGAACTGCCAGAAGGCCCTCGGAGCTGGACCTCCAAGGTCCAGATGAGACACATTCAGGGACAGAATAAGGCTGTGTCCTGCCTCCACTACCGGAGAGATAGTATGCTTCTGAATGCTAGTTGCTGGAGATTGCAGATGGGGAAAGTGCTCAGCTCCTTCCTGCAGGATCTGGTTGGCCACTGTGAGAACAGGACACTTGACAAGATGGGCCTTTGGCCGGACCCCACAGGACTCCGAGGTTCTCACAGGTGACATGAAAGTCATGGGAGATTAGACCAGCCTCTTCACCAAGCTGGAGCTCTCCAGATGTTTTGTACTGTAATACTGGCTGGGGCTGATGCAGCTGTCATCTGTAGGGTGCACTAGGTTGGCGAAGGCTGGTGGAGATTGTAATGGGCAGATGACTTAAAGTCACACTACAGTGGTACCTCAGGTTAAGAACTTAATTCATTCTGGAGGTCTGTTCTTAACCTGAAACTGGTCTTAACCTGAGGTACCACTTTAGCTAATGGGGCCTCCTGCTGCCGCCGTGCCTCTGGCGTGCAGTTTCTGTTCTCATCCTGAGGTAAAGTTCTTAACCTGAGGTACTATTTCTGGGTTAGCGGAGTCTGTAACCTGAAGCGTCTGTAACCTGAAGCGTCTGTAACCCGAGGTAGCACTGTAGTCCAATTGTAGTTGCGGGTACCTGAAATGCAAGTCAAGCCCACAGGGTCCCCAGATGGACCCTATCCACCACTCTTGGGTCATGCTGTGTGGAATGTGGTTTGTGTGAGCATCATGGCGGAGCAGTTGTGTAGTGTATAATAGTCAGGAGAAGCACATCAGGAGTTATTCACACCAACGGAATAATAACAAGTGGCTGGGGAAACACGTTTGATTTCTTTGTGGAAAGGCCCTATGCATCTTTTGAAATTACATGGGAAATTGGAATTAATTTTGTAAACCAGCTAGGTGATGTTGCAAGCCTCCGTTCTTCTCACAGCATCCCAGAGCAATATACGTCTGTAACGCAAGGTACCAAGTGTCTTTCCCATCCTTTCTAGGTTTGATACTTCTATCATTCTTGCTGCCTTGATTGCAACTGTACTCAACACTACCCTTAAATCAGGTAAGTCTGTGTGTTTCTCCCTTGCAAGGTTATGCAGCAGGTGAGATGAAAACACTTCTCCATTTCCAATATGGTTTCATGTCTCTTGTGACCATTGGTGCATCAAGGAACAGATAAGGCAAAACTTGAGGGTCCTTTGTGAAACTTCCATGGCCTTGGCTGGGTTGTAATGCTGGCTCGTGGTAATGTTAAACCATGGATTACCCTGATAGAAACAAGCCTAGTCTCCCTCCATGCTCACAAACTCATTCTTCTCCAGCGCAGCTGCAAGGAGGAGATGCAGAGCTTCTGCTTCTTTTTTTATATGGGTTGCAGGTTAGCATCAACCACAGTGGTGTGGAGATATTCCTAACCATGGTTTGTTAAAACAAGCTAGCATGACAAAACACAGCTGGAAGAGAAAGCTCCCAAACTTAAGGACACAGAGTAAATGAGCCTTAAGTTCACTGAAGCTCCTTGTTCTCAAGATAAGCCCAGCTTTCCCCCATCAGAATGACCTATGGCTTATGATGTCCAAGTATGAGGATAACGTTAGTTTTCTTGTGTGCTTTTCCTCATCCCCTCTTCTTTTTTTCCAGTGACCGTATACAACAGCCAGCAAGTATTGGACATTGTTTTTATCCTGAGAGTTCTTCGACTCATAAGAATCATAGACAGTATACAACGGTAAAATAACCGGGTTTTAAGAGCTTTTAAAAGCTGTAAGAGCTATAAAGTCATGTTCTCTAGTGAGTTAAGTTGTTGGGTATTAGTTTGCAGAGTATGCTGACTGTGGTTTGTGAATCTGCTTAGACAATAGACGTAACCTGTTGCAACCATACACAGGCTGCATCTACAGATACAAAAATAATGCTTTCTTTTAAAAAAAGTTTAAAAATATATATGGTGTTTGCCATTAGCTCAGCAGCGCCATCTAGTGTCACATTTATATAATGCACTTAAAACGTTATATCTGCAGCTGTATAGCTGAGTCCACAGATAAGTAGGTGCTTGTAAAGTAAAAAACAACAACAATGTACTAACAAGTATATAACTTGGATAGAAAAATTTCTAGTTCCAAGCTAGCTAAGCTAGAGAAGACAAAGGCAGCCTTTTTCCTTTGTTCTCAAAGGATAGATTGAATGTGACAGCTCATATTTAGATCCCAAGAGAGAAGGGAGAGGGGAGGAAGTTGTAAACAGGATGCAAATTAAGATGCATCAGTCTAAACTTTAAAGGATAGGGAGATCAGCACAGAGGCCAAAGGTACAAAGACAGTCTCAGAATCTGGAGCTCCCTGGCTCTGTTTTATGCCTATGCAGACCCCTTTCTGCAATGTCTCCTTTTTTGGTATTTAATTAACCAGTGACACCTGAAAGGCCCATCCCATCCAAACTCAGTTTTCATACACTGTTTTCTTCTAGGTTCCGGGTCATCATGACTACGCTAATAAACATTGTACCTACCATGCTGACCTTTGGTGGACTGGCTTTGGTGAGCATCACCTTTTTAAAATTCCTCCTCATCCTCCTCGTTTTCATAAATCTGCAGGGGCTTTGGGCTAGTTTGCACACAAGACAGGATTCAACCAAGCTGCTGTGTGTGTGTGTGTGTGTGTGTGTGTGTGTGTGGAATGAGGTACGTTTGTGCAGTGGGACTGTCCTCCCCGCTTCCCAAACTCAAAGCTTGTACAGCCTCAGTCATATCTAGAAATCACTCTCAACAGCATTATACATTTGCAGATGATTCCTAGGAGCAGGATGATTTTCCAAATAAAAAGGTAAAGGGACCCCTGACCATTAGGTCCAGTCATGGCCGACTCTGGGGTTGCATCGCTCATCTTGCTTTATTGGCCAAGGGAGCCGGCATACAGCTTCCGGGTCATGTGGCCAGCATGACTAAGCCACTTCTGGCGAACCAGAGCAGCGCACGGAAACGCCATTTACCTTCCCGCCAGAGCGGTACCTATTTATCTACTTGCACTTGACGTGCTTTCGAACTGCTAGGTTGGCAGGAGCAGGGACCGAGGAACGGAAGCTCACCCCGTCGCGGGGATTCGAACTGCCGACCTTCTGATTGGCAAGTCCTAGAGAAGTGTCCAAATAACCTTGTTTGATCAGTATATCTACTAATTCCTGGCCCACTTGTGGCACGTTTAACAGGAGACTTTCAGACAGGGCTGGTCCACCCATGAGACAAGGTGACCACCTCGGGAGACCAGATCCACTGGGGCAATATTGACAGCCCCCAGCTCACTGTGCTGCCTCTGCTGTGGCCTCTTGGCAAATAAGAGGCGCTACAGGTCCCGTTCCTAGGGAGGAAATGGCAGGGGCTTCTGGGTTCTGCATCCACCAAGCATGATTGAATGGGCCCCTTTCCCCACCCCCCTCCACCGGCCCGACAGCCTTTGATTCCAGCTTCAACCAGGTGTTAACGTTGATTTGATTTCCCTTCCCTTGTTCCCAATGTAAATCTTCACTCCCCCTGTGTTCACTGACAAGTAGATACCCTCATTTTCCCCATTAGGTGGTGTATTACGTGTTTTCCATCATCGGAATGGAAATCTTCCATGGGAGGGTCCAGTTCTTCGGTGGAAACAGCACTGTGCAACATGCCCTCTACTGCGGAAACCCCGCTCTGAAAGACACCACCTTTGCTCGGGCCAAATATTGCAAGAATAACTTCAATGACATTGCGTCGTCTTTCGTCGTCCTAATGGAATTAACTGTCGTCAACCAATGGCATGATATCCTTTGTAAAGTAGCATGGTTTTTTAAAAAAATGCTTTGGAAGGGAGTACAAAGCCGCCAAGGACTTCCTATCCTTTGGCAAAGCTGCACACTATAATAACAACAACAACAACAGCAACAAAACAACAACAACAATAATAATTTTATTATTTCTACCCTGCCCATCTGGCTAGGTTTCCCCAGCCACTCTGGGCGGCTTCCAACAAAAGGTTAAAAATACATTAAAACATCAGTCATTAAAAACTTCCCTAAACAGGGCTGCCTTCAGATGTCTTCTAAATGTCAGATAGTTGTTTATTTCTTAGACATCTAATGGGAGGGCATTCCACAGATCTCAGTGTGCCATGAGCAGAATAGGCCAGCCCTACTGTTGGGTAACAGTGACCTGTCCCTAGTTCAAACTGGAACCAATTGCTAGTCCAGGTGGCTCAGGCATGCAGAATAGCGATTGGGGGGGAACCATCCTGTCCTCCTCGGGTAGTGAAACATTTTGGGCTAGCCCTGATTACAGAGAGTCATTTCCAGAACAAATGCATATATGCAAAAGTCGGTGTTAAATCTCCTTGAAAGCAATAGGAGTAAAAATATTCTCCTATAATAGTGTTGTTGTTTTTTTAAGGTTTGTAGTCTGTGCTGTGCAAGAGGCTTTCTCTAATGCCCCAGGACTACTTCTTTCCATTCACACTCAAAATCTGATCCAGTGGATCCCCCCAGACCTCTGGAGCTGATTTTGGGGGCTGTAGCGGAGAGCAAATGCAGGGGAGAGCTTTATTGTACCAGCAGAAGCCCCTCTTCCCAAGTGCAACAGCAGCAATTGGATACAACCCTAAATGTTAATTACCATTTGGGAAGGTTCAGTGATCAATGGCAAACTTCTAACAATTATTTCTGCAGCTTCTCTTATGTCACGGACATAATGGTCCTAGCACTTGTACCTGGTCAGGCTACACACATCTTTGGGTAATCAGAAGTTTACTTTCTAGAACACATTTTTTGTTTCTCTGTCCAAAAAATGGGGGTGTCAGCTAGATACATTTATGCATGTGTTTCCAAATTCCTTCCCCCTTTTTTTTTTGCAAGGAGAGGAGCTATTCTGTTTCTATGAAGCTGCTTTTTAAATTGTGAGGCAGGCCTTCTGCAGAAGCCTACGATATAGCATAGAGGAATGCTTTTGCAGAAAGATTTCTGAAAGGGGGGAGAATAATGAGAGGCACTGGTATAAACAGACATGGTGGGCACTTTAGATCCATGCCATCAGTGAATGTTGCTAGCGAATGCAGGTAAAGGTAAAGGGACCCCTGACCATTAGGTCCAGTTGTTGCCGACTCTGGGGTTGCGGCGCTCATCTCGCTTTATTGGCCAAAGGAGCCGGCGTACAGCTTCCGGGTCATGTGGCCAGCACACGGCGAACCAGAGCAGCACACTGAAACGTTGTTTACCTTCCTGCTGGAGCGGTACCTATTTATCTACTTGCATTTTGAACTGCTAGGTTGGCAGGAGCAGGGACCGAGCAACGGGAGCTCACCCCGTCACAGGGATTCGAACCGCTGACCTTCCGATTGGCAAGCCCTAGGCTCAGTGGTTTAGACCACAGCGCCACCCGCGTCCCTTGAGAATGCAGTTAGCCAAGTTCAAATGGCTAAAAGCTTGAGGGATGGGGTGAATTATGGAATTTGCTCCCATGAGAGAGGTAGAAATGGCCACTGACCTGGATGGCTTTAAAAGAGGAATAGGGAAAAGCTGCGTTCTACCTCCACAGCTGGAGGCAGTATGCCTCTGAATGCTCGCTGCTGGGAATCACAGGTGGGGAAAAGAACTTAGGTCCTGCTTCTAGGCTTCCCATAGTCATCTGACTGGGCCACTCTGAGAACAGGACACTGGGGAAGAATGGCCATTGGTCTGGTCCAGCAGGCTCTTCCTACATTCCTAACTGGAGCCTAACTTGGCAGATGGGTGGTTAGTAAGCATACATATGGCAAACTTCCTTTTATAGTCCTTAACTTTCTACTCCTCGCCAATGGATTTGCCCTTGTGACTCACGAGGCAGCAAAGCTGTACTTCATCACCTTTCATATTGTCGTGGTCATTATGATCATTAAGTAAGTCCAGTGGGTTCCTGCGCCTTCTTCCTGGGGATAGAGGTGGGGGCATTGGGTTGTATTCAACCAGAGTCCTGTTCCAAGTAGGACCAGTGAAGCAAATGAACATCAGTTAGTCCTAGCAAGAGTAGAACCACTGATGCTGATGGACATGACAAGCGTGATATCAGACTCATTCTGCTTATATTTAATGTTCCAAATGTGTGTGCGGTTGCAAGCAGAGTAACACTGATGCTCTGAAAATCCAGTGGGATTAAGGTACGGCATAAACATCTGTCCTCTTCTGTTCTAGGTGAAGAAACTGGGTTTGTGTGTTCATAGTGATGGGCTGCTTTGGGGGGAAAGTGGGGTATGAATTTAATAAATAAAATAATTAAAATAGGAAAAAAGTCTATGGTGTGTTGATGGTGCCAACTGCCACATGGACGGATGAGGTAGAGGGGGAGAAAGGATTGTTTTTGAGGTGCATTGTTTCCATGTGTCAACTTTTGATTTTTAGCATCTTTATAGCATTTATTCTGGAAGCTTTCTTTGTGGAGTATTCCCTTGAAAAGAGCGAAGTGGAAACTGCCATTGAGAAGAAAATCCAAGAACTTGGTGTGGGCATTCAGGAGTAAGTTAACCAAGGACAGAATAACATCTCCCTTCCGGTCCCATATACATGGCCCAATGAATGATGGCTGAGGGATGCTTGATTTGTATGGACTTGAGCAGCTGCCACCTGCAAAAACGGATGCTTCAGTTATAACTTCTGTGGCCACTTGGCTGAATGTATTTACAATGGATCCACTTTCCCTTCAATGGTGGTCCAGATGTTGTACTACAACTCCCATTGGCCTTTCTGGCAGAGGTTGATGGGAGTAGTAGTCCACCAAAGTCTAGAAGGCACCCTCAGATGTCCACTCATGAACTGCAATTCTTAATAACTTTTGTATCTAACTGCTGTCATTGTTTGGTCATGTAAACTGATTCTTTAGTTTTAAGAATTGGAACAACCTGTCAGCTTATTATATAGAGAGAGAATGAATGAATGAATGAGTAGGGTAGGAGAGCTAAAAAATGCCAATATATTTCACATCTGGCAACCCATGTGCCCCTTTGGTTTTGTGCTTAGTTTGTTTCTACTACATTATGAAGTCTCAATTTATTTTAAAAAATGAAACAAAAGAGGTGCAGGGCACCTGGCTGCTGTAGACCCCAGATCTATTTTAAACATTTACCTGAGAATAAGCCCCACTGAATTCATTAGGACTTTATTGTTTAGCCCTGCTGAGGATTGCAGCCTTCAAGAAGAAAATTGCATTTCCAGTAAAAAGCTATGCACCTAACAGGAAAAGCATGATCTGCAGCCCTGTATGGAATGTATTGAGAAGGCAGGTGCTTATAGTTTTTGTGGTTTTTTTTTTTTTTTTTAAGGGATGAACTACTAGAAGGTCAACTGATAGACAACATGGAAACCAGTGAAAATGACCTTGGAGGTGAAGAGGGAGCAGCAACAAAGAAGAAACCGAAAGGACTGATGTTTAAAGTTGCTTCCAAAAGTGAGTGTGCTGTCAAACTTTTTAAAGGGTTGCTGCTGAATGTTTAGCATGGAACTTGAGTGAATGCCGCGGCGAGACTCCTTATGGGGTCCTCACCGCGGGATCACATTCACCCGGTGCTATACCAGCTGCACTGGCTCCTGGTGGAGTACAGGATCAGGTTTAAGGTGCTGGTTTTAATCTTTAAAGCCCTATACGGCCTAGGACCCTCGTACCTACGGGACCGCCTCTCCTGGTATGTCCCACGGAGGACTTTACAGTCTTCCAACGAAAACATCTTGGAGGTCCCGGGCCACAGGGAGGTTAGGCTGGCCTCAGCCAGAGCCAGGGCTTTTTCGGCCGTGGCTCCAATCTGGTGGAACACTCTGTCACAAGAGACAAGGGCCCTGTGGGACTTGACATCTTTCCGCAGGGCCTGCAAGACAGAGCTGTTCCACCAGGCCTTTGGCCAAGGCACAGTCTGACCCCCTCCTTTGGTAATCCTCACAGAACTCTAGCCCAATGGTTGCCATTAATTTGATTTTGAATTGATTTTAAAATGAATTGATTTTAGAATGCTGTGTTACTTTTATTGTTGTTAGCCGCTCTGAGCCTGGCTTTGGCTGGGGAGGGCGGGATATAAATAAATTTTTATTATTATTTTCCAAGACATGAGTGTGTTAATACGCTGATAAAGATGAAGTCCTATTGACCCAAGGGTCAGACTAGGCTGCTGAGAGAGGTCAAAGTGGTATCCGTTTTACATGGTGTCAAGTGCATTTGTACTGTGGTGCTCAAAGAAGCTTTGAGCTTCTCTGTCACTGGAAATTAACATTCTTCAGCTTTTTGTCCCCAGGATACAGGACAGTTGATGCTTTACTTCAACGCATGTTTGAAGCAGAGATACCTCCGGAAGAAGAAGGCCCTTCACTGGAGCAGATCTTAAACCTTTCACCGGATGACACTTACCTGAAGAACCCTACCTTCAACAGTGCCGTATAACTGGAAGTTGTTTTTCAGGTGGCTCCCTAACTGAGCTACCACATGCAGATAAGAGGTACTGATGCTCTGCTCTCTAATCCCTTCCTCCAATGAACAGAGCATCCCACAGTGCTATTTTTTTAAAGTGTATAAAATCATGAAAATTGCAGTATTTTTTATAAAGGGAAAAAAAGCACATTGAATGTGTCTAAAATACTTGACTCTCTCCAAAGATACTTAGCATGCTATCTAAATACATAGTACTAAAACCTGTATGAAATGTCTAATATTTACCTCTGTAACCTGTTTTGATACAGTAATGCTTTTCCTTGGGTGCATTATCAACCATTGTGGGGTAAACCAATAAAAAGGTTATAAAGAGAAGACTGTTTCTATCTCTCCTCTTTTTCCTGCCTATTATCCTGATGAATCTTTAAAGCAAGGAGAACGGAAACAAATGGATTTTGTCTTGTGGCCTGGTTTAAAAATGCTACATCTTTGCGCAAACTGATACCTAACAGGTAAAGAGTGCTTAAAAGCGGCGATCTCTGGGCCGTGTTTGGCAAAGTTAATTATCGGAAGATATTAGCAGCCAAAATTCAAATGTCAGAGTTGACACCAGTTTGAAGGCTGGTTCATATGGGTGAGGCAGCTGCCTCTTAAGTCATGCAGAAGCAGAGCAGGCACAACCACTACCACCCTGCAGCTGGCAACGTGTGACATAAGTCTTAAAGGCATGCTTTCCCCCTGTTTATGGGGAAAAGATTGCGCAGAAGCCATAAATATGAGCCAGCAGTATGATGCAGCTGCTAAAAAAGCAAATGCAATCATAGATTGTATTAATAGAAGGAGTGTTCACATCACACGAGAGGCAATAGTTCCACTGTTCTGTACAGCTCAGGTTGGAGGGCCATAGATTCCTGTCTTGAAGGTTGGACTAAACGACCTTCAGGGTCCTTTTGAATTCCAGGATACGTCGCATGATGCAGAGGAACAGATTGTACCCTCTGCTCCAACACAGAGTTCTTCATGCCAACTGCATTTACTAATTGAGCCACACTCATGCTCCTGCTGCTAATTTATTAAAGAACATTTTGTTGTTGATCTTAGTATTTTTAGCAACATGCTCCCGCTTGTTTCTTTTGCTAAAGTTTCTGTATATATTTGGACGAGGCTTCTATATTTTGAAGGATGCCTTCTTGCCTCCAATAGCTTTGACTGTTTGTTAACTAAACCAGCATCCTCTTGGCCTTGCTGCTCCCTTCCTGATCTGTGGTATACACCCTAGTTGAACTTCTAATATTGTGCTTTGCAACAACTCCCAACTTCCTTTCTAAAAAATCCCCCTTATTTGGGGGCAGTTTGTCTTTTGAAGACAAATGAAACCATGTTAGATTTTCTTAGCACCGTGGTCACTGTTCCCATGTGCTCAAACAACACATTCTGCGAGAATCGCACTGCCAGGGGCAGGGAACTTTAAAGCATTAAGATCGGAATGTGGAAAATATGAGAACAACAAGAAGACGGCAGTAATGAAAATATTGGAGATATACTTCAGAGGTCCAGACTATGGGAAGCCCGAAAAATTAATTTGGATTGTAATTTGGCTGTTTTTTTCTTTTAAGTATTTTTAATTGGATTATGATTTGATAGATTTGTTAATTGGATGTTCTTATTGGAAAACTAATAAAAATGATTTATTTTTAAAAATGGTTTAGAGCGCAGTGCCACCCACATTCCTTTATTTGGATGTAGGGGACAGGAAGAGGAAGTCTGTTCTTGTAAGATTGGATGTTACCATAGTAAACAGTTCAGAGCCTGAAAAACTCATTCTAGAACATGGCAGTTAAAATCTCTGCTCTACATATGTAATGTAATTGGCTATATTGATTTACAATTTGATTAGTTAAATTTGCTCAAAAATATTAAAAATAGACCCCCTTCTATAAACATCCTCATCTTAGCTGTTACAGTACTGGATTTTTCTCCCCAAGCCTTTATAATTCATTCTTCTCCATCCACTCATCATAGTACCCTGGTGTCCCATTCTCAATCCTTTCCCTATTCTCTTAGCTACCCAGTTTCCAAGCTGCTATACATGTTTCCTAGGCACTGTTAAATTTATTAAATTCATAGTTACAATAAGGTGGGGAGCATTCTCTATTAAGGCGTGTTTGTGGGCCTTGGAGTCCCAAGATTCACTTCCGTGAATGTTTGTTTTCCACCAGCAACACGGCAAGCCTTTTACGGAGCACTGCTACTTTACTGGCGCAAGTGCTCAGAAATACGTCTCTCAATCTTGCCCGCAGCACTCCCAACGAAGGAATATGGTTGCAGTCTTGTACATTCAGCAAGGTGAAGAAGAAATCAGTCCAGAGTTCTGCATTCGGGAACCTGGAAGATTAAGCACAAGGTTAAAGACTTTACAGGCATCATTAGAAATGCCCACTGCGTCCTAATATAACAAGCTCAAACTTTCTCATGACACGAGACCAATGTTGGTCTCCCTCAACCAAGCAAAGTCTTATTAGTCACCGGGTAAGTTTTCACCCATTTAACACGCAGCCAGGATACTACCCAACACAAGTGCAAAAGAGTAAAAGTAAAATGCTTCTTTCAAGCCTAGTTTCGGTCAGGGGAGGGGAAGCACCACTGTGCAGGCAAGTGCGCCAATAGGCAACCTCTGATTTAGGAAGCTGGTGAACATGTGTTTTATGCCAGCAGGCCTTTAAAGCCTAGGAGGCAAGGGTCTTTGACATCACTGGTTGTTGCTTAACTGCAGTCTTCTTTATTTAGTTATTTATAGGCTGCCTTGCTGACTATACCCCCACGCAGGGTAAAGTAACAACAACAAAATGTAAGACAACATAATAAACAGAGCAGCAGCCAAAAGCGGATCACTATATATATGTATGTGTATGTATGTATGTATGTATGTATGTATCCCCATTTCCTCTTCAGACTTCCAAACATGCTCTCCTCCTGGATATTCAATCCCTGAACTGCTTTTCTGCAATTCTTTGAGTTTTGTGGTTGCAAAACTATTTTTTTATTTTGTCTCTTTAAGCTTTGTGAAATGTGTTTTTTTGCTGTACTCTGGCGTGTTTCTCAGTGACCCCAATCTGCCTCCTATCTTTTCAGCACTCACCCCTTGAGTTATTAGAGCAAAACTTTTTAAACTGGTACTGTAGCAAGGGAGGAAGGGGAAACGACGCCAAAAAGAGAGAGAGAAAAATGGTACCAAAATAAGATGACAACACAGCTTTTATGAGAGAAGCTAACTCTGTTCAGGAGTCAAGTGAAACAATGCATTTGCTGCCACAACTGTTTCAGGAGACCAACTCTACAGCAGTGTACCGTTAGCTAACCTTACTAAATAGTGCTCAATATATAAATGGTATTCAAATCACTGGTGTGCCTTGAAGTCTTATTGAGGGTTCCTCAATTAAAGCATCAATATAATGATCAGAAGATTTGCTGATCAGAAGGTCGGCAGTTCAAATCCCTGCGACGGGGTGAGCTCCCGTTGCTCAGTCCCTGCTCCTGCCAACCTAGCAATTCAAAGGCACATCAAAAGTGCAAGTAGATAAATAGGTACCACTCCGGTGGGAAGGTAAACGGCGTTTCCGTGCACTGCTCTGGTTCGCCAGAAGCGGCTTAGTCATGCTGGCCACATGACCTGGAAGCTGTACGCCGGTTCCCTCAGCCAATAAAGCGAGATGAGCGCCGCAACCCCAGAGTCGGCCACGACTGGACCTAATGGTCAGGGGTCCCTTTACCTTTACCTATAATGGCAAACAAGCAGCTTGTCCCCCGCTGTTCCAGTGATATCAAAGATTCTTGCCTCCTAAACGGATGCTGATGAGTCTTAGGTGTTTATGAGGCAGTGCGCTTAGTTACTGTGGGTCAATGATGATGATGTCCAAAAAAAGCCAATGCCCAGCATGAACGAAGTACAATTCCTAGAACATCCCCCCCAGACTGCACAGGAATATGTAGCAAGTGCATAGACATGTTACGCATTACCCCAAAGGCAGACATTTTGGAAAAAGACTTGTTCTTGACCAACCTCCTAAAGACAGCATCAGGTTTCCAGACTCCATCCTCCTGTTTCACTTTCATGTATGTGCCAAACAGCATGCAGTAGACTGTTGCAGCAATACCAAAGTAATCAGTCTAAAAAAGAAGGACATGTTTGTAGAAAGCTTCACAGCTACACAGGAAGGAAAAATTAATATATTCCTCAAAGTTTCAGGTGATCCTCAACTAGCCCGTGCTTCTGAACTGCTGTATGTAGTTTTCAGGATCTAATCTTACAGTTTGGTGTGGCGTTTTGTTTTTTTCAGATCTCACCCTTCTGCCACTGAGCTCTGGGTGGCACATAAATTTTCTCCCCCACCTCATTTTTATTTTCACAACAGTTCTGTGAGGTAGGGTTAGGCTGAGAGTTGGTGACTGGCCAAGGTCAACCAGTGAGATTCATACCTGGACAGGAATTTGAACTCGGGTCTCTAGTCCTAATCCAGCATTCTAACCAACACACCGCCTAGTGTGAACTCTGAACGTTCAAAGTTAATGATATTTTTTAGTACTTCTGCATACCACCAGCCTTCCAAAAGCAGTGAGCCGCAAGTCCTGATTGAAATGAAGACCCAATGGCTACCAATAGATTTTTAATTTGTGTGGCGTCTGTCACCAATGTTGCTGCTTTATACCTAGTCAAAAATTTTGGCCACTGAGTTTAGTGCTGGCCATATGACCTGGAAAGCTGTCTGCGGACAAATGCCAGCTCCCTCGGCCTATAGAGTGGGATGAGCCGCAACCCCAGAGTCATCCGTGACTGGACCAAATGGTCAGGGGTCCCTTTACCTTTATACACTGTCCGGCAGCAGCTCTCTCAGGCTTTCAGACAGGAGATATTCCTTGCCTGGTGATGCCAGACATTGAACCTGGAAGCAGATGTTCTACCCCTGAGATATGTCCCAGACTGCATATACAAAGACAAAAACCATGCATTTGCTTCATACCTGGTAATTCCAAGGCTTGTTTGTCATCATCTCAATACACTGAAATCCAGATGTTTTGCATTTTCCTGTGAATACAGTTCCTGCAGGGAACAGGCTCATGTCTATGCTTCGGCCAAAGTCAATTATGGTCAAGCCATGAGACACGCTATCCACATCGCAGGTGTCATCGTCCAAAAACCTTTTGCGATTCAAAGAAATCGAACCATTATTTCCAATACGGCAAGGCAGGTTATTTTGATTGGTTTTTTTTAAAAAAAGGTAAAACAACTCACAAGCGAAATACTTGCCTTGCACTGAAAATAAAGTTGTCGGGTTTAATGTCGCCATGAATTATCCCACAGCTGTGAAGCTCTTCGACCATGCGCAAAATGTGTATGGTGAAGTAGATAACAAGCCCTTGGGGCATCACTTTCTCCACCAGCTTTTTGTATATGTTTATGGTGTTCTGAAGTTGAGAGAGTTGGGGGTGGGGAAGAGAAGATGCTTATGAACGATCCTAGCCATGAGTGGACAAATTTAGGCATAAGGCTGAAATCCTACATATGCTGAACCAAGGAGCATGTTTCAATGAACGTTTGCATAAACATGCATACAGCCAGGCTACAATGGAAGCTGTACATGAACATGCTAGACCAAAGATAGGAAACCAAATACAACCCTCTGCACCTCTCTATCTGGCCCTTGGGACTCTTCCCTAGGACACATCCTTGATTGACCCTGCTTTGTGCCCTTCCTTAAGTGTTTTTGCCTGGCTAGACTATGCCCTTGATCTCTGATAAGGTTTCTTGCTTGCCTGGATGGAGGACAGAGTGGGGTACACAAGTGTGTGCAGAAGCTAGCCTACTGTACAACGGCGAGTTTCACATTTACTGCTCCGCCCACTTTTGCCTTTGACCCCGCCCACTACTGGCATGTGATCTCCAGAAGCTTGCCCAGAATGGTACAGTGGTACCTCAGGTTACAGACGCTTCAGGTTACAGACTCTGCTAACCCGGAAATAGTACCTCGGGTTAAGAACTTTGCTTCAGGATGAGAACAGAAATCGCATGGGGGCAGCGCGGCTGCAGCAGGAGGCCCCATTAGCTAAAGTGGTACCTCAGGTTAAGAACAGTTTCAGGTTAAGAATGGACCTCCAGAATGAATTAAGTACTTAACCCGAGGTACCACTGTATATGTGACCCACAGGCTGGAAAAAGTCCTATATCCCCGATTTGGACCAAGACCACCCGCAGTAAAGCTAACATTCATTGATACCCAGACCACACTCACCAGCAAAGTCCCGTAACTGTAAAGCTCACCCACTAAAATGCTTCCATTGTGGAAAAAGTGAGCAGAATAGAACTGGATGAAAAGATGGCGCAAGCTTGGTTTAAGCCTTTCTGTTAGCTGAGCTACTATGTAGAATTCCCAGCGGCTTGCTGGCTTCTGCACCTGCAAATAAATGCACAAACACTTTTAGGGTAATTATTATTACCATATTGGCCTAAATATAAGCCTCACTTTTTTTTCCAAATTCTGACTATGGAAAGTTAAAGTGCAGCTTGAATTCGCAACCTTACAAAAATTGGCTTTTATGATATCACTGCTGAAACAGACATACAGTAAAACGGAATGGGTGCGAGTGCGGAATTTTAAGGGAGCAGCTTATATTCGGGTATTGTCTTTTCCCCCCTTGAATTTTAAAGGTGCGGCTTATATTTGGGCCAATACGGTATTATTTATTGAATTTATTAGTCGCTTTCTCTTGCCCAGGGCAAGTTCATTTTCTGCAGCGAATGGAGGAGACCCAAGGAAGGCTTGCTCCTCCCACTCATCTACTGTATAGATCTCCTTCTCCACTGAAGGAAAAGAGAACATTGGACAAACCACATTGAGTTCATTTTCAGCAGGGTCAGGGTAGAGGAGATTCATGGGAGAGTGGGAGGAGCAACATGCAGGAAAAACCCACCATCACTACAGGAAAAAGTGACTTCCTGAATCCATGTTAGGCACTTGCCTGAATGGTGGGGGTTGGGGAGCGGATTGGAGAAGGGCAGGGTGGACACAATTATCACTAAAATAAAAATTATGGCAAATCCCATTACAGATAGGACCTTCTGCCAAAAGGTGCAATGGCCACAGGACAGAAGTGTCTCTTGTACCATGGATCAACCCATCTGTGTGAAACATACAGAGCAAGTGGCAACCCAACACTCTCTTATCCCAGTATAGTTCCTGGTCTTAACCTTTAAACTCTTTATAAGCTTAAGTACATGAAGACAGAAGAGTCTGCTTAGGAAGCGTCCACATCTGACCTTTAAACAACAGCAGTACGAGACGGCATTTGTTTTCAGATAAGCCACTGAAGCCCAAAGCCCACTTACTTTCAGTATGACTTTCCGATTATTTTTTGTGTTGTCCATATCAAGGACAGACGCTTGATAGACGCGTGCAAAAGCTCCTTCTCCCAGTAAGCAGTCAACATGAAAGGATGTGGTTGCTAAGCAAGTGGCAAGGAGAAAGAAGAGGAGGAAACGTAGAAAAGGAATTAGAATACAGCAGAAATGACCCATTTCAAACTCATGTGCTAACTTTCTGGCCTGACAGTGGTACCCCCTCCAGGAATTCTATGGAACCAAGGTCCCAGAGACTGGTATGAAGGTGCATGAAACAGGTCAAGCAGGTCTGCGTGTGGACAGGGAACCATATGGAAACCTCGGTATGTACATTGTCTTGAGTCTCGTGACTTCAGAGATTGATACAGGAACTACCTACACATTTTCAAGCATGCATTGTAGCTGCTATAAGAGCTAACTACTTTTTTTTTTTAAGAATTAAGCAACTCCATGAAAGCTTAATTTCTCAGGATGATGAATTCTGCACCATATCCTGTACATCTGAAGACCCCTGATTTAGTATTGTGCAAGGCAGACAGTGATGCACAATAGGGCTGGCTCTGCAAAAACATTTGCTTTGGAGTAAAAAAAGCCCAAGACTTCATTATTCTTGCAAAATGCAAGTCCCAGCTTCTCACTTTCTGTCTGGCATCCTCCAGTGAATGCAAACTGACTACTTCTTTCAGACCTCTGTCCACATCACACAGTTTAAACTGACATAAGTGGGGGGAAACCAAGTATAGTATGTATGCAGGTCTTACCCAATTTGAGTTCAGCTTTCGGTTTGAGAACTGGAAGACCTGATTCCCATTCAAAAGTATTTGAGTAGGCACTGATTGGCTTGGGCAGCCCAAGCAGAAGCTGGTGAATTAAGCTGTTGCTCCAAGGGTCTTCAACTACTTCAGGAGAAAAAAAGATTCTGGTTAAGCCATTTAAATCAGGGAAATAACAATATTTTCTCATTGACAGGCATCATCAACATTTGAAAAGACAAGACTAAATGAAGGGACCAAAAGAAAAGGCATGGAGAGACAGCCAAAGGTCTGGGATGAAACACTGAGCATTTGGGATACACATTTATTCCCTATAATTTGAAACATCGCCATTTATTTATTTGAACCTTTTCTACCCCGCCTTTTCTTTCTTATAAAATGGGCACAAGGCAACTAAGGAATCCAGTGGAGCTGCAAGCTGGTGTTATACTGCTGAATCTTGCATTCTCTGGTGCAACTGGGAGAAACAAACCATAAAGCCATAATTAAGCTCGGCTTTGCATCTGAAACCAAGGTCGCTCCCTAGGAAGTCAGGACTCATAAACTAACACAATCCCACCCAGGTTTCGACATAACCGGTGCAAACCAAGCTTAACTGGCATTTTCTCGTTAGATGCAGAATGGATAGCAATAAAGTGCTTATAGTCAGGCAAGTTCGCCTAGGAAGACCATTTTTTACAGCCCTGTATTCTTAGACATCTTCCTCCTGGGACAGAAACTTTACCCTGAGTCAGTTGACAGGCAGACAGTGGAATGGTGTGGAATGGCGTAGAGGCAAGTTGCGCAGCACAAGCAAAATCTCCTGTGCTGCCTGGAGTAGGAGCCAGGGTCTTGTTGCAGAAATTAGCCCACACGGTGCAGTCATCCTTCAGGCCCTCCGCTGGCGGATTTACCTCCTAAAGACAGCAACACACAAGCTACATCCACCTTTCCATTCAAAGCAGAAAGCAGAATTTCACATCCCAAAAGTTAGGGACATATAAAGGAAAATCCCCACCCCACCCCCGGATTTTATTTTGTTTGGCAATAGCAGAAGATTTACAAGTGTCATCTCCCCTGATGCAGGAGGTTAGGTCATAGCTGTCAACTTTTCCCTTTTCTTGCGAGGAATCCTATTTGGAATAAGGGAATTTCCCTTATAAAAGGAAAACATTGACAGCTATGGGCTAGGTGCACATAGCAAATGTGTGATGATATGCACATAAGGAGTTTGTGAGGCCATGTGCACATAAACAAATACATTCAGATGTAACACCAAACCACAGTTTGGCAATCGGGAGAGGAACAATCAACTCTTGCAACAATTGCATGCCCTCACAAAGTGAACATAGCTGGGTGTCCTGTTATATTGCCCACCAGGGCTTTCATTTATTTTATTTAAAATTTATTTTATTTGCCCCAGCCACTCTGGGCAGCTTCCAACATAGTCTAAAAACACAACTGTGCATCAAATATTAAAAACTTCCCAGATGTCTTCTAAAAGTCAGATAGTTCTTTATCTCCTTGACATAAGACGGAAAGGTATTCCACAGGGTGGCTCCATATAACTTCACTTCTTACAGTGGGGGAACCGCCAGAAGGCCCTCAGAGTTGGACGCTAGCATCGGAGCCAAGGCTGTTTAGGACTACAACTCTCATCAGCCCAAGCTACCATGGCCAACCGTCAGGGATGATGGGAGTTGTAGTCCAACAGGGCTATTGGCTCACCATCGTTGGGTTGATCCTCTCCTAAGACAACACATACTAAGACACATGAGTGCCACATCCAAACACTTTCTTTAAAATGTTTGATTTTCCTCATATGCAAATTTAAGCAGCAATACATAAATCAACTAAAACTCCACAATCAATCAACAATGGTTTCTTTAGTCATCTGACAACGCAAGCTCTTTCTCAATTAAGGTTTTTATTTAGTTTTTCCCCCTTTGTTTAACAGAAACAACAAAAGACAAGAAAAATAAAAAGGTTGACACAGAGAGGGAGTGGGGGAGACAGGTTGAGAGGGGTCAGCACAGGTTGTGGCAGCCCACTTTGTACCCTACACAGATCTGAAGCTTAATTTACAAACACCCAGTAGTAAGGAAGAAGCTTGCCCCAGGGGTGAGGCAGCATAATTCCAACAAGGCTCTATGTAGGGTGGGAAGACGACTGGGAGAATTCTCTCAAAACACTTGAAGAATCCTGCATTCTCGAACTCCTTGATCTATGTCTCTGTTATAAATGCCATTCACTTACTGCTGATTTGGCAGCACAGCTGACTGTGGGACGTTCTCCAAAGACTTTGGATCCTGTCAACTTTGGGGGATGCACGGGAACACTGAAAGGAAAAGTTCAATTCAGGAGCAAATCTTTCGGGCAGAGCAATTCACACAGAGAATGAACGACGGTCCAAAATGGCCACTGTTCTCGACAAGCCAGGTTTGTAAGTCACACAACTTCATTTTGTTGCCTTTTTAGTAAATATGAACCTGACATCCTCACTGCAGGCGCGGAACATGCTAATGGTGACGAGGATACATGCTTATACGTGCAGCTCAGAGACTTGGGCATGCTCACACTTCCTCACATGTTCTTTTAAGCCCCATCTGAAATGCCAGAGTAAGGTGTCTAGTCATTTGGCCTCAACCCTTTAGTCATGCCAAACAGACTAAAGAGATTCACTATGGGAAGTATCAACAAGATGCGAAAGAGAAGAGTTAATTCCTTCTGTCTCCTTTTATTTTACATACCCTGCTCTTTCTTCAGGAAACTCAGAACCATTCTAGAGAACTGCCAGGCAACCTTCTATCTAGGTAATGATCAGTCTGATCCTTACGTAGCTTTAGCAGTGTGGCAGCATCACACACTTTTGGACCACTCTGAGGTGCACAGCAGCGTACGTAACACTGAAAGAAACAGCGGTGAGACTTCTTGCCTGAACTGAGAGTAGCCCAAAGATGGCTGCAAGAGGCTATCTGAGATAACATAGTGCCACTGGCTCCTATACACAGGTGTTGCAAACAGTTCAACTCACTCTGCATTCTCGTCTTCAAAGATCGTAAAGGCAGGTGGTGCCGCAGGAGCGCTGGGCTTAATGCTGGAAGCCTTGCCCAGTCCTAAAAAGGTCAGAAAAGGGGGGAGGGGGAGATAGATAGATAGATAATTTATTACGGTTGGAGACCAGCTTATAAAGCACACTTGGGGGTACAGTCCCAGAAGGAAAACAAACAATTAAAACAATGCACAACAATAAATTTAAAATTTATAAATGCGATAAGCGTATAGACACTTAAAACTTTAAGATAAACTACCGCAGAGAGCTGACCCAGAGTCACCCATGGAACCGAGTTTGGGGATTTTCTTAAAGGACTAGTTTGAGTCGGGAGATGGTCTGCGCCTACAGGTCAGTACACAGAATCTGGCGACCATCCGGGTCGTCTTCTGATCTTTGCCTAGCAGGAAAAGGCCAATTTTTTGCTTTTCCAGGTCAGTGAGCCTCACCAGAAGGGCAATCAATGGTCTTACTAGGTGCCTCTTCATAAAAGGGACATCTAAAGAACAAGTGCTCTGGGCTTCCTATCTCCCCCAATGAACAGGTGCAAAGTCTCTGAGCATGTGGGACTTTTTTAAAGGATCCTTCCAGGACCGGCGAGGGCAGAGCCAAGCTTCTGGCGGGAGGGGGAGAGAAACAGATTTTGGCTTTTCTTAGTAGGAAGGGAGAGAAAATGACGGTAAGACAACCCTCTGCACATTGATCTCTCCACCACTATCCACCACTGTGGATAACATTATGAATTGAACAGTCTATTACAGTTTTACCCTGCCCTTCCTCCATGGAGCTCAAGCAGGACACTCCCAGAGTGGCTTACAAAAAAAGAAAAAAAAGGCCGGCCCTGCCAACAGGCATCAATTTACCAAATCAGGTATCAACTCTGAAGTAAAGAAACTGAGGAGAAAATCCCATTCTTTTCAGCGAGCATCTTTTCGTTTGGAAGTAACAGGTGAGGAAAAAAAGTTGGTTTTGAGAAACAACTTCCCAAAGAATTGCTTTGCACGTTAACCCATTTTTAAATAGCATTTCCTTATCTACTTTCCCTGTAAAGCCAGTATGAGGCATGTTTATTCCCAGAGGTTTGAGTTACCTTCAGGAATTAAACAAATGCAGGTTTTGCCCTTCAGCCATGAAGAAATACTACCCAATTTGATTTCTATGGTTGTTTTTTACCTACCACATCAACTAAACTCACACTCCAGCTTGACTAATATAAAGACTCTCATGTATCTCCTTATATCTAATCTCTGCCTCACCAGGGACTCATGTATATTGAAAACAAATGAGAAGCGGGGAGGAGAGGGAGAGACGTTATCGGGTCTTTGTCCCAGCAGCCTCTGTATCTTGAGGTTGCTTTTTATACAAGGAAGGGGCCTTAGCTCAGTGGTAGAGCATCTGCTTTGCATGCATAAAGTCCCAGGTTTAATAATAATAATAATAATAATAATAATAATAATAATAATAATTTATTTATACCCCACCCATCTGGCTGGGCTTCCCCAGCCACTCTGGGCAGCTTTCAACAAAATATTAAAATACAGTAATGCATCAAACATTAAAGGCCTCCCTAAACAGGGCTGCCTTCAGATGTCTTCTAAAAGTCTGGTAGTTGTTGTTCTCTTTGACATCTGGTGGGAGGGTGTTCCACAGGGCGGGTGCCACTATTGAGAAGGCCCTCTGCCTGGTTCCCTGTAACCTGGCTTCTTGCAGTGAGGGAACCGCCAGAAGGCCCTCTGCACTGGACCTCAGTGTCCAGGTAGAACGGTGAGGGTGGAGAGGCTCCTTCAGATATACTGGACCGAGGCCATTTAGGGCTTTAAAGTTCAGCACCAACACTTTGAATTGTGCTCGGAAACATACTGGGAGTCAATCCATCTATTGGTAAGGCTACAAAAGTCCCCTGCCTGAAAACCTGGAAGGCTGCTACCTGTCAGTGTAGACAATACCAAGCCAGTTGGATCTATTGTCCAATTTGGAAAAAGGCAGCTCCGTAGGTACAAAGACTAATCCAATTAAGTGTGCCTAACACCTGCTGGATTCCATTTCAAAACTCTACAGAATTTGGGACGTCCAACATCATACCCGGACTTCTCTCTCCAAGCACCCCCTCTTTAAAACAAAAAAACCCTGAGAACTCAAAAATGTATTCACTATTTTGGTTGCTCAAAAAAAATTTCCTTATTGTGCCCTGTCCATCACCCACCCACAAAGGAACAACAGTAGATTACCATGCCTGGCCAACAAGGCACTCGTTTAGCTTTATAACACTCAGGATTAGATATATACCAATAAAAAAAATTATGCAACATGTGCCGGTTCAACTCCCCAACATCTATAGACATATATACCGTTATTTCTACAGTAGGCTTCAAACTCATCTTCATCTTCTGAAAGTATAGTAGTATCTTTGAAGGAAGATGCTTGGAAAACATCCATGATAAATCCTAGCAAAGGAAGAAGAAAAATTAAAAACAGATGCCAGGTTTTAAAAAAAGCCAACCCCGGATACATTTAGTCAAGAATATAGCTCGTCGTGAGCAACAAGAGGATTGCTACCTGCATTCTGCAGCGAAGAAACTATCTTAGCTCAGTAGTCAAGACCATCCCTTTGCATTCACACAGTCCCAGCTTCTGCCCTACTAAAGAGGCATGCACATGTTAACTAGGCTCAAGACCCCAGGCAAACTGACCCAAAGATGTGCCTCCAGAGAAGATATAAACTTTGCTGGATGTTAGCTTTTGTCCTTTTCTCAGAACAAATGCAGAAATATATATTCAAAACTGAGCTGCCGTTGGTTGATTTCTGTAACCTTCTGGAGAATCTTTTTAATATTATGTATTAATTGACATTTCACACCTCCATTCTAGGGAAATGCAATAGGACGTAACTGCTGGAAATGTCAGTTTCCTAAAGCCAATCATATGCACAGCCTTGTTTTAAGCAGTGCTTTCTTTTTCCTTTAAAAATGTTTAGGGGTACTCTCATTTTGACTCAAGAAAATTACCATTTCATAGTTCAAATTGGGGAGAAAAAATGCAGTAAATGGACAAAAGTAAAAAGATTCCCAAAATGTTTAGGGGTATGTGTACCCCTGCGTACCCCCAGAAAAAAAGCACTAGTTTTAAGTATTACCTTGATAGCCATAGGTAACCAAGAATTCCATATAGGTGAATGAGCAGGCTGGCAAAAGAGGGATGAATAGCTCCAGCCCTGTTTGACTAGCCCACTTGATTTCAGTGCTAACTGCAGAAGAATTAAAGTCTCAACAACAACAACTGCACAAAAACCCAGAAGGCTGGCAGAAATGGGGGAACAGATCACTCTATCCCTCTGCCACTGGTCTGTTTCGTTGAAGACAATATTTTTAACTACAGTGGTACCTCGGGTTACATACGCTTCAGGTTACAGGACGCTTCAGGTTACAGACTCTGCTAACCCAGAAATAGTACCTTGGATTAAGAACTTTGCTTCAGGATGAGAACAGAAATCGTGTGGCAGCAGCAGGAGGCCTCATTAGCTAAAGTGGTGCTTCAGGTTAAGAACAGTTTCAGGTTAAGAACGGACCTCTGAAATGAATTAAGTACTTAACCTGAGGTACCACTGTAGTCTGGTCAGCGGCTAGCAGCCACAGAGAAGAGGGCTTCCCCTTCCCCACGGCCAACATGGAAACACATGTTTTATACTCCTGTTTTGAAGGGACCATATACTTACCCAGGGCCTCTTTAGTGTGAACAGTGGGAGATGGAAGTATTTTAGATGGTGTCGCTTGCGTCATACTTGATGTGTTTGGAGTGGCATGACGGTTGTCGTTGAAAATGGAAGAATTTCTACCACCCGATGCTAAAATAGTAAGAAAACCAACATACGAATTTGACAGTGGAAAACATGCTTTGAAGTTAATGGACTTTATTACACATGTGCTCCTTTATTTCCACCGAAGAGGCACAATAGTTAACACTGGAACAAGTAGCAAGAAGACTTTGCTGTGCTTTATAGATCTGCATTCCTCTTAAAAAGAAAAACGAAAGAAATATTTATGCTGTAATTTCTAGTGTCCTGCATTGGTTTCAGAATGGGTAGTGTATATCTCAATAAAGGATAAAATGCTTTTATCCCAAAGTAAAGATAAAATGAATTGTATGAACTGAAGTTATATTTGGAACCCAAATTGAGCTTGTAACTAGTACGGATGCAACCATGGGGACTACTGTATCTAGAGCTGGCACATACAGTATTTTCAAATTGTTAAGTAGTAAGAGATTTCATGCTTTCAACAATTCAGCTCTCTTTTGGATTGTGTTCATAAGTGTATTTTTGTAAATTCCTGGATTGATAAGGCTTATAGATTTGGGCCGAAAAAGGATTCCAAGATTACACATGACTGTATGGTCATTTTTAAAACAAAGGAACAAAGAGACACCATTTTAGGACACCACTATTAAAAAACCCTAAAGATAGAAGGGAAGGGGATAAACTTGTTCAAAGAGATCCCAAAACACTTCTTGGCCCTGAGAAATAACTACACAGATTTGGCGACTGATTTAAGAAGAAAGAATATTTTTTTCAGGTGGGAGTTTCCAGAAGGTCTCTCTTTCATGTTCCAAGGGAGAAAACAAATAAGAACTGTGGGAGAGAAAGAAAGATTTCTGGAGAAAAATGTAAGAGAGCTGGGATTGGAAAGTCCTTCCTCACTGGGGGCAGGGGCAGCAGGCCCCTAAAAAAATCAGGATGGCTTTAAAATTTTGCTCCTGGAATGTGAATGGTTTAAATTCTCCTCGAGAAAGGAGCCAAGTTCATCACGTTTTGGCAAGACAGAATTTGGATGTAATCTGTTTACAGGAAACACACGTTATTAGACTTCATAGAAATATTTTACAGAATAAGAAACTTGGACAGGAATTTATTTCATTGGACAAAGTTAAAAAAAGAGGTGTGATTTTCTAGGTTAAAGAAAAATGGAACCCCAAGTTGATGTTGTAAGGATGAGGAGAGGAGATACATTGCTGTTGAGATTACAGCACAAGGCGATAAATTTCTTTTATTGGGAATCTATGCACCAAATGATGGTAAAGTGGAATTTTAAAAAAAATTGGACTCAAGACTTACAGACTATTTGTCTTTGTCTTTCTAAATTCGTCTGGCAGGGCAAGAAACCTAGAATAAAATTTAAAATTTTAACAGATGCAAAAGAAAGAGGTGGATTTGCCCTGCCAGACCTTAAACTTTATTATGAATCAGCAGCTTTTTGCTGGTTGAAAGAATGGCTACTTCTGAAAACACTGACATTTGGATTTGGAAGGTTTTAATAATGTATTTGGATGGCTTGTAACTTTGAATCTACAAATAAGTGTGGAAAATTGTTGGCTGGCAATTAAAGAGACAGAAACAGAATACATTACAAATATTGTATCTGATGGAAATCTGTTGAAACCCTGCAGACATAAGGAAATGTTTTCAGAAATATTTTAAACAACTGTACAAAAAGGTAAGAAGACAAGATAAATTGAGCAATTTCTTATACAAATGCAGAAAATTCCACAGATAAAGACCCTATTCAATGGTTTGATTACTAGACAGGAAGTTGAGACAGCTATAAATCAGATGAAACTAGGCAAAGTCCCAGGACCAGATGGTTATCAGTCAAATATTACAAAACTCTGAAAGATTAGCTAATTCAACCATTGGCAGATGTGTGGTAAGATTTTAGAGGAGAAAGCACCTGAAACCTGGAAAGATGCTCATATACCCTGATACCGAAATTAGACCATGATAGATCGGATGTTAAAAATTACAGACCAGTGCGAGACTGGCTTCATTATTATCAGATAATGGAGGCATTTAAATTGGACAGGAAAATTGGCTTCCAGGTGGAAAGATCCAAATTAGAAACAGAATTGTTAGAACCCAAAACTAAGAATTTGTCAAGAATGTATAACTTGCTGCTGAAATGGAATACTCAAGATGAAACGGTAAAATCGGCTATGATTAAATGGGCACAGGACGTTGGACATAACATTATGTTTGCTGACTGGGAACAGTTATGGACCACAGGTATGAAATTTACGGCATGTAATGCCTTAAGAGAGAATATTATGAAAATGATATACAGGTGGTACATAACCCCAGTCAAGCTTGCGAAAATTTATCACTTGCCCGATAACCAATCTTGGACATGTAAAGAAACTGAAGGTACACTTGTTCACCTTTGGTGGACGTGCCCAAAGATTAAGGTTTTCTGGGAAATGATATATAATGAATTAAAAAGGTATTTAAGTATACCTTTCCCAAGAAACCAGAGGCCTTTCTCCTGGGCATAGTGGGCCAAATGGTGTTAAAAAAGGATAGAACTTTCTTTATGTATGCAACAACAGCAGCAAGAATACTCATCGCAAAGTATTGGAAGACACAAGAACTTCCCACGCTGGAGGAATGGCAGATGAAACTTATGGACTATATGGAATTGGCGGAAATGACTGGCAGAATCCGTGACCAGGGAGAAGAGTCGATGGAGGAAGACTGGAAGAAATTCAAAGACTATCTTCAGAAACACTGCAAAATTAAGGAATGTTAGAGTGATGTTGGATTGAAAATAAGTGGTTTCCAGCTGTACAGGTTAAAGATAAGGATAGATTAAGATTAAAGATTAAGATTAAAGATGTTTAATGAAATGGAAATTTGATAATAAATGTGAAAATTTAAAGCTATATGACATTAAGAGTAAGGATTAGGTTTTAAAAAGTTGAAGTTATATATTTTAACATTTTATTAAATTAAAGATTGGGATTAAAAAAGTGGAAAAGAAACTGCTGGATAAATAATGTGGATTGGAATACAAAAGAGGGAGGTATGAGGAAGTCCAGAAAATAAGTAATTTAAAGTTGGAAATGGAAAAGAGAGTTTGTTTTTAATTGTTATGTTTTGTGTTTTTATTGTTGAGTTTTGTATTGTTTTTTGTGTGTGTTGTTTTTCTTTTTTCTTTGTTTAAAACCTTAATAAAAAATTATTTAAAAAAAAAAAAATTACAGACCAATCTCATTACTTAATGTGGATTATAAAATTTTTGCAAATATTCTGGCTAATAGATTGAAGAAGGTCTTAACAGAGTATATTCATAAGGACCAGGCAGGATTTCTGCCTGGACGACACATGAAAGATGATATTAGGAATTTAATTGATATATTGGAAAGATTAGAAGCTAAAAGAAATTGTAAAGCTTTCTTAATGTTTATTGACGCGGAGAAGGCCTTTGATAATATCTCTTGGCTTTTTATGGAAAGAAATTTAGAAAGAATTGAGGTTGGTCAAGAATTCTTAAATTGTATCAAGGCGATCTATTCTGAGCAGAAAGCTAAAATTATTGTTAACAATGTGGTATCAGAGGAAATTAGAATTGAGAAAGGAACCAGGCAAGGGTGTCCACTCTCCCCTCTGTTATTTATTTCGGTTCTGGAGGTTTTGCTAAATATGTTGAGGAAAGAAGAGGAGGTTAAGGGCATTGTAGTAGGATCCAAACAGTATAAATTAAAAGCCTTTGCTGATTATTTGGTTTTAACTTTACAGGATCCAGAAACCAGTGCAATAAAAGCACTGGAGATGATTCAGGAGTTTGGGCAGGTGGCAGGATTCAAATTAAATAAGAGCAAAACCAAAGTTTTAGAAAAAAAATTGGACAATGAGGAAAGGAGAATTTTTATTGAAAAGACAGGCCTGACCTTTTCGAAAAAAGTTAAGTACTTAGGGGTGAATTTAACGGCGAAGAACTTATATAAGGACAATTATGTAAAAGTAGGGAATGAAATTAAAAGAGAATTAGAGATATGGACAAATCTAAAACTCACACTTATGGGCTGAATATTGGTGATTAATATGAATGTACTGCTGAAAATGTTGTTCTTGTTTCAAACTCTACTAATTATTGATAATATTAAATGTTTTAAAGAATGGCAGAAGGAGTTGTCAAAGTTTATCTGGCAGACGAAGAAACCTAGAATTAAATATAAATTGCTTACCGATGTGAGAGGAAGAGGGGGGTTTTCCCTGCCAGATTTGAAGATATGTTTTGAAGCTGCGGCCTTCTGATGGATTAAAGACTACAATTAGACAATGAAGATTTCCTGGATTTGGAGGGATTGGATTATAGTGGTTTCAAGAATCATATAATTAGGAGAACGCTATACAATGTTTGGAGTAGATATAAAGATCTTTTACTACGAAAAACACCCAAATGGATCTCTCCAATGGAAGCACAGGCCCAAAAAAAGTTAAATATGGAAAACAAAGGGTTGAGATACTCTGATTTATTGATAGAGGACCGAGAAGGCTGTAAATTAAAACTGTTTGAACAAATTAAAGACAACGTGAATTGGCTTCAATACTATCAAATTAATGAATTATTCAAGATTGATAAGAGAAATGGTTTTGCAACAGAAAAAACCAAATTGGAGACGGAATTGTTAAGATACTAATGTTAAAAACATGTCTAAAAATGTATAATCTGTTGTTGGAGTGGCATACAAAGGATGAACAAGTTAAATCGGTTGTGATTGATTGGGCACAAGATGTAGGACATAATATAATGATGGAGGATTGGGAGAGGCTATGGAAGAAAGGGGTAAAATTTACTGCATGTACGATGTTAAAGGAAAATATAATGAAAATGATGTATAGATGGTATTTAACTCCGGTTAAATTAGCTAAGATTTATCACAGTTGTGATAATATATGTTCGAAATGTAAAGAAAAGGAAGGTACCTTTTATCACGTGTGGTGGACATGTTCCAAGGTGAGAGACTTCTGGGAAAAGATTTATAATGAATTTTTAAAAATGTTGAAATATACATTTATAAAAAAACCAGAGGCCTTTCTCCTTGGAATAATAGGTTCTGAACTGCCCAAGAAAGATGTAAAGTTATTTTTGTATGCCACAACTGCTGCTCAAATTTTAATAGCCAAGAAATGGAAAACACAAGAACTACCAACTGTGGAAGAATGGCAGACGAAAATGATGGAATATATGGAGTTGGCTGACCTTACTGGAAGAATCCATGACCAAAAAGAAGAGGAATACCAAGAAGAGTGGAAGAAATTTAAGGACTATTTGAATAAATACTGTGATATTAAAAATTAGAAATTACTTGAAAGTACCAAAATAGGTCTATGATTAAATTAAGAGTTAATTAAATAAATAAGATTTAGAACTTTAAGGAAAGTTAAGAAATTTTATTTTAATTGGAATATTGTGCTTTTTAAAAATGGTCTCAGAAAACTGCTACATTTTAATTACAATGAAATTCAGATGGGAGGGCTCAGAGGAAGACCAAAATATGTTTATGAGGTTGACATCTTTCCGCAGCGCCTGCAAGACAGAGCTGTTCCACCAGGCCTTTGGCCAGGGCACAGCCTGACTCCCTCCTTTGCCAATCCTCACAGAACTCTAGCCCAATGGTTGCCATCAATTTGATTTGAATTAATTTTATAATGAATGATTTTAGAATGTTGTACTATTTTATTGTTGTTAGCTGCCCTGAGCCCGGCTTCAGCTGGGGAGGGCGGGATATAAATAAAATTTATTATTATTATAAGTCTAAATTAATTAATTTGTGTTGTTTAGGTTGTTTAGGCATTTACCGGTACCTTGTTTTTACTCTCTTTTTTGTTTATATTTGTGATCTTGCCTTTTTTCTTTTTGGTTTTCCCCCTGTTTTTCTTTTGTTGTGATATTTGTTATATCTGTAAGAAACTTAATAAAAAAAAAATATATTTTTTTTATCTCACCCTTCCTCCAAAGTGCTCATGGAAGCAAAAAATACTTCTCTCCCTGCCACCCCCGACTTCCCCCTCTCTTCCACTCCTATCTTTACAGCCACCCAATGAAGTAAGTTAAGCTGAGATAGAAGCTGAGATACAATCATCACATGGATGAGGCAGAATCAGGCACCCAACTGATGCTGCCATGCCAGCCACACCTTCCAACATTGGTGTGATGAGAGCTTATGTATTCACACGTTTGTAGGTGCTTCAGAGCACCAGAGTCCCTGCCCAAGAGAGTCCTAGTTGCCTGCATACACTTAGGTGGCTCTTTCTCACATTCAACTTAAGCTGCAAACCAGCCAGGGTCTGTGTTTGAGTGTATGCTGCCTGCATGAGATGCTGATGGGGCCGTGAGGTCCAGTTGCCCTTCCTCTATGCAATAATAACATGCATGAAAATAGGTGATGTGACTGGCCCAGTGTCAACCCATTGTGCTTCGTGGCTACATGGGGATTGGAACCTGCAACCTTCTGTCCTTAGTCCTACACGATACTGGGCTTTCCAGTGTTATGCAATGACTCATGAGCATGTTTGCTCCGTGGCCATGAAGCCCTTACAGTAGTTGGAGTCAACTTTATCATGGAGCCTCAACACAGCGGAACCACAGACCACTCACTGCCTGTAAGATAAACATGGTTTGCAAGTAGGAGACTTTTGAGTATAGCTCAATAGCCCGCTATGTTAGCGGGCTCACAGAGTATTACAAAGAGAGCAAGAGAGCAGATTATTACCATCTCTCATTTCTGCGGGGTGTTGCGGTTTCTGATGAGATGTATCCAAGTGCCTGCACAGAAAAGCCAATGTGTTAAGTTCTCCGGTATCGGTTAAAGGCAACCTAATTCTTACAAGGTCAAAAACAGGTAGTAAAATATCAACAACATATTTGAGTGAGTGCTCAAAATGAGAGATGGGTGAAAGGAAGTGAATGGCTTTCTTTTAAAAATTATGACAGAGCCATCTGTTGAAAAGGAGCAGGGTGGTTTTAGGTCTGCCCAAAAATGCCATAGCACCGCTTCTCCCGGTATGCCCCATGGAGGACCTTAACGTCCATAAATAGCAGCATCCTAGAGGTCCCCGGCCCTAAGGAAGTTAGATTAGCCTCAACCAGAGCCAGGGCTTTTTCAACACTGGCTCTGGCCTGGTGGAATGCTCTGTCTCATGAGACCAGGGCCCTGCAGAATCTGATTTCTTTCCGCAGGGCCTGTAAGACAGAGTTGTTCCGCCTGGCCTTTGGCTTGGAGTCAATTTGATACCCTCCCCCTCTTTCTTTTTCCTTTCTCCTCCTGTGATGAGGCTGCATTTTAATTGTTTTAATGTTGTATTTTAATCTTGCTTTTAAGTTGTATTCATTCAACTCGTTTTTATTATTGGTTGTTAGCCGCCCTGAGCCCAGCCTTGGCTGAGGAGGGCGGGGTATAAATAAAAATTATTATTATAGGCAAACTCAGCCCTCCAGATGTTTTGAGACTACAATTCCCATCATCCCTGACTACTGGTCCTGTTAGCTAGGGGTGATGGGTACTGTAGTCCCCAAACATCTGGTGGGCCGAGTTTGCCTCTGCCTGCCATAGGATGTCTTCCCAAATAATCCCCCTCAAGGACGCACTCCCAAGTTCCCCTCACCTAGTCAAAAGAAAAACTGGGGAGGGCGGGCGAGAAATGGAGACAGGCGTTAAGAGGCCTAGTTTTCACTTACTGCTCTCCATGATGGTAAACATTGGAGAGGATAGTACGTTTCTGGGGCGGCTGATCATCAGAGCTGACTTGAAATCTGTGCAGACTATTCTCACAATCTTCAAGATCGAGTTTTGCTTTGGATGCAGCCTTTCCGCTGGGTATGGTTGATGTAGAAATCAGGGCTGGTTGTTGCCGGAAATTCCCGACTGGTCGTGTAGCTGAAGCACCACCCACCGAAATCTCATCAGAAACGGATATTTGCTGCCGATTTCCTACCAGCTGCGAAGCACCTGATGCCAAACGCTGATGTTCTGTCCCCAAATTCAAAGACTTTTGTAGATATCCAGCTAGCGAAGGTACTGCCCACTCTGGCTGACCCTGAGCTGCACAGGTTTGTACGTATGGGTCACCCTAAAAGAGTGAAGAAAAACAACATTCAGGCAAGGAGAATCTTACACAATGTTTTAATGCATTTCTGACCCTGTCCAGCAACCTATGGCATTTCAAGACAGAAGTGTTAGTATGAAAATTGTGCATATTTTTAAAAACTTATAATGGATTTAAAGCTTTAAGGAATTTTTTATCAATTTAAATCTGCTTCCCATCATGCCCTGAAGACTTTGGGTGGAAATGTGTTTTAACACAGGAAGGACATAAAAGTTTTGAAGATTAGGCAATTCAAACAATACCATCTTTTGCAGGACCAATAGGTATCATTGTCCATCAGCCCCAGTCAGCATGGGAAATAAGATACGGATGATGGGTGAGACTGGTTCCTCATTCCTATCCTATTGACTTGAGGCCAGATGTGGCCAATACTGTGCCTTCTAGATGCTGTTGTACTATAACTCCCAACACCCCTGTCCACTGGCTGTGGCTAATGGGAGCTATAGTCCAACAATCATCTGCAGGGTACCATGTTAGCTTCCCCCACCAGCCCAAATGAAATAAAACCCACTGTCTAACCAAAGGAGCCAGGGCTACAGCACAGTGCTTTGGCTTGGAGAAGGTCTCAGATACTATTTTCAACTCAAGCAGAGATTGTGGGAAGAACTTGGAGAGTCGCTGCTCCCAATACTAGGCGAGACTGGCTAGTGGGCCAACCCTGTAAAGTAATATATTCACTAAATAACAAATACGCACAGCTCCTGAAAAACAACCTGACTTGGATTTTGGAAAGCTTATATAGGCTTAGAGTTGGAGAGCAACTACTGAAAATACCTTTAGGTACACGTTTTTGCAGTTTATCCCTTCAATCAATAATAATAATAATAATAATAATAATAATAATAATAATTTATTATTTATACCCCGCCCATCTGGCTGAGTTTCCCCAGCCACTCTGGGCGGCTCCCAATTGAGTGTTAAAAACAATACAGCATTAAATATTAAAAACTTCCCTAAACAAGGCTGCCTTCAGATGTCTTTTAAAGAGAAGATAGCTGCTTATTTCCTTCACATCTGAAGGGAGGGCATTCCACAGGGCGGGTGCCACTACCGAGAAGGTCCTCTGTCTGGTTCCCTGTAACCTCACTTCTCGCAATGAGGGAACTGCCTGAAGGCCCTCGGTGCTGGATCGCAGTGTCCGGGCTGAACGATGAGGGTGGAGACGCTCCTTCAGGTATACAGGACCGAGGCCAATTCAAAGGTCAGCACCAACACTTTGAATTGTGCTCAGAAACATACTGGCAGCCAATGCAGATCTCTCAGGACCGGTGTTATGTAGTCTCGGCAGCCACTCCCAGTCACCAGTCTAGCTGCCACATTCTGGATTAATTGCAGTTTCCGGGTCACCTTCAAAGGTAGCCCCACATAGAGCACATTGCAGTAGTCCAAGCAGGAGATAACTCATTCATGAGCTGTGTTTTAACAGTGTCTTGAGGATGCTGTTGCTTAGTCTTAACTGGCACAAAGAAATATGGCCGGGTTATCTCAGTAGAGCCGTTAATGAGGAGGGGGGCAGCTATGGGTCCTGGGGTGGAGTCTCTGCTGCTCCCCAAGGGTGAGAGAGGCAAGGAAGTCAGCACTTTCAAAGCATATTTTTCAACCAAGTAACATTTTGATGTTAACAACACAGAGAATGAATATTCAAACATACATACCACTGTGGAGCTTTGACGGGATTGCCAAGTAGATGGCTGCGCTGCAGTTTTCTGGGATGATGATGATGATGTCTGGGAGAGCTGATCTAGCCTCTGCTGTAGTTTCTGCAGCTCAAGAAGGTCATTTTCCTTCTTCTTCAAAAATTCTTTCTCATCATCCTCTGGAATGTCAAATGCCATATTGCAGAAAGCAAAGCATCTATATGAATATTTTTTTAGTTTGGAGGGAGGCACTATCTCTCTCCCACTTCCTCTTTGGTTATTGTTAACAGCTATTATAAAAGGAAACTTAGCAACTCTGAAAAAACAGGAAAAGGTAGACAGAGGCCAGGACAGAAGCCAGCATGATAGACAAGGTGTCAAAAATTCTTGTTAATTCTGAATATGTTAGGGTCTCCAAGGATATAGGATACATCTACACACAAAAACTGAATGAGTTACTTTGGATAAGTTGCCATATCTGAGAACTTTTAGGAAAATCTGGAAGGGACACGTCTTGTAATGGTTAGCTTCCCACTGCCACTGTGTTTTCGGCTATTACTAAGATCATCAATGTGAAAATTATGTCCCATTTATTTCAATGTGACACAAAGTCCAACTAGTTTAGCCTGGGTCCAGTTTAGCATAGCTGCATGTTTTGTCTGATTTTAAAATGTCTTGCAACTCTGGAGAAGATTAGCTGGAGGTCTTAACTTGTAATTACCCCATTTTTTGTTCCTTTTCAGCTGCTCAGCCTTTTTAAAATGTGCATTGGCTCTGACTTCTTCAAAGCACAATTCAGAACCTTCACAGAAGAGAAGGTTCTTGTCGTACATGACCTTCTGCTCAAGGTTAGGATTGGATGGAGTCGGTAGGATTTCTGACCTGGAAATAGTGGTGACATATCTAGGCTGTTCCCTGTGGAGGAAAAGAAGTGGCAAGTTCTTTACAGCAACTATTGGCAGAGTCTCTGCCCAAGGGCACCCAAAACAGCATGCAACACTCCGAACAAGAGGGACCATTTAAACACAAACAAGCAACACCCAATCCTATCATGAAGCCAACAAATGGCAATACCAACAACCAATCTGTGATTAACAGCGCCAGCCTCTAGACAACACCAATTCAAATGCCAAAAGAGTCTTTTGAGAAGGGAGATGTTCATAGGGTGCTCTTGGGTTTGCCTCTCCCCTTCTTCAATCTAGCCTACTAGAAATGTGCATTCACTTTGAAGAAAGCCCAAATACCAAAGCAAGTTGCAACTTTCAGACCTACAAGGAAAACAAGCCTTCCCCAGTGCTGTCTAAAACAAAATAGGCTGGCCCTGAAATTCCAGAACTCCATAGAGTATTAGAACTGTGATAGGCCCAATATAGGTATTTTCAGAGATGTTATTTCCCACCCCGGCCCCATGTAAATGAATGGAGACAGTGCTGCCTTCATTGGCAAGACTGGCCATAGGGGGGAAATGAAGACTGAACCTTGGAAATAGCTGACGGAGAAATCCACTGCTCAGAGACGGCTCCTTTGCCTGAAAGGCCATTGCCTTGCCAGGCTGGACTTCCCCCACCCTCCTCCCCAGCTATTTTTTTGGGGTGCTGCCTTTACTTTCCCAACTAGTTACTCTATTCGTCAGCAACCTTCAGAGTAGTTCCTGCTCATGCTGTACGAGCGAGCAGGGACTGCTCTGAAGACCCATAAGGAAGGGGCTCTGACAGCTGCTCCAGTGCAAACTTTCATTGAATGGAGATCTCCTATCATTTGAAAAACCAAAAGAGGCACCATCCTAAGCAAAGAGGCCTTTGTGTTTAACAAAAACACAAATCAAGTTAAAAAATGAATTGGGATTGGTTGTGATGATAAAGGGCAGTACCTTGTAACCCGCTCCCTTACCAAATGTTAGGGTAAAAATGAGGTAAAATGTCAATAAGAAATTAGGGCAGGAACAAGGCAGATCTCCTTTGGAAATGTATTACAGAGTGAGTGCTACCAATGAAAAAAAGCAGCTTTACTCTTTCTAACTAGGTAATGCTTAGCAGGGAAAGCAGAGTTTCCCCCTGGACTCAAGAGGCAGGGCAAAGATGCACATTCAAGTATGCATGACCCAAGCCATTTAAGCATGGACATTCAAGTTGCGAATGTAACTTACAGTTACTTACATTTTTTCTTGTTCCCTACAGATGATGGGCTGTTGTTCAGAATTGGCTGGATTCTAGAAAATAGGAGAGGAAATTCAGTTTGAGGATTCTTTTAGCACAGGGCTGAAAAGACAAGGAACAGGGCAGCGGAAGAAGATACAAATTTAATAAATAACAATAATAAACAGAGGCCTCATGTGACCTTCCCAGAGCCAAGTAAGCAAGGCAGAGGGTTTAAAAATTTTCTGTGGCAGGAAAACCTAGTTTGGAAAGAGTTTTTTTAAGCCCTCTGCCTTGCTTAATGGGCCCTGGGAAGGTCATGTGAGATTTAATGGGGCCTTCAGGAGATATTACAAGACAGCCTCTTCCAACTGTTTCCCCCATTCTCCACTTATATTCCTGCCACCTGTTCAAAGCTGCAATCACGTAACAAGTTGAGGTTCTACTGTACCTGATTTTGATTAGCACAGACTGGGCCTTCTTTAGGAGCCATCTGATTTGACATTTGGGGATTAAGAGGCTGCAGAACACCAACTACAGGAGGAAAAAATACCATGAGAGAAACCAAGAATGGATGCTGATCATTAAAGACAGTTCACATATAAAAGAAGGGATGGGGAACCTGTAGCCTTCCAGTTGATCTCAAGCTCCAACTCCTAACAGCCTGAGCCAGCACAGCTAATTATCAGGGATGGTGAGAGCTATAGTCCAAGAACATCCAGGTCCACAGATTCCCCATTCCTGATCTAAGACTACTTCCACAAGATGATGACTGGATTCTAGAACCTGGTCTGTTTCTCTGCATTAAAAGCCTTCAGTGTAGAATGCACCAGAACAGCAATACCACTTCAAACAAGTAGATATTTAGATTACAATCTTATCTCTTTCACTGACTACTTGGCTGAAGGCAAAAAAACAGGCTAGAATAGAATGTACAGTGGTACCTCAGGTTACATACGCTTCAGGTCACAGACTCCGCTAACCCAGAAATAATACCTCGGGTTAAGAACTTTGCTTCAGGATGAGAACAGAAATCGTGCTCCGGTGGTGCAGCAGCAGGAGGCCCCATTAGCTAAAGTGGTGCTTCATGTTAAGAATGGACCTCCGGAACGAATTAAGTACTTAACCCGAGGTACCACTGTACTTTTTCTCCAGTCCAAAACATGCGTCCTAGTCCAGTTCTGTCCGCAAACATGATACCTCAGCAAGTGTATGGAAGGACTACAGCTCAGTGTTACATCATCTGCTTTGCAGGTAGGTAGGTTCAATACTCAGCATCTCCAGTTAGTAATGGGACAGAACTCCATCTGAATTCCTGGATAGCTGCTAGCAGTCAGTGCAGACAATACTATACTGGATGGACCAGTGGCCTGGGTCAGCATAAAGGAGCTTTCTGTGTTCCTCTGCCCTTGAACACACATATGAGTTCAGTTTGTTGCAATCCTGTCTACTTGTTCACAGCAAACTCTCTTCGTTCACAAGAGAAAAATCCATCTGTTTCAGAGGACAGCCACCCATCAGTTCCTCCCTATACAGAGCCAGTAGATTGTTAAGATTTCCAAGAGTCCTTGGAGACAATGCCACAAGGTGCGGTGCCATCAGGCAGAGACACAAAGGTTTTACATTAGCATCATTTCAGTTCCCTCTTTGAAGGGTGTGACCCTCAAGTTTATTTTCAGGAATTCTGACATTGCTAAATGAAATTTTTAAAAAGCAAGTCGTAAGATTATTACATTGAAAGTGCAGAAAGGAAACCTACCATGATTTGAAATTTGATTCTGAGGTAAGCAACTCTGCAAAAATCTAGGTTGAAGAGAAGAGACCGTAACTAGCATTGGCGATGGAAGGTTAAGAAGTCAAATACTTCTGTATTAAGTAAGATTTAATTTAAAAGCTCGAGTCAAAGTTTAAAGATCACAGCAAAGACAGCTTAAAAGCAGGCCACACAACAGCAGTTTTCTAAAGTTGGTCACGATGAAATTATTCCCTAATCGCCTACATACTCTCGTTATCACCAAGCACAACACATACCTCACGTGCCAATTAGAGTTTGAAAGCCTTTAACTCTTAAGCTTCATTTTCAGCCTCACCACTGTCAAGAGATGCAGCTTTTTTTTGTTTTGTTTTTTACAAAGAAGCACATATGGTCTTTGAATCTGTAATTCCAAGTTTTCCAGCTCAAGCTTAATCAGACAACACCTGAGGCTTGAAAAAATCTCAGCATACACCTATATACGCTCTGTCACAAGAGACTAGGGCCCTGCAGGATTTGACATCTTTCCGCAGGGCCTGCCAGACAGAGCTGTTCCGCCTGGCCTTTCGTTTGGACTCAGTCTGACCCTTATGGTTTTGATCTATGAAGCTGCATTTTAAATTGTATTTTAACCTGTATTTTAAATTGGGTTTTTTTCCCTTCCCTATTACATTTTTATTGCAATTTTACTGGTGTTAGCCACCCTGAGCCCAGCTGTGGCCGGGAAGGGCGGGTATAAATAACAACAACAACAACAACAACAATAACTTTCCTCCGCAACAGGGGTGGGGAACTTCAGGCCCAGGGGGCCAAATGCAGCCTCAAAAGTCCTCTCTATCTAGGCCTCAGAACTATAATCAGGCCCTACCCTTTTCCCCCAACTCATGGCCCTCCTTTTGCCTGGTTGGAATGTGTACCCAAACTGTGATGCCCCTTGCTTTCTTGGATGGAGCATAGAGGGGTGTCTGAATGGGTGTCGAACCTAGTCTACAGAGCAGGTAAAATTTATGTTTGCTGCTCTACCCACTTTTCCTCTGATCCGCCCATCAAAAGCCACCCCCAGGAGCTGGGATAGGTGTGGCCTGGGAAGGGGGCCAAGGGGCCAAACAAAAAGACCTGGAGGGGCACATTCTGCCCCAACTAGAGGTTCTTTGCTTGGACTCCACTGTCTTTACAAAATCAGTTTGTCAATCACAGACCAAATATAGACATACCTGTACTGTTGATGCAGCTTCTCAATTGGTTCTGCTCCATTGTGAATACCCATTTGAATAACAGCACTTGCATGAGATATATTTCCTTGCATGCCAAGCTTCTGAGCCCAAGCACAATACAGAAGAGATGATTTGCTACCAACCCCTTGGCTGCACAAATAGTCAAAAAAATTGCTCGGCTTATCGATGAAGTCGGCCTAGAGGAGATATAGACATATGCACATTAACATTCATTTAAAAGAAAGTGAAGTCAGCTTAGTAACAATAATGTTCCATTATAAAAGCAAGGACAAGAAAACAACCAACACTACCATCGCTATTTGCAAACTAGCTTTCTATGAGTGTGAAAACATCTTTCAAGACAAGCTACTCATCTGGGTGGCAACTAGTTCAATTTTGAATTGAGCATAAGTGACCGAAAGGCCACTCATTGATTCATGACCACATGAACCAAGAAGAGAGTAAAGGGCTCTTCAATCTCTTCTTGTCCATTCTACACCTCAGCTGCTCACTCCCTTGTACAAGCCAAGGAATCGGCATCAGTAGTTGAAGTACAGAGTGGGAGAACTCCAAGCCCTGCAGACAAGGCCATCTCTATCACCTGGCCAAGTGGAAGAAGGTATCCAGTTCATTTCCCGGTATGTCTGGTTAAAAAGATCTCTGTCAGCAGGTGTGGAGAAAGATCCCTGTCAGAAAGTCTGGAGAGCTGCTGCCAGCAAAAGCAGACTACTTTGCAACCATATCACTATTTTTTTAAATGGCATGAATGGACAATAATGAGATGGACCAATAGAAAAAGGAAATTGCCTTATACCAAGTCCATCTAGCTCAGCACTGGCTACCCTGACTGGCAGCGATTCTGCAGGGCTTCATAGAATCATTGAATTGTAGATTTGGAAGGGATCCTGAGGGTCATCTAGTCCAACCCCCTGCAATGCAGGAATCCCAGTTAGAGCATACATGACAGAGGAGCCAGATGGGCAGGGTATAAATAATAAAATTATGATGATGATGATGATGCAGGAATTCTTTCCGGTCTTACCTGGAGATGCCAGGGACTGAATCTGGGACTTCTTGCATACAAATCAGATGCTCTGCTATTGAGCTCCGAACCTTCCCTGATGATGTGACTTAGTAAAAAGCAGCTTCACGGGCTAAAAGGAGAGTTTTGCTACATATTCAGAGCAGGCGTGCAGCAGAATGTGTGGTACAAGAGCTATCTGCTTGGGCTTGGTTATAGTAAAGGGCCAAGTAAAACTTTGATTGTGTCTTGATTCACACAGAAGAAAACACTTGTGACACATCACAGGAGATTGGAGAGGATGAGGGGGTCAGGGGGTCTCCAGGTTGCCATCCAAAGAAGGATGGTGAATGTTCAGCCCTAGAGATGTTGCTGGACTCAAATTTCCATCAACGCTAGCCAGCTTTGACAATGGTCAGGGCAAAGGAATTGGAGTCCAGCATCATCTGGAAGGTGACAGGATACGCACCCCTGCACTAAAAGATACCCCCACACTCTGACATTCCTTTTAATTGCTAACTAACCAGATAAACAGGACTTCCACTGAACATCAATAAACATCAGATTAAACATTACACAATCCAAAGGTACAATAATTTAGATTCTTTTAATGCAAACATAATTATATCCCAACTTATAATTATATAATTTAAGGCTACTTACATCAATCCAAAACAAAAACTTAAAAACAATTTACTGTTCAGCATGTGCAAAGTTTTAATAAATTGTGCATCTATTCTGTATACGTACAAACGTCACACAGCAGTTGATGAATCTTGCGTCGTGCTGGTACCTCTGGTCACTTAAAAATATTTTCACAAGCCGCTCCAGCAAGTACAGCAGGTGCTTTTGTCTCCCTTCTACTCCCGATACACCTTCAACCCACTGAAAATACCTAAAAAGAGGAGCTGATCAATTGTATGTCTTACAGCAGCGTTTCCCAATCTTGGATCCCCAGATGTTGTCGAACTACAGCTCCCATCTGCCCCAGCCAGCATGGCCAATTACCAGGGATCATAGAATCATAGAATTGGAAGAGACCACAAGGGCCATCGAGTCCAACCCCCTGCCAAGCAGGAAACACCATCAGAGCACTCCTGACATATGGTTGTCAAGCCTCTGCTTAAAGACCTCCAAAGAAGGAGACTCCACCACACTCCTTGACAGGATAATGGAAAAGGTAGCTGAAAAACAGCTGGACACCCAAGGATGGGAAAGGCTGCCTTACAGTATAGTTAGAATCCCTACTAAATATGCGGCCAGACACTATGAAGACATTTCACCAAAAGGAGCTGTTAACACGGATGCTGCCAGCTGCCAGGATCTCTATAGCAAAACAGTGGAAAGCATTTTTTAAAAATCTGACTGCATCCTTATGATATAAAAACCTTTGGAATTCAGTTATTGCAAAAAAACTAACACAAACTACAGGTCTCTAAGGGGCAAGCATATCTTGATCATTTCTAATCATTATGGAGGGGTTTTATTTCATATGGTTTAGTTTCAGATATACAGGCATCTCTCTGCTCTCCATTTAGAGAAATGTGGTTGTCATTTATTTTAGATTGGGTGTTATTATTTAGCTTTAGTTGGAGTACTTGGTCTTTTTTGTTAGTACAGTCATACCTCGGGCTGAAGTAGCTTCGGGATAAGTATTTTCGGGTTGCGCACTGTGGCGACCCGGAACTAACGGAGCGCGTTACTTCCGGGTTTCGCCACTCGCGCTCAAAATGACGTCATGCGCAGAAGCAGCAAATCGCGACCCGTGCAGACGCAGGTTGCGTTCGCTTCTGGATATGAACGGGGCTCCGGAACGGATCCCATTCGCATTCAGAGGTACCACTGTACTTTTTTGTTCGTGGTTATAAAATAACTTGAATAAATCTAGAAAAGATAGAGGGCAGTCAGAGGAAAGACTAACCTATACCAAGGATCAAGTGGGTCATCACCGCTGTAGTTCTGTATGAGAGTTTCAAACATTCTGTGAAACAAAGCAGACAGCATCATATCAGTATTTAACACAATATGGCAGTTTAGCAGTATTTGAATGGATCTGGCACTGTATCCCACAGTGCTTTCACAGAACCCTTCAAAGATACATGTGCCTGATTTCTTCCCCCTCCCCTTGCCACAAACTAGGGCTAAATTGGTGGCTCCAAACTGTCAAGGTAAGGGAGGGCCACCAGTATCCACCAACCTAAACAGACGTGCTGTCAGCCTTCAAAAACCTGAAACTGGCTCTGAATGAAAGTGAAAACATGCGCTCAGTATACTCAACCTTTTCAGTTGGCACTGAAGCTCTAGAATGTCATCTTTATGCTGTGAACCACCCTCAGATATTTGGATGAAGGGTAGCACACAAATATTATCAATAATAATCTGTAGCTAGGCCTGTATGGAACTGTCACTATGTGCCTCCTGGTACCTGCTAGGGGATTTCTTTCTTTAATTGAAGGGGTGGGCTAAATCAATCACCTGTTGCTTGACAACTCTTACCATTAAAGTATTTTATCACACTCTTTGACCCATGACATTTAGGATTGCCACCAGACGCAGGTGCCGCAGTGATTTAAACCACAGAGTCTAGAGCTTGCCGATCAGAAGGTTGGCAGTTCGAATCTCCGCGACGGGGTGAGCTCCCGTTGCTCAGTCCCTGCTCCTGCCCACCTAGCAGTTCGAAAGCACATCAAGTGCAAGTAGATAAATAGGTACCACTCTGGTGGGAAGGTAAACAGTGTTTCCGTGAGCTGCTCTGGTTTGCCAGAAGTGGCTTAGTCATGCTGGCCACATGACCCGGAAGCTGTCTGCGGACAAACGCCGGCTCCCTCAGCCTATAGAGCGAGATCAGCGCGCAACCCCAGAGTCGTCTGTGACTGGACCTAACGGTCAGGTGTACCTTTACCTTTACCTACTTAGGATTGCAGCCATTACATACTGAGATTTCCAAGTGGAGAATTATTATTATTTTACAAAATACAGTAGTAGCATAAAGCTTGATGGTTCCTTCCTCCATTACTTTTCAATAGCTTTCCCCCCCCTTAATTTGAACCCTCCCACAATTTTGCACTAAAGTGCAAGTGAACAAATGTTTATTTTTTTTAACAAAAACAACCTTGGCATTGCTGGCACTATAATGCACTGTCCACTTTTGCCCTTGCTACATAGACAGACAGACCTACTAGAAAGGCTGTTCTCCAACTGGAGCGCTCGCAGGCCAATATTTCCCAGTTGTCCGTGTTTATACTACATTTTTTAAATTTGCCTTGAGACAGTCTTTAAACCTCTTTTGTTGACCACCAGCATTACACTTTCCATTTTAAAGTTCAGAATAGAGTAGTTGCTTTGACCATGGAGCAAAGGAAGCTAGACAAAATACACCTTCATAAAAAAAAACCCCAAACCACCTTACTTCCAGGCAGCAAAACTGAGGGTACCATTTTGCTGAATATTCTTGGGGTTGGTGGAGGAGATATTTCCTGACATTCCCTTGCAGGTGAGGCAGCCTCTGGGTTCAGAGTAAGAGAGGGAGGAGGATGGTCCCCTCACCTTTCCCCAAACAAGCTTCAAAGCCATGAAAGAAAACACGCACAGGCAGCGCGGAATCTCACTGCCACAGCCTCTGTGCATGTGCAAAGTGCAATTTACCCCGCCCCCTCCCCCCCGTAGCCCACCTCCTACATCCCTTCAGATTTTAAGGCCCACGATAAAACACGGGAAAGGAGAAGAGCCTCGCCTCCGCCCCCCTCAGCCGCGACTACTTACTGTGCGCGCGCGGAAAGCTCCGCGGCTGCCCCAGGCGCCGGCGAAGCCATGGAAGCTGCCGCGTCCACCATAACTGGGAAGAAACATTTAAAAAAATTCAAACCGTCCCGCGCAGCCGCACAAGGCGTTCTGGCCCTTTCGGGATTGGCCGGAATGAGAGCCAATCAGAACGAAGGAAAGCGGAGAGTCTCTCGTTGGAGAGAAGACGTAGTAACGCCGCTGTTACAGAAGAGGTAAAGAGGGTGGGGGGATCTAGATAAGCATTACCCACGACCCTCGCTTCCGGTTCACATTCGAAGCCCACCGTATGCGGGGCAAAAAGATAATATGAGGAGGGGGCGGAGCTTCGCGTTTTTGATGTCCGGTCCCCACGACTTTTGCATCAGCTACTTGCCCCGGGCGCTCAATTAGGAACCGGAAGTGTAGGTGTAATTTTTATTAATGTTTCATTTTTATATTTATTTATTTATATTATTGTTGGTATTTACAACAACAATAATAAATTATTTGTATACCACCCTATTAAATGCTAAGGTAGCCTTATTCACCTTCGTAGCTTCCTATCACAGTAGCAGGAAACAAAAGTTGGCCAAATAAGTCTGCGATCCTATCGCCACTTCACTGGAATTCAACAGGCCTCATGAAATATACTCGGAGTCGAGAGTGGATTTCATGCTCTTTATTCAGCTCATAGTGGTGAGGAGGAATGAAAGTTCCCCCGAAGTATCTGCTTTATGTACATTATTTACACAATGGGCTGCATGTGATTGGCTAATTCCGGGATTCTCCTGTAGGCCAATCAGGTTGTGGATTCACTTCTACCTGGAGCTGGATTGGGTGGCTCCTGCGGACCAATCATACTGCTGCATTGTTCTAGGACCAATCAGACAGCTGCATTTTGGATCCTATTCAACTCGGTACATAACACCTCACTTACTTTATTTTATTATATTTGCTTACTATATCTCTATCCCACCTTTTCCTCCAGGCAGCTCAAAAGTGGTGTGGCATGCTTCTCTCCTTTCTCATTTAATCCCCTGCAACAACCCTTTGAGGAAGGTTACCGTGGACTGACAAGGGGGCTGATTTGAACCTTGCTCTCCCAGGTCCTAGTCCAGCGCTCTAACACTGGCTCTGAGCAGTCTTGGCGAGGATTGCGCTACTAGTTATACTGGCACCCACGGCAGAAATTACCACAAATCACCTATCTCTGAAAGTAAAGGTACACGTTTTTAATAAACTAAAAACCCCAACCATTTACAGGACGACCAAGATCAGCTGCCTCACACTGTTTAGGCCTACCTTGGAAACTAGGGAAATAAGGCTACAGTCCTTATGAAGGCAGTGGGAGAAGACAGGCAAGTACTCTTTTAAGTGTTAGTGAGATAATTTGCAGTGCTCAGTGTTTTCAAGTGCAATTTGATCTCATATTGGCAAATTCAGGTTGTACAATCGAAGCTGATTTGGACATCTTGGCCAACAAGATGAACACTTAGGCCACACTACATTCCTCAGTTTTTCTTGCTGATATTGCTGGTTTTTTTGACAATTATGTAGCAATAGTCTCTCATTTTCTCACACAAGTTCTAATTTCCTTCATTTCCACAAGAGGGTGGCAAACAATAAGTTTTTCAAAAATGCCTCATAGCAGGCCTCTATTCTTTTCTTAAGCTTAGACAAAGTTCATTCTGCGGGTGAAGCTTGACTTCAGTTACTGACGGTTCCTAATAATTAGGTGTGCCTTTTTCATTTTGTAAGCTTGAAGAAAAAGCTTTCTCCAATAGTGTCACCTAGAAGGGTAGCCACACTAGTCTGTTGCAGCAAAAACAAGTAGTAGTTAGATACCTTGCAGCACATCCTATTCATATCTACTCAGAAGTTTGCCCCACCAAATTCATTGGGACTTGTACCTAGATAAGTGTTAAAAAGAGTAACAGAGTTTTTATGACATAAACAGTTAATGACTGGAGTCCACTTCATTAGACTTTTGGAATGCTGTCCTCATTTAAGGCTCTGCAACAAAATGTTGCAGTGTTGAGTACAAGCGTTTAGGTCTCCAAAAATTCCATTCCACATACTCTCTTATTTTCTGTCCTCACTCACAGTCAGCTAGCAGTTTATGCCCATAGAGGATACTCAGTCCTCATTTTGCTGTGTCAGCAATACACCCATACTTTTTCGGTGTTATTGGGCAGGTGTGTGTGGTCACTTTTGTTTCACAAAGATTGGTACCCCAAGTATTAAGACTGCCATTAGGATATACAATAATAGGTGTTTGAACAGGGATAATGCTACTTGCTTGCCTGAAAACAGGATGGAGGTATATTTGTATGTTTGTAGAAACATCTGGCTTTTTGCATGGCTGGGGTGTAATCTCCTGTACAAAGGGCAAAGCCACACCCATTATTCTAGCCTCCTTTGCACCCTACCCTACCCAGGGAAGCCTCAAGCTGAAAAAGATTCCACAACACTTATCTGCTCAGAAGCGAGTCTTACCAAGCTCAGTGGGATTTCCAGGTAAGTATGTATAGGATTGCTGCCTAAATCTTTCACAGCAGAATTAACTGGTGATAGCACGATCACTATAGCTTTTTTATTTAACAAGGTGTATGATGGTTGTGCTGTAAGAAACGGTAGAACTGTACTAAGAGAAACTGCTTTTGCTTTCCCAATTTACCTCATCATAGCAGGAGAGGATTCGATTGTGTCCCCATTTAATTGAAGACTGATCATAAAACCATAGAGGCCAGAATCCAGCTGTACATTATCGCATTGTAATATAAACTTCTTTTGTAAGATTAGCAGTTGTTAATACAGATGCAAGTCAACATTCTGACAGTAGCTACCCTACAGCCCAAGAGCTTAATGTGTGAACAGAACACGATATAAATTGCAAACACTTTTAAAAACGCTGACATCCCTTTCTTTTACCATACATTGCACTGTTATATTACATGACCCAATTCCTTATACTGAAATTTTATTTTTACCACGTTTAATTCAGTGGGCGCATTCAGTTCCTCAGGATAGTATTACTGTACTTCCTGTTGCATATTATGATGCTATCCTAGTTCATGCATTCAAAACTCACCCTACATGTAGTGATTTTATTTCACTGTCAGTTAAAGCTATTAAAAAGTTGCACAGTTAATCAACTTGCACAGCCAAAGCCTATGCATAATTGCTCAGAAATAAGTTCCACTGAGTTCAATGGGGCTTGCTCCCAAGTAAGTGCATAGGATTGCAGTCTCAAAATTCTCAAGTGGTTTGATAGCCCTAGTAGCAACACCTTGATAGAAAGAAATGTTCAGTTCATTAAATCTGTCTAGCATATTTTTGGTTGCTTTGTTTAAACTAGCCATTCAGGGCCATCCCTACCATTTGGTAGACAGTAGCAGCTGATCTTGAGTATCATGTTAGTAAGTCCAATATAATATTGTTGTATTTATACTCCCAGAGAGAGGCTCTTGTGGGATTTTCTGTTTCAGGTGCCAAACTAGCTTGATTACAGTACCCCATGACTTGGGGAAAGGGACACAGTTTGGTATTCTGCCTTAGGCAGAAAACTGTCTTGGATCAGCCCTGAAGTTAGTTTAGTTTAGTGTGTATGTTCGTGTTGTTTAAAATGCCTTGTAAATCACCTTGAAGGCCTGTCTTGGTAGAACTTTTTATTTTTTAGAATAAATAAATATGTATCTTGCCTTATACTTTTATTTGGAATCACATTTGTGTTTTAAATGAAGTCCGTGTGATTTATGGGAACCACTAACTGCATCTGGTACTCTTCTCAACATTTTCTGGCAAATTAATCTCAGATTACTCTTTAGTGCAATCAGGTGTTGCCTATACAGCAAGGCGGGCTTCTTTTCATATGGAAGTTCTTCGGACTTGATACGAAACATCTGGGTGCCCAGTAGGCTGTGCCAAGATTGACAGTGGAGCTGATGATCTGCTAGAGAAAAACTGTTTTTCGTAGCTGACAAACACACACACACACACACACACACACACACATTTTCTGTTTTGCCAATGCAGAAAAGAAGAAAAAGAATATTTACTTTGTGCTTCACTCATCCAAGTCCTGGCCAGGCAGATGCTTATGAGAACTCCTTGCCTCCCTCCTTGTGAAGAAGCATCTCTTAATATTGTCAACACTTCAGAACGCTTTAAGCGTAAATAGGTGTTGGGTGAACAGTTCGGCATATGGCTGTGCCATGTTGTGTGCCTTGAGGAAATGGCTGGAGCGCTGCAAAAGAGGTTAACTTGGCATACATGGTTCCACCCACTTTCCTCCTCGGAATAATAATAATAATAATAATAATAATAATAAACTTTTACCTCACCCATCTGGCCAGGCCTCCCCAGCCACTCTGGGCAGCTCCCAACAGAATATTAAAAACATGATAAAACATCAAACATTAAAAACTTCCCTAAACAGGGCTGCCTTCAGATGTTTTCTAAAAGTCAGATAGTTTTTTATTTCCTTGATATCTGATGGGGGGGGGTGTTCCACAGGCTGGGTGCCACTACCAAGAAGGCCTTCTGCCTGGTTCCCTGTAACCTCACTTCTCACAGTGAGGGAACAGCCAGAAGACCCTTGGCCCATACCCAGTGCTGGATTTACATATAAGCTAAACAAGCTATAGCTGAGGGCCCCACTCTCTTGGGGGCCCCCCAAAAAAATTAAGGGGAAAAAAATCTGGATGTACATTTCCAAAATATAAGATAAAAAATAAATGAAATAAAACCTACATACAGCAACAGTGTTTTGTGTTGTGTGGGATCCTGTCATTAAGTAATGGACCCTTCCTGCTCGCCTGCTCCCTAAAATAGCACAGGTTTGCTCATTTCTATATATAGGGTGCCTACATTCTGCTATTTATAATTATTAGTAGTTTGCATCATATATTTACACCTAGTATTATGTTATAGCAAGTTTCTAGAGACTAGACTATGAGTCTTTGTAAATTGTGTTTCTAAAGGAACTTTAGTTATTGCCAGATGCCAATGTGTTTGCATTATTAAGTTTGTTATGAATAAAAAATCATTTTAAGTTAGAGCTTAATAATTATTTCACTATTAATATACTTCTTCTTAATTGTATTTCAGTTCAACCATTACTTTGATAAAATAAATATTTTGTTATGTGCAAATGGCTTTAGATACCTATTAGGTCTGTAAATTAGGTAGGGTCTCAGCAGTCTGTGAGGTAGGCTAAGTTTGCAGATGGAGACTCTCCCAGCATGCTTCAGGGCTGAGCAGGTGGACTTGAACATAAGGTAAAGGGACCCCTGACCGTTAGGTCCAGTCGCGGACGACTCTGGGGTTGCAGCACTCATCTCACTTTATTGGCTGAGGGAGCTGGCGTACAGCTTCCGGGTCATGTGGCCAGCATGACTAAGCCGCTTCTGGAGAACCAGAGCAGCATATGGAAACGCCGTTTACCTTCCCACCGGAGCGGTACCCATTTATCTACTTGCACTTTGACATGCTTTCGAACTGCAGGGACTGAGCAAAGGGAGCTCACCCCGTTGCGGGGATTCGAACCGCTGACCGCCAAGCCCTAGGCTCTGTGGTTTAACCCACAGCGCCACCCGTGTCCCAGGACTTGAACATAGGTCTCCCTAAACCAAACCAGCATTCTAACCACGACGCCATTCTGCCTCATGATTGTACCGACTGTGAGACCTTACCCACGGGATGGTCTACTCTGCACGTACATAACCCAATATACTTAATCAGGCGCGGGGAACCACAGACCCAGGTGTCTTCTGCCTAGCCTGCAGGACTGCCTTAAGCCACATCCCTCAGTGACCCTGCTCCACACCCTCCGCAGGTGCTTTGGCCGGGCAGGAAATGTGTCCTTGAAGTGTTTTAATGCCTCTTAGTTGGGGGATGGAGGGAGGTTTGGGTGTGCAGAATATTCTGGCTTTTGTGTGGCTGAAGTGTAGCCCACTGAAGAAAGGCAAGGGTCCCATCCACTGCGCCACCTACTTTCCCCTCAGGCACCATTGGAATGTGGTTCCTGGAAGGTCGTCTGCAAGGGAATATGCTGGGATGAAAGAGATTCTCCGCTTGTGCACTAAATACAGTGGTACCTCGGGTTACAGACGCTTCAGGTAACAGACTCCACTAACCCAGAAATAATACCTCAGGTTAAGAACTTTGCTTCAGGATGAGAACAGAAATTGCACCGCGGCGGCAGCGGAAGGCCCCATTAGCTAAAGTGGTACCTCAAGTTAAGAACAGTTTCAGGTTAAGAATGGAGCTCCAGAACGAATTAAGTTCTTAACCCGAGGTACCACTGTAGCGAACCTATTGTCTGAGTGCACAGTGGTACCTTGATACTCAAACACCTTGGTTCCCAAATGCCAAAGTAAGTAAGTGTTCCAATTTTTGAACGTTTTTCGGAAGTGCGGCTGTTGGCTATTGTTTCCATGGCGCCTGCACCAATCAGAAGCCACACCTTGGCTTTCGAACATTTCAGAGGTCAAACGGACTTCCAGAACGGATTCAGTTGTCGCTTTTGTTTTTGCTGTTTATTTTGCATTTTTGTTTTTGAGGGTTTTTCGGTTACCGGTAATTTGCTTTTGTGACTGTGTAGAACCCAATTCAGCTACTGATTGATTGATTGAGTGACTGCGGATATGGATAAAAGCCCCCCATCTGAACAATGACTGTCATCAGTGCAGGTAAGAAAAAAATAATTTTAATTTTTATCATCCATAATACTGTCTTATTTATTCTATAATACAATACATTATTGCTTTCATTTTATAGATCAATGGTCTCGTTGGATAGTAAAACACATGTTAAATTGCTGTTTTAGGGGTTGTTTTTAAAAGTCTGGAATGGATTAATCCATTTTGCATTACTTTCTATGGGAAAGTGCGCCTTGGTTTTGGAACACTTTGGTTTTAGAATGGACTTCAGGAACGGATTAAGTTTGAGAACCTAGGTAACACTGTATAGTCAAATGACATCACAGATACACACACACACACACACACACACACAGAGGGAGTTATCTTTACTTTATTTAGTTTATTAAATTTGTATACTGCCCTTAATGCGAAGATCACCAAGCAGTTCACGACATAAAAATACAAAGACACAAAATACATAATAAAGAAAAGAAAAGCAATAATCCCCTCCCACAAGAGGACCTTACCTCTTATTCCCATGAGTGCTAAGCTTGTAAGAGGCTTGAACTCTCCAAACCATTCTAGGAGAACCCACAAAGCTATTACATTCAAATATGAACACAGCCAATACTAAGGCATAACACGTATGGACAACATAAGAATTCTAACCTATGGTTGGGCTACAGTAAGATTTCCCCACTTCTGTCCTTCCCTTCATTACGTTCCTCATTCTTTTAGATTTTAAGTGTCTTGGAATCAGGCACCTAACCTTTTATGAAGCACGAAAGGCACATTGTTACGTGTATATTGATGCCACTGCAATAATAGCAGCATCGGCCAACTATTTTAACTACACAGCAGTTAACTGAACATGCGGAACATACCATTGTTAGTGAAATGGCTTTGGGAATCGGCAGGCTTGTTGGAACCCCGAGAGTGGGAGAAGTACAAAATAAAAATTGGAATGTTCTGGAAGAGGGTCTTGGCGGCTGGGTTCCTGAGCAGGAGCACTCCAGACCGCAACATTTTGTTGCAGATTCTGTTTGTACCGTTCTGTTGCTGAAACTTAGCAGGTCTGGCCCCTGCACACTGCCTGTACAGGATACTTGTCTGGGAACCACATGGAAGCAGCTGAGAGTGGGGGAGTCTGAGCTCAATAAATACATTCCTGGTGGCCGTCTCCCTTTGTCTGGGAGTGATCATGCAGAAAAGCTCTAAAATAAAGGGTAGATGACCTCTCAAGTTTGCTTTATGTCTTACACTTTCCTGAGCGAACATTAATCTTTGTGCGGAAAAGGACATGTATTTTGCAATATGTGATGTTATGTTGGGGGGGAATGAAGTGTATTTTTCATGGCAGCTATACAGATCAGGCAGACCGAGACGACGGCTGGGGAGAAAAGGTTTTTAAAAACGTGGCTTTGTTACGTCCCGAAGCTGTTTTGGGCCATTCTGAACTGATAGGATTGTAAATAAGTAAATATTTGAAGAAGTACTCAAGGTACTTAGAGATACGTATGTTTAAAACCTTGCAATGAGATCCCTATGCTCAATTGGTTAATGATGCATTGGCTACGTTGACTAGAGTGAAATTTCACTTGAGTGCTAAGTCTTAAGGCATTAATGAAAGGCATTGCTCTTTCGAAGCTCTGGCATATAACATGTTGCTATTTAAGAACAGAGCTGTGTGAGATGGCATTTTCCATTTTTCATACAGGTGTCTTTCTGTTGTCACTGTTGAGTTTCCATCCCCTCAGCTCTGTCTGAAAGATTGTGAACTGTTATCTGCATGACAAGATGATGGAGGTTTCCCCAAAACAGCTCTTTTAGAGATAACACATCTCAGTGCTTCCACCTACACAGCAAAAAGAGATTTCCTGGGGTGTAGGTGTTGTCTCTCACAGGGCTCCAACGCTTCTCTCTCTCTCTCTCTCTCTCATACAAAGTCTATTCTTTTATACTGTATCTTAAGCGCATACACACACACAAACTTAATTAGAAGACTTCAGTTTCGCAAGAGAAAAGAAGTGCAAGGCTTCTTTTATCAGCTGACTGGTAGTGCTTTATTGTTTATACAAAGAAAAGCAAAAATAGCAAAAGGGTCTTGCTGGCATTTGAAATCTTCTGGCTTACTAGAACTGAGTTACTGTTTCTATATATTTTTTCTGTTCATAGATTTCTTTGGTTTGGTGCCTTTTGACTATTTTGATCTCTGGGTGTTTTCTGCTGTAGGTTTTGGTAACAGCAACCTGCTGTATGTCTGTTGTCGGGCCCTGAGGAGGGATGTTCTGTAGAAAGAAAGAAAGAAAAATCAACAAAAATTATTGGGTGGGGCGGGTGGGCGAAACTTCGGTTTTTAAATAGATCTCTCGTTATGGCTTAGTTTACGTTATTTGGTTTCCTGGTCATAAGAGCTCCGCTGTAGATTCTGTGGGTGTTTTAGGGTGTAAGCGTGCATAGAAAGTGTGGGGAGAGCAAGGAATTGTACGTCAAACAGCAAGAACCTAAATACAAATAGTGCAACATACATAAAGTTTATTTGATGAAATAAAATATTTTAATGCTTTACTGCAGTTTTACTGGTCCCTGCAGTCACAGCAGGTGCTGTGATTCCCCAGCAGTCTGACTTCACTCCATTGTCTCTCGAGACAGACAGGTGCCAACAGCAACAACAAAACCCAGCAGTAAGATGATGAAAATAAAAATTCCTAGGGAAATGAGGTTCATCAGCAGATGAAAGCAGGGAAGGCATTTAGGACACGTCTGAGGAACCTGTGCCCCTCTGTATCTTGTTAGGCTTCCATCAGCACCACCCAGCACAGCCAAATATTAAAGACGATGGGATTTGTAGTCTAGCAGCATTTGGAAGACCACACGTCCCCCACCCCTGATTGAGATGAGGCAGCACAACCAATCAGTCCACTCAGTCACCACCCACCTGACCTTGGACGGCAGGGTCACCTGGAAAAACTTTCAGATTATGATCTTAACAGACAGGCAGATTTGCATGACCACAAGCTGCCCTTTAGTACAGAAGTGCATGCGGTGTCGCTCTAATGCTCTTTTCCTTATCTCTCTGTGATGTGCACATGGTGCTTTCTGCAGCCACAGAGAATCATTAGGTCAGACCGAAAATGTGCAGGGCAGTAGCCAAAGGGTAAGTTTCAGCTCTCGGTGAAGTCCCAAGGGCTAGCAGGCTAAAATCCGAAGTGATGTGGAAATGACCTGTCCAGGCTCTTTAAACCAGCCAATAAACCTTTATTCCTTCCAGCTTAATGGAACTCCATATTTATTTATGTTTATTAAACGATCAGACTTTTCCAGTGGTGAGAGCTCCCAGGCATGCTGCCAACCCGCCTTATGATAACACGGCAGCGAGCGGCCAGCAGTATTAAATACTTTCCTATACTGATAGCACGTTGTCAATTCATCCAGCGGTGGCATTAAATTATCGCAGACGTGAGCGTATGCTGACAGAAGCATGAAACAGTCATGCAAATGAACTCGGCCAGCCAGAGAATCAAAGCAACAGGAGGAGGAGGAGAAAAAGGAAGAAACCATCCACCCACTCCAAGCACGCTTGCCATCCTTCCTCAAATCTTAACTTTTGCAGTGCCACAAGCCAGTCCGGTAGAAACACTGCTTGTGTTGTTTTTAATTGTGACTGATGGACTTCAGTTCCTGGATTCCAAGGGCAAACTTCTAAGCTGTGTGTGTCAAAGCAATTTTATTAGAAGCGACATACAAATAGTACCTTTTCAGGGAAATTGAGGTGATAGCATAGAAGAATTCTCTGTAATATATACCGCTACAATCTCCTCATCTTTGTCTTTGTTTCTTGCGTTCGTCCCTTGATGAAGCTGGTCTTGCAGCACCTTCGATCTGCACTCCAAAAAACTAGTTCCATCAGTGCCTGCTGTTTAGGTGTGATTTATTGGAGGAGTTTATGGGATCAGTCGAGCCACCCGGACAGGACTTTGGGACAGAAGCCCAGGGGCTCTGAACACAACAAGACTATCTTAGCACGTTTGAAGCTGGTGAACACATTGCTATCTAAAGAATGACTGCCCTTGTAAGCCCAGAGTCCAAAATTACCCAGTTGCATCATTAAAGGGATAGCGGCCATGACGAAGATCTTTTCTTCTTCTCGAGATGTTCTAGAATTGTTTGAAGCTTTTTATTCAGTATGTGAAGGGATGCTCTCTGGTTGTCTTGCTCTGGAGGTGCTTCACAGAGGCATCTTGCTGGTCCTTAGAAACAGGATGATGACCTAAATGGCCTCCTGATCTAGCAGGATACTTATGTATAGGTAGAGATGTATTTATAGGTGTCTCCATGTAGTTAATAATAATAATAATTTTATTATTTATACCCTGCCCATCTGGCTGGGTTTCCCCAGCCACTCTGGGCGGCTCCCAACAAAGGACTAAAAACAAAATAGAACTTCAAACATTAAAAACTTCCCTAAACAGGGCTGCCTTCAGATGTCTTCTAAAAATCAGATAGTTGTTTATTTCCTTGACATCTGATGGGAGGGCATTCCACAGGGCAGGCGCCACTACTGAGAAGGCCCTCTTCCTGGCTCCCTATAACCTCACTTCTCACCTGGAGGGAACCTCCAGAAGGCCCTCACAGCTGGACCTCAGTGTGCAGGCTGAACGATGGGGATGGAGACACTCCTTCAGGTATACTGGGCTCTTTAAAAAGCAAGACAAACAATGCGAGGCAACCTCTCCCTCTGTATGCCAAGGGTGGCTAACCAATGGCCCTACAGATGTTGTTAAGACTCCCAACTATCAGGGATGGTGGGAACTGTAAGACAGCAACATCCTGGAAAGCTCAGTTGATTAGAGCATGGTGCTGACAACGTCAAGGGACAGCTGCATATTCATTCCTGCATTGCAGGGGTTGAGCTAGGATTATCCTCAGGGTCCCTTCCAGCTCTATGAGTCTGTGATCTAGAGGGCCACAGGAGCATAAGAATCTGCCTTATACTTGGCCAGACCAGTGGTCCATCTAGCTCAGTATTGTCTACATGGACTGGCAAGAGTTCTCTAAGGAGCAACGTCCTTTGCAACCCCACCTGGAGATGCCCGGGATTGAATTTGGGACCTTCTGCATGCAAAGAAGATGCCCTGGACCACTGAGTTGCAGGTCTTCTGCTCGTGCGCTCAGTTTCACCACTCCCTTGGCTTTTCTGGAACTAGGGGAAGCAGCTGCTTTGTGAAATTAGGAAAACTGAGTGCGTAAGGCTATTTCTCTGACATCCAGACCTCCTCCTCCCCACCACGTCATTTTGCTTGTATAGTTTTCAAGCTGCCAGAGCTGGATTGAGGTTACTGCCGCAGTAGCAGTAAAGGAGGAAGTTGCTCTGGTACTTTACAGAAATAATTGTCTGCGCGCACACACAGTCAGACATCACCTTCTTTCTAAGCTCCCATTGTGATCCTGCAAAGCAAGCCTCAGCAACCAGCCCCTCCCCCCCCCTTGGTATGCTCCTCTCTCTTAAGCCGGCCTTGACCTACCTGCTTTGGACCACAACTTCCATCAGCCCCAGCTAGCATGGAGACTTTAAAAACCCCTGCAACTCTTCACTTGGCACAATAAAGAATATAGAAGTTAATTTCTTTTGAAATACAATTCAAGATGTATTTAATTCTGCAGAATTAATGCTGTGGATGTTTAAGTGCAGGCTTAGTTTGTTTCCTTTTAAAAATCAATAAAATATATGTATGGTGATTTTTTTTTCATATTAAAAAATGAAACGGGGGGAAGAGAATACAGAGGGGACCCCATATGAGCCTCTCTAAGGAGATCACTCTAGAACTAAAGTTGCTTGTGGCATCTGGTTGGCCACTATGAGAACATGATTGTGAATTAGATGGACCGCTGGCCTTGATCCAGCAGGCTCTGATTAGTATTATAGAATCATACTCTTGTAGAGTTGGAAAGGACCCAAGCAATCCAGTTGTTGTTGTTTAGTCATTTAGTCGTGTCCGACTCTTGGTGACCCCATGGACCAGAGCACGCCAGGCACTCCTGTCTTCCACTGCTTCCCGCAGTTTGGTCAAACTCATGCTGGTAGCCTTGAGAACACTGTCCAACCATCTCGTCCTCTGTTGTCCTCTTCTCCTTGTGCCCTCAATGTTTCCCAACATCCAATCTCTGGTTGAAAACCTCCAGTGAAGGAAAGTCCACCACCTTTCCCATTCCACTGTCACCCATTCCACTGTTGAACAGCTTCTACCACCGGAAAGTTATTTCTTATGTTTTATTGGAATCTCCATTCTTGTAATTTGAATCCATAGGTTTGGGTCCTACCCTCTGGAGCAGCAGAAAGCAAGCGTGCCCCATCTTCCATGCAGACAGCCCTTTAGATATTTGAAGATGGCTATCATATCACTTCTCAGTCTCCTCACAAGGCTTGGTTTCCAGACTCTTGATCATCTCGGTTGTCTTCCTCTGCACGTGTTCTTATGTTCTTTTTTCAGTGAGAAGGCCTCTCCCTCTTAATCTCACAAGTGTGTAGTGGTTTGAATGCCATTTAGCTCAGAGAAGCCTCAGGGCTCTTTCTCAACCGGGGCTAAAAAGTACCACTGTATATAGTGCTATAGCATCACTGTGCACTCAAAAGCTTTGGTTATCTGAAGAAAATCCCCCTTTTTTTAAAAAAAAAAAAATCAAGGTTCACTAACAATTTTTGAAAGCATTGCAGGTGGTGCTTTGGCTTTGTGTTGAAAACATCTGCATGTTTTAAAAGATGGCATTTTTCAAAGACTTCTTTGGTCTACTGCTGCAGTGCCTTAAAGGTCAAACTGCAAAAACAGGATTCAGCCTAAGCTTGCATTTAGTGCATGTGGCTTAAACTGATTCTTATCTGCAGAGATAAGCTTGAGAGATTTTTTTTGTTGGGTGATACAGCACAATGGGTTGGAGAGGCATGAGCCACTTGCTTTTCTGCATGGTGTTATCGCTCAGAATGAAATCTGTGTAGCTTTCAAAACGTGTGTTTATGGTACGGTCCATTGTTGACAACAGCACGCTGGTGGTGGCCTTTTAGGCAACCCGAAAGAGGCCACCAATACAATTTGAAGACCTGGGATAAAGCCACCTTCCGTTTCCCGAGAGAGAGAGAGAGAGAGAGAGAGAGAGATTCTCTTCTGTGAAAGATAAGATCTAGCATACACAGCTCAAAGAAAGGGCAAGGAAGTTCAGTCAAGATACTTGAGCAGTTGTTGGAGAATTCCTGCAAAATATGACTTAAGGCTGCAGCATGTAAAAAGTACAGTGGTACCTCAGGTTAAGTACTTAATTCGTTCTGGAGGTCCGTTCTTAATCTGAAACTGTTCTTAACCTGAAGCACCACTTTAGCTAATGGGGCCTCCTGCTGCTGCCGCGCTGCTGGAGCACGATTTCTGTTCTCATCCTGAAGCAAAGTTCTTAACCTGAAGCATTATTTCTGGGATAGCGGAGTCTGTAACCTGAAGCGTATGTAACCTGAGGTACCACAGTACTGAAACTGGGTTTATACAAACAACTGGTGAAATGGGAAACAGTTCCTGGCGTGTCCCAGTATTCACTGTCTCTGAAGGTATAGAAGAGCGTAAGAAGACTCTGCTGGGTCAGGCCAATGGCCTATCCAGGCCAGCATCCTGTTCTCACAGTGATCAGCACAAGAGCATCCTCCCCTCCTGTGGTTTGCTGAAACAGGTATTCAGAAGTACTGCTGCCTCCAGCTGTTGGAGGCACAGCACCGCCATCACGCCTAATAGCCATTGATAGCTCTTTCCTCCATGAATTTGTCTAATCGTCTTTTAAAGCCATCTAGGTTGGTGGCCGTCACTACCTCCTATGGGATCAACTTCCACAGAGCCTAGGCCTTGCCGATCAGAAGGTCGGCGGTTTGAATCCCTGCGATGGGGTGAGCTCCCGTGGCTCGGTCCCTGCTCCTGCCAACCTAGCAGTTCGAAAGCACATCAGAGTGTAAGTAGATAAATAGGTACCGCTCCGGCGGGAAGGTAAACGGCGTTTCCGTGCGCTGCTCTGGTTCGCCAGAAGCGGCTTAGTCATGCTGGCCACATGACCTGGAAGCTGTACGCCGGCTCCCTCGGCCAATAAAGCAAGATGAGTGCCACAATAAAGCGAGGTCAGCAACGACTGGACCTAATGGTCAGGGGTCCCTTTACCTTTATCTTTACCTTTACCTTTAGGTTGGTGGCCGTCACTACCTCCTATGGGATCGAGTTCCACAGTCTAACTATGTGCTGTGTGAAGAAGCGCTTTCTTTTATCTTTTGGCTGTATATATGTGTGTCTGTAGATCAGGAGTGGAAAGCTTTTCCTATGAAAGGCTGTTGGTAAGAGTCGATCAGTGGCTATGACCGTTTGGCAGAGGCAGACAGTTTACAGCATTGCATAGCTCCCCGCTCTATTCAATACCTCTCCCCATTTCTCTCCCGCACATAAATGCACACTTTGAGGGCCACTCTCAGGTTCCCCACCCAAAGCACAGACAGATAAATAGAGATGCACATGAAAAACTATAAGCTGGGGTTCCCCCCCCCCCCAAGCCTGAGGCCACCGTTTTAGAGAAAGATTTGTAAAGGTGAATAAGCCATCTCATATCTTCCTATGTGCAATCACCAGCACTGTGCAAGGAGCCCAGCATGCGATTCTGGAAAGTGCCAATCAGCTGTTATGCAGATGGACACCCATCTTCCCTCCCCAGTTTCAAACCACCAATAGACACAAATCTTTGACCACGTCCAGCTGGTGCATTGGGTAGGGAAATTGCATTCCAAGCAGTTATTTGCATGCACCATTCCCCTATTATCTAGCTGGCCTGATTCCATATAAGTGAGCCTTCATGCATACACCTGGATTGTGGGGGTATTTTGCGGGAAGCTGA